ATATTTATCTGCACTACATGGAAACAATGCAGTGAAAATTCAAAAGTTTGATGTGCACAGTAAAAATGATAAGAGTAATTCTCAATTTATATCAATTAACTATCTTGACTATTCAAATTGACAGAGAAATCTCTATGCAGTCAGAACTGACAGCTTTGACTTAAACATATAATATAGTTGTTCAATGTTCAGCACTCTACATTTCAGCTCAAAATGAAGCTGCAGAACATGCAGGAGCTTTAATAATGACAGCAGCATGTACAATGTAAATTGAAGTCAATTTATCTGAGAATTTATGATCAGAATGCATCAAGACTGCAGTGTATATTTTAAACAAAATTTCAGTTAAAGATCTTGATTGAAACACTTCTCTTGAATTTTTAGAGAAATATCTTCAAACTGCAACTTCTTTAACTGAAATTAGACATATAAGAGTTTTTGGCTGTAGAGCATATTCTTTAATTAAGAATGCACAATATGAAAGAAATTAGAAGCTGACTTTTAGAGTGAAAGTTGAATATCTCATTGAATACAAATCAATGAATATTTTTTGCATTTGGATTTCAGTATGATGAAAGATTATATTAATAAGAGACATTATATTCAACAAAGATACACTATTCAATTCTAACAAGATTAGTAGCAAGCTTTTATTACAGAAGAGCTTCATTATGCTGAATACAATATCTTTCATTGAAGTAAGTGATATTAACAAGATGAGCTTGAGCAAGCATGACAGTGAAGATGAAGACTCTAAGAAGAATATATTATGTGAAAGTCATGAAATCATTGATCAGTTAATAAGATCAATGAAAACAATGACTAAGACAGTAACTGATCAATTAAAAGAGACATATGCATTGTCAACATCAGAGTCAACATTAGAGTCATTAGCTTCAGACATCTACACTTAATCTCTTTCAGATGATCCAACAATGTCATTAACTGAAATAGAGACACTAAATTAACTTTCATTGACAGTCAATCATTCTGCTGCAGAAGCTACAGAAATAGTGAGTGATGTTGTAATTGAGTCATCTAAGATTATAACATCTACTACACTTTCTGTCACTAGTTCTACAGAGACAGTGAGCACAAATGATGAACAATTAATAGTCAATCATTCTGCCACAGAAGTGATGAGCACTAATGATGAAATTTCAACAGTTAATCATTTTGTCACAGAAGTAGTGAATGACTCAGTCAGAGTAAGCTTGAACAAGTAATCTTCATCTTCTAGACAAAGTGCTAGAATAAGACACTAAAACACAGATTGAATTGACAGACAAATAGCTTATACAGCAATTCTGCAGTAAACAGCACAATTGAATTCATTTTATAGAGACTATTTAACAGCTTTTACAATTACAAATTCTAGACTTCACAGAGAGAATCTTTCAAAGTCTCCAAAGCATTATTTTTTAATGTTGCAACATCCACATGCTGATGGATTTAAGATCATCATAAATGTGGAAATGAAGAAGCTATGAATGAAAAAATGCTTTGAAGAAGTAGAGAGCTCAGAAGAAATATGTTCAATCTCTTTAATATAAATTTATATGTATAAATTTGATGTTAATGGTTTTTTGGAACATTATAAGGCAAGACTTGTTTTTCACAGAGATCTGAATATCAATAATAAACATGACATCTACACTGCTACTCTTGCTGTGTGAATATTTCATCTTTTAATGACTATAACAGCTTATTTTAAAATCAAGATCTTTCAGATTGACACTGTTAATGCATTTATTAATGCTTCATTTGATAAATCTGTTTATTGCAGACTGACAGAGAGTTATGATAAGAAAAGAGATGTTTGAAAAATTCTATATGTTTTATACAGTTATCTTAAATCTTCATGACTTTGATATGAAGATCTCACTTCAACACTCTGGAAACTAAAATTCTGTCAGATTTGTGAAGAATCATATCTATTCATTGATAAGAATATTATTATCTTTTTTTACATGAATGACATAGTATTTTTATATCACAGAAAGAATGTTGGAACATTTAAGTAGTTATTAAAGAATTTATGAATGTATTATAAGCTTCAAGAGATTGAAGAGCTAGAGTGATTTCTAGATATTTGTATCTTATGCAATAGAGATGCTCAGAAGCTTTGACTGTGCCAGAATAGTTATATTGAGAAGATCACTAATAAGTTCAATCTTATAAAGTTGAAGTCATCACATATGTCAATGATAACTGTGAATATAGCTTCTTATACAGAGATGCAAGATAAGCAATAAATACATATCTATCAACAGAAAATTGATTTAACTCTCTATGCTACTATTATAACACAGTCTGATATTTCATTTACTACTGCAAAATTAAGTGAGGCTTTGATTAATTCAGAATCAGAACATCATACAGCAATTGAGAGAGTTATTTCATATATATTTTCAATGAAGTATTATGCTCTTGAATTCTGTGCTGAGAGAAAGTTGGATATTCAGAGTGATAATAATGACATCATAAACACTTATTTAATAATCATCAGTGACTCTTCTTTTGCAGATGATTTGAGCTCAAGACACTTCTTTCAGAGTTTTATATTTAAGCTCTTTGAAGACTTAATTAATTGAAAATTCTTCAGACAAAAGATCATTACAATGTCTTCAATGAAAGCTGAGCTTTTAGCACTATTCTATACAGTAAAAGAGACCATGTGGTGGAAACACTTATTTAAGAATATTATGTTGAAATTAGAAAGAGATTTTAATATTTTATGTGATAATTTGTAAATGATATGATTACTAATTTTAGTAGCTTCACAACTAATTATCAAGCTTCATCACATTAATATTCATCATCACTGATTACAGCAAGCAGTTACTAATAAAAAATTGAATATTAGCTGAATTAAAAGCAATAATATGTCTGCAGATAACTTAACAAAGATCTTATCTAGACAGAAATTTAAAAAATTCATTAAGTAATTGAGACTCATAAATATTGATTATTTAATAGAGAGAGATTCACTGTCTATGCTACTGTCAAAGCTATAAAGACATGTTGAGCAGAAGTCAGATGACTTATTAGATAATCAGATCTTTAAAGAAGAAATCAGAGAATTATAGATTCATCATCTTCTCTTCTTAATTACAGTATCAATTTCAGTATCTTTGTCTATCAGACTGGCAAAGATTTGCTAGAGGTTTTTCATATGTTTTTCCCATAGTCTTGATTATAGCATGTTCATCTATAAGTATCCATGTCTCATTTGTTAGGAGCAAGACCAGACACAATATTATAGATGCTCAGTCACATGATCATCACGTGCTCCTGTGTCGTCCGATAGTCTGCAATCTTGGGGTCACAGTTTTTAGCATCTTCCGGCACCTGCAGTATTTTTAGGCATAGGCGCCTACAGACTTTCGAATCTCAAACAACAATACTTGGACAGATCGTTGTATATGTTCAATCAACCATCCATCGTTCAACTGGCCTGCCTTGCTACTCTGTTACTTTATGCCCTCAGCGTTTTTGACCCTTGCGAAATTCGCGCTTCTGCCAACCCAGTCGCTGCAAACAGATCACTCTGTACTCCGTAATACTCCCACAATGACACTTACCCACCCGCATCGATACCCACCATTCAATGTATACCATTCGCCATCGTGATACTGCACTATCGGAGTCTTGACTAAAACAACTGCTTTCCGTTTTAAGCTAATGAAAATGAAGACAAAAAAACTCTTTCTATTGATGCGGTCTGTATCGGAGCACTGCCCAACAGGATACGCTTAATTTTGCTATCTAGGTGATATTTGATACGAAGGAACAAAAACAAAATTCTTCTCACATTCGAAATCATGCCGATTCCTCATGGGGACCTGAATATGAGGTACTGAAAGAGATGGAGACGAAATTGAAAGAAATTGACAAATATATGCCTTATTACATTTCAATAAGGCGCCCTCCTGCCTGCGTACTTGACTTCTCCGTGGATTCAAATTTTAAATACCCTTCATGTTTGACTTTTCCTGAATTTGGTAGTAGATGAAGCTTGCCTTTATATTTTACTTTTTTTTATCTCCCTCTTAAAGTGCCAGACACCCGCATCACTCCGCTAACAAAACTACCATATACTAGAAAATGGAGAGGAAATTTTCAAAATCCCTAATTCCCGCGCAGGATCAAAGGATGCTACATTCAAGCTTTCCCAGCGATTGAGGCTGCTTGAACTGGGTCTTGGTCTAGAGCCACCTGAGCTTCCAGAGAAATCTCGATACTTGAATGGTTTCGAGATTGTTGTAGCTTAAAAAACCTTACGTTAAAAGTCACACAGGGGTACGGAGTAGAATGTTGATGAATTCTTTACTAGCCTTTTTTCACTGCAAGGCTGCGCTATTTATAGCCTTGTTAAATAGTGGTTATCCACTGTATTTTGATACATAATTGCCACTCCAGGAGAGATACCTTCCATGCACTGAACATGCATATATACTGCTCCATATTCGCTATTCCAATATTTCAGTTTGAAACTCCGTTAAATGCAAGGAAAACTTGAATCAAAACGCTGATACCCAAACGCCAAAGGAGGCATCGATATACGAGTAGTATGTGCTGTGCAAAAAAAGAAAAGACAAACGAAGAAAAGACACAAAAAAAAACTCTCATATCGATCCCGGATAATATTCACCAAATGTCTGTCAAGCGAGCGTGGTACCTTAGCAGTTAGGTACCTTATCTGAATTTTCCTGGTTAGTCGTGTTTAGATAATACTGATAGCAGCGGAACGTACGGGATTGGTTCCCATATTTTAGCGTCTTCATTGAATTTGTGGCTATACGAGCGTTAGTTACTGAAGCGAGGTTGTCGTTTGTCATCCCGCTTACCCATTAAACACGGTCTGAGTGAGGCAGGCCACACCATATTCTTCTTCAAGGAGATTCGTATAGGCGTATGGGATCTTCACCGGTATTTCTTCGAAAAAGCTATCACGCAAAGGAAATATGTCTTGCTCCTGATATTTTGTCAATATTTGCTTATTCGCAATGGTGTTGTTGGAAGGAGAGTGCAAACCATACATTGTATCTGTGATTATCCTTGCACATAAGGGCACCAGAGGCGCCTCTCTTTCGATAATCATAATCCTTCCGGACACTAGTGATGTCGATGAACAGGCCAGAAGATGTATCAATCCATCTCGCATCAATCACGTTCAATATGTCATCTGGGGTCCGATTGATATAATTAGGGTTGATTTCAAGAAGAAATGTGCGACCGGAGCTCGTTCCAGGGACATTGAAATGATGCTCAGTCATATTATAGTATTTGGCAAGAAAATGCATCGTTGTTTCTGAGACTTGGACGTCAATATCGGTGTCCCACGGCATGATCTATATAAAGTTCGGTTATTAGCCATCGAACGGTGCATAACATAGGGGAGCATCCACCCACTTTTTGATTCCACCACCAGCCCAGCAGAGTTCCATGCATAATCCAGGTTTCGGCACCGATATCAGCCATTGTGGAGAGGTATGATTTAACCATTGTCGTGAGATGAGGAATTCGCTGTGAATCGTGGATAGGATGAGAAGCAAACCTATTACAGCAGTTAGCAATTGCTTTTCAAAAATAGGGTATACGTTCGATGTACCGGCCGTCATAATGATAGTGGAATCTGCAAGTAGTTTGAAGAGTTAGTCATGTTGATTTCTTGAGAGCTCACAGCTTAAGGCGAATAACGTACATTGATTCATCTATCGGAAATGTTAGTTACATAATAGGGGAGCATGGTAGTCAAACAATATCAATAGTCGGACAACATCACTTACGGAAGTACTTGTCAGCTGGATCGCCCATTTTGCCACTGTAGTCGGTGTTCATTGATGTTCGGACACTCATGAAATCGGCATCGCAAGATGCTAGTTGGGCTATGAGAAGCCATGATAGAAACAGAAGGGCAGTTATCATATTAAAGATCGAGCAACTCGCATAAACAACGCTCAGCCCGACGGTATTCTCGAAGACGGCATGCTACCCAGTACAGCCTGCAGTTAGGGAAGCTAATAATAGAATGTCTGTAAAAAAAAGAGGGCATATAAAAGTAGTGGTGCTATGTACTCCGGCGTTATATATACTCCGTAGGAACCGAGGGGAAGGAAATGGAGCGCCAGTCAAGCCATTAAAAGGGGAGAAAAAAGAAAGCAGGAATTTGACATCCATCCAGGGGCAAGTTATATAACTCACCCCGAGAATTCAAGGCAAGCAGTATTTATGATTGCGCCGAAGGGGCCAGCGGCTATCTGAGTCCCCGGCGGTTTCGATTCGCGCGCGCTGATTTGCTGGAAGCCCTAGAAGACTGCATGCCGGCAGCCAATCGCGACTCCCAAGAAAGAACACTAGTCCGGAAAAGGCATGGGGTAGCCTTGGGGGCGTCCCAATCCGGATCCGCGGCGCGTGCGATGTGGCTGAGTTGGGTGGCCGGTGCGTCACTGTGGCGGGCCGGGACTCCGGAGCCACGTATGGCCGGCTCGCGTGTTTTTAGGCTCAGTCGTGGCCCCGCAACGGCGAGGCTCCGCATCGGCATCCCGTCGCCAAGCCCCTGCCCGTCTTGTACATCTGGAGTCTGTTTGTCTGTCTGTCTGCACTCTATACTCCGTATGTAGGTAGGTTCCCGTGGCTGGGGGCTAACCGCCCTTCTGCCCGTTTGTGCGGCTGGGTAGTTGTGCGCGAGATCTCTCGAGATAGTCCGTGAGGCTGTTAGTTCGGAGGAACAGGCCGCGTAAAACCCCAGATGAAGGATTGCGAGAACGCCAGTCTGACGGCTAGTACGGAGAGAGGCGCCGACACTCTTGGTTGCTGGTTGCTGCCGAAGAGCATGTTGATCAGCAGCGGGCATTAGAAATCTGATCTCCGCCAAGAAATTCTAAATGACCTCACCAACATGTGGCCGACCTGCTGTTGCGCTGCATATCCAACAAACACCAGCAAGCTTCTGCAACCGTCGCGCCTTTGGATGCTGCAATGATTCACTAGTGTGCTCTAGCTGGCGCTGCGAAAGCCGCTCGTTCTTCCTCCAATTACAAATTATCCTCCTGTGCCCGGCGCATTTGTCAGCCTTGAAGCAGGGACCGCAACCTCGCAACATGGAGTCGTCCATCGCCTACGGCTTCTCCCACCCAGAAGCCGTCTCCGGACTGCATCGCGCGCCAATGTACACGTCACCAAACCATCTAGACTCCGACCCTTCTTCCTCTGCTCACAACGAGACGCCTAAAAACTCTTCCCCGCCTGGAGTGGCGAGCACCACAACCACCAACACCACCGCCACCACCACCTCCTCCTCATCCGACCCCCGAGTAAATGTGCGCAGCTGCGTGACCTGTCGTCGACGCAAAATACGCTGTAATAAAATCCACCCATGTTCCCATTGTGTCAAAGCAAAAGTCGACTGTGTGTTTCCGGGAGCTGGCCGGGCGCCTAGAAAATCCAAAAAGGCCACTGAGACTGAGCTACTAGCGCGTCTTAAAACCTTGGAGGCTATCGTCAGGAGCCTCTCCACCTCGGCACCGAGCGAAGATCTCTTGGCTGGCAAGATTAACGATGTGAGCAACGAAACAAAAGTTGGCGAACCGGACGTCAGTATCTTTGCCGAGCAGCCCCCAAAAACCGGGGAGGTGGATGCTGTGGGAGAGGAGATGGGCAGGCTTGTAGTTGGCGATGGGAAAAGCAGATACGTCAGCCATCGGTTCTGGACACAATTTGGAGATGAGGTAGGGACTCCACACGGCTGCCAACCGTTTTCCCCACAAAACTGTGCTCTAACAAAAGGTAGATTGGGGAGCTAAAGGATATGATCGATTGCCCAACATCAGACGAAGATGAGTATCCGTCCCCCGGTAATTCTGGACCTGGCCAGCAATCGTGGGACAGCAACGATGGCTTTTTATTTGGGTATTGGTCGATAGCCCACAGCTTGCGGGAATTTCACCTTCCGCCAGAAAAAGTCGGCATAATATGGGAAACATACGTTGAAAATGTTGCTCCAGTTGTGCCTATATTCCATCGACCCACATTAAAAAAAATGCTATGGGATGCCGCTGCAGATCTTGATTCTGTTAGCAAAAGCACTGAGGCATTGCTCTTTACGATTTACTACACCACCATCACAAGCATGACGACAGAGCAATGCTTATCACAATTGGGCCAGGATCGCGATACCGCTTTAAGACGCTATCGATTTGCTGTTGAGCAAGCCCTTGCGAGGGCGAACTTGCTAAATACTCATAGTATTGTTCTACTGCAGAGCCTCGTTCTCTTTTTAATCTGTGTTCGGCAAGATAGCGATTCTCGCTATGTCTTGTCGATGGCAGCCCTTGCCATTCAGATAGGTCGAGGAATTGGCTTACATCGTGATGGAGCTGCGTTTGGCCTGACACCTTTTGAGACAGATATGCGCCGTCGGCTCTGGTTACAGCTCTGTTTGATTGACTTTTGCTCCGCGGAGGATCATGGATGCGATCCTATGATTTACGAGGCTTCCTACGACACTCTTCCTCCACTAAATATTAACGATGAAGATATTTCACCGGATTCAAAGGAATATCCGCCGGAGAGAGTCGGGTGTACAGACGTGACATTTATTTTGTTTCGATGCGACATAGTCAAGCTCTCGAGAAGGCTCACCCATGTACCTCCAAGCAGCTTGAGCAAGGAGTTCAAATCGTACACCCAAGCTGAGCGGGAGGAGTTGGTCCGAGAGCTTGGCAGGCACCTCGAACGAAAATACGTGCAATACTGCGACATGAGCATCCCAATCCAGTGGGTCTGCGGAACAATGTCGCGGCTAGTTGTGGCCAAACTGGTGCTCATGGTCCACCACCCGATGACCCAGGAGAGAACAGTGGAATTAGCACCTGGAGAGGCGGCGCAAAATTGTCTTTTTTGCTCGTCTATTGAAATTATTGAATTTGCGCTTCTCCTGGAAACGAATGACAATACGTCAAAATGGAGATGGTTTTTCCGCACGCATATGCAATGGCACGCCCTTGCATATGTTTTATCCAACCTATGCGTGCGAGCAGGACCCTGTCCGGTTGTGGATCGAGCCTGGAGAGCCGTCAATGCTGCATACAAAGCATGGGAAATCAAGGGCCAGCAGAAGAAAGGTATGCTGTGGCCTGGCATTCGGAAACTAATGGCTCGAGCGCTACAGGCTCGTGAGGCGCGGCTAGAACAACTCTCTAGGCGGCTGGAGGAGAAACCCGCCTTCACTGGCGATGTGCCCCCACACTGTGACATGTTTGCCAACCCAACACCTCTAGATACATTCTCAACGCAGCCTCCGGTTCCGCAGGCCCTTGCTATTCCCAACGGTATACCTATGGAGCCTGTGGTCAATGCGAGCTTCACCCCCAACACGGAGAATTATAGCTCTGACTCGATCGACGTGCCCATGCTATCCGGGTCGTTCTTCCCTCAGGAGAATCTGTATAATGGCGATATGGTGAATCTTAGCCAAGTCATGATCTCTCCTCCGCCATCCTGGGATGAATGGAATCAAGTGGTGCGTGATTTCCAGCACGATATTAGAAATGACGATCTGTCAACGGCAAATGTTTGGTTTTGAGTAGAATTATCATTGTCAATGCTTCTATTAGTCTTTCCTTTTTGTATTTGTGTTTTAATAACTATCAAGAAAATTGTGTCGCGATATCTTCTAAATTCAAAATTCGAAGCTGTGTATTTGGTCTTTTTTTTTTTTTGTTTTTTTGATATTGAATGGAGTTGGCGCATGGGATGGGTTCTTTTACACACCCAAAAAACCTTGTCTTTTGGCGGGGGAATTCATTGGTGGAACTGCCTTTTCCCCACTCATACCGCTCCCAAGGCCAATCAAACTCAGCTATAAGCTTTCTCTCCCCTATCTCGAATACCCATAGGCAAGCTGAAACGAACAATAGCATGCCTCTCAATTCTTTTCCTACTCAGATGATGCTTGAAACTTGGTATGTATTCCCACGTTGGCTCCTTGTGGCTAGGGATCAAGAATGTATGCGTGTATATGTACATACTCTAGATGTGGTGGAAATGCTGATAAAATTTAACGTAGGTGTCTTTCAAATACTTCTATACTCCCTCCATTCCTAACTAACAGTCGAGATTTCTAAAAAGCTGACACGTATAACCCTCTCCATTAATGGCACACATATCGAAATAGATATCAACGAAATTCCATTGCAACCGGCTACATGCATACAAAGACCATGGCCAATGTCTAATTGTAAACAAAAGCTGCAATATAGTCAAATTCCCCAAACAACTTATATAGATCGCTAATCTTTGTCCAAATTGCAGACTGTCTCCAGTAATTTGCCTTTATAACTTCAAAATCTTCGTAGCATCATCAATCTTAGCCTTGATAATGTCCCTCCATTTCTGAGTAAAGTCCAGGTTAGTAAAAGGAATGCCAATTAAGTAAAGCGGATAACTAAAAAGAGAACGAACCTTAGCATTGGCCATATCCCCATCTTCAATACTCTCAACAAGACCTGGGTAGGTCGCTCCAGAGTATCCTGTCCACCTCCCTGGTGCGAAAACAACATGCTTATACCAATTACGACCATCTAAGCCTTCTTTGTACAAGAAACTTCTCTCTAGTAGCTTATATTTGTCATTTGCGGCACGAATCTTGAAGTAGAGAACAATCTTTTTCCAGTATTGCCACCATGGAATGTCCTTTTTCAAGTTGGCAGAGAGAGACGCCGCGTATTCGTCAAACTTGGCGGCAGCATGCCGCAGCTTGGAAATAGAATTCTCAAGTGGATGGAAATTTAAAGATGGCGTTTTATTGATTTTCACTGTGTGCTTCACAGAGTCCAAATATTCATGTAGCGAAGTAGCATAGTCAGCGGCGCTCATGGCAAGAACGGGCGTTTCGGAGAGGTAGGCGGCCATTAAGGACCAGATCTTGGCAATTGCAATATGATAATGCCATCCTGGATCACCGAAGTGCTCCATCCAATAGAAACTGTCGTAATTAGAGTGATAGTGGTAAACTGGATTGTTAGGTCCTCTAACAAACCCGATATCAATACTTGAAACACCAGCAAAATCTTGGAAGGCCGTAAAGTCACTACCACTGCCCATGGGGCTAATGTTTTTGTTCCAGGTATCCCACACCGTCTGCCCCTTTACTGTTTGATTTGGGGATAGAACGAGGCGGGTAGCTTCGTAGATTGCTTTATGTAGGAGAGGGCTAGCACTGGATTGAAAATTCGGCCCAGTAGCAGCAACATCAAGATTCAGGTAAGCTATGTTTGCTTTTGAGAGCCAGGGTAGGTTCTCTTCTACCCATTCTGTAGACCCAATAAGGCCATATTCTTCGCCATCCCAGCTGGCAAACACGATGGTCCGCAAGGGCTTCCAGCCGGCTTTGAGGGCTTCTCCAAAACTGCGAATGACTTCGTTAAGCGCAGCTGACCCGCCGTTCGGATCGCCCGCACCACCAGCAATCCACGCGTCACGATGATTCCCCATGATAATTACCTCATCAGACAGAGAGCCCCGGATGACGCCAATAACATTCCACAAAGGCGTTATCACGTAATCTTGGTCGTTGTACAAATTGAGAACTGTGTTTTCCGGGGAAGGCCCTATATTGTATTTCACGCCTTTGTGTGAAAGCGCACCACCCTCCCAATTTTTGTTCATGTCGGTAGCCTTCGGACCATGGCCATTCAAGGCTTTCAGAAGAGGGATTGCTTCGGCATATGAAATTGGTAAGGACGGGATTGAAGGAGTTTGTTCATGCGGATCCCCTCGAACACAGCCCGGTTTAGAAGGGTAACCAGGGGTGGTCGGATCACCAGGAGCTTGGCCTAAAAAATTATTAGATCTAAACCTCTCGAGACATCTGTGGGTCACGTCACTTACTTATAAACTGGACACTACCTCTCTGCACTGAACTTGGATGGCGAGCAGGGCCTTCGGGGTATGGTTTGTAGCCATTCAGTTCTGTAATATCACCGTCTTCCTGGGGATCGGTATAGATAACTACACCAACCATACCCAGCTCCTGTGCACGCTTCACTTTAAGCCCCCGGAAACCACGGCCGTACTTGGCTAATGCAATTTTCCCTTCTAAATTGATATTTGCTCTAACGAGATCTTCGAAATCTTCAAATGTTCCAAAATTAACGTATAAATACTGAGCCGTGACGTTTCCGCTAGCGGAATAACCATGGAAGGTAGGGATGCGGCTGGCTAAGCCGCTGGTAGGGTCCTCGTTTAGGACTTTCTCTTCCAAGGTCGCCTCAAATGTAACCTTTGAATTCTTTCCATCTCTTTCAATCAAGGCCAGTCTATGATCGATAGGATAATTGATATACACTTCGTACGAAACCAGGCTTGTCTCGGGCACACCGAAGCTGTCCCACTTCTCTTTGGTCCATATAGCCTGGCTGACATTTCTCCCAGCCAGATGAGGCCCAGAAGTATAGTAGTGACTCCATTCTCTTGCCTTGTCCTCGCTGGGGACAGTCTGTAATACTTCTTGGAGAGCCTTGTAAGATATGCCCTGGCTGTCCGGCCAGTTGTAGGGTAGCGGATGGGCACCGGGGAGATAATCCCACAGAGAGCCGTGCTCACGAGGGAGGAGGCCAAAGGGCAGAAGAAAGAGGATCACGCTGACGATGAGGATGCACCCGAGGCAAAAGGTACAAGTTTGACGCAGCCGTGAATGCCGATACCGCGGGCGTGGGCGCGAGACCTGCACGACCAGCAGCGGTGTTCGCTCGGAGATGGGCATGATGCCGTCCTTCGCAGTCCTTTTAGGGAGCAGAAAGTGAAGCCATGGAGCTTACGCTCTCAGAGACCGGCCAGCGTAAGTATCCTGATCCCGCCCGGCTCACGAAGCTGAAGCCTGATTAGTCATTTTCTGCCGAAAGAGCTTCGTCGATCCACACGGGAGCGTTCCCGATCACCAACTCCGACCAACGGCTGTTCTGCCGCTGCGAACAACGAACGGGCGACGCGGCATTCAAGCAGTTATGAGCTGGACAAAGAATGCTGAGCGATAATCACCGCCAGGAGCTTCGACTTCGGGTTGGCAATTTCCTTCTCTCCGATACCTCCCCCCAACCACCTGAGGCTTCCCCGGTGGTTCTACGCCCAGATTCACGAGACCCGTGCGATGAAATCCAAATGTCAGCCGACGCGCAGCTACAGGAAGAAGTGGGCGAGGCCCGATCATCGGGGCGGTCGGCCAGGGGCCGTGTCAAAAATGCGCGCACGCTGTGGACACATGTGATGGAGAGAGCGCTGTTGAACGGCCTTGTCGAAGCTCGAAAACAGTCTCTCGATACTTTAAATTGGAATTTCAGAGCTGCAGGGTGGAGTATTGCTGTATCTTTGGTCCAGCAGAGCACTGATCAACCCATGACGAGGGAAATATGTGACAATCGCTGGCGCAAAATAAGAACCATTTGGAGGCTTTGGGAGAGACACAAGAAACAAGTTGCTGACTGGACATGGAACTCACATATTGAAACTTATGTTAATAACGTTGAGGTGACCAGAGACTACTTTGACCGTCACCCCGACCTACAAATATTTCGCGCGCATGGCCCTGCTCATATGGACTTACTTGAGAAGCTCATGTACGGCAATCCCACAAGTGAGGACCATGATGAGAGCAGGGTAGAGATATCAAATGGAGACAAGGAGAGGCTGGAGCCCGTTGAACCCGAAAACTCAACGCCATCGCCTGCTTTACCTGCCATAACAAAGCCATTATACCAACCCGACCCCATAGCACCTACTGGAATACCCGCACCTCCGATGGTCATCAGCCAGGTGGCAAATCAAATACCACCTCCCATACCTACGCCTACTGATGATAGATTCCAAGCGGAGTCACGATTAGTCAATGCTCTCATAACATACGGGAATATCCTTGTTGAGACATCAAGGGGGATAAGTACTTCAATGGTGTCACCCTTTCAGACCGCATGCACCGAGTTTGTAAAGGAAGCAGATCAGCTGCTTCCCCTCTCTTGGAGGAACGAAACAGGTCGGGTCCCATACTCTCGTTATAGTGTTATTTTGAAAGCCTTGCGGGATCCGCTGGTGAGCCAGACATATATTTCATTACGACATTGCCCTATAGAGGATCGGCGCGAATGGATTATGGATGTGTTAAGAGATCGAGATGCAAACTGAATTTAAATGGGCTATGTACAGATAATATGACGTGTAAAATCACTGGCTATGATGGTGTGTTATGTACTTCGTACACACCGCCATTCTTTTGGGCATATTTCACAAGTGAATCAAAGATTCATTCTAATATTTCCAAATTATGAGGAGCAAGGCGTTGAAATAAACAGCCACTCCCTGAGAAGATCATGCCAGTAGAGAACCATAATGATCTTATTCATCAAGCTCATGTCATAAAATGCACAGAATGTAGTTAAAAACATAGAAGGCGAAGAGAGTCGAAAAGGGAGACCAAACCATTTCACGCTACAACCTGGTATCCCTTCTTACGCCCAAGATCTCAGGGAACTTACATGAGGAGAAGAAGGCCTTGTCATGTTTCTCATTCTTTGCAAACGCCTTATTTGCTTTTCTAGTCAATTCGCCCATCGTCAGCGAGGTAATTGAATCTAACTCACTACAGAACGTAGCTTATGGCGAACAGAATAATGCAGAATCGGACGGCGTGTACCCACAAAAATGAAAGCACGGTTCGATTTCGACTCGTTCTTCACACAAAAACTATCGAAGAGACGTTATGGGACCTAGCATGCCATTAAACACATCGCAAGGGCTGCTTCGGTGGTTTAGTGGGTAACAGGGAATAATAGCCTTCCGAGATAAATTTTGAGGATCGAAAAGAGACACCTGCGCACCACGTAATTTGCTGATGATCAATGCTGGTTCTAGGAAGAGAGAGAAAGAGAGAGACAGTGTAGAACTTATAGTCGATGGACTTAGCTGGAACGTCGCGATTTAATCTTTCCTCAAACCGTTCACCGGCGTAAAACATTATCGACTGAAATATAATCTGGAAAAAATAAATCCAAGGTATAAGAGGAGCAGGCAAACGGTTGTCTATTTCCCTACTCTGGTGGGTTTGTAATTTCATCCGAAGCATCAACAGTCCTTGCAGCAGCAGCAGCAGTAGTTGCATCACGAAGTACTGTCTCTTCTTTGCGTTCAGGAACGAATGCATACCTAGGCAATTTCGCCATCTTTTCTTCAGGACTAACTTCACTATCAGAATAGACAAGTCTGGACGCTTTCGCTTTTTCCTTCTTAGATAGTTTCCCTTCCGTCGTTTCTTCGGGCGCTGCAGCCTGTGCGGATTTCTGTGGCTCGTCGTTCCGCCTAGCTTCGTCCAATATTGCTCGGCCTGCTGCTGGCACCACCGCAGGTTGCGCTCCAAGTTCCGTGTTTGCTAAGAGCGTGCTAGCGGGTGGTTGTACAGGTATTGATGCATGGTGCATTTGCTGCATCTGCCACGAGTTGACTTGTGGCGCAGAAAAGCTGGGTCTCTGAGGCAGACCTGGGGCAGCAGGCAGACTTGAAGGTCTCGAAGGAACTGGAGGTACTGACTGGGGAGGTGTATGAGTTCGCATCTGCGGCGGTTGCTGCTGCTGGAATGGCAAAGGGGGCGTGGCGGAAACGACAGGGCTTTGTCCAGGTAATGGAGGTTGGAAATGGGACGGCGACATGGCTGGCGACGAATACTGAGCTGGAAACTGTTGTCCAGGAAGTGACTGAAATCCAGGAGTGGGATACTCGGGTTGTTTTTGGAATGTTTGTGCTGGTTGCTGATACTGTTGGGGATAGCTGTAGGGTGGTGCTGAACCATTAGACGGATTGGCTGGATATTGCGGAGTACCCTATATAAATAAGATCAGCAAACTAGCAAAAGAAATCGCAGTTCATAAAACTTACGTATGAATTTCCAGCCTGCAATCCTTGGTCGGTACTAACGGGAGTATTACCGCCACTGCTTGTTCCCGCCGTCTTCTCTGCTAGCTTCGCCTTGTGTTCCGCTAGCCGCTTTTTCAAGTCTGATGCAGCTTCAAGTTTTGGTTTTTTCGGCTGGTTGCCGCCCGACACCCCGGGCGCTGGGTTTCCAGTCGCAGCGCGTCGCTCAGCCTCAGCTTGATGGTACTGAGTGATAACACGCTGGTTATGGGCCTGCAAAATATCCTCCGGGACGCCCTCCATGCCAAAAATCTCAATGTCCAAGCTCGATCGGTTCGGGAGCGCATTGTCAACTGCAGACAGCTGCTCCTTGTGTACTTGACTCATATGCACCGATAAACCTGTAATGATTTGAAAATCCACGTTAGCAAGGCTGCATAGTTTTTGCGCATCAAGCCTTTCTTGCAATCCGACTGCTTACCTCCAGCAGTGTTTAGCCGTCTTCCACAACGATCGCACTTAAAATGTTTTGCTTTCTGATGAGATATAAGAATCTTCAAATCGTCAAAGTCGCGCTCGCAATAGTAGCACCACGGGCGACCGAGGAGTTCCTCAAGGTCTGGATGGCCGCGCTTTTTCTTTCCCATGGTGAAGATGTTTTAATTCAAAGAGTAAATAAAAGGGATAGTATTTCAATCCAAATCAGCGCAGCGTTTAGCAGTCTATCGGCCGGGTCGTCTGCAGAACAATATGGCGTTTGGCGGGATGAAGTCGAGCGCCCTTGAACAGTCAGAAGATTTGATAGGAAAGTTGGGTCCGCGCACGTGACTCTCCGCTTTCGAAAACCTTAAAGATGCTTTCGCCTGAGATTACCGACTGCTGAGGATGATTACAGCGTTTCTTAATGAAAGTTGGCCATTATCCTGATTAAATAAAGCTGCCGCCCAATGTATTGGTACAAGTTTAATGCTATAACCTGGTATAGTGAGGCCTGGCTCTTTTCAAAAATCCGCAAACAAACGAGGAACATGCATACCGAAGCAACAAATCGTCAATGCACCCGCTAAAACATAATACATAGTATTGCTAAATAGATAAAAATAGAAGATCAAAAGATTAGAATACCTAGCCCTACCGGGTCCAGCTCTGTAACAATCAAAGTTCATATGTCGTAGTAAGGTATCAAAAAAATATGTATGAAGAACGAAATATGTAAGTTGTAAATCGTAAATCAGAGCCCATTTTCTGCGAGTTGTGGTGCAGGCGATTTTGCAACGCGAGCAGCCGGTCGGATTCTCTGAAAGTGGGGAACTATGTCTCCTACCTGCATAGAAGGTTCAGACGTTGGTGAGCCCATTTCAGAAAAAGTTCCGAGCTTCGTCGCTGGCCGTCTTTGTCGTTTAGGCATTGGGGAGGATGCCGCAGTACTGGCTTGTCCATTGTCAGCTTCAAGCTTCCGTTTTTTTACTGGAGCGGTTGCAGCCTGAGCGGCCCTGTCTGCTTCGATCTGAGCCTTTGTTCTTTTCGGGTTCCGCGTTCGGCCTTCCGAGTTGAATTTTGCCCAGTGGCGAATCATAGCTTCCGTCCTCTTCGGATGTTTAGACTGCCTGATTTTCTCCTGATTTTTTGGATCCTGGCAAGGATCATCATATACCGGAGTATTTGAGCCTGGTGTTGGTGTAGAAGCAGGGGTTGTTGCCGTTGTGGTAAGGCCAGTCGGAGGAGCACTTGTAGGAGCGGTACGGGTACGATTTGGCCCAAGTGCAGATGGCTTTGTCGCGCGAGAACGTGTAGATTTTGTAGCTAGATCCGCTGGTCTCTGATATGCGCCGGAACGAGTTTTCCTTCTTGATCGGTCATTGTATGAAGATCTGGGGGAATCAGGTGCCTCAGGAGATTGGGTGCGAGTTCGAATGGACGGAGTTGGACTGGAGCGCTCTGTTAAGGCTCGAGATCCTTCTCGAGTAGTTGGATTTCTGGAACCCCCGTAGCGTGTGATTCTCTTGCCATGTCGTCTCTGTTCAACCTCTCCTGTAGCTACAGTACCTGCCTTGCGTTTGGGCTCTGGAGGAGGTGGTGGTCGTATTCTCGGCACGTAGGCCACTCCATCCTTCATAACTGGAGTCCAGCCGTCAACGTTATATGGATCAGCAGCAGCCGCTTTCATTTTCTTCATTTGTTCTGCTGTTGGCTTGAATCCTCCCTGGAGGAACGGGTTTTGACAACCAACTTTGCTCGGGCGAGCATCATATTTGTACCCGTACAGCCTGGCTTCTTTCTTATCTTCAAAAACATCCGGATCTTCGGGTTTTCGTGGATCAACTGCCTTCTTCATCGCCCGCCGAGTGGCCAACCTGGTCAATTCGTTAATGGCAATGTATTCATCTTGCCAAACTTCCAGGGCCTTGGCCGCATTTGCTGTGATCGTGTAAAGCTCGTCTGTGGAATGGGATTCAGGGGCTTTAAGCAAGTCAATGTAAATCTCAGGATCGGTAATCGGTAGAAAGTCGCCAGAGTCGGTATGCTCAAATTCATAGGGTTTAGGTCGTTCAAAGCCATCAAACAGTCTTCTCCATACAGTGTCAAGATCGTCCTTTTCTCCAAGGTAGTCATTGGTAAAACTCTTCACATCATTGATTTTCCATCCTAATTGAATACGCTGTTCAACGCCCAAGTCCCTTTGCCCGCGTTTCGGCGGGCTGCTTTCTGCAGGGGCAGACCGGACACCGTCCGTGACGGAAGTTTTGTGAATGACATTATTTTTAGCATGGCTAGAGACATCTGGATGTGCACTATTAATGTGCTCCTCAAGAGCTTCTTTGGGTAATATTTGATCTGAGGTAGTAAATAGAAACTCCTCTTGGCACCATTGACATTTTACTGGAGGATGGGTCTCAATGGGACTAAGTTGTGTAGACGATGATGAAGGTCGAGAGATCTCATCATCGTCAGGTGGCTGGTAATTCGATGAAGGTGTTGCTGGCAGATCAATGCTGCTAGCACCAGCCTCCCCATCCTCTTGCCCCCGCTGTGACATGACAGTGGTTTATATCATACGCATTCCTAAGCACAGATCAGCAATAGTCTTCTCAAAACTTCTATCTAGAACCCAAGATCTGTACACAAATCGCTCACTGGCCATTTATTCAAAACGACAACAAAGCGCATTGATAATAAAACAGCAAAACATAATGCTAGACTAAGTAGTTAACTGTTTCAAAGGAAAGAAAAATAAAAATAAAATAATAAATAAAAAAAAAAAAAAAGGTAAGGAATATGAAATATGGAATCAAAATAAGACATAAGAAAAGCAAATAAGTTTTTAACTGAGCAAATGCCAATCGCCAAAGTCTAACATGTTGGACATGTAGGATCAAGCCACAAGGGCCACGCATGAACGCGCAGCGGCCAGCAGCAACTGATTTGAAGTAGAGGAACTAAAGGACGGTCTAGAGGCGGGATCTTACAGTAAATGAACTCATGAAAGTCCTGAGTGCCACTGTTTTTTCAGGGATTCTGTACAGTCACGGAACAAAAAAACCGGGATCCTTAGTAAGGCGTCTGTGGGTGGACTGAGCGGAGAGCGATGTCTAGATGGCCCCGGCGCAGCAGACAAAAAGAAATCTCAGAAGAATTCGGGAAAATAGAATCTATGGCGTTGGTGATTGAATAGGACGGCAAAAAAAAATGAGGGGGGATAGTGGGAAGTATGAAAAATTGGGCATGTATGAGGTTATAGTAATTAGTTCAATCTTCAGAGTTTTGGAGGCTCGCAGCACCAGTGGCAAGAAGATTGCGGGAGGGAAAGCAGAGCCAGCCAGAAACGAAAGGGCAAGGAGATCAATAGGGGCGGCGGCGGCGTGAGCAGCTCGACAATGGGCTCTGAGCAGCATTCAGGACGGGGTTGTGTTGTGAACAGGCTGGTTGCTGGCGGGAAAGTCTCTTTTGCGATCTATATTAATTCCCTTCCTTAGTTATTTGCTGGAGCTTCACGAGCGCCGGCAAGGCGGCTGTCTGGAGCAAATCCTGGCCCGCTGATTGGCTGCCGGGCGAAATTGGCGGGTTTGCGCGCCGCTGATTGGCTGGGTGGTGCGAAACCCACAAATCCGCTGCTGTTTGATCGCTTTTCGCCCGCCAGAGCTGAACAGAGATTTTACGCTCGACACAGCGATGCCAGCGCCAGTCGCGGCCGGCAGAGACCGGAGAGTCGTGCTCGTCGAGCCAGCCTACGCGGAGAACGGGCGCCGTTCAGCTCTAACTACGCCGTCAGGACTCACCGTATAGAGCAAGTACTGCGATGCACAGGACGTTCTGCAGCAAATTTGCTAGTTAAACGTTGATTCCATGCATTACGAGCCAAGGCTTGGGGCCAGCGGGAACTTGGAAGACGGAGAGACATGACAGGGGACTGTCGTGTTTTGCATCATCATCATCATAACAACAACCAAGCAAGCTGGCTCAAGAACGAAACGTTTGGCATGCAACAATCCCTCAGTACTCCGTACACCCTTCATCCTCTGAACTATACTCCGTACCTCCAGGAGGCTTGGACCGCTATGGGGAGATTATGATCCTTGGTTATAAAAATAGGATGATGTTTCACAAGCACTCAGGGAACTAGTTACCTTTAGCTGCTGATAATACGAAAAACTAACTACCTCACTAACTAGCCACATAACCAATGCCTACAACCCCATGAAGGTATAGATACGACTGTAAATACTTCTTGACAGATTCAAAGCTTGAATAAAGCATGCCATACAGAGCAGTTACATAATTCAAAATGGAAAGTGTGTGATTATGACGAACGCCAGCCGATCAACCCTGGTTTTGTATCGTCATCACTAACCTTATGTCTTTTAATCGCAGCAACCGCCACGGTAGGCTTCCCCTCCGGCCCCCAAGACCAGTCGTAGCTCATCGCATAGGCAAAATACATGCCGTCGGGACTAAAAGAAGCAGATACAATGCTATACCCAACACTGGGGAATTCCCGGGGCTGGTGGCCGGTGTCTTTGTTCCAAAAAATAAATCTCCCGTCCGATGCGGCCGTCGCCAGCGTGTGTCGATCGGGGTGAATGGCGATCGCACGTACTGGAAACGCCAGCGCTGGACCATCCATCGTTTTGGGGTAGACTCGATGGCATTCAAACGAGAATGTCTTATCTCCCAGTCGTCTAAGGTGCGGTCGTGTTAAATGAGTTTGGTGAGAAGGCACGAACATGGGAACAACCTACGTCTCATCCAGATATTGAACCACGCACCGGCCCTGCGTACTACTTACAACAAAGCCAGAACAATCCGGAAAGCAGACAATCGAGCAAAGCTGAAACACTTCAAGCTCAAATATTTTGGCGATCGCGGCAGGCATATCAAGGTGGACGACTGCAACTTTCCGATTGGACATAGCCACAGCTAGCAGCTTATGTTTCACGTCCATTGCATATGCTTTCTCCGGAAGCACCAGTCCGTTCAAGAGCTGCGCACCGGGGGGCTGGATGTTTGCAATGTCCCAATACTTTATCGTCTTATCAAGCGAGCCAGTAGCTAATATCGTCAGGTTGGCAGATACAAACGCTTTGCCCGTCAGGACAGCATCAGCATGTCGCCCAATGATTTGTGTACATGTTCCTCCAGTGACCCGTTCCACCGTGCCCAAGGCACTGAAGCCAAAAATGGACGAGTCATCCTATTATCCAGAAAAACACAAGTGATCAGTCGTTGTTTAGACCCAGCCGAAACTAAAACGAGGCGCTTTCGAGCAAATGGGTATCCAACATACTGTGCTCCAGGCGCATCCCAGCGCAGCACCAAATTGTAGTTTGGTCTTATAAATGAGCTGTGTGCTCTCGTTGTAAACACGGATCTCGCCGTCGTACGAAGAGCAAGCAAGCTTATTAGAGTGGTTTGCAAAAACAATTTGCGAAATATCTTCCGTAGGAGGATGGCCATACGTCTCGTCTTGGGCGATAGAACCCTGGGCAGCGGGCGGCAATTTCTGTCCGCGCCCGGCGCCATAGTCGACTTCGCGATTTACGGAGTGGACGTCATCGAAATGCTGGTCTCTTGATTGTTCGCTCCGGAATGACCGAGGACAGGAATCGCAGTACCAGGTATGGACATCATCCACATGTTGGCTGCGCGACGCCTGCGCCTGGAATACCTTTGGGCAATATTTGCAAGGAAACGTGTGAACGTCGTTGATATGGCTGTTCAAACCGTGCTGGGACCCAAAGCTGCGCTGACAAGTATTGCAGACCGTCCTACCCATTGTGTGAGATGCGTGCTGAGGAGTCGAGACTCGAGCCTCGCGGCTGGGAGGCCTGACATACCCGGGATAGAGATTGTGTCGCTCAGCTTGCCTGGAAGTGGTTTCATTGGGCGAGGTGCCAGAGCCGCCCGTGCTTTGCATGCAGAGTAGAAGGGCTGTCGATGGCCAATGCCGCCGCCCATCTTCATCTTGGCGGGGTTCGTATACATGAACCGCCAACGCTATTTTTAGTATGTAGCTTTGTTTGCCAAAGCCGAGGGATTTATATCACTGCCGGTTTATTCCATCCGTATATATTTGACAGATTCCATATCACGGATGGGCTAAAAGAATAACGTGATGAGCTAATGGAAACACTGCCCTAATTCCGCCCTATATATCGGCTTCTTAAGCCGTAGCTAGCGCTTAACTATGTGGACTAGAGAACAGCGCATAACAAAGCCCGAAGATTCCTCTTCTCAATATTTTCTGTCTCTTTTACAGTATCATGCTTGAGCTTTTTAAAAGGTGGAGCTCGCGGAAGCGGGCCGACGGTGACCGTTGTTAGTACTTAGAATTAATGCCCCCAGGCTCTTGACACTATATGGGGAGCGAGCAATTCGAGTTGAACTGAGACAAGAACCATTTGGCACGGAGTAAATATCCTCTAGCTTGCCTGTTTATTTGTTCATCTCTCCAACATCCAAGGCAACTAGGAACCGGCTCACGCAGTTGTATGCCGCAACAGTTGCTGTAACCTCCACAATCTCTTTCTCACTAAAAAACTCCTTCATCTCACCAAAAACTGCATCAGGTACCTTCACAGTTCTTGTCATGGCTTCCGTATACTTCAAAACCGCTACTTGTTTCCGATTGAAGAGCTCATTGAGCCGGTCATCCGCTGGAATCTCAGCACTTTTCACTGCCTCCATCATATCCTCGCTAAACCCCGTTTCTGCCAAAATGGGAGCGTGGTGTTCCCATTCAAACCACGCTTCATTGAGCGTTGCGACTCGGCATATGGCAATTTCACGGATGTCCACCGGTAAGGACGACCTCGATCGGATAGAGCCGAGGAACGTATTCCAGCCGTCAGCGACAGGAAAGGAGTGAAGGAGAGCGAGATCGAGCGGAATCAGGCCACCCGGGCCTCTGCGTTCAAGCACCCTTTGAAGAATGGCAGACTCCTCATCGTCGGATGTCGGAGGTGGGTTTGCAGTATAAGGAATCTTCATGGCCACGAGGATCAGAGGGGCCGTGTGGCCGCCCGTCACGTAAAAGGAAATGGAGGAGAGGTGTAGTTGGATAGCTAGCTGCACTCTTGGTTTGGCAACGGGATAGATTTCTATCGGTCTGGGCGGGCCGAATCCTTCGGCCGAAGAATGTGGGCTCTCAACGGGCTCGGCGTTTCTTTCTTTTCAGGCTATGGTTAAGTCCGATGCGTGCGTCCTTGAAGGTGGCGATCTGACGGCATGATTAAGAAAAGAAGAAAATAGTTCGATGGGTTCCAATCAGCGGCCACGGATTCCCAAGAAATAATGCCTTCGACTGTGGGAGAGCATCGTGTTCTGTACGTTGTCCCCCAGAGCTAGCTCTGACATCGTCGGTAGTTAGGACACAGCGCCATGTACGGAATAGACTCTATTTGTAGTATATTTAACAAGTACTGATTTCAGTCCATAGTATGTACGTGTTGTATATATAAAATGGAGGAATGATGGGTATGCTTTTTGTGCATATTGATGCAGACGAAGTGCGGAGTACGGAGTACCCCGTAGTTACATATTACATATTTCTTCAGGATTCCTTGACGCAGTTTTCAAATCCCGGGCTTTCTCCGCCGCCCTCATGTCGGGAATCGGTATATCCGAATAACTAGTTAGGCTAGATAGAGGATCTAGCAGATATCCTTTAACCATAGGGGCCAATAGTACATGAATTGGCTGCAGCATGCATGATTGAACTACATTCCTCGCGTTCTTACTCTGTACAAAATGTGGCTCCGGTGGAGTATCGGGCCTTTGGGAAACGACGATCTCTTGTGTCTTTCATGCTGCTTGGAGATGATATGCTTCTGGCGTTGCTCGTCCCTCGCTTTGTTGCGCGGCTTGAGTTCAGGCCTTTTGTAGGCGCGACGTTGCCAAGACCAGGACTCACAAGCCAAATCATGATTGACGCCATATCACTCGACCTCCATCATTCATCCAACACCACCATCAACAACGCGATCGGAAGTACAGAGTGCCGAATTCGAGCTGTCTTCCCTTCGATGAAGTTGAAGTCTTTCGAAGCCAGGACCCAGTTACGGAGCACGGAGTAAACGATGTCGAAGAAACCTGTCCCTACTGATGCTGAGCTGCTTGCACAGTTCGACGACCTCAACGTCGACAACGCCGCGGTTGGCGCTGCATCCTCCACAGGACCATCTAATGCCTCTTATGAAGTCCTAGCGGAGCTTCAAGACCTTGCTGTCCAGCGACCCGCTAGCCGGCCGGCTACACCCCAGCTCAAGCGAACCAGCACCAACCCTTCAGCCGCAGATAGGAGTAGTGAGGATAAGAATATGGCTCGCAAATCAGGGGATAGTGCCAGAGCCTACCATACGAGTATCACGCCGGCCGAAACAACTTCGTCAGAAGCTCCGCCTACGCCGATAACACCCGATCCGCAACCAACGGCAGGCGGCGGAGGAGGAGGAGGGTGGTGGGGAGGCATCTTTGCAACTGCTAGTGCTGCGATGAAGCAGGCGGAGACTGCTGTGAAGGAGATTCAACAAAACAGGGAAGCTCAAAGATGGGCGGAACAAGTTCGTGGGAATGTCGGTGCTCTCAAAGGCCTAGGTACATGCGCGCCTACTCCTCAGAGTCCAATGGATGCCCTCATGACTAAAATTAATTGTATCTTTAGGCGGAGAATTGAAAACCCTTGCAATGCCTACATTTACGTCTTTTATCCATACCTTAGCTCCTCCGATCTCCTCTCACGAGCGGCTTCAAATCCACATTACTCACGATCTCCAGGGGTACCCGTCCCTTGACTCCCTTATCTATAATGTTTTTTCGCGGGTAATGGCGCAGGTTGAAGGCGGCGACCTCCTTGTCATCCAACGTGGCCAAGAATCCGGCCCCAGGCGGGGCCTTGAGTCAGCAGGCGCCCAGGTGTCTACAGCAGGTTGGAACGATGGCCCGTGGTGGCGCTACGTATCCCCTAGACAGCCACGCACAATTTCCGCTATCAAAGGCGCAGCAGTTGCTACGAAGCTTGCTCGAGCAAGCGCCGAAGCTTATGCGAATGAGTTTTACGCTTCGCGCGGCGGCATCGAGCAGGCAGCGAAGCAGGCATCCGAAATCCTATCAGAATCTAATCCCGTACGAAATAGCGATATCTTCCTTTCAATACAAGCCTTATGTCAGCCCGTGTCGTCAGATCTATTTCAAGCCGGCTTAAGTGGCGAAGTTGAGAGCGCATCTGGCGCTGTGGACCCAGAGGTCGAGCCCGAAGAAGAAGTGTCCTTCGCGGTCTACCTTCACGATCCTGTTCACGGAATTACATTCCACACGATCTCACAGCCCCTTCCTCAAAAATGGATCGACTGGCTTGATGCATCTGCGTCGCAACCAAATCCCGACGAGGCCTCTGAGGCCGACCAGTTTGTCGTCCCTGAGGCCATTGCTGAGATCATCGAGAACGGCGGAGTTGATCCGAGGGAGTGGGTAGCAGAATGGGTCGAGGAAGCGCTCACGTTGGGTGTGGGTGTGATCGCCCAGCGCTATGTAGCGCGCAGAATGGGCGTTGGCGAGGGCGGAGTGGGCAAAGGCAAGATGAAGGCTGAGCAGGCTACAGTTGTGGAAAGCGGAGCCGGCGAGGCCGCAAGGGCCATCTAATAATGAATCGGGATTTCATGTTCTAGGCGCAGATTGTGTGTTGGCCAACGGAGCTCTAGGAAATGATTCTGTGTTTCATCGCGGGCTGGTCGCATTTGCTGTTGTTTCATGACTACGCTTTTTCTCTCTCTCTTTCTCTTCTTTCCCGGCTTCGTATCTCTTATCACACGCTCGTCAGCAAGACCTGCTAGATACTGGTCGCCTGGCATGTATACTCAATTCCACATAAGGGAGCCCCCATGGCCTCTTTTTCTGTGCCGTTTCCTGCTGTGCCAACTCCTCCAGGATGCGATGACAGCATCCAAGGGGCGTTGGCACAGCAGGAACTTCCTTTCCAGCCGTGACGCCCAGGTGGGCGCGCACTGCTTTGTCTGCGAACAATGTTGAGGCATTTTCGGCCGTCGTCTTCCTTATACCGGCGGCCTGGCGCGCTGTTTGAGTTTCGGTCCTGATCGAAGAACCACCATCGCGCCCGGCGGCGGCATCCTGGCCCGTCTGGGCTTTGTCAACCAACATTGGCACCGCAAACTCAGAGCCTCCCAGTGCGTCGCCTGTCGCCGCCGCTGCGATGTTTTTCTGTCGCTGCTGGCTGTGGGATCGACTGCTAGAACTGCGGCGAAATGCCTGGACATGGTGGAGCGCGCCCTTCGCTGCTCCGCTATCGGTTCGGGCAGGGGTCTGATGAAGAGTGTTATGAAGATACCTGAAGTCTACTGTCGCCAGTAGATTTCATCATGCACGCCGCCCTGCTTTATGCCTCGGGTCTATCCTCTGCTCCTTTTATTATTCTCTGAAGAGAAAAAAAAATCTTTTTTTCAGCCTTTGACCAACACCTTCTTTGCCCTCTCCGAGTATCCCTCGCTTCTCGCGCTATCATTCGACTAGCCGCTCCAACGACTCTGCAGCCTGCAGCTGTGATCCCATTGGGATACGCCCTTTTTCGCTGCTGTCCTGTGATTTTTCTGTGATCCCCCGCTATTCACCTGCATTAGCGTACATTGCTGGCGAATATCTTCCATACTTGTGAGATCTTGATAGCGAAGCATTTCTCTGGTGAGCAACGGGAATTCTTCGGATTGGCTGTTCGGGTGACAATGCTGACAGATATTGCAGGAATTTACTGCACCCTAACTTCCAAACTCTTTCAGTTCTCGGGCCTTGTCCTGGGAGTTGGTGACTCCCTTAGTCCATCAATATCCTGGAAGAGTTGTGACTCACACTGTTGGGCCTGGGGGCTTTTACTATGACGATTATTGCTGCTGGAGATAAACTTATGCGAGACTTGGACTCTGCAACTCAATGGGATCATTCGAACACTTGGCAGTATTACCCAGATCTTGAACAGAATGCGAGCAACTGCGGCGTGCGACAATCGAATCCCGGATTTCAGCCCCTAAAAGCTGTGCACCACGGGTTGGAGGAGCACTCGGCATCGATACACAATGAGTATGTGACCCCCATCACACTGACTTTGGAAAATGAATTCTGAGTGAATGTACTACTGCAGCTCCAGAGTAACCGAACTCCCCGCTCTCGACCAGTTTGCCTTGAAAATGGAATACTGGCCTCAAGAACAACCACAGTACACAGAAAACGTGTGCGTGTCTGACGTTCTATCAAATTTATGCGTCGAGCTTCCGTATCATCCTAGCAGAATTCATTTTACTGAAACTCCTTGCCCAAGTGCCATTTCCTCAGTTGTTGATGTCAATTCGTTGGCTCAAGATCTGAGTACTCCAGAACTGCTATCAAACTTAGAGCGGGAACAGAAATACTCAAATCCATGGCCCTCAGAGGCAGCCGCTGCAGACAGCTACCTAGCTTTTGGTTCTCAGCATATTCCTGGTATCAATTTCCAAGATGGGGGAATACAGGGGCGTGCAAACGTACAACCTTTCTCGTTTACATCCTGGCAGGGTGTTGTTGACCAGGTGTCCTCTGACAGAGCCTCCCAAAACATCCAGCAGTCACAGTTAAGTTCAGCATTCCACCCTACAATTGTGCAAACTTGTGGGCTACTTCAAGATGAGCCAAATACAATACTGCCAGAGTGCGAGATCCAACTTGAAGCAAATTTGCTGCGATTGAAAAATTCTTCTGAAACAAAGAGAGCGAAAACCAGGTGTGTATCAGGAGACTTCTCGAGTTGCCCAGTGAGACAAAAGACTCCATCTACTCGCCAGATTACTCCAAGACGGAAAAAAGGAGAAAAGAGTCCAATGCAGAGACCCGCAATATCTAAACGACAAGCGAGCCCAACAGATCTAATACTACACGGAGCGGCTCTCTTGAGCAACCCGTCTCGGAGTGGGTCAGATGAGGATGAGCCGAAAGCAGCCGCTAAAGCGCGAAGGTCTTTTCAAATAGTTCATGAAGATGGACAAGGAAATTCAACTGCATCTTCTTCTCAAACAATGCCCATCGCCCGAGCACGCCGACAGGGACCCTTGTCCGCGAATGGAAGACGTGATGCGGCTTTACGGAGAAAGGACAGGAGCGTCTGTATCTGGTGCCGTTTGTCGAAAAAGAAGGTAATCTTGCCTGTTCCATTTGCGTTGCGTTTTATCTGACTTTTGTCGCCTTAAGTGCTCGGGTCAAAATCCATGTGGCGCATGTGTTGAGCAAGCCAAATCCATGATTGTTGAGCAACCATGCGTGAAAGCAGACTTTTTCCAAATAGTCGAGGCAGGAACGTGCAATTATATATGTAAGTACTCGCCGTTGCTCTTTATAATAATCAATCCTGACTGCTTCTCTAGCCCAACGTGCCGTTAACCACCTTACGCTGGACGGCTCATCTAGACGTCGCATGGAGCTGCCATCTGTTTTAAACATTGATCAATTTGTCGACTTGCTGGAGAAACGTCGAGGGAAATTTAACATACGGGTGCGACAGGCATGGGGAACACTCTTCGTTCTAGATTTGGAAGAATCCTGGAGCTACGTGAAATGCCTTCAAGGGAAACAAGGGAGTAATGTGTACGATCTGCAAGATTTTATTGATAATCATATCTTGAAACTTAATAACTGGCAGAGATGCGTAAAGGAGTGCAACCCTGTGGATGATATGCTTGTAAGAAAACCATGTATTTTGGGAGAATGCCTAACTGACGTTTTCTTTCACTGGATAGTCGCTATTGTCGCAGTGGAATACCATGCCTAGTCGAGCAAGCTACGATTTTGTTTTTGAAGATAGCAAAATACCTGACCGTCCGATGAATATTGAACACCCCGGTGACCAGTTAGAGATCCTTCTAGCTGCACATCTATCTCGAATAGTTTGTCGTAAACTTGAAGTCGACGGATATCGAAACCTACAATACGTTCTTAACAAGAACAAATGGGACGACATGTCTTCTGTTGCTTTCGTAAGACTTGTTTCTCAACTTGGGCATATACTCGTCAGTCTTCGCTGGAGAGTATCCTGGTGGGAGCTCCTCGGCGACGGCGGAATGAAGCCGGATATCAATAAGGAACGATACCAAGAACGTGTTCAAAGTTTATGCAAAATCCTTTACTTCTATTTCACTTCAGTCAAACTCAAGCTACCGTCGTGGATTGCCCCGGGCGAATTTGACGGCGTCTGGTCAACCTATGCTGATGCCAGGCAGGTCTGGGACGATTTCCCATCCATGGCTACGGCAGAGGGGTTTGAGGCGTGGATGGCAAGGGGGAAGGAGCTTATTCGAGAGGCTGGAGTACGGAGCAGCATTCCTACTATATGAGAACCGGTTTCCAAACAGCACGGTTACTGGCGCAAAATAGCGATGCATGCATTTTTATCGGCTCCCTTAAAACTTCGTGGGGTATTTCTAGGAAAATATAGAGGCATGGAGAACAGGGGTGAAGAGATGAACCCTCAGCATGATACATTTTTTGATTCAAGTTGAGACTGTTACTTCTTGCTTGTCAGCCGCATATCAATTCGGGGCACTGGTTCCAATCACTACAGTGGTTAAATGCACAACATGGAATAAAACAGCGGCTAGCCAAACTATTGACACAATTCACCACTAAATGCCCAACCCCGCCCAATGACCAATTTTTTGCACTGTAACACTCAACGGTCTTCCAGATCCCTTGACCGCTTCCCTCCGAGATAAAATTGGTCTTAGGAATTGGGCCAATAGCAAAGAAAAGAAAACGTTCTTAGCTAAAGACCTTTATTCATGGAAGTGAAACTATATTATTGATTGCCCAGGTTCCTGTCACTTCAAGGTATCCGATTGGCTTCCTAACCCAACAATTTTGAAATATCCACTGGATCCAAGCTCATACATATTCTCCCAGTTAGAAATGTGATTCTTGCATTAATTATATCCAAACCAATAGTACCAGCACCGGTATCTAGTTAGATAAATATATCTTATCTCTCAGACGCACCAAAAATATAAGACTCGCTTCTCCAGACAAAGCTGGCTTAATTTTTAGGAGATGGAAGGCTAGTCGCTCTTATCATTAACAAAGAATTCAGGTGCGGTAGACGAAGGCCATAGACGATAAGAAGTCCACATCCAGGATGATCTGAATTTTTTCAGTACATCGGCAATTGAGGGCCAGCCAGTCAAAGTCTTCCAGATCCGCAGTAAATACTTTCGATATATCGGCTGGTAGCGAAGGGCAAAATCGGGACCAAGCAATCCCTCGCGAATCAGAGACTCACATTTTCTTTTTCCCTTTATATGGTTGATACTCTCGTACGTTGGCTTCAGCGCAATTTCACTGGTTCTGCTCTGAATGTCTTGTGCGGCGAGTTCCATGTTTGGATAGGTATTGTGCCAGCAACACGAAATTATGAAGTCAAAGATCTCATTCCGATTGAGTTCTGGGAACTCCAGATGGCTAAACCGGCGACTCATTTCACTTGGATCCTTGTCTAAAAGATTGATATCTTCATATGGTTCACGGCCATATACCATATAGTAAAGAAACGTCCCAACGGAGAACTGCTCGGTCTGGGAGGAGCAGAGACCATAAGTGTTTTGCAATGGTCCAGCAATTAACTTTCGGGCCCATGGTGCAAAGCTACCCTCAAGTAACGGCCCGGGAGGCGTGGCGCGGTCAAAGTCAATTAGCTTGAGATTGAGATTTTTATCAAGAAGGCAATTGCGCGGATGGATATCATTGTGGCAGAAGCCCAGCTTCTCTACGTATCCTATGGCTGCAGTAAGCTGCTGGATCCATCGAGCTATGAGAGCGGGGTCTTCATATTCGGTAACTCGGATGAGGTGTCCCCAGAAGCCACTCGGTGTCTTTCCCCTCTCCTGGCGGTTGAAGAACCGCCGGTGGAGCGAATCGTTACTGTAGTACGAAAGGAAGAGAAAGTCTGGCAGCGCAATGAAACATTCGATTATATGCTGGCATCGATCGTCTTGCTCGTTCAGGCGATTGTAAAATTTGGCTTCTTGGATAAACGGCGGCTCTTCTTCTGAGGAGACGTCGTTTGCGGAAGGGTGAGAGGCTTTGACGACAATTCCAGGGCTAACGTGGTAGATGGTACCCCTGCTTCCAAACCCAACGCCGTCGTGCTTCCTAAAGTACATGCGAAGAAGCTGGTCACGAAAGCCAGGTCGGAAAGATTGATGTTTTGGAGAAGATGTTAGTTAACTAAGGTTTTACTAGTTAAGGTAGTTAGGTAGTTAGTTAGTGAACTCCGGAGTAGTTATAACAAGCTCCCGGTTCCGCTTTTGCCACAAAGTATTTGTTGAGATTCGTACTCCGTAGCTAGGTACCTAACTATGCCAGAGAGAAAATGGGGGCGTACAAATACTCCGTATACTTGATCTTTCCCATCCTCAGCTATGAGATTGCCGCTCCACTAGGCGGAAACTAAGTCCCCGGTGCTTGGGAGCCACCGATTCCACGCCGTAATGAAAATTTCGGCCCCAAGCCACGCTTGGACGATGTAGTTACGGAGTAGTTATGTAGTTGCTATGCGACCGCAGGCTCGCCCGAGACTGAGTTGGTTTGTCCACACACTCTATGAACAACACTGCAACTACCAGTTAACTGCTCCATAGTGACTATTTATAGTGACTATGTTCACTAGAGGTGCTTCATTGTATCACAAACCCTAATTTCGTTTACATATTCGATCGATTTACGTTGAACTGGCGCAAAGAATGACCCTCCTTAAACGGGCTCGGATAGTCCCGAGCTGGGAATCCATTGCACATATGCCCTTGAAGATTCGATCTCCATCGCTGTCATCGCCCATTATATCCTCCATCAGAACTTTCCGGATGAGCGTAAAGTCATGTTTACAAGAGAAACCGCGCGTACTCCCACTCAGTGGCTTTAAAACAATCGAGGCAGATGAACTAGTCGAAGAGGAAGAATTACCCGGCTATCAGGCCAGCCATTTCTATCCTGTACATCTGGGTCAGGTTTTTCAGGACCGTTATCAGGTCCTGGCAAAGTTTGGTTTTGGTACTTCATCAACAACATGGCTGGCGCGGGACCTACAGTATGTTACCAGTGTGAATGCCATCATCAAATCAGCTGTACTTATTTGACAATTACTGGCAGAGATCATACATATGTTGCACTAAAGGTCTATGTACACCCATCATTGGTTCATCGTGAGCTGCCTATCTACAAGCATCTAGCTCCACATCTCAATAAGAACCTACATCGCGGACAGCATAATATCCGTCGATTACTAGACTCGTTCAAAATTAGCGGTCCTGATGGAAACCATGTTGTTCTTGTCTTTGATCCTGCACAAATGAGCCTTCGTGACATGCGCCTAGTATTTTTTCCTGATGGATTTGCACAGAATTTTGTTCGGGGTGCCATTATTGAGCTTCTGAAGGCTCTAGATTTTTTGCATAGCCATGGAGAAGTTGTTCATACCGGTAAGAGTCTTTTATCTTCTACTGTCATTTCTTTTTCTCCGCCAACTAAGGTCTTGCAGATGTACATCCTGGAAACCTGCTTTTGGGTGTTTATGATAACACCTTGATGCAAAAGCTTGAAAAAACGGAATTTTCAGCTCCAGTTCGACGCAAACCGATCTCTCCCACCCGAACTATATATCTCTCTCGTCTGGTACGGCCCGATGTTGGGCCTATGCTACTCTCTGACTTTGGCGAAGCCAGGATTGGCCCAGGGCCACATTCTGGTGACATCATGCCTCTGGAATATCGGGCTCCGGAAACTCTTTTTTGTATAGACTGGAACTATCCTGTTGATATCTGGAGTGTTGGCCTTACTGTAAGTTCTAGGCATTGTCATATGCTTATTTCTGCTCTGGCAAAATTTCATAATTGTTTCTACTATAGGCGTGGGACCTCTTTGAATCAAAAAGACTCTTTACAGCCCGTGATGAAGATGGTGATTTGTATGACGCTGCTCATTTTGCTCAGCTGATCGCTGCTTTGGGCCCGCCACCACCTGAATTTCTGGCCAAAAACCCGGAACGGAGAGCAGACTTTTGGGATGAGGAAGGTGGGTGCAGCCCTCTCACAATAGACCACGTACTGATACGTTTGATATTCTTAGGTCGCTGGCTAGGCCTTGCGCCTATACCTGAAGGCCGAACACTAGAGGCTCTTGAAACCAAACTGGATGATAAATCAGGGTTCCTTAAATTCATCCGGAAAGCCCTCACCTGGATGCCTGAGCAACGAGCAACGGTTAAAGAGCTTTTGGAGGACCCTTGGCTACTTGGGGACGATAGAACCAAAAGCAGTTAGTGAAGAATTATGGTACCCTAAGAGGCTCCTCGGGATGTTCACATAGTAATGCTCATGGAATCACGATGTTTGGCTGTCTTTGTTTCTTTAGGCCGCTGCTAATGGACTAGATTGCGGAGAACATCTCTCGCTGTTGGTCTGGTACTACGATATCTTGTTGTTAGAATGTACGGATTACATCGAGCTCAATCCCGAAATATTATTGAATGATGTAAAAGCAGCTTCTCAAAAGAAAAATGTGGCTGTTGATTTCTTAGATATTGGGAGAGCTGCTCGGTTTTACAAAATTCCGATATGGTTCCGAAAATTGCTGACTAACAGTGATTTTTGAAAAAAATTGAAATAAAAAGCAGGACGCCAGATGAATTTCACTAAATGGCAGGATCTGGCGTAAATAAACGGTCTGGATTTCTCAAAATTTCCACGCTATTTAGTAGTTCTGAAAGCTCGAGGACTCGAAGGTACGCTGAGGGTGGTCCGTGGACGAGCGGGCGTAATCCGAAGGCAGAAAGTGTTAATCCGCAGGCAGAAAATGTAGTAATCGAACAAAGTGACAAGTATTCTTTAAGGGTTTTAGGTACGGAGTATAATCCCGAGAAATCTGGTTTTTCTTCGGGTACATTTTTATCCAACTATCGAGTATGAAGTCCAACCACAAACGCCTTTCACCATTGTTCCGGGTATCTAGTACGGAGCACTTTTAAGCGTTAAAGTCGTCATATACAAAAGCATTTTGTAATTCTTATTTTTTATCTTTCTTTCCTCCGCCCAGCAACTCCAGATGGCCGGCTTTTTCGGCGAGATTTCGTTCCATTTTAGCAGTAAGACCGGCCGACAGTTTCTGGAAAAACGACAGCGAGTCCATCAGCATACGTTTCCTTCTGATAAGAAGAAAGGCTGATAAGAAGGGAAAAACAGGCCTGCAGTTACGTACTTTATTTAATTTCTTTTGCTTCACAAGGGCTGCTTTTTTGGGTGCGATTGTTCGGGCGCCCTTTTTCGGGTCTAGGGCGGACCGCCTGGAGAGCGAGTTCTCAGTCTTCGTTCGCTATTGCTCAACAAGTTCTAGACAAACCTTTTGGTAGCCGATGAGGCCGGCTTCGCCTTCTTCAGAGCTCCTTGCGCCATTGCTCAGCAGTGAGCCAGATGCTGACAAGAGATCTGAGCGGTGCTGAATCAGATTTCGGTAGCGTCTCTTGGGATGGGTAAGGCTGGGTTTCCACACTGTACTCCGTAACAAGCATGTATGTACCCGTCAGGTACCGCCGTTCAGCCAGACAACGCCCACTCACATGGCAGTTGAGGGGGTAGGATGCGCACCAAGACGGTGGTGACGGGGATACGCGGCTGGTGGGATTCAATGGCGGGTCTTGGCAGGCACCTCAGCAACGCCCACCACAAGCGACTGGCCGGCACAAACAAACACCGCTCGCTGCTGCAGGCCAGAACACAGAGCAGCGGCGCATCCAAGAGAGCTGTGGGCTGGTTCGTCTTATTGCTGCTGTGTCATTATTACATTCTTTGCTTCAGTCGGCTGCTGGCCCCCGCGTGCGCAGGACGGCTATCCTGGGCTTTCACAAGGGCAGATCTGTTTGCATGCCAACACGACCATTCCTCGGTTCGCGGACAATCCGCCCGCGATTGTCGCTTGTGCTCCTTATTGACCAATAGTCCAGCAGCGCGTTATTTCGGACGTAAATCTGGGACGCGATATGGAGACGTCCCGGCGCCTAATACTATTGCGACCTCATTTACCAAAATATGGAGACCAGCGGCTCCCCAAGCGCAGACCCCTTTTATTCTTCGCATAGCCCGCGACGACAACTTTCCTCTCGCTGGACAAATATCTCGTCCTCCACGCCTGGTCGACCGTCGAGTACGTCGCCTGTTTCACGCTCCCCAGAGACCCGCTTTAGCCGGCAGAATCGACGACTCCGCTTACGACATGCTGGCTTTCGTGGCGGACTGATAACCTCTACTCAACCAATAGCCCCCCAATTTGCGACCTGGAGAAGTTTATCTGGAGGCGCAGTCTGTGGAGAAAATAAAGATGGCGATGGCTCTGTAAAACGGGCAAGTGGTCAAACGCACTGGAGCCATGATTCGACCTCGAATGCCTCATACAACAGTCAGAAGTCGATCGTTTTACAGGAGGTACAGAATTTAACTCAACGACGAAACCAACATCCTTCGCGTCCCCTGGTTTCTACAATCTTCCAAGACGAACCGGTAGTTGCCGACTCCATACCCGGCCCCTTTTACAATAGTAGCCGCCCCAAAACACCACTTCTCGAACCCTTCTCTCCGGAACCAGCCATGAAACCGAAAGATACCTCATTATCGATGCGCAAATCCTCCTTCGCGAGCATACATCGCCAGAAGCGCCAGAATTCCTTCGGACGAACCATCAGCCACGGGACGTCTCGTTATATAGAACACCTGGAGTCCCAATTGGCCTCCATCCACCACACCGAGTCTGGCACTTCTCCCGCCGGAAATAAGTGCGCCTCCAAGTACAAGGCATTGAATGCCGAACATAAAGTGTTGAAACAAGAGTTATTAGAATGGGAGGAGCAATTCGAAACAAGAGTAAAGGACGAATTGGCCTTGATGGTCGATCGAGAATCGCAGCTACGATCCAAGCTGCGTACATTAGAGCGGGAGGTCGAAACTAAGGATAATAAAATTCGAGAGCTTGAATGGGAGGCGGAGATGGATCGCCAACGGTTACGAAACCTTGAAGCCGTCAATTCCACCAATCGAAGTCTTGAGCGCAGGGTTGATGTCTTGACAGGCCTCCTTGCACAGTCTCCAGGAAGACCAGAATCCGACTCTAGACCTAGTGCTGTGAGCGATGATGTTCCCTCAGCGGATGAGCCCGTCCGCCGAACTCCCAGGCCAAAATCAATGTTTTCTCGAATACCTTTGTCGCCGGTCCGGCAACCAGTGTTCCAGCCACTGGTAGCGTCTGATTCAAACGCCCAAGCTGTTGACACTGGCCTCAATGCGACTAGTGAAATTCCAGAACTCGATATCGACTATCAAAAAGAACCTGACGAGGAAAAACCCGCCTCCGAATTTGGAGACCTTGATTCTGGCATGGGTGATTCGTGTTCGTTGCCATCGTCCCGCTTTGAGGGGTCTCAACGACTATCCATGATATCCTATTCTTCTAGCTCTTCATTATGGGGAACCTCGTTTCCTCTTCCTCTCGAACTACCACGGCGACCCAGAAGGATGCGACGATTTCCGTCTGGGTCATGTACTCTAAAACCGTTAATCCTACCCGCTACTTCTTCTCTTTTATCGCCATCAAGTCCGAATTTTCATCCTATCAGCAGTAGCTTTTATCCCTCGTCGCATTCACGCACACACTCAACGAATGATTGGCACAGCCCGTCAGACCCTATGCATGTACATGATGAAACCCTCAGTGCTTTGGAGGAGTATTCAGATCACTTTCAATCTTTCGAGGAGGCGATGTCGGGTCATTCCTTGCCGGGCATAGAGGATGTTTCGGGTGATGATGAAGAATTTCATAGTAGCCCAGATCTAAGTTTATTCACGAAGGACCGATTACATCCACCAGGATTTTTCGAGACACCCACCCGCGACCCTTCCTCTTCGCCTGATCCGTTAAAGAAGCTACCATCGTTTACGACAACTGGTGGCTCCCGATCAACGGCGGCCATGACTGTTATACAAAGAGGCTCTTATCGCCAACCACGCCGGCGCTTAGATCAAGAACTTTCTCCTGGCTCCGAAGATAGCCCTCTCACGACGAAGCACGTTTATTTAGCTAATCGAATTGCTGATATTACGTTAAAAGATGCATCTAACTGTTCTCATTGGTTTCGCGATATTATTTCTGGTTCAATAATCCTAGCAAGACGTATAATATCACGAGCTTGGCACTCAAACTGGAAGAGGATAGGAAAACTTCCTTGGTGGGTCCTTGGACTCATATTAGGCGTACAGAGGAGGAATGACTGGTTTAAGCGCTATGCTAGAGATCAGACCATGTGGCTATCTTTGTATCGCAGCCCCTCCGCAACAAGTGACGGTTTTGAAGGCACACAGGATTACACTGGATATGACCATTCAATCCTTCAGACCCCTCCACGGACCCGCCTGTCGATACAGGAATTGACCAGAGGGCCTAAACTCGACTCTTCGGGGTCTGAACGTAATGAGCAAGGAACCGACTCTTACGAGGTTGCACCTTTAAGGCTGTGGGCCAAGTTTTCACTGGCGATAGCGCTTGCAATTGGATTGGCCATTAAAGATGGGCCAGCTTCCCTGATGTGTTCGTGCGCTTCGACACCTGACGATCCTGATTGTCCGTTCGTGAATAAACGGAGATTTTATCCTATTATTCAAAACGAATCGCGTATGTACGAGGATTTTCACAGTGGCGAAGGTGACTGATTATGTATGTTTTATCTTTCGCCCCGAGCCTAATAGTGATCGGTGACCCTTGCATTGGCATTTCTCATTGTCTTTTTTTCTATTACATTATTGCATTTTTTGGTTGTCAGTTGAGCGCACAGGGCCTCCCCCAGAAAAAGAAAAAATAATCCTATATCCCTTCCCCTTAATGAATATCATGAGAATGATGATGGCAATGATAATAATGAAACGGTGTTTAATCTGCTTGGAGGTTCTTGAGTGAACGGCAGCCCTGCTTTCTGCCCAGAATGTCCATAGAATTGTATATTGTACCTTCAAGCTGAAACAAAAAGTAGATTGTATACTTATTGGAATATTCAATTGAAAATGACATCTTGTTTTGTTGCTCAAGATTCCAGAAATTAGCTGCAAGAATATGTAAATTTCCGTGCCGCATCGCTCCCCCTGACACTTTGAAAAGATCCCAGGTACACCCTGTCAGCTACACTGTTCTAGCCGTATGCGTTTCAAAACAAGATGATGAAAAAATGAATTGATATTGATTCTGAAACATGACAGATCAAACAAAATATGTAAATGAATGGAGTAGAAGAGTGGTGTACATTGAACAGGGCGATTGGGATGTATTTCACAAAAACAGAGACCGATCTGCAAACACATTGTTCCTTTGTCGGACTGAATCATTTTATTTTTGCACTGTTTGGTGTTCTTTCATGCAGGTTGTGTGACGTGTGAAGGAAGGGCTGTCCCCAGTGATCGGCAGCGCACCACGAGGCCAGTCGAAACCTGAAGAATTCAACAGATCTGCAAGGCTTTAATGACGACGCATATCAAAATGAGTATTACACGGTCAAGTAAAAACAAAAAATAAGGCGGAAAGCTAAGTCAATGAATTGGAATTCCGTTTCCAGCACCTGTTCGTGAAAGTAAATACATACAATGAAAACAAATAGAGAATACAAAAAAAGGCAAGGGTATTGAGGAAAGCTTGCTCCCATCGAATCCATAATATATGAACTTCCATACTTAAGAAAAGAATCCCAACCGGTAAAAAATTAGCCCATTGCTTTCCATTTTATATTGTAGTGAAAAGAAATAAAATATTCCGTAGCCGCCTTTCAACCGAAAACGGTTCCGTCCAAGACAGCCGGGACGAAGGGTTGTATTATAAGAAAGGACAAAAACAGAACGTGTCTCATCAAGGTCTAAGGCTCTCAGGCGCTTTTTGAAGAAAAATGACATTAGAAGGCGAGAGTAGCCGTCGATTTAGAAGGCAAAGACGGCGGCCATAGCGAGCAGAGCAGCTCCCAGGCCAACGGTGTTGCGGCCCGCAGCACCCTCAAAGACTGGAGGAGAGGATGGGACTGGGGTGGGAGTGGCACGGTAGGTGGTGGGCGCAGTTGGGCCGGCAGAGCTGGCAGGGGCGGTGCCGGTTGGGTATGGAGCAGACGCGCTTGAGGTGCAGATGGTGGTGGTGATGGTGGTGACTGGGAAATGCGTAGAGTACGAGACAGGGGCGCTGCTGCTTGGAGCGCTGCTGCTTGGGATTGGCTCAATGACGGTGCGGGAGACGGAGATCGAGGACTTTGGTGGCGTGGCGCCGCCCTTGATGCCGAACTGGGTGGACCATTGGTAGGCGCCGGTTTTCTGGTCGACAATCAGGAGGCCATAGTGAGTCACATCGACCTCGAGGGAAAGGGAAGGAGTCCACTGGAAAGTGCCGGTGTTGGCAGTGCTCTCGACAATCACCGACAGAGGCTTGATGTTCTGGCTTGGGCCACGGAGCAGAGTAAGGGACACGGGCCCGTCACTTGTTGGCTGCCAGGTGATAGTGTAGGACACGCCGGCTTGGACCTGTTCCTGCAAGCCGGGACGGGAGATGGGATTGCCGCTGGGAGGCTTGGAGTAGTCGGGCTCTTTGAGAGCGGAGGCGACGGCCACAAGGGCGGAGAGGATGACGGCAGAGAACTTCATGGCGACGGTAGGTCTGCACTGGCGTCCGCGAGAGAATAAGATATTAGAGTATATAGATATAAAAGGCGGAAGGCCGGTAAACGAATGAAGGATATAGATCCTCGGATTGGGTCAAAAGAGTGACTTGGGTAGGGCAAAAAGAACGGTGGGAAAAGAGCGTGTTTAAAGGAAGAGAGAGAGAGAGAGGAGAGAAGAGGAAGAAAAGCGCAGACGGGCGAAGGAAGAGAAAAGGATGCGGGCGAAATGAGCCGGTGCGGAGCTGAGCCGCATGGTCTCCTTTTCCGGGCTGACGCGCCTTGCCGCTCCGGGGCTAGTGCGGGATCCGGCGCTAGGCCGTGCTGGGCTAGGCGCGTGCCGCCAAGAGTCGACGCGAAATGAGATGGAAACCGCGGGCCAATCAGCGCGCTTCCCACGTGTTTGCGGCGGGGGTCCCCCCGCGTGCTGTACGGGCGTGGCGGTACGGGACGCGTACGGTACGGTACGGCCGGTACGGTGCCTGGCGGGCGAGTCACGTTGGCATCACGGGCCCCCGACCGCGCCCGCGGCCCATCCATGCTCAGCAGCGTCGCACCCTGCCTGGCATGCCCTCCCCGGTGGTTGCTTGCTCGGGTGTTCGCTGCGCAGTGCGACGGGCAGCCGTGTGACGCTGTCGCAATGTAACTTTGCAGTCCAAGGCTCCCGTGTCTAGTCGAGGAAACACTGCCCTGGCCTGGCCGCCAGCCAAACCGTGGTTGGCGCCGGCTGTCTCACCTCCACGCCGCGTGCCCCTCGCCGCATGCGGGTGTGCCTTCGCCATCATCAGGCAGCTCACCGCGGGCGCGCCCAAGGACGGACCGCCCGGAACTTCGACGGCCAGCAGCATCGGTCCCGGCAGCCCGCCGCCATATCCGCCAACGTCCTCCGGGAAGCACTCAGATGACTCCTGCTCATGGCCCTGCCCTGCCGTGGCCCCCAGCTGTCCGCGAAATCCCTGAGTCGAACCCTGCTTAGACGGCTATACGGGCGAAATACGAAGCTGACCAGAGCTGGTCCTTTTTGTTCACCTCTCTGTGCAAAAAAGCCTGGGAGCCTCGTCACTGCGTGCCCACTCGCAGTCCACCGCTTATCGCCACCAATCAGGCCCGCTGCGGAGCTGCGCAAAATGACCAAAATCTGATAGTTCGAAAAGCTTTTCTGGGCCTGCGCGCCTCCTTGAAAATTTGCGCTCCAGAGCAGCCAGACAATGGGCTAGAGCATCGTTGACCGCAGCGCATGGGCCTCCCTCTGTTTGGGATAGGGCGTAGTTTTCTCTGAAGGACCGAGTACTCCGTACTCCGAAGGAGCCTGGCGTTCAAACCCTAAGCTCGGCGTGCCAGCTGGTCTTTTTGTTATGTCTGCTGGAAGACGTATTATTATTTTACATAACTGTGGTGTCCCAAGCGTATTTAGAGCAGCTGTCACCACGGAGTACGGAGTACAGACCCCGTAAAGTTGGACGAACGACACTCTCACAGTCCCCTTGCATGCCTGGACTCACCGGGCTGTGTAAAGCATCGGCACCCAACGTCAAATGTCGTCGTGACTGTCATGGTCCTTATGTGAGATTATTTATGTCACAGAACAATGATAATAATAATCATAATAATCATAATTTCATACTCCATTTCCGTAATAACACCCCTGCTTGTTCTGTTTGCACCGTGACATATTATTTTCCGCTCACGGCTGGGCACGTCGGGGTGGGATTCTATTTCTACCAGGATGTCGAGGCGCCCAACTGTTAACAACCTGGGTATAACCAACTCCGCATAGGCAAGGGATTATTGATTCTTTCTCCGTTATTGCTCCGTATTTGAGACTTCTCTGACATGACTCCGCCTTTCAAGCATACTCGGCTGACTCACACCAGGTAGTCTTGTCGTCCGTGGTCTAAGCATAGGTGGCCTTAGAAGCGACTCGTACCAGAAGAAGACAATAATGCGCTCCGTACTCTACGCGCCGTGGTTTCTTTCACATCGGCGACCCTTCGACTTTCTGTGCCTAGATTAGCCATCTCCCGCCAAGGAAGACCCAAGGCAGTATCACTTTTCTTCAAATATCTTGGAAGTTCACCGAGACAAAGATGAAAACGCCTGGAGCCCCGAGGACTCAACAATGGCGTGTTGTACGGAGTACATGGCATGCGGTTTGGCGCTACCCTTCTTCCAATCCCATCCCTTGAACCGCGCGCAAAATATTGTGTGCTTGCGTGTACTCCGTATTAAGAACTCCCATGTAGGTACGGAGGATAACCCGCTCCGTGCTGAGAGCTCCTGAAAGTCTAGAATGGCCCCCCAAGAAGGACCAAAGCCAGAGGAGACGGCAAGCCGTGTCAGAGAAACGCCGACTCGGGTCCTTTCTTTCAAAACAGCAGGAATTGTCTTTCAAGAAAACTGCAGGATGTGTTATGTATTTTCAGGGGATCGAGATTGACTAGTATCTCCAACCTGCGCCGGGGCAATCGACTTCGAGATGTTATTACTTCGTGCAACCATCCGTTTGTCGACTCGCTCGGCTTTCTTCAGTTCGTATAGGAGTTGCAAAGCCTGGGCCTAACAAATTAATAACATCGGACTCCTCGAAGCTGCCTTTGAGGATACGAAAGTCGAAACCCTGGGTAGAATGCGGTACCTATGATACGTACGGAGTAAGTTTAACTCAAATTGAATGATAATTATCAGCGATGTTAAGTATGCCGGAGTAATATCGTCAGGGGTCCACTCGGAAGTGTTACTTTCGGACTTGACGATTTCATGGAGAGATGGATGCTCCTTTTTTTGGTCGGATATTATTCTCTGACCTCCTGAAGTCCTGGCAGGTGTCGGTTCAGACAATAACTGTATGGGGGTGTTTTCTCCAGGCTGATTGCCGTGCTTGCCAATGGTATGGGATTCTTGCGCCATTTTCTAGGCTGTCGAGGAAATGCCTTTCGCTCAACATATGTACCTTCGTTGATTTAGTGAATGCTATCAGCAATGGCTATTACTGCACCTTCCTAAATGCCGTTCTCTTTTCTCGAGCGCGTGCTGAGCCCTCACCATGGCGAACCGACCCAGAGGCAGCATTGCGAACGATGATGTGACATTGCGAAAGCGGTACTTCATATCCTAATGCCTCTGAATGACAACCGTGTCGAAATGACTTAAAGAAGGTATGATGAAGAGTCCTTTTCTGGAATGCCTGAACATCGTCTGATTTCATTGGGTCACCCAAACAGAGTTCGATACCAGAAATTTGAATTGAAAAAAAAAGGATCAAGGATATCTCTGAGTTGCGGGGTCAAGCGTGTACATATGTACACGGTGCGAGCTCACTCCATTCTGCCCCAGCTTCGATCACCTTCCCCGCCGTTTCGTCTAAGAATGACATGGCCATGGCAAAGACATGAAAAACAGATTCCTCGATAGAGGAGGATGTTACCTAATGTATTGAGCAGTCGTTCTGTGGACCCTGAAGAAATGGCGCTCACCGGGTGCCGATGTATGCGTGCAGGTATATTGTTTGTGTTCATACTTTTTGGGAAATGAAACCACTGAGCCAAACAGCAGATCGTTTTAAAAAATTATTTCCGCGCACTTTGCTGCAATTTGTTCTATGAACTGATTTTCCTTCCATTCTGACAACTATCCTTTGATAATTGAAGGAAGAGACAGAGCAGAGGAAGGCCAGCATAGGCGCCGTTCATCGCGCTTCACGGATGAACAGGGTTGAACTTTGGTTCCAAACGCATGTATCTATGCCCTGTTCAAACATGTTTGGAACAACAGACTTGTTGCAGGGATAAAAAATGAACAGTTGATGCAAACTATACTCCATACAGGCAGGCATGCTGTTAGGTGTTTCAGAGTGTTGCTGAGGCAGGTGTTGATTTTCACAAGATAAAACAAGACAAGATGAGACAAGCATAGGCTAGTTAGTTTTCCCAGGGAGCAGTCTGCAACTAATGAATAACAACATGAGCCACAGGCCTCCTACTTCATGTCAAAACATGCAGAGTACTCGATACAGAGCTATGTACTCCGTACCGAGTACATACGTACACCAACCTACTATTTTCTCACGCTTCAGGATATTACTCAACCATCCTAATTATCCATCCAGGTAACAGTTTTTGTGGTCAAAAACTCGTTTAACCCGCTCGTACCGCCGAAACGGCCGAACCCGCTTCTCTTAACACCGCCGTGCGGGAGGCTGGGCTCGTCGTGAACGGTGAGCGAGTTGATGTGTACGGAACTGCGAGCGACGGGTATCATGAGCATCCATAACAGAATCATCTTTTGACAGAATCGTTGAGTTACTGTCTTTAAGTGAAATTACTCACCCTGATTCAATCTGCTTCGCTACTCGTAATCCTCTGCCTAAATTTGATGTAAACACGGCCGCAGAAAGGCCATATTCGACGTCATTGGCAAGCTCGATGGCTTCGTCCTCCGTATCCACGACAAAGAGTGTGACAGTAGGGCCAAATGACTCTGTACTATGAATGTCCATCTCTGGTGTGACGTTCTCAACAATAATAGGCCGCATTCGGGTATCTGTCGACTCGACTTTATGAGGGTCCCCATGCACAAGACCAGCCCCCTGGGCCAATGCGTCTGAAACGAGCTTCTTATTCTTCGCTACAGGAGCGGCACTGACAAGCACCGGGGATGGAACGTTATCATGGTACATCGACTTCATCGTGTCCACTAAGAAGGAACGAAATTTCTCCGCGACGCTTCGTTGGACAATTATCCGCTCAGTGGACATGCAAATTTGACCAGACTTTCGGGGAAGAATATGATGTTAGCAAGCATAAGACTACAAGGGCAGGATGTGCCAGCATACATTCAAAAACGCGCCAAGGACGCACTGTAGTGCTGCTTTGTCAAGCTCCGCATCATCAAGCACAATCGAGCTTGCCTTCCCTCCTAGCTCCAATAAAACCGGCTTGATATACTTGCCCGCAGTTGCTGCGACAATGCTGCCCACGTTCGTGCTTCCTGTAAAAGTAACTTTGCGCACAGCCGGGTGCGCGATCAAGGCAGTTGTAACCTCGGCAGCATCTGCAGGCTGGTGGTAGATCACGTTAAGACAGCCATCGGGCAAGCCGGCCTCTCGAAACACATCTGCAATACCCCAGTACGTCTTTGGTGAAAGCTCTGACGCCTTCAGCACCACTGTATTACCCGCCATCAGCGGAAGGAGAATGGCACGGAGGCCCAAGGGAAATGGGGCATTCCTGTATAACCGTCAGGGAATTATTATGACGGCAGCTAATATATGCTCGAGACTACTCACCAGGGAACAATGCTGAGCACCACACCATAAGGAACTTTGTAAATAATTGCGCTCTGGCCATCATCCAGCGTCTGAGGCACCACACCTTCTATATTGGCTGCCCTCCCAGCAATATCCATTATTGACTGATAGCCTACATCGAAGGTGAGGTCAGGAAATGGCCCTGATGCGCCAGTCTCTTCAGTACAGTAGCCAAGTAGCTCATCCTTGCGGCGGCGATATATCTCTGCCACCCTCAGTATGATATGTTGGCGCACGGCGGGCTTGGTCGCGGACCAGCTCTTGAAGGCGGCATGGGCGGAATCCACGGCGCGGGTGGCATCATCAGTCGAAGCGCTGCTGCACTGGTGGAGTGGCTTCGCGTTGACCGGACTGTTCACGGTGAAGGTGGCGGGCGTGATGACATCTCTGTTATCCAGAACAAGAGGCACAGTGTAGCCGGCCATTCTGAAGTGGTAAAGCTAGTTTAAGAGACGTCTAGCAACGATGGGCAGATAAGGTCGAGAGCGAGGGCGAGAAAGCACAGTGGGGATTCGAGACGGGGCGCATCAAGGCCAAATAACACGCGGAGTGGAGGCATACCACGAGCCGAAGACGCTGCACGTACCCGAGGAAGAGTGCCACAAGCCTGTCGGTCCAGCCTGCGGGCCATATTCGACTGGACGGTCTGCTAGTCATCTGCTTCAACAGTCCGGAGAGTGGTTTCGGCGTCCTCAGCATCCACGGTCGATGCCAGCTTTGTCAGCCACCGAACGAGGAGCCATCACGCAACCCTCGTGTCGACAGTGCGTTCTGCGGGCGGGCTGCAGCCTCAGCACGGTTCATCCAGCCGGACAGGTGGGATCTCGTCGTGGGCCGCTGGCTGCTCCGTGCGAGGAAACATGGTCGCGACAGTTGATGGCGGGCGACAGTTTGGTCGGCCAGCGGCCCCTTTTCCCGCCGGCGCGCCACACGAGGGGCTTCGAGCAATGGGAACCAGCGGGCCACCGGAGCTGGCGCAAAGGTTGTGACGTCTGCTGGGACGGTCCAGAATATCCAGCGATATGCTGTTCATCCCCTGCCTGGTTGGGCAACTGATCAGCCTGGAGATCAGCAGCACGGCGCGTCCGTGGTACGCTGCCCGACCCAATCCTACCGCTCGATGGCGGGCCAAGCTAGATGTCTGCTGGCACTCCCCCACACTCGATCAGATGGCTTGTGAAAGATCTAAAAGTGGGCAGACGAGGCAACACGGCCTCTCCTTTCCGGGAACCCAGGGCTTTATAAGCCGGACATGGGTCCGCTGGGGATGGCGACGCCGTCTCTCCTGACTGCAGCAGGTTTAGGAAATCAGGGTTTGCCATAGCCATACTGTGCAGAAAACCACCAGAATGAAGATGAAACAGCTGCTCAGCAGCTTGCTGCACTTGTCCCTAGTGGCCGCATCTCCCTTTATGTAAGAACCCCTCTCTCTGCCTGCGGGTTGGTTCTTTGTCTGACTGTTTCATCTCTCCAGGCAACCTCGCGACAATGGCCTGGTCGGCGGTACCAAGATTCGCGGAGTCAACTTGGGGGGCTGGCTTGTCCTGGAGCCGTGGATTTCTCCCTCGATCTTCGAGCAGGCAGGGCCCGGCGCTATAGACGAGTTCACCCTCTGCCAGATCCTGGGCGCTGGAGCGCGCGCGCGCTTACAGGCGCACTGGAACTCCTGGATCACAAAGGATGATTTCGTGCGCATGGCTGCGTCTGGCTTGAACTATGTTCGGATCCCTATTGGGTACTGGGCGGTAATCAAGCTCGATGGAGAGCCGTATGTCGACGGTCAGCTGGATTTGCTGGACAAGGCAATCCAGTGGGCGCGAGAGACTGGAATAAAGGTTATGATTGACCTCCATGGAGGTAAGTAGCTTCATTCAAAGACCCTTTTCATCATATATTGCAGCACGTGCTCACTCCTCTGAAGCCCCGGGGTCTCAAAACGGATTTGATAACAGTGGACGTCGTGGTGACGTCAAATGGGGTACTGGCGACACAATAAACCAAACCCTCAGAGCCGTTCGTGGTCTTGCCGAACGCTACGCCAAAATCACCGACGTTGTCACGTCCATCGAGTTGCTCAACGAACCTGCACCCCAAAACGGAGTCAATCTAGATCAGCTCAGGCAGTTCTATAGGGATGGCTGGGGCACTGTCTGGGACAGCAATCAGCAGAATACGCTTGTCGTGCTTTCTGATGCCTTCCAAGATCCACTGTCCTGGAACGGCTTCATGACTGCCGCCACCGGTATGGTCAATACCGTCTTGGATACCCACCACTACCAGGTCTTCGACCCTGCGCTCGTCGCTTGGAATATCGATCAGCATGTCCAGGTGGCCTGCAACTTTGGAAAGGAGAAGGTCTCTAAAACGGACAGGCCCACCATCATCGGTGAATGGTCCGGAGCCTTGACTGACTGCGCCAAGTATCTGAACGGCCGCGGTAGGGGAGCACGATATGACGGGAGTTTCCCGGACTCGAAATATATTGGAAGCTGTAATGGAAAATCTGTCGGGTCTGTGCAAGCTCTTCCTGATCAGGATAAGCAAAACATTCGACGCTTCATTGAGGCCCAGCTGGATGCGGCTGAGATGGGTGCTGGTTGGGTATTCTGGACCTGGAAGACAGAGGGTGCGCCGGAGTGGGACATGCAGCAGCTCATGCAGCAAGGAGTATTCCCGCAGCCATTGACTGACAGGAGATTCCCAAGGTGCTAAGAGAATTCGAAAAGGGAACTAATATGGAAGCAGGGCTTTTTTTTTTTTTTGGAGGGAGTTTTGGGCACTGCATCACTTGGATGCCGGAGGGGCGATATTTGTTATTATTCGAAGCGTCATGATACCTCTCGGAACTAGACTAGTTAACTAGCTAAAGTAGAATGCTAGGCCGATATAATGCCCATTTAGTAGTTTAACCATCTATTTGGACTTACAAGGTTTATTTTTCAAGTACCGCACAGCTCGTAAAAAAGGAAGAGTATGTAAGAAGGCAAAGCCGTGATACTCGTCAAAACGCCAGTCAATTCCAACCCTGTTAATGACCAGAACGACCACAAGATGCATGGAATGCAAAGTTTCAAGACTAAACACGGCGATGGCTAGAAAACGCCCAGTTTCGCAAATTCATTGACTACTTCCTTATCCACATTGACCAGCCATTCTGCATTAAACTGATCAATACCACCGCAGGCTCCAACCAAAGCACGGATGTGTTCAGTAATGTAATCACGTATATTAATTCGATGAACCGGATCGGCAAGTGACCACGCCCGGCGGCGAGTAGTTTCGGGTGGCTCATTATCCTGAAATTTTCCTTCCGGGCTATATGCATTATTGTTGTTCACACTAATCAGATAATCTCCGCGGGTATTTTCCGAATCTGCTGTGGGGTCGGAAAGCTCAGTGATAACATCAGTCCAGATACTCAAATATGATTGAAGGTGGTTCAGAAGGTAAGTGGGGGGTGGTGAGGAGGGTCCGTTTATGGAGAGAAGATGTGTCAACGCGAGAGTGTGAAGTTTTTTCATTGTGATATCGCCGATGCTATCAAAGTGGAAGAACCATTCTGTTAGCATCCATTTGAATGTCTCTTCTTCGGAGATGGGTTCTGTCACGGCTTTGATGGCCGTAACAAAGACTCTTGGGTTGGCGTATGCAAGTCTTGCAAGTATAGAAAAATGATCAGTCTCGGCCACCCCATCGATAGCGGAAAACCTTTTATTTGGGCCGGTGGATAAACTCGACTCATACGCCTGGTGCAGGCCGGCTAACAAAGTGTGTAGGAAACGGCTACTAATAAATGATTCTGCAATCAGCACATAAGTCTGCTCATCCTCATTGGGAGAAGTCTCTCCAATCCGGATTAATGCCGACGCAAGGTAGGGGACCAGTCCAACACGTGGACGAACGTTCGGGCCCAAGAAAGGCTCTAGGGCTGTAAGAAGTCGAAAACGAACGTGGCCGTCTAGGAATTCTCTAGGTGCCAAAAGAATATAGCCTTCAACCACCTCAAGGGCTTGCCGAACACTTTCAGTTCCAATCTCAAATACTGGAAATAGAGTGGGAAACAGTCCAAGAAGATGTGCACTAGCGGGGGCTGGAGTTTGCGCGAGTACTGCGCACCATAAATCAAGAGACTCTTCTAATAAATATACAAGGGATTCCTATCAAAGTTCATTAGAGAAAGAGCACATTTGTAAAATGGTCGGAGGGATACGTACAGATCCTGGTTCTACGGATTTCTGAATCAGTGGAAGGACCAGCGGGTGGTACCTCACAGATTCGTGTTTCATCGAGTGAATTATTGAGGATAGGAGTGTTAATATCGCTTGCTTCATCAAATGCTCATCTCCAGACTGCTCCCACAAGGAAGGTAGTGTAGTGACTATTTGGTCCGCATATGGGGCAATCTGAGAAGTATATTAGCTCATTATGTCAAAGATCATTCCTAGAAAACTTACATGGTCCTCCATTTTCACCACCACTACCCTTACAGTCTCTAATAGCGCCATTTTCGTCTCAGGCAACATGACCTCTTGGATTAAGCTCATTAAGTATTGTAGAATCGGAGTGATAAAGGGTAAAAACCCTTCGGCGGTAAATTCGTAAGGGTCCAGGACTGACCTCAACTGACGGCCAGCTGTAACTCTTACGACTTGGTCATTATGGGGGTCATCTTTGTTAAGCAGATGCTGGAATATGCGGTAAATAGCTTCTCTATCCAAGTCTCCCGGTTTTATTGGCATCCACTGGCCAAGAAGAATAGCAATCCTCCGGCGAAGAATATTGTACCCTGGCTGTTGAATTTGCACTTCTGGGATAAGCGTAGTTAATAAAAAGGCATTGAAATCCAAAGGTTTTTCTAAACACGCTGCCGCTAGCCCAACAGCAGAGTAAAGAGAATCTTTTAGCAGTACATCTCGATTTTGTGGGGCTATTAGATCGTTAGAAAATTGGGCTTCGCATGACCTAATCACTGTTAATGAACTCACTTGCATAAGAATAGAACACGTTCAAAAGTTTAGGAACCAGTAGTCCTTTGAAGTGTATTATGAGATCGAGAAATAACTTCTCGGCACACGAGCGAATTGAAAACTCCCAGGCATCTGAAATTTCCTCCTCTCGCTTTTCCCATTCTTCAGGCTCCTCTTCCCACTCCCGCAAGTCGCTGGCTCGAAAAACAAAAAAACGGGTAACCAGAAGCTCCATCACTTGAATAACAAATTCTTCTTGGAACAGCTGTGTTTTGATCACTTGTACTGCCGATGCCCTTTCTTGCTTATCTTCAGCACGTTGATATTTAAAAGTCTGAGCTGGATAAAATGCAAGTTTAGCACACGCCCTAAGTAATATAAGGCCCTTTAGCGCCAACTTCTCAGAGAGGTTCCATTCGTCACCGTCGGCATCGCCATTGGTACCGATTTTCAACTGAGAAAGATCCGTAGTACCATATGTCTTGCCCGATTCAGTAACGAGAGACCAATAAAATTTAACCGTATCAGTACACTGAGGGAGCAGAGCAAATGCAGCCGGGTGCTCTTTAGCCATGGCTATGTGAAGCTTTGACAATTGAAGAACATGTTTGCTGATCGACAAGACAAGCCGAGGATCCGTACTGGCAGGCTTCTGGTTGGAAATTGTAATAAAATTTGCAAAATGGGTAAGAGTGAGATCCCAAAATTGCTGAACATCAGAGTCTCTGTTAGGATACTCATACCCTGATATTATCAAACGACGAATGATTTTCAAAGCGGCCAAGCTTTGTTCACTGACTACCACAGCTTCAACGCCACTTACTCGGCTTCCATCTAAGAAATTGAATACGTTTTGTACTTGTTGAAAGTAAACAGTAGCAAGAATGCGAAAGAGCTCCGGTGTCATTGACTGAAATCCCTTACGAATCCGCTGTAACCGGCCGGTAGATAGCTCTTTGACAACTTGAAGAATAATTAAAAGAATACGCGAAAGATGTAACGGGTTGGCGCCGGGCTCGATAGAAGAGCGAAGTAGCTGAGTGATTTTTGTGACCGCGTCGGGCCTGCGAAAAAACGTATCAGTAATAAGCTTCTCTGCGATCTCACACTGACCCGCAAACTTGCCATTCTGAAGGAAATTCATAGCGTAGTATTTTTGCTATCATCAAAGCATTGTGGAGAGCAAGATGGGCAGCCGGCTCTACAAACCCTGCATCTAAAGCCCTGTTTTTTATCCGTTCTTTTATGTGTGGTTTCAATGCACTGCCACAGCAATTAGTTATGCCCATATCTAGCGAATGTGAAGGCATACTTGGGCGACGTCTTATGCCAGTATTTATCAACGCCGTTCTTAAGTTGGAGGACGGAAAGGTAGCGAGCTTGATCCGGAACAGAGTAGTCAGTGAATATATCCTAAAGAGTGGGCAGTTAGCTTCATATTGAATTTAAATATTACGCCGGAGATAATACCTGTAGGAGAGTATAATAGCTAGCTTCCTTTTCCCAATTTTGTAGCTGTTGGGCTCCTGTCTGGACCTGGATTTGGGTGTTGGATGAAGCGGAAATTAGAGCATTGAAGATAGCCTGGCGCGACAACGGATTTGCCTCTCCTTGAACTTCGAATATTGGAGGCATGGTAGGCCACCAACAGTGAAGGAGAGCAACGAGGTTTGGGGAGTTAACTGCGAATTAAAGGTTCATTTCTTGGGTTTGGAGATAGTTTGTTTTGCTAAACTCAACCCCACCAGTGACCTCAGAAAAAGTGTTTGCAGCCAGTGACGCCAAAAATGCCAATAATGAAACTAAAAAACGCACAAGCCAACTGCACATGAACTGTAAATTAGTTAGCTAACTTCATTGTGTTGGAAGAACAGAGTTACTCCCTACGCAGTACGGAGTACAAAATAATGAATCAAAGCTATGAGACGGAGATGAAAGTCTAGATCTTGATGGGCTTCACGCATTTCCCTCCACACTAAACCAATTGCAGAATGGCACCGGCAGCTATAGGGACACCAGCGATGTTAATACCAGGTCCTATCAAGCTGTAAAAGGTGGCAGAGGCGGGTCCTCGGCCCCATGCTATTCCGCAGGGGCAGGGATGATATCCCGTCGGCCCCAGTTCTTCCCATTTCAAATACAGTCCATGCTTTCCCTCCACTTGATTATCATGAGGAAATTGAACTCACTCAGATTTCAGCCAACATGGTCGTCTACATGGAATTCTCAATCCAAATGTAAGTAGAAGTCTCTACAAAAGCGCATTAGACAATCGATACACCCCTGAAAAAATTTGAGAAATTGAATATCCAATGTTATCAGGGTATTTTGTTGCGGAAATGCGGTCCTCCAATAGAAGAGTACAATCAGGAAAAACGAGTCTTCAGGGGAAACAGAATACAAATACTTGGAAAGTATAGGACTAGACAATGCAGTAGTAGAATGATGGGGGCGGTCTAAGCCTTTGGTTGGATTGCCCCAAGCCACGGCTCAGCAAGCAACTCCTTCGTCGTTTTCCGCTCTTCGGGATCAATTCTCATTAGTGACCGTAGGAACATGACAAATTCTTTTTTATCTTCTTCATGCAACTTTCCGAGAAAGAATTCCGACTCCAAAGCTGGGCGCTCAAGTGATGGCGAATCTTTAATTCTCCCTTCGCTATCAAAATACTTTTGAACAAGCTCTTGATCGCCTTTTTCCAGAAGTGATTTTGGAAATGGTCCGAAGAAATCTACAATTTCTTGAAGATGATACCGGACTTGATAATGGCCATCCGGTGGGCCTCTCCCGCTAAACATTCGAACAGCGCGAAATACTTCTAATACAACAGCCCCAAGGTTCCAAAGATCCGTGGTTGGGCCCCAAGGGGCGTTTATTAGTACTTCTGGAGCACGAAGAGCTACAGGCTGGATGAGCTCTGTAAGGTGAGAATTAGTCCAGCTCGCAACACCCCAGTCGCCCAACGCAATTTTAAACTCTCGGATCTTTGTTCCGGGCCGGAAGTAATCCCACTTCAGAGGCTGGATTTGAATGCTAGAAGGGTCAGTTGACGGGTCAAAGGCAGCTGGGTCGGCCGGGTTGTTTGGCAAATATAACTCTGAAATTAATGAGTCATCCGGTATTTGGACAAAGATATTATCTGGTTTGATGTCTAAGTTTTGAAGTTAGGAACGTGGCGAACAAAACGGCAGGAAACATAGGATATACCAGTGTGAATGACACCATGTTCATGAGCATAATCTAATGCCAGAAGAAGTTGAATTGTGAAACGGCGCATAATCTCATTAGGGAGCGCATGATCTTCAAACCAAGTTCCAAAGCTTCGAAGTGTCTCGCCCATCACCATAAAGACAAGGCAGACATGATTTCCGTTAGGGCCATTATGTTCAAACGAATCAACCAATGTCGAAATGTAAGGATATCCAAGGTGTGAAGGGTCAGCATCTCGTAGATGCTCAAGTATCTCGCGCTCAAATATATTCTTTGACCCCCCATAACAATCAGCACTCAAAACCTTTAACGCTCTAAAATTTCCTTCTCTAAATACTAATATCAGCAAATGATGACCCAGTATAATTAGAGCAAACCAACCTATTTCGGACAAGCCATACAGTGGAATACCCTCCGGAACCAATTTTTCTTAGTACTTCATATTCTCCATTATACACTTCTCCCAAATAAACAGGATGGAAACCACCAGGACAATACACTTCAGGCCCTTCGCCGCTAGCAGGCTGATCTTGAGAGGGTATCTTGAGATTGTCCTACTAGATTTAATTTGAAGTTCGACGATAATTAAGTGGTCAAAATGAACTCTTTCTGCCCCACTAAACTGTTGATACCCATTACCCAATCTAGGCTCCGATATCCAGATAAACCTTGTTATATAAGCAATTTAACGTAACGGTGAAGCTTATTCAGCCAAGACGGGTGTCCCCGAACTTTAGCTCACGCTTTGAAAAACGAGTGTACGGAGTACTTCGCACGGAATATTTGTCCACTACTGTTTCTCCCAATTCCACCGGTGTTAATGATAGCAAGGTTCAGGTACGGGAAAGAAAATACTTACATCGATATAGAGCACTTTATAACAGTCTACTATAATCTCGATTCTTGACCTCCTAACACAGGATGAGCTGATCGATTGACAATTATGGTTAAAACGACGACCACATTAATGTCCTCCGGTAGGATTATGTCACTAGATCACAGATTCTTTTCACTAGCTTCTGTTGATCCAAATAGTCGTAGTGACTATCCGGCCAAAGAATGGCCATCCTAGTCAAGGTCCAACGGATCAGTTATGCTCTTGTATGCTATTCCATAGCCGAGACTGATTGAATGCAGGGGTCTCCTAACAAATGGAATACTTCGAAAACTTTCTCAAGGACGAACGCGCAATAGCACGGAAGCCACGTACTGAACAAAGCAACAGACTTGTAAGCAAGTTTGATCGGAATGCTGGTCGTGTGCTGTGGTAGTATAGAGGTAGTCCGACCAATAGATACAGAAGCTAAAGCTGTCATAATTGAGGTTCAGCATGATTAAATAGTATGAATGTATAAGCTCTTTATCAAGGAGTATAAGACATCGACGCAATCACGGGCAATTTATGAATATATTATCCAATGCCATTAGTTTTTACTTCGACCAGTAAACACCAATACTTGGTCTTCAAAACTGGTATCCAATCGCTGGCTAACTGCTCAAAAAGGGGACAAATGCTCTTTGACAAATGACTGGAGTCTAACCTACAGGTGGTACTGCTTGACTCTAAGAAATATATAACAGCAAAAGCATTTCTTCAGATAGAATAAGCCCTGCGAGGATATCCTTCAAAGCTAGATGTGCCGCCTTGGGAGACTGGTTTAGCTTGTACTGCCATTATTACTTGAGTCCATTCGGAATCACCCGACAGGTAATGCAGGCAGTGTGATGACCAAGCATCAATGATTATTTATGCCAAGCATATGAATGGATGAGAGAGGGTCACTGTTTCAATAAAAGATATATTTAACAATAATTTAAAGATGATCAAAAAGTGCAATCACCCAAATTCTACAGGATTTTTTAATCAGGATATTAGCCGCGTGGAGATTAGGTAATTAGTTAAAAGTAGGGTTTCTATCACGTGGGCGTTTAATTGCCGCCCTATGATGCAGTTAGCGTTCACTACCTCGGCTTCAGTCAGCAATGTGACAAAAAGCCCTGCGAGTAAAAAGATTCATAGCTCGGAAATGGAACTTCATACTTACACATTTCTCTGGGATAACAAAATGATATAATAATGACTTCTGCAAATTTTGCTGCCGCCCAAGCTCGCGTACTAGAACGCCACCAACAACGCGAAACCGAAGCCCAGAATAACCGACTTCGTCCGTCCTCTCGATTACCTCCAGCTCTCCGCGACCTTCCTTATCCGTTAGGCCGGCTTTCAGGCAGTAGTTTAGCGCTATGGGATACTGTTAAGGGGAGGGAGGGAACGCGACCGGCATTCAGAGTTGGACAGGTTGACTCCGAGCTATTGGACGAAGAACTTCTGGGATTATTGAAAGGCCAGGTTGGAGAAGGATTGAAATACCTCGGGGTCAGAAGCCCTTTCCAATAAATATTGACGTTTCATGGAGAAAAATTGAGCTAACGAATTTTATTGCTTCAGCGACATATTCGGGAAGATTGGTCGCATGAAATCGAGCTTTCCCTTCGTGCAATACTATTTAAGCTATCGATATGGGATCACGATGCTTCGTATGGCGCAGCATTGCAAAATTTGAAATACACCGATAGCCGGAGCAAAGGCCCAGTATATAAGGCGCCAACAAAATGGCAAAAAGTATTATACGGCCTATTGACGGTTGGAGGGCGATATGCATGGGATAAATGGGATTCTTGGATAATTGACCAAGAGGGAGGATATGAAGAGGTAATTTAAGAGAAACTGAATTGCATTTTGCAGCTTATCTGACGAATTCTAGGCCTCGCCAAATCTTAAAGCTCTTGCAAAGCTAACAAATCACGCTTCGAACGTGCATTCAATGGCGTCCTTTGCATCATTCCTAGTCTTCCTTGTGAATGGCCGATACAGAACACTTGTAGACCGTCTCCTACGAATGCGATTAACTCCGCCATCGACGCAGGTTAGCCGCGAAGTATCGTTTGAGTACCTTAATCGACAACTGGTTTGGCATGCATTCACTGAATTTCTACTATTTTTACTGCCCCTTGTTGGCATTGGCCGCTGGCGGCGCTGGCTTTCAAGAGCATGGAAAAAAACGGTGTCATCTCTCCGCCCCAAAGACGAGGGCGAAGAAGACGCGAGGGATAAAGGGCCACTAGGCTTCCTGCCAGAACGTACGTGTGCTATCTGCTATCAGAATCAAAACCCTACAACATCGTCGGAGTCAGATATAATGGCTGTGAGTGGAGCGTCTGGGGGAATAGTGGGCTCCGCCCAAACCGACATCACAAATCCATATGAGGCCGTGCCTTGTGGATGCATTTACTGCTTTGTTTGTATTGCGCAGAGACTAGAGGCGGAAGAGGGTGAAGGTTGGATGTGCCTTCGTTGCGGGGAGGTTTCGAAACAATGCAAGGCATGGAATGGGGACGTGCTAGAAGAGGTTCAACCACAATCAACTAGCGACAAGAACGTCGGGTTTGTAACCAATGAAGATGTGGATTCCGACAGCCATACCAACGATTCTGTGACTGACGATGGCATGCACGAGTCTAATCAATGGGCAACTGTTGGAAAGGACGAAACGGACAACACGAGCGTTGAACTGGACTTTGACCACAAAGAATAAAGGCCACATCACAGCCCCCCTCTAATATTCTTCCACCTCAGTTGGCTTTAAAAGGGCGTGTTCATGTAGACGTCCAGCTATTGCTTTATCTTGCCGTGGCGTCGTATCTGTGGATGCCAGATTCGACATCTTTACACCATTAGCGACATTCTATCCATGTCTTATGCTGGCTGAACAGTTACTTCCTTATAAACCAGCGGTGTTACCAGTGCGTCTTAAGACGTCGTATATTGCAGAAAGATGACGGAATACGTGCCTTGACTAAGCTGTACAGCTCCCGACGAGTAGCTTCCATGATATGTGCCCGTTTATGTGGGTGTAGATCTGGTGTTCATTTTGTATGTATGTACTTACAAATCATAATAGTTTATACAAAAAAACAAAAAATCATGTACGCCTTGCATCCACTCTTAATGAGTCTCCTCCAACGTCAGATTAATGGAGACTTATCTTAAGAAATAGTAGCCATCGCAGCACAGATGGTGCCAACAAGTGGGAATAATCCTCTCACGAAGTTCAAGGTAGACCAGGTCTGTAACCAGCTCTGCACTTCAGCTTCCTCTCGGGAAGCCTTCAATTCAGCCTTAACATCCTTCTCCTTTTGGGCCAGAAGCCCTTCAGTTTCCGCAGAATCAGCCTTGGCGATCAATTTGCTGTTGACTGGTTTCATAATCAACAAAGTGAATGGCACTGGGGTGAAAGTGAACAGGGCTGCAAGAAGGTAGTAGTTTGCAGCAATGACGTTGCCTTGACGAGCGACGGTTCCCTGGCGGAAATGATATGAGAGATAGGAGTATGTAGAGCCAGTAATAAAAGCGATTACTGGCGCAATCGACTTGCCAATTCCGTAGGCGTGATGCCACTGTGAGGCAATGTGGGAGACTGGGGTACCTGGCTGGAACGAAGAGTCGAATGTGCGCTTGCTGCTGGTCGCAGGGAGCATGAGAGTTGGTACAAGAACGGTCGAAAAGTTAAGAATACCCCCTTACGAAGTGTCAATGCTCTTTTTTGTGATGTCTCCTGGTATATAGCCATTGAGAACTCACCTGCAAGTAGACCAGAAGCTGTGAGGCCTAAGACCTGAGAGGTCCTGATTAACGCCGAGTTGTCGGCCATATCGCGTGATGGCTATGGAGTTGCTCAATTGTAGCGTTCCAAACATATATCCACGTAGGAATTGAAAGCCGGAGCAGAAGAGGTGCAAGTAACCCGGTTTATAAACAAAATTAGGCATTGTCTGATCTTGCGTCATCAGAGGTAGCATCAACGTCATAGTTAGATAGCTAAAGCTTAACTAGGTTTCCGGAGGATAGGTAGCTCCGAACTCCGCGGCGGGATTATTACCTCCAGTTAGGTAGTAATTCGGAATCTTTGAATCGCTTGAGACCGGTCCACCTGCGACGAAGGTAGATCACAGACAAATCCCTGTTTCTGGCACCGAGGCTGGCCTTGGAGGTCTTAAAATGTCTGGGCGGTTGGCATATGACTCGGGCGAGAATTCACAAACTCCTAGAGGAGTGCTAGCCAACCCACGAGTCTAAGCTTTGACCTGCCCGTGCCCAATTATTAATGAACGCGCCCGTATTAGCTGCACCTGGAGCTGAATTGCGGGGCGCAACCAGAATCCCTGGTTTCTGGAGAAAGTCCAGCGTTACCTAAAGTGAGGGGGACTCCACACGATTTTCAAAACGGATGATCTTCGGCAAGCATGAATATCGCTAATAATTAGCATTCAATTGACCCAAGGGCAGTAATTCTGCAACGTGCTCCTATTTAACACGAATTTCCTGTTCCTGCCCTACTGCATTCACTCGTTTAATCTGCAACCAAGTTCTGTTGGTTTTCAGAATCATATTAAGCTAGAAATACCTTGAAAAATGAGCTTCACAACACCCGCGACGGAAGATTGCCCAAAGGAGGAACCAAGGTATCTAGAATTCCCATGTGCGGCTGGGGGTACACGAAAAAATGGGGAGCCGATCTTGAATAAATACTCTCAGTTTATCACGAAGGACCATGACTATCCTGGAGCGCAGGTAAGAGATACACCGCATCATTTCTGCTCTAGCGCCTCTCTAATAGACGCGGGGCACTTTGTATAGGCTATGCTATATGCTGCAGGTGTGCCAGATAGAGAGAGCATGAAAACTAGCCCCCATGTTGGTATTGCATCGGTGTGGTGGGAAGGAAATCCCTGTAATATGCACTTGTTGGACCTGGGTAAAACTGTGAAGAAAGCCATTGTAGATAAGGGTATGTTGGGATGGCAGTACAACACCATCGGTGTTTCTGATGCTATCACAATGGGTCATGAAGGTACGCCAGTCATCCTCATCGGGGTATCGGAGGATTAAGTGCTCTTTCCTTAGGTATGCGTTTCTCCTTGCAATCTCGCGAGATTATCGCGGACAGTATCGAAACTGTTACCTGTGCGCAATACCATGACGCATGCATTGCCATACCTGGCTGTGACAAGAACATGCCAGGCTGCGTAATGGCAATGGGAAGACATAATCGACCATCTTTGATGATTTACGGGGGTACGATACAAGGTGGATATTCGGAGCTGTTGCGGCGACCAATAAATGTTTCCACTTGTTATGAAGCAGCAGGCGCTTATGCTTACGATGCTCTTGTTCAGCCGGATGATGGCGGGGATAGAAGTAAGACCAAAGACGAGATCATGGAAGATATCGAAAGACATGCTTGTCCCAGTGCTGGAGCTTGTGCGGGGATGTATACTGCGAACACTATGGCAACCGCAATTGAGTCTATGGGCTTAACTCTTCCAGGTTCATCGTCCACGCCGGCTACATCGCCATCCAAAATGCGCGAATGTGTAAAATCTGCAGAGGCAATTAAACTGTGCATGGAAAAAAACATCAGACCGCGGGATTTGATGACGAAGCGTTCCTTCGAGAACGCCCTGGTGATGACAATGGCCCTTGGCGGAAGCACCAACGGCGTCGTTCATTTCATTGCAATGGCAAGATCAGCGGGTCTTCATTTGACACTTGACGATATCCAGCGGGTTAGCGACAAGATTCCATTTATTGCGAACCTTGCTCCAAGCGGAAAATACTACATGGCTGACCTCTATGAAATCGGGGGCATTCCATCAGTTCAGAAATTGCTGGTCGCAGCCGGCCTTTTGGATGGTGATATTCCAACCGTAACTGGCAAGACATTGGCAGAGAATATTGCGTCGTTTCCTTCTCTACCGCAAGATCAGGCTATTATCCATCCCCTGGATAATCCAATCAAAGCGACTGGCCATCTCCAAGTGCTAAGAGGTAACCTCGCGCCTAATGGTGCTGTGGCCAAGATTACTGGAAAAGAAGGAACAAAATTTGTAGGAAAGGCTCGCGTATTTAACAAAGAGCATGAGCTGAATGATGCTCTTACCCGTGGTGAGATCCCACGCGGAGAAAACCTCGTTCTCGTTGTTCGATATGAAGGTCCAAAAGGCGGCCCGGGGATGCCAGAACAACTCAAAGCCAGTGCTGCCTTGATGGGTGCTAAGCTCACCAACATAGCTCTTATCACAGATGGCAGGTATTCAGGTGCTAGCCATGGCTTTATTGTTGGCCACATTGTCCCAGAGGCGGCTGTCGGAGGACCGATCGCTATTGTGCAGGATGGAGACACAATCACGATCAATGCTGAAACCAATGAACTGACAATGGATGTTTCTAAGGAGGAGATTGCGAAGCGGATGGCGTGTTGGCAGCCACCAAAGCCACGCGTCACCAGGGGCGTTTTGGCGAAGTATGCGAAATTAGTTGGAGATGCGTCGAACGGCGCAATGACTGACCAGTTCTAAGACCGCCGTTGCCGTAATACATAGCGATAATGACTGTAGTTAATGACACGGCGCTCCTCTGCAAACGTTGGCCTTGGTTGCCTGTGTTCCTTTGCTGCTCCATGTTAGGAGTCTTAGGACCGCGTTATTCAGCTGTGGCCTTACCCTGTAGTTAAGTAACTAAAAGCAGCACCGTCCTTCTGTCAGCATGCAACCATGGCCTTAGGGCGGCCACTCAGACGACCAAGCGCGGCAGGGCTCGATGCAGCCAACGACGTCACCAGCAATTGCTTTTTCTCGTGATGCGAATTCTGGCGTGTCAACTGCAGATGCATTACTTGTATTCATTTCTTTCACTGCGCTTCGTCACCGGAACGGCCCGTGGAGGACCTGAAATCCCGTGCCATGCGCGCAGAGACTGCCTGCCCGATGCTCCGTTCTGTCTTTAATTACAAATCGTCTTGTTGATAAAAAATATCTACTGGGTGGAATATTTCCTCCGCGAGACTTTCTTTTGCCATTCAAAACGTACTGCAATTAACTCAAGCGACAGTCTCTAGAGCAGTTTGTGAAAGTCGGCTTATATATAACGTCTGCATATAAATTTCGTGCGGAAATGAACTTTTGCCTGGTATATTTGTGTGCCTTGCCCACTTTTAACTTTACGTGTCTACCTTTCTAGGCAGGGAAAATGGTGTCATACAATGCCTTGATCTGCTCCATTCTTAGGCTTATGGGGGTAGCAGAACCACACTGTGAATTTCTCCTCGACGATGGACCCACTACCCGCCTGCTTTTGGTGTCTTTAGCTTCATCGGTTTTACTCTTGGGTGTAGGCCTATTCATGATGTCCCAGAGTGCACGTAATTCTTCTGCCAAGAAAATTCAAACAAGGGGAAATGATGGTACACTGGAGGCTACCCGGCCCCTGGGTCAGAACAACGAATCATCTAGTGAAGAAGTGGTGCTCGAGGACGATATACCAAACCATAATAAAACTAAACAATCCATACCCAACAGTGAGTCTCCATGCCGATATTTTAGGCTTACGCTAATAATGACCAATAGGTGATAATAGCTCCGATCCTGGTTTATTGAAAAAGCACTCGTCGTATGGATCTTACACCACTCATATCACTACTTATCAATCCATCCGCACATTTTTCTGCCCCCATCCTCATATTGAAAAGCTGCCTACGCACCCAAGTTCTTTACCGCTGCTTGTATTTGTTCATGGGTTAGGTGGCTCGCTTGCTCAATTCCACCCTCTTCTCACAACTCTTACAAACGTCGCTCCCTGCTTCGGCATCGATTTTCCAGGTTGTGGATTTTCCACTTTCTCACCGACAGAGTGGTCTGCATACTCTTTGGAGGCTCTTGCTACGCTTTTGGCGACCGCAATTGAAAAACGCCGTGATACAGCTAGAGGCCAAAACGTTATACTTATTGGCCACAGTCTAGGTTGCTCCGTTGCCGCCCTACTTGCTTCCACTCACTCATCAATCGCACCAGAACTAAAAAAACACATTATTGGAGTCGTTGCTCTCTGCCCCCAAAGTTCTCCTCCCTCTAAGGCTACCACTGCACAGTTTCGGCGACTGCTCCATATTCCAGAGCTCATATTCAATGCTTGGCGAAGGTGGGATAGACGAGGTGGCCCCAATAGCCATAGCGTGTCTCGATACGTTGGCTCTGGAGCAGACATTGATACAAGAAAGCTACAACTTAGATTCAATGAGCAAAGTCGAACTCCTGTTTGGCGGAGAATGGCCTGGGGGACACTTCCCGTTTACGATTCTAGCGGAATACCTAACGGTGGCTTACCGGGGGCATCTATATGGAAAGGAATACAAGTATCTCTTTTGCTTATAGCTGGTGAATCTGACCCAATCACAAAACCAGAAGAGATATCAAAGATTCTCGCCTACTTTAATATACCCACTAGGCATCACCAAAATGGAAATAACCCTTCCCAATCGATACCGAATTCGGCGCATAGTTTGTTGGAATTTCCACGATCCCAGGATTCAGATCAATCGCCTTCCAAACAGAGTGATCCATATTTGCGAAAGAAAACAGCCATTCGAGTATTTGTTTTTCCCGCACCGGCATCTCATGCACTGCCATATGACCGCTCAAGCTATCGCGCTTTGTCCGGGCTAATGCAAGATTTTTTCTGCGACATTGTTGACAAACGCCTTAGTCTTGGCTGGCAGTTGCAGCATCTCACCACTTCAGGAAAATGGGACGTTAAAAACCTTGCGAAATGGGAAGCAATTGCACCTGTATCAGATCCTATTGGCGAAACGTTCTTCGCTTTGAAAACGCTACGCGAGCTAGATAAAGCGCATTCCCCACTCCCATTCGTTGAGAAATGGAAGGGGAAAATGCACGCTATCATAGATATCAGCCATGAAAGTCCCGTGTATGACACGGCACAGCTAGGTAAACATGGTATTCAGTACCACAAACTTCCTACAGTTTCAAAAATCCCACCCACTCTGGATGAAGTACGAGATTTTGTCCACCTCGTTGATTCCCTGAAAGAAGAAATTTCCACTCAAGTCAAGAGCCACGATGCAGGCGCGCTTTCTCAACCTCTTATTGGCGTTCATTGCCACTACGGATTCAACCGAACGGGCTTCTTTGTCACCTCATATCTGATAGAACGAAAAGGGTACTTGATTGACGAAGCATTGGAGGAGTTCAAACGATGTAGACCACCTGGAATACGCCACTCGCATTTTATCGACGCTCTATTTGTACGATATCGAACAGGAGTCCGGGGGAGGATAGCCGTTATGACCTAGAGTAGCTGTCTTTCTTCAAGCTGAGATGAGGTTAGGGTCATTGGAGGTGATGAATTATGTAATAATATTAGTAATCTAATCAATCTTGAGTTATCACGCTAGTATTAATCAGGACTAGTCTTCACGTGATCGAATAAAGGATTAGGGTAGCGCTAAGACGAAAAAGGATAAGCGAACGGTCGTGGAGCGGCTCCACAGCACACAAGCCTCGTGCGCTACACAGTTGAAGCGAAATCTCAGGCGAAGCGAGCCGACAACGACGCGCGACGACAACCATCGACAAACGCACCTCTCCTAAAGCCCGTCTTGATTCTCGACCTGAGGCTTTTGCTGGTTTTACGATTGCAATCATGGGTGGCGTCACTGTTCGCGATGTCGATGTAAGTTCTCGAAGTTCTTTTACATCTTCCCCAAGAAGTTCAAAATGCGCGGCGGCCCTGGCTCTCTCGAAAGAAAAAAAAACCGAAAAAACGCCATCGGATGGAGTTGATTCAGTGGCTGTGATTTGAGAATTGGAAACGAGAATGGGGGTGTTGTTGGTAAAAGAATGGATTTCAACCAGGTCGATTGTTTGCAGTCAATAGAAGGATATCGAGTCGACGAACGCCCTACGAATGAGCCAGGTGCTAGTTGGATTTGAATGATTTGAATGATGCTGGATATAATTGAAATTGGAGAGAAGCTGATTTTCTTCGATTTATAGGCGCAAAAGTTCATCAATGCCTACTCCGCTTTCTTGAAAAGACAAGGCAAACTCCCCATCCCAGGTTCGTACGCTCTCTCGACAACCCAAAATTGAACACCTACACTTACGTTCTGAATGAATTCGCAATTTGCCGTTAGGCTAACTTTTGAATTTCATAGGATGGGTCGATACCGTCAAGACCTCCAATGCCAAAGAGCTCCCTCCCCAGTCCGAAGATTGGTATGATCCTCCTGCTCTCTCCAACACTTTCGCTGTATCTAGAAGTTGTTGAAACGCAAGATTTTGCTCCAAACACTGTGCTTACTAGAATTATATAGGTTCTACGTCCGCGCCGCCTCTGTTGCCCGACACATCTATCTCCGCAAGACTGTCGGTGTTGGCCGTTTACGAAAAGTCCACGGAGGCACGAAGAACCGTGGCTCCCGCCCATCCCACCACGTTGATGCCAGCGGTTCCGTCGACCGAAGAGTCGTCCAGGCTCTTGAGAAGATTGGCGTTGTTGAGATCGATGAGGAGAAGGGAGGTCGCAGAATCACACAGACCGGCCAGAGAGATTTGGACCGCATCGCCAGAACGACTCTCGAGGAGGATGAGGAGGAAGACGATGAGTAGACGGTGTCTGGAATGTCCCGGAGTCGAGGTGTATTGCTAGCAACAGAGCTTGTGTTTGATAGGGAGGTTTCTGGCGGGAAATCTTTAATGACTCCGATATGAACCAAAATTCGTGCTTGGGAGAGATGACTTCGGCATTGACCACGGTTACGTTTCGAACAACTGTTTAGAAGACGTTCTCGCTTGAATGGAGTACGATGGTGGCTCGTTTTCTTCTGCTTGAGCACTTGTCTATCTAACTCCCCGTTTGGAAGTCGCAAAGTCTCTTCATGGCACGCAATGACAGTGGTCCATGGGGCTACTGTTATGGTATATTTCATTTTTCTTCGAATTCACCAAGGAAACCCTCCATAGCTCACCTCCGCTGACCGCATCATGTCTTATGGTCTGCTTTCTTGCATAAACCAGAATAAAAATTCTCTAAACTGTTCAAGCCATGTTTACGTCTTTACTCCGTACCTCTAAGCACTTTCATAGCTTACTATCTCCACCATCTACCCTCGGCCCCTTCTTCATGTTCGGACCGATGAAGGGAGCCACGCAATCCCATGGAAACTTTCTCGAGAGGTAGTCTGATTTGTAATGATATGCCGGTTTTCCAAAACCTGGACCGCATGTGCGGATCTTGCAACGAGGAATTCGCGCTCGCCACCCGCCCGCATGTTGCCTTCCCCACTTCACGCCGGGCCCAGAGCCTGATATAAACCGCGGGAGAGCCATGAACAGATACATTGTAATTCCCAGACTCAGCCAACTCACCCGTTTCAATTCCAAACATTCTTTCACTGGCCACAGTACCTTCGTAACCATGGCGCGCCAACTCACCTTGCAGACCGCTTATAAGATGAACTCGGGGTATGATATTCCGGCGCTCGGATTTGGGGTAAGCACAGACACTTCGTACTTTGCTTCACTCCAGAACTTGTAGATTGGAGTAGTTACACACTCCTACGAGCACTCCTAGATACTTAATCAAACAAAAAATTCATCTCGAGGTCAATTTGCTAACTCTATTCCGTGCGAAGGTATACGAAACGTAGGTTCTCCGCAAAAAGAGCTACCTGGTTTCCAGCTTACAATGGGAATAGTCCTGCAGACATCACTACGAGTGTTACTCTCAAGGCACTAGAAACAGGATATCGCCATGTGAGGTCTAATCCAGTCAATTTATTAATCTTTGCTAAGTGATTGCGCAGATTGACTCTGCAAAAGCATACCGCAACGAGGCCGAATGCGCTGAAGCCATCAGGAAGTCTGGATTGAAGCGTGAAGACATATTCTTCACCACTAAAGTTCCATGGAGGTCTCTGGGGTATGACAAAACCAAGGAGTCCATTGACCAAAGCCTGAAGGACGCGAAAGTGGACTATTATGATTTGTAAGTCTACCTGGCTTATACTATGACCATGGCTTATCAACATAGGATCCTTCTTCATGCTCCTTACGGAGGAAAGGAGGCTCGCGAAGGTGCATGGCGTGCCCTCGTCGAAGCCCAGAAGGCTGGTAAAGTTCGATCAATTGGTGTATCCAACTATGGGATTCATCACCTCGAAGAATTAGAGGAATATAACAAGGCTATCGGTGGTAAAATCGACGTTGGCCAATACGAAATTCACCCCTGGGTTCCTAGAAAGGACATTGTTGAATGGCTTCGAAAGCGCAACGTTATCGTCGAAGTGTACAGTCCTCTTGTCCGTGCAAAGAGAATGGACGAGCCAGTCTTGCTCGAGTTAGCCAAAAAGCACAACAAGTCTCCTGCCCAGATTCTCATCAGGTGGAGTCTGCAAAAGGTACATACTGGCATAGCTCCTACTCCAATATGACTGAGATTTAACGACTTTGACTTTTATATAGGGACTGGTTCCGCTTCCGAAATCTGTCACTGAGTCGCGTATCAAAGACAATGCCGCTGTCTTCGATTTCGAGCTTTCCGAAGAGGATATGGGAACTCTCGAAACCGATGAATACCAATTTGTTTGCTGGGATCCAACCACCCATAAGGATGGCGATCCCATGTAACTGTTTTGAGAGTTTATAGTTGTTTCACTCATCTTACAGTGCTTTGATGCTTCTCACTGTAGTTCACAGGGGAAGCATGGAGACTTGAATGGGGGTTTCCTGCTTGATGCCCGGAAAAAGCCAGGATGGTATAAAAAGCATGCAGAAACAACGGCAGAAATCATTCAGAGTATGTACATATGTTCTTCTCATAACGTCATCAAAGCAGTCACTAGATATCATTACAGATGGCGCTAGCCTACCTGCTGATATAAAAAACCACGCTAGTCAGAAATGGCAATACCTGTTGTACACATCTCCTTGTTTTGTTTATTGTGTTCACTCTTGAAATGCAAACAACATAGATGTGGTGTCTGTTGTTTTCTCCCTGTAGAAATCATTGCAGGGGGGAACTTGTCGCGTCTCTTGTTGTTCTTCCAGTATTTCCTCTAGCATAAAGGCACAATTCTTCAAGTCAGTGATTCAACATCGCGCTGTATCAAATTCTGAATGGACAGCTGAACAAGTTTGGAACAGGTCCCCAACTGTTCTACTCTGCACAAAAGCAATCAACCTGTTCAATTTTGCTCCAAGTTGTTTTTAGCGACAATATTGCTTATTGGTGGCCATGACTGCTCGAAGTCGTAGACACCAGGGCAATCGGTATGTTCATCAATGTTCAAGTCATTTTCACATCTAGCTCTGACCCAAGAATAGCCAGGTGAATGGAAATAGAAATGGACATCGGCAGGGTATTGTGAAGAAAGTGAGGCCACATGCAAACGGTGCCATCCAAAACAACATGGAAATTGAGAATGGTGATGAAATTGTTCCCTTAGGTGAGGATACACCTGGGGAAGCTTCAGTCACCACCTCGCAGGCGATCTCCATAAATGAAGAAGGCAAAGAAGAAAAAAGCGATACTTGTTTAGTTTTTGAAGGGGGGCACACTGAAAATACAGAATTCATGGATTATGGTGCCGTTGATGCAAACAGTGACGACTCTGAATCCCAAAATGGGATGGTTGGGAACGTAGAAAGCGACCTTAGTGGTGAAGATCCTCAAGATGATAACGAGCAGCTTTCTGAAAGTGACAAATCTGATCGCCATTCTGCAGAGGAGACAGAAGATCAGCCTCCAAATGACGATGATGATACTGATAGTATGAATGACCCTAATTTTGGAGATGTAGAGTCAAACGGAGATACCATAGATGACGATGAATCTCTTTGGAACGATTCGGATAGCAGCGCGTCGAACGACGACATGGATCAAGAGGCCTATCAGAGTGGAGACGAGAACCAAGGTCAAAGCAGCAGATATCGCAGCCAATTTCTTAGCAAATTCGAACTGGATGTTTTGAAAGAAGCTGGTATTATTGAACAGTCAACCAGCTCTGCCGAAATGTCCAGCGAAGAAGTTGACCAAGACGACAACACCCCCGTTATAAACGCCTCAGCGGTTCATGAGAACGCTTTCATGAGGAGATTAATTAGGAATAGCAACAGATCTCCACCAAGATTTGACCCAGATATGGTATTTGATGACGGAACTGATATTCGCCCACCGGCACACAGCGGTCCATTCTCAGCGCCAGGGCAGATTTGGGAAGATCCATCCTCAGAGGAGTTGAGTCCTTCCAATGCGGCACGGAAAAGGATTAGAGAACGCGCTGCGAACTCCCTTCCTTCAGCGATGGCAGACGTCTCGGATAACGACAAGGAAAATGTTGCACCAACACATCGCGGGGAAGAGGCCGACAGCCAGGACAACAACGCCTTTAACACGGCAAACAATTCGGGCGGAAATTTTGATCCAGTCTTCCAGGAACCGAATTACGTGTCACTTGGACCATTGAGACCTCGCCCGTACCGAACATTCCACTTCTAGCAGTTGCAAAAGGCCAAAGTTTGTTGGAGGAATTTTGAGCGAAGGATTTTCTTTTCCGGTCCAGTCATCAGAGGGGGGGTCTATTTCCACTATTTGTGTTGTTTTTTATCCGCAGATTCACAGACTAACCCCAGCTTCAAACCCCAGCATGGTTCTGTTTTTGATGCTTTTGAGTTGTTTGGACGTTGGACGTTGATGTGCCAAGCTGCTGCTGACTAATGCAAATATGTAAGATTAACTAGCCAATCAAACAGCAAGCAGACAGTCTTAGTCATTTAAAGTATTTTGCTCCCTGAATTATTGGCTCCGTTGGATCCCAACGACATAGGTGATAATCATAATTACTTGTACTCTATGCGACAAGCATTATGTCCTACTCGCATCAATCTCCGCATAGGCCTGTCGAAGAGTGGAATTTCTCTGCTATACCGCCATAATCCAATGGGTCTGCAAACATTACTAAGAAACCTTCGGAATTACCGTTGACCCACCTCGAACTCTCGATATCACCAAAAGTGGTACGAAGCACAGAGCATTCCTGACAAGATCACTACGATTTCATCTCGTTTTGTTATTCCAGCTACCAACTAGAGTCATGCTATATTTATTCCTGCAGTGACTTTCTTTTTTGGTATTTCTAATACCGAACTGGAAGCTAACAAGTCTCATTACATCAACCAAACCCACTTGAGGCGGGGTACATTTCACACATGCACCATGAGGCTGATCAAAAGGAACATTGAACAAGATGGATCGGGCTCAGTTACACTCTTTCCGGAGGAGCCAGAAGATATGGTATATCCGGGAATGAAATAACCTCGACGCAGCCGGCGCTGACTATCCATAGTGGCACGCGTACAATCTCATCCGACCCCGCGATCTCTTGAAAGCCAGTGCGGTTCGCCGTGTTACCAACACCGCTACAACGGGGACGACATCGTCGTCGCGAGTTCATATGACATTACAAATTCGCGTCAAGAGCTTGGATTTTGACCCCCAAAAATCCCAACTTCATGTTTCCGGGCAGATCGTCACGGAAACACCATACACCAAGATCGGTCAGCACCATACCCTAGATTTAGAGTTGCAACGAAACTTTACACTTGAGAAGACGTCAGAATCCTCCAATGAGGGAGGTGGGTGGGACAGCGTTGCACTCGAGATGTTAAGGGATGCTGTCGACGAGTCATACAAACGCCGCGCAGAAGCTATAGCGGTCGTGATGCAAGAGGGTTTAGCAAATATTTGCTTCATTGGACAATTTCAAACTGTGGTTAAACAGAAAGTGGAAATGGCGATACCAAGGAAACGACAAGGTGGAAGCGATCATGACAAGGTGTGTTCTAGAACGAAGATCTCCATTGCTATGACCGACATCGTTAATAAGTCTATATAGGGACTGTCAAAGTTTTTCCAGGTGACACTTGAGACACTTCTTCGCCTACTAGAACCGTCTAGCAACTCCGTAACATCTACAACCACGAGCAACGGCACGTCAACCAGGCCGGTACTATTGGCGTCCCCGGGTTTCACCGCAACCAGTTTCCAGAAGCACATTCAAGCGGCATCATCCGGCAAGCCGGAGTTGAAATCCCTCTTGGATAATACGATTGTAGTACACTCGTCTTCAGGCCATGTACACTCCCTTGCTGAGGTCCTCCAGTCCCCAAGTGTCCAGGCACGACTTTCCAACACCAAATATGCACGTGAAACAGCTATCATGGACACATTTTATACGCACCTAAGAATGGATACAAACAAAGCCACATACGGCGCAAAAGAAGTCGAGTCTGCGGTAGACCAGGGTGCTGTTGGTCGGGGTGGAGGCATTTTGTTGATATCAAACAGACTCTTTCGATCTCAAAGTGTTCACGAGAGGCGGAGATGGGTGTCCCTTGTCGACCGTGTTCGAGACGTCGAAGGAGGAGAGGTTCGAGTCCTGAGCTCAGATCATGAAAGTGGCAAGCGACTCGACGGTCTGGGGGGCGTTGCGGCTATTTTAACATTTCCTATTATAGAAGATGACCACGAAGAAGACGATAACGCAGATGGATGAGAGCAGAAACAAAAGTCATTGCTTTATCATACAGAAAACGAGTGCTGTGATTTTTCTCTGTCTTGCCTACAAGACCTAAAATCCCAAGGCATATTACTCCTCATCCGCTGATTCTACAGCAGCAGGTAAGCGAGATGATCGAGGGGTTAGTGCTGCCGCAGCCCCACGAGTCTCAAAGCTCTTAATGCCGACATAACCAAGTCGGCGGCCTGTTGCATGCTCAGAGCAGTAGCTCTCTCTGACTTGGGCGACCAAGTCACGGCGAGGCTTAAGCGAAGACCATGATGAGAGGGACTGGCTGCCTTTATCCGCCACTCCCAGGCCCTTCCTTTTTTTGATCCCATTTGCTACCACACGAGTCTGGAGTGGGGGTTTCGCGGCCGGGAAGTTCGAATTTAAGCTTGCCTCAAAAGAATTTGTCTCATTTTTTTTTTCCTTTTCTCTCTCCAAGACTTCTTGCTATTCTACTTGGGGCCTCTCCGCGTGGCCTTCACATTCACGCTCAAAATACTACATTCTCCGTACAGACTTCTCCCAGAATATCGCAACCCTTATCCTTACTCTATTAATAAAACCGCTTACGCCCGTAATATCTACCTATTAGCATGCTCCGAAAGACAGCTGCCGAACTTCATCCCACCCGTCAACACCTCAAACCGCCTTCGTCTCTGTGCCACCCCCCCCCCTCCTGGCTGATGCCGATGCGCCGAATGCCGTGCTCACCTGCTTTTCCCGCTCGGGCCCAACCGGCCTGCCCAATGCGGTCAAGCCTCCGGCTCCGCTCGCTCCGCCCCGCCCCCGCCGTGTGCCGTAGCCGGAAAAACCACGGCTCCGTCGGGCGCCTTTCCCGAAACGGCCCGGCTACGTAACTACCGCAACGCAAAATCGAGCCGGAGGGCGTGTCTCCGGGGTGGCTTTTTGTTGTTGATAGCAACTCGCATATCGTGTCTGTTTCACAGTTGCGCTAGGCCTTTTTATATATATGTTTATTTATTTGTTTTTTCTGATGTACGGGGTAGTCAATGATGTATGCACCATTTATAGTGCATCGCATTGTTTCAAGCGTCTTGTATGCAGGAACCGAGAAGGCTAAGCTTTGCTGCGGCCGCGCTGCTCCCTACAACCCAGCGCACAAGCGGCCTTGACTGCCCTTCGCACATCCCGGGGCGACGCCGCGCAATCACGTGTCCGAACCGTGATGCGCCAGGGTTCTACCGTTCTGCCCATCTCTGCTGAAACACATTCTCATCGCAGCCCTTTGTTGATTCAAGCATGGCCGGCGCACATCTGCCCTACAAGGTAGTCATGCAACTACCTACGCACTGCAGATCTACTCTCTCTTTCTCAGCACCTTGCGCCACCCACCCTGTCCATCCCCAGCTCTTCTATACGAGGCTTCAAGATCCTTCTTGGAAGACTACCCTGTTCAGCCCGCACATCCACTTTCCACCTTTTATTTCCCAGTTATATTTGCTGTTCGGTTTTGTAAGAGCCCTAACGCCCATCCGTTTCCCCCCCCCCCCCCACCATGACTCTTTTGCGAGTCCAGACCCTCTTACCCCGTGTTCATCCCAGCCCGCGCCCCAACTCCCCCACCCCTTTCATCTTTTGTATGTATTATTATTATTATTTTCCTCACGGATGAATTACCGGTGCTTTCTCGCCGATATGAATAGCAGAGTTAGTAGTGTTGTATATCCGGAGTACGAAGTATCCGTTCTTCATGCGCCCATCCCCCCCCCCGGTCCGATCACGACATAAAGCCCTTGACGATCCATGCACCGCCTTTGTTTGGCAGTTTAGTGCGGTGTGTATGTAAGCTATGTGCGCGCTTTCGAGACGTAGGGCAGGACTTGAAACAAACAACGCCTTTTTTCGGGCTCAATTCTTTTCCTATTTTTTTTTTTTTGGTTTTATACTTTTGTTTTTTTAAATAGTGTGACCCATCTCGGAGATGCGCCATACGCAAATCACCCTGCGCCGCTCTATTATTCATTATTATTATTCGGAATAGAGCTCCGTTCCGTCATCCACCCCCAAACCGCTTCTGAAGATGCGAGAATGACATACCGGAATACCGGGAAATTGTTGCTACATGACTCGGGCGAAGGAGTAGTTTGTTTTATAAGCTTTTTGCGCAGTTACTTGGAGAAAGCTAGAATAAACTCTGGGGAATAGTAATTCTTATTTTTAGATAGTCTAAACTTCATAACAAATACATACAGTCATTAGTTCGAAAAAAGGATCATGAAAAAAAAACATGAAACGCCATAGAAATGTCGAATGGATATGAATGGTAAAAAAAAATTAGTCGTGCGCCAGCCAATAAACAAGAAGCCAAAAAGCGAAAGGGGAAAAAGAAAAAAGATTTAGGCCCCTGCAAACACCATGCCCGCATATCAGAATAGCCAAACACACAAGGAAGGGGGTATCAAGCATCCAGAAACACCAGCAAAGAGTCGTCCAGGTCTCACTCAGAAGCAGAAGAAGAAAAGAAAAAAAAGGGACAGGCGAGCGTTTATCGCGGCCTCTTGTTGTCGTGCTCCAAAGGCTCGTTCTCCTCTTCGGGGCTGAGACTGCGTTTCAAGCTCTCGCGAGCTTCCGAATGTAGTTCCTGCCATTTTTGCTGACACTCTGATGCCGTCCAGCCTCTGGTGGTTTTATACTCCTGCATCTACAAGTATATCGTAGTCTAGTCAGAATTTTACTGGAAGTAATCTCTAGTGGGGTCATACAGTGGGGCTAACCTTGTGTGCTATAATCTCGAATTTATCAGTCTCCCAGTACGAATGAGCACTCAGAAGCGCTTGAATCTGCAACGGTGCTCGAGTTAGAAAACGTATAGAACTTCCTTTTTTTTATCACTTCGGCCATTGAAATAGATTCAGGGACAGGCGCAGGGAGGGAGGGGGTATCACGTACTCACATCGTCCTCAGACCACTCTCTCATGCGTTGTTTGAGGCGTGTTATCCGCATCTGAAGACGAGACGCATTGTGGTTCCCCCCAAAAGCGGCATTGACGCGCTTCACGACCTCGTTCCACGGGATGTTTTGCTCGCGCAGCTGGAGCGTGAGGCTGGTCTCCTCGTCCAGGATGGAGGATCGCCGGCGGGGTCGCCGCGTGCGCCGCGACGGGCGCTGCGCCTCGAGCTCCTGGCCCCGGCGCTCGTGCTCCAGCTGCTTGACGCCGAGGGGGTTGGGCGCGATGGCCACGGGCGTGGACCGCGCGGAGATGGGCTGGGAGGTGCCGGCGCGCGAGGCACGGTCGCAGGACGATCGGTCGGCGTGCGCGCGGAGCGGCGGCGCGTGGTGTTCATAGGGGCTGTGTTCCGAGATAGTGCCGTGCGGTTGATCGTACAGGACCATTCCCGGTTGCATGTAGCCCAGGGTGCTGATGCCCAGGCCATGGGGCACGCCAGATGAGCTTATGTTGTGGTAGTGGAGATCGTGCGAGTGGGAGTGCGAATGGTGCGAAGGGGGTTGCCGGTGGCCAAGATATGCGCTATTGGGGGCACTGATGGGCGTCAACAGTGCTGGGTTTGCGTGGGTACTGGTGGCATAGGAGTGGCTGACGCCGGCAAAGGTCTGGAGGAGAGAAGGGGGTTAGTGATGGAGGTGTGGTCCCAGAGCAGTGCCAGGGACGTACGACGCTCGGAGACACCCATTGTTGGTCCATCAGGCTGTTCATCTGTCCATGGAATGGAGACTCTGGCCAGGAGGACGGCAGTTCCTCGGGCGCCATAGCTGGTTGACAGCAAGGTCTCGAGGGCAACAGAGGGGGGGGGGTCTGGGAGGAAGACGGGGTAGCCGTCTATGGGGCAGGCAGATAGAGTTTCCAACAGGAAGCTTTAAGCAAGAAGAGCAGATTCAAATGATCAAAGGAAGAAGGAAAGCGAGGTATCAAAAAGGAAAAAAAAGCTCAAGCCTGTTTTTGAGTTCTTCAAGCCGACCCATGAGAAGGGGGGGGAGGGCGAGCGGATTTAAGTAGATTTATAGAGCGCACAGGCAGACAGGAGTCATCGTGGCTTAATAACGTATTGGGAAACGGAGGCTCGCTCAATGAACGGGCTGGAAATGCTGCGGACAGGCAGTCCCTGCAGTCGACCTGCTTCAAAGGGCTTCTTTCGGGAGTGAAGAGAGAGAGAGGGCCAGGACCACATGGCCGCGGGGCCCAGCGCCGGTGGGATTGTCCTGCCAAAGCGGGCTTGTACATGACTATTATTTTGTTTTTTGCTGTTCGACCCCTCCATGATCCCCTTGCCTGGCCCGGAGAAGCGCAGCACAGCATGGCCGGCGTGAGCAGAGAAAGGGAAGAGAAGAGCACGGGTGCGCAGCGGAGGGCCAGAGAGAGAGCAAGAGACAGAGACAGAGAGAGAGAGGGGCGGGACGGGGGTCCCACCGTGCGAAGCTTGGACTGTGGCACTCTCGCACGATGCGAACAGCGACGTTTCTCGGCCAGCGTGTCGATCCGGAAGAAGACGTTTTTTCTGTGATGGCAGAGGCTTTTTTTTGTGCGAGAACTAGCGTCCGGTGGTTAAGCGCCCTGGACTGCGGCCGGCCCAGGGTTGGCTCCGGGCCAGGGAGACGAAACTTTCGAAACGGCCCCCAACGCTGTGCTTGTATATTTCCTTTTTTTTTTCTTTCTTGTTTTTGGCTTTTTTGATGCTGCTGCTGCTGCTGCTGCGTGCACCCCCCGTTAACTTTACCGTTCGCTTGGCCGTGCGCTAAGGGTCGGGCCAAAACGGCTGTACTTCGCTGTGTACTCCGTAGTTACGTACGGGGCGGAGGAGATGGGGGTTGCGGACAATGAAAAAACCAAAAAAAAAGAGGCGGCGGCGGGCGGCGGCCGGGATTAGCAGTGCGCACACTCACTGCGGCCTTAACCAGAGGGACGCGGGCGAGGCTAAAAATGAAACAGCAACGCGGCTTTATGTTGATGAGAGACACAGCTCTGGCGCCGCCCGATCGCCGCACTGCCTGCGCCCACTATGGCTGACGTGAGCTGCCGTCGGGCGGCACCGCGCCGGGCCCGGACCGGCATAGCGCTCGACCGCCCAGCACGTGGGGGCGCGCGGGCCGGCGTGTTTGCACCGCCTGTTTGCTCGGCCAGGAACAGAACACTTTCAACCCAAAGGCAGGAAGACAACAAAGCTTGAAGCAAGCAGAAGTAGTAGTTGGTGCACGCACAGTAGGACGCCGGCTGCTGCTCAAGCGAGATTACCTGGCCCGGGCAACACCGACAGGGCGCGCCGTCAGCCGGCCCAGCCCGGGAGCGAGAGAGCGGCGACGACGGCGACCATAATCTCCCGGGCCGTGGTGATGGGTGCGGCTCCTCTGGGCCTGGGCTTGTCGTGCCCTGTTCTGGAGTTTTCCACGGCGGAGCGGGAGGACGGTTGCGCTCTCATCTCAGCTCGGGAGTGGGTTCTTGCAAGGACTCAGCGGCCGTGGTATGGTATTGTAAAGCCTAGCTCGACGGGCTCGTGTGAAGGGATGTGGTGTGAGTGAAATCGCACCCAGGCACGCGTTGCATCTACCACTACTACTATCCTCAACCACCCAAGTGATCTAGATCTGGCCAATGGCACCGCCTGCCGTCGACCCGACAGCTTCAGCACCCCCGCAGCACAGGACTGACGGCGTGTCTGGATTGGGGGGGGGATGGTGGTGGACATACGGACGACGCAGCAGCAGCAGCAGTAGCGGGGTGGAGGTCATCGGTATTGCTAATTCTTATTCTGATGTATTATTATTATTATTATTAAAAAAAGCTCAGCGCACGCATGCAACGAGGCGCATCCCTGCGCGCGCAATACGGCCACATGCCCAATAATAATGACGGGCGGTGCTGCCCAGGGAGCCGACTGCCCCTTACAAATCCGCAGGGGGAGCTGAACCACCACCACCATGATCATGCTTGCTGGCTGGCTAAGCGGCTGTTGACGAACATCTCGCGAACCTGCGGCGTCATCTGGGTTTCCGACGGGCTCATGATCATCCCCGATGATTACGTTGTGCCGTGCGCGGGAAACTTGGCCGTGCAGCTGACAGCCGTTCCGCCACCGCTGAAAAAGCACCATCAGCCAGCAGAAGAGCACACAGCACGGCTTGCGGAACTAGTAGCAGCAGTAGTGATGGATGTCCAGACCTACGTACGGGACCAGCAGCAGCAGCACCTACGGAGTACAGACATGGCCCTTCCCTGCAGGCCGCCACGCCCGTGCAGCTGGCGAAAAGGAGCAATGCAGCCTGTCGTTCTGCATCATCTGCAGCTCCCTCTTCTTCATCATCTTCTTTTCTTTCATTCTTTTTTTCTTTCTCCTCGGATCCAACTGACGAAACAGGAAGACCAGAGCAGTGGGCACCTCTCTCCCCCCCCCTGGGGCCAGTAGTAGCGGAAGATTCCAAATCGGCCGACGCCAGATAGTCATCTGTCAAAGAGCCCGGCGCGTGGGGAACGGCTCAGTTGTTGCTCCGATCGCCATGACTCGCGCACCCAGCAGGCAGAGAGATAGAGAACACGGCCCCCCCTCACCTTCACCCTCTCTCTCTCTCTCTGTCTCTCTTCGAGCCGGGGCTCTCATCATGGCGGCCCATGGCATCCACTCCTGCTCTCCGGCCAGATTTCCTCTCGATTCGCGCATGCTGCATCGCGAGTGCGCGCTATTATTCCCCCTGGCCCGCGCGCCCCCCTCCCCTCCATCTCGCCCCCGGCTTCGTAAAAGCAAAAAAAAAAAAAAAAAAAAAGCCTGGCTAGGCCATTGACGGGTAGACACCTTCGATGCCTTCTCTCACACCTCCCCCATCCGTCGAGGCCGGCCCGTTCCACCGGGAACGGGGAGGGGCGCAGCGCAGGGCGGGCCAGAATGATAGTTAGTCGGCGGGCCGGCGGTTAGAGCTCGACGATGCTTGGTGGTTGGCGCGAGGCACGTGACGGAAACCGCACCGGGCGGGCGGTTTGCGAGGCTTTTGGGGGTTTTGTTGTTGTACGTGCGGTGAAAGGGCGCATTGTGGTTAGTGTAGTTAGGCCTTGAGGGCTGTGACACGCTGCTCGCTGCTCGCTGCTCTGCCCACGACGGGCTGCTCGTCGCAGATAAAGAGGAGATGCACATCGCCGCCCGCCATTGGCCCGCCTGTCTTCTGCTCGCGGCGGCCGCAGGGCCACATGAGAAACCCTATGCACGGCGATTTGGGGGTCGTTTTCTTTTTCCGGACGCACGGCGAAGTTATTATAATTATTATTATTGCCTGCTCTCCACACCGGCGGGATTGCAGATCTGAACTTTGCGGAGAGCATCGCCGTCTGGCATAAAGAAAGGAACATAACTAACTAATGTCCTATCAAGAGTGCGCGCCCCAAAAAAAACAAAAGCGCCCCCTTTGCGAGTCAGACAGCGCGCGAGAATACTCCGTGCAGTGCCAGCCAGCTCGTCATTTCGCTCTGCGCGTGGTTGACGGCGGCGCGCGCGAGGCCTAGCTGCAATAGGCAACCCGATTCTCAGAATCCTCGTACCCGGGCTGGCTTAGTGCGTTGAAAAAGCCACCGGCCTAGCGGGGATGTTCATCATCGCCGGCGGAGCTGCGACGGAGACGGGCGGTCAGCGATCGAAGCTGCCAGCACGAGAGTTCTAGAAGAACTTAAGGCCAATGCAACATCACCCGTCCTAGTCCGATCATTACTATTACAAAAAAGCCAAAATCAGCGCAAATCAGAAAACTAAGAATGCGATCGATTAATTCAACAATGCACCGTGCCTTGCCTGTGGCGTCTCGGACGCGGGCCGGCTGAAGCGAAGAACAATGGGGGATCTCCTCGTAGTTACATACCCAAACAAAGAAAGAAAAAAAAAGAGAGGATAATTTCATGCGGAAGAAGATTCGAATCTTCTTCTTCCTTCTTCCTTGATGCACGCGGCGCTCGAGATCGGGCCCTGCAGCAGCAAGCAGAGCAACGCCAAAATTGCGATGATCCTCACGCACCCCCTGGCTTTTCTCCCACAGGTGATTGATTGACCAGCCCGAGTGGCTATGGACCAGGAATGTTTGATGAGAAGGTAAACAATGGCAGTCCCTTCCCGCGTATGTGTGTATGTATCGTATCATTTTATTGTCCGTATTTCCGGTGATTGGCGAGGTTTGGGCGAGAAGTCATCAAGTCAGACATCGTCCGTATCGTTCCCACCCCCGCGTGCGCCCAGCAGCAGCACCCGCAGACTCCGCGCGGGGGTGTGGAGGGAGGAGAAGACGCAGAAGCACCCCAGGACCCTCGTGGAGAGGTCACAAGGGCTCGTCGTCGTGGAGGGTTTGCTTGCCTTCCGTCTTTCCGTCTGTCCCTGTTGTTTGATTAGTTAAAGCGGTTATGTATGTCATCTTGCTGTTAGCTTTGCGCGGTCTTTGTGTGCAGACTGCTGCAGCGGTGTAGGGGCGGGTGGGCAACCATACATTGCACCCATCCGTCCGGCCGTTCAAGAGATATCATGGATATAACTACTCGTCCTCCCGCAACAACCCACGCCAGTCTCACCGCCCATTCAGGTACTCCCGACGTCGGAGAACCCCAATAATTCACTCCCCAGGGTCTGTCTGGCAGCGTCACGGCTAGTGCCGTTGGCAACTCGGGTAGATCTCCCGAACAGCAGCAATAACCAACACTTCTCGCAGCCCCCCGGCCTTTTCCCTTTCAGCAAGGGACAACGCTGATATTTGTCATCCACCAGCATGCAAGGAAGCCCTAGAGGCCCTGGCATTTCGTGCATCTCGGGCAAAGTTCCCGTTGGGCAATTCTACCGCAAGAATAGCCCGAATCGGTTGGGCCACACAACGAGCCGGTGAGCCTCTACGGTTGAATGACAACGGCCCATCAGACTGACAAATAATGGAGGCTGAATTCATTATTTACCAATTGTCTCTTCTTCTTTCCGCACTGCTTACGATTCAAGTTCAAGGAGCTCTATGCGCTCCCCTCCCCCCTTCCCACACCGTCCCCGAAGCCAGCCTGGAAATGTCCTGCCGACTCGCCTCTCGACACGGATATTGTCCGCTTTGAATGTTCCCGCTCTCCGTCTCGGTATCGTTTGCATGAGTCTCTTCTTTCCAGCACCCAAAGCTGCGGGCCCTCCATCCCCTCGCAAGGCATTGAGAAAAGTCCCGTTGCACTTTGCAGCAAATGCAGTTTCGGAACGCATATTTCCCAGTGCAGTGGCTTTTCCGGTGCTCTGCAACACTCCCGACAGGAATAAAAAAAAAAAAAACCTCTTACGGCAACGACCCAATATGCCGGGTGGGCTGGGCGAGCAGAGACAAGCTCTTTTCCCCCAGGGCCTTGTTGATGTCTGCCCCATTCAGTATCATTCTCAGCACTGTTTTGCATACTTGCCCCCCCCCCCGGTCCCGCGCATAACCGCCACATATCACGCACAGCGGAAACTCAAAGCTGGTGGTGGGCTTGATTCCATATATGCGATTCTTCCGTTCTGAGACGCGCACGCGTCAGCATGGGTTGTGGTGTTATGTGGTGTTGTGTGGCGTGGTGTTGAGGCATCCAGGTGGGCATGAGGCAAAGAGGCAACGCAGGTGGTTTTGCCTCTGGGTGTCAGCACCGACACCCCTTCATGCGCAATAACGAGTGTGTATCCTGCTGTGGACGTCATACTGTCCTGCTGCGCTGTGGCGTTGTTGGACCTGCGCCCACAACAAACCAGGAAAAAAAAAAGGGCTCGCGCATTGACGATCGGGAAAACCAGGCGATGACGTAGCGACCCGGCCGCGGCCGCGGTCGCCCTTTTCCCCGGACGCTTTGGGCATGAATTTGACAGAATTCGCCGGGGGGGGGCTCTTTTGCTTTGTTTTTTTTTGATGCATCACATCCCATGTTTCGACCAAAACACCAGAGAGAAGCATTGACAAAAAGATAAATCTTCCGTGTGAAGGGCCCTTGCTAAGCGGCCGCCCCCCATTGATGATGATGGCCTGATGCGCATTCAGCGTGGCTGGGCATGCGCCGGCCGGACCATTCTCACAGACGGAATAATGGGTTCCTGTTTCTTTACCTCAAACACGAGCATTGACTCCAGAGGTAGGGGGGGTCGGTGCAGCCCCTGGCCGACCCATGGTATATAATTATATCGTATCCGTGGCTAAGGCCAAGGAAACGGCCTGTTGATTTGACACAAACTCTATCAAGCCCACGAGATTGAACCAACCCACTTTGGTGCGGAGCTGCTCCGATACAAGCCTACGGGGAACGGCAAACAGCAAGGGATGTCAGCATTTCTTTTTTCCATTTTCAACAGGGAATCCCTGATGATTATCTAGAAGAACCTGTTCGCGGTCCCTCCCCCGCCCCAAAGGAAGGCCACAAGAGAAAATGTATACAAACAAAGAAATGAAGATAATCGTACATGATGAGGGTGAAAAGAAGCATGTGTTTTTGGTTTTCTTAAGAAAAAAAGACTGCAGTCAGGAGCTCATAAAGGGCCGTTATCGTAGAGAAAACAGCATAGTCGTGAGGTGAACACAGCGAAAAAAAAAATGGTACAAGGCCCTAGCAAACTCGGGCTGCTTCGACATGACTTTCAAGGAAAATAGTAAGGGAAAAAAAAAAAGGGAAAGAAATAGAAATAAAATGCAGTAAATATTCGAAATGCTAACGCCCCGTAAACCCATAATGATTCCCACCATAATAGTACAAAAGAAAACTCCAGAGCAAAAAACACCAGGTAGACAAGAGAGAGAGAAAAAAAAAAGAAAATTCAAATCGGCGCCATTTTCAACCGTTCAACCGTTCAGTAAAGAAGCAACAGCGCATTTTTCTATCCGTTGGCTAGCATTTGTAGAAGCGATGGAATCCCGTCGTCCTTGCTCGGCCTCATTGATGGCACGGAAGCTGGTCGGGGCGGGTGGGGGAAGCTGGGTTTCAGGTACTTCTTCGTGAATCGTGGGGGTCATACTCTTTGGGCTGCATCGAGGGGTGGGCATGGGGAGAACGCGGTCGGTGAAAGCCATGTGGAAGAAAGCCTCCTCGATCTTGGGGCCCGAGAGCTCGGGGTCCTTTGAGTACTCGGAAGCAATGAGGGACCAGAAAGAGTGGCGGTAGGCGTCGTAGAGGCTGCGGAGTCGCGCGTTGTCGATGTGGAATTTGTTGTAGGCGTCCTTTTCGGCGTAAGAAGCCTCGAGGCGCATCGACTTGTCGTATCCGTAACTTGCGGCGTGAACACTGTGTAGCTGGGAGACGGGCTTGGGAAGGATGGGAACATGGAGGCGCGAACACTGGGGAGAATTCGAGGCAGAAGAAGGCAGAGAGCAAGGATCGATTGGGGGTGTTCTTGGAGGAGATGGGACCAATTGCTCCTTATCCTGGGGCTGCTCCTCGGTCCCGTACGAAGTTGTGCAGGAGCTCACAATCGACGATATCGATTCACTTCGTCGGCGGCGGTTGCTCCCATAGAGCATTTGATGATAATGCAAGCGACAGGCTAATTCGGTTTTTCGGAGATGCAAAGCAATGTGTTTATAGGGCATTTTGTGCATTCTTGACCGAACAAGGTACACCTCCTGCAGATTGGTCAGTGCTCTGATGGGGCTATTGAAGTAGATTCGATTCTACCGTACCTCTTCTTCGGTCCATGCTCTTCCAGCACCTGCTGAAGCCGACCTCTGGTGCTTTGGTACGCCATGGGGGCTTCTACCAGCGTCTCTTGCTGGCTTTGGAGATTGGAAGCGGGATGTTTTGAGTATATCAGCTGCTGTGACGGGATGCATATTTTCTGTATGTTAGGAGGACGGTATGTAGAGATTAAGATGTAAGACCCGGGATGTCCAGATTCAGTATGGATGTTTGGTATCAGAGACAGATGGCCAGATATTATGTTTAGAGAGGAGATTGTAAGATCGTCAAGATCTTTTGAGATAAAGCGCAATTATTAAAAAGATACCCAACCAGGGGCAAAAAGAAAAAGAATATATCTGGAGAAGTACAAGAGGAGGACTTCAGGTATTATGGCCTTGTGTCGAACAAAACAAAAAACAATTGAACAGAAGAGGAGAGAATCGAGGTTATCTATAGGATGATCATAAGCTTCGTTCAAAAGAGCGAAGTAGTTCCCCACCCTTGCCACCGGGTGCATAACGCTTGGAATATAATGGCTGGAGCTGGAACTGTTTCTGAATCCATGTCCCCTCCGGCAGAAGCGGGACATTCTAGTTTGTCTGGGCCGATTGAAACCCAACCTTGTAACAGGACGAAAGTCTCAACTCCGTCCAAGAAAGGTTAGGAAGCATAGAAGCTCATTGTCATAATAGTCAATGAGGCTTTCCTAAACGGGCGATCACTTGACGGCTTGATGCACCAGGCGGCGCCGTCGTCCCATTGAGTTTTACACCCTGGATGCCTTCATACAAGACACAAAACAAGAAAAGTGTCAGCGCGGTGCCGCGCCTCTGAGCCGATAACGACGACTGACGATCCAGTTGCAGCACATTTCAACCGGTTTGTTTATGCTTTAAGATTCAACACCATTTAACGCCACCGCAAATAAATGGCCCAGCACCCATCGGGATCTGAAGCGAAGAAGAAGTAGTGGGTTTCCTGGCGTCCAGATGTGTGTCAGAGCAAGACGGGCGCGCAAAGTCGACCGCGTTGTTTCATATCACGATTGAATCGAGCGAACTCGTTCTTTTTCTCTCCTCTGGCCTGCCCGCCGCCGTCCCAGCAAATCTCGGGAAAAGGTCTCCGGTCAGGATTTTCCGGGGGGTCCTGTCAGACACAAGACGGGTTCTCCAGGGGGTGAGTTGTGAGTTCGGGAGCTTTGTGCACAGCCTTGGCTGCTCGCACGTCAGGCATGGATACCCAGCACTGGGGGGTGTATGTATGTCTCTGTTTTTGGATCCTACCAGCGACGGCTCAGCAAGGCTTGAGATTCGGGACGGTTCTTGGGCGGGCCTAATTGGCGGTAGTGGTCCATGGGCGTTTCAGGATTGACGAAAAGTGCTCCAGGTTTCACATGATGAACCCCACGTGAAGGCTTGACCTGGTGCGGCCAGGAACCGCACGCCCTCGAAAATTTTTTATTTTTTTCGTCGTCGTCGCGCGCCGGCGGTGCGCTGCAGTTTCAACGGCCCCTTTGGGCGAGCAGAATTGCGGTAGTGACTGTGATTCAGGATGTTTTGATGCGATTTACGTCCTAACGGCGGGCTGAGGGCTGCTATGCCGCAAAGAGCACGTTGAGACAGAAGTCTGATGCTCAAGCTGCATAGCCTTCGCGGGGAGGGGGGAACTAGCAGCGAGCCGGGGTCGCATGGATCTCGCGCGTATCCGGGCTAGAGGCGGATTCCAAAACTGTACGTCCGTGCCAGGTACCAATGGTTCGCAGATACGGGGGGGCACAATGATGCTGACATCTGACCTCACCAGGGAACGTCGACAAGAAAAAATCTCCTAGTTCCTTCTAAAAAAAAGCCATCGCGTGGAACTCAAGCGTGCATCAGCCCGAAACATGGAATGCTCTGGATTCGGTACCTGGCCTGCGGGCAACCTTAACCCGCCCCCGCCCAGGCGGAAGCCTGGGCTCTCCCAAAAGGAGCAAAAGGCGAAGACCGTCATGCCCAATGCAAAACAAAAACGGCCTCCTTCGTCCTTAGCTGAGGCAGTTCCCTTTCGGCGGCCGGCATGGGATTGACAACCATTCTTTGGTTGCCGGTTCGAGTTCAGTTTCAAATCGTCGGGTTTGTTTGATCTCCAAGCCGACGCCCACTTGCCATTGCGGGATTGAGCTGTCTGGACTGGTCGAAAGAGGCAACCCGGAGGCGGCGATAAAACTGGCGGCTGGCGACAACGGGCCCAAAGAGGACACTCGCGACTGTCAACGTTTCAACTAGCACAATGCAGGATTGGGATTCCGTGCTACAGCGCGCAACGGCTGCTCGGCCGCCCGCCCGTCTGAATTTGATAGCAAGCGGCCCCTGACAGGAGCGCTGAGTCAGCCAATAAATTGCAGGGGCGGACGTGCAGCCGTGCGGCCCATTTGCGGTTAGTGCCGTTTTGATTGGCGGACTCGGTCGGCTCTGGCGAACACCTTGGTGAAGACGCTAGCCTCAGGAGGACAAGCGCGGTCCCACCCCGGACGATAACGTAATCGCGTCGCTGCTTCCTGTCTCCATTACTTACATCTTTCGATCGACAGTGTCTGCGCGGTAAGTCACTCTGATGTACATGAGGTTGCAGTTTCTGTCGATGCTCTTGGCTCTGTTCCGCCAGGTTTGAACAAGTTTATACCGAAGGTCTTATGCAGGTTTTGTGCGACCAGAACATCGTCAGAAGATTCTTCTGGTGATACGTGAGGAATACGGGCTTTGAGAACGGGCGCGGTATCCCAAACACTCGCCGGCTTCGGGTAAACATGGGCGGTGGTCCTTGCTCAATGGTTTCCTGGTGATGGATGTGCTAGGTGGGATTGGAGCCCGTGTCATCTGTTGCGCTCCGGCAGCCGAGGAAGAGGTCCCCTTGATTGCGCCTGTGAAGCTCAGCGTGTCTCGACACAACTCAGTGGATTGTCATTTCAACTGAATACGCGCCCCGGGAGACGACCGGACGATCCGGGGTGTATGCACAGTACAATAATAATAATAATAATAATACCGGCATTCGTCGAGTCTAACGGCCCTCAGCCTCCTTCGCTTGTGACTTGGGCTGCGCGGAAGAACGGTGCCCGGTTACTGTACGGCGAATGGTGGCCTGGAGGCACAGAGCAGATGAGTTACACGGTGAACCCCCGGGAGATAGTGAGTAGGCCCATGACAATCCTCAAATGATAGAGGACAAGAAAGTTCATGCCGACCCAATAAATCCCATTAGTTCCCATGCGGATTGACGACTCACAGAGTACCGCATACCCACCATGGCCGTCTGTCTGGCAGCGATCAGATGTTGTCTGTGGTACACTGTGCGTCGGTAACGTTGGGGAGCCAGAATGGCTTGTGGCGGTCGGGCAATGGAGGTCGAAACATCCTTGAGGTATCTTTACATAGCACATACAGTACATGCCACCGTTACCAGCATACGGAGTACTCCGTACAGACGGACAGACATCGGTTGGTCGATGATGGGCGTGCATGCACACACTACACACGCAGTCCATACATACATACATCCTCCGTACATACATAGGTACTGTCCACACTCCGTCCATACCTGCCTGGTCCGTCTAGCCGTCCATACAACAGTGTTTCCGGGGACTGGCCTTGGCCACTCAGCGCCGTTCTTTGCTGTGCACAGACCGCACAGGCTTGGGTGCATGCCGCGGGCCTTGGCGCTAGCTTCCCTCGACTGCTTGCCCGTCGCTGCTGGCCTCGCGACGAGCTGGCGGGCGCTCCAGCGACGGGCGCTGGAACTCGCAGCATGAGCGCCAGCGCCAGCGCCTGCCGCGTCGGCGTCGTCGTCCCCGGTCACGACGCATGGTTTGGCAGGCCCTCGGCCATGGAGGCAGGGGGGCCAGGCCAGGGCAGGGCAGATCGCGGATGAGCGACGGGAGATGTTTCTGTAGTTAATGAGGCGCTAGTCCGGAACGCGTTAGCGACATACGAGCTCTGGGAAAGCCGGCCGTAATGGCAACGCGCAGACCCAAAATTGAGCACCCGCAGCACCGCCGCTGGCTGGCTGCTAGTTCGGTGATTGGGCGGGCGGGCGTGCTGATGCGCGAATTTGCGCGCGTGCAGTAGCAGCCGCAGCAGCAGTAACAGCAGCTGGTGGTGGTGGTGGTGGTGGTGGTGGTGGTGGCCGGCGGGCGGCGGGCGTGCAGCGGAGGTCGCGGGCTGGTAACGCCTGGTATTTGCGCCCCAGTCCGGCGCAGCATTGCCGTATCCACCGGTAAAGTTACGCTGCCTTCCCCGCAATCCACGCTCTCCTGCGCCCCCCCCGCTGCCGCCCGTCGCAGAGACGCAGCGCAGAGCAGAGCTGAGCTGAGCGGCAGCAGCAGCACCACCACCACCACCACTACCAGAATCACCATAATATCTACCGCCGCACGCCTGCGCGCTCGCTGTACTTTATTCGTCTCATCGCTCGCCAGCTCACCGTCCCAACCTCCCGGCCACACCCCGTCGTGCCCTACCCGCCGCGTCCGTCCCTTCGCGCCCCCAGCGCTACATGCCTGCCACGCCCCCGTCGCCCGCCCAGGCTCGGTACCCTCAGTGACTCCGTCGCAACCTCTGTGTATCGTCGCCGCGACGATACTCCCGTGCAAAGTCCTCGAGACCGCCCGCCCGTCTACCTGCCCACCGTACTTAACCTCCCCGATCTCGCGCGTTTTCCTTCGCTTCCGTTCCCGCCCACGTCACTTTGTTCTCCCCCCCCACCACCACCACCACCTCTGTACTAAGCATCATCGTCTCGGCGAGCTCGATCGTGCCGGTCAAGCTTGTCGTGCCTCTCATTTGTCTTCCCTAGTGTGTCACGCCTCATGCTCGCAATGGGACTTCACTCCAGTGCTTTATTACCCACCTCGATACCGGCTTATCCCTGGCTAACCTCTCTTTGCCCGTACTCTGACAGATGAATTGGCCCATGTTTGCCTCCAGATCTCCTCTTCCTGCCATGTCGTAAGTATATACCCTCTCTCCTCCGCCTGGCTCGTCCTCTGATCGACCCCCGTCCACGGATCCTCGTGTACCTCTGCTATTGCACTTTATATTTGCTTTCTTCCCCCAAAGTGCCGTACCTGTTCGTGCGGATCCCTCGTGTCGACTTGCAGCTCTGTTGGTGACCCAGCTGCCATGTGCTATGTTGATGAACGAGTGTCCACAATCCCATACTTATTGACTGACATCTTGACTCTTCTGGTCTCTTAACATCTCTTATAGCTCGCCTCCTACTTCTAAGCGAATCAAAACCACTGTCCCAGCCAACCCTCCACCCACGCAACACGCTTTAAATCCAGCAGCTGCCCCCTTCCCCGGCCCTAACCAATTTGACGCTCCTCCGATGGTACCACCTCCTCAACCCACCGCGGCCACAGCAGTAACCCCCCAGCACCAGCCAGGAAACGTGCCGGTTGCAAACCCCCGGAAAAGACGTGCGTCATTCCAACAGAACGCGCACATGTCTGATATAGCATCCCCGCAACTAACTGCCCCTGCTGAAGGTGAAGGGAACTCAACAGGCGCCGCTGCAACTCCAGATGTAGCAGGCAAGAAGAAAGGTCGAACAAACACCCCGTGGACGGCGGAAGAAGAACAGAGACTCAAAGCAATGCGAGACTCTGGTAACACCTGGAGCGAAATAGCCAAGGTTTGTCCCACGCGTGTGTTCGCATCCTGAGCGACCTCCTCTTGTAATTGCGTGCTCTGACACTCGAGACTCGCTCCAGACGTTTCCTGCAAGAACGGAGGGCAGTGTCAAGAAACACTGGTACAAGGTAAGATCGGAGTTTTGACTACGGAGTACTTTTCAGAAGACTTATGATCGAGTAGGATATGCACTATGCCGAATTTGGCGAAGAAGACGTGAGTGATACTCGAAGTCTACTTTCGAGTTTCAGGGGTTAACAACTCGAAACAGTCTATAGCTCTGAGAGACGCCATCAAAGAATACGAGGCGAACAAATGGAAAGTCATTGGCCAGAAGATTGGAAAGCCCGCAAAGGTAACCCGTTTTCGAACCGAACTTTTTTGGCTTCTTCTCTTGAAATTGACCTGCTTCCTGTAGGCATGCGAACAGTACGCGAAGGATCACTTCAGAAATTTGTAACTCGAGTAATGAAACGACACAAGTTTCTGCACCTCGCTCTGAAACTTCAACTCGGGCGCTTCGGCTTTCAATCTTTCATTTTTGCTCTCACTCTCCGAACTTTTTTTTTTCTTTTTTTTTTGCCTGTGACGGTCTTTACATCTACTTTCCCAACTCGACCGGTTTACCAAATATCGCGGAGGAGCAACATGGATGGAATTTCTTAGGAGTATGGTTGGGCGTCTCTCTTTTTCTGTTCATTGGTGCTAATGCCGCGATACCCATGGAGGGAGATTTAATTCCGGCATCTGCCACACTGCGATATATTGGTCTCTTTCGACTTCACGTCCGCCTACATATTTATTCATTGCCCTGTTTCTTTTTTTTTTTTTTTTTTTTGATTCTGGAAAGGTACCTTTTGTTTTTGACGCGAGTGCTCTGCTGGTTTCACATCATTGTGTTCAGCCGGTGTATCCTTTAAATTTGTATGATTCACCATTCCACGTTTTGCTCTTTTTGTTATAGCTTCGGGTGATTGGACGGAATAATGCCGATTTTTTTCAAAGCCGGAGAAAAACTCCGTATTGCAAAACAACCCATTGATGTCACATGCCCTGGACTGATATTGTAGCTGTAAATGAAAAAATAAGTATGGAGTATACATGCTACATGCACATATACAAATGTGTACAGCGCCTGATATACCACCCCTGATGATAGATATACATCTGCAAGACAGCAATGACAGACCCGTTCATTGCCAAGTACCACGGTACAAGTAACGCTTTCATTTGCACGGTCCTTGGTTCGCTCGCCATGTCAAACGTGCCGGTACCTGCGTGGCAGGCCTGTGCACACCCGTCTCGGCGGTACTGGTACTTCGCCGGACGAAAAGGGACTAGCTCGAAGTCACCCCCTTCAAACGTCCATCGCAACACCCAAAACGGGTAACAAATACCACCTCGCTTTCTCCCCATCTCGTTCACCACGTTTACCGTTGCGTTCACCCATCTCTATTTGTGGGCGTGTGGTTTGGAGGACTGCCCCGTGGCTGTTGTTTTGCTACGTGCCTCGGGGGAACTCGTACCACGGCGTTTTTTATTCTCGTTTTAATAATTTCGCTCCCGACACGATGAGGGGTCAGGTAGCCTTGGGTTGCGAGGAGCAATTGTCGTGAGTACAGTAGCCTTGTGGCGTAGAATTTTCGAGATGTATTTTTTTCTGTTAGAGGAACGTGGATAAAAATCTTCTTGGACAATGGATTGTACACTAATTGGTCTTGTTTAGTCTACTTAGGCCTTACCTGCAAGTTTCGCTTCTTTCCGTGTGCGCATCGAGAACTATCGATTCAACATACTGCTGAGACCAGGATTGACAAGAGTAATCTCTCTTAGAAAAAGTATCGTCTCGCCGTCGAATCCCATTGGTCCTTAGCGTTTGTAAAGCACAAACAGACAGGGCTCGACTTTCTTAGGGGTAGAAAGTCCCCCTTGTTACTTTGAAAATCCCAGGATTTTACTACTCGTTTGCCTCTATGGCTGGTAGCTAGCCAATGACTTCAGCTGGGCTCGGATTTCCTGAAAAGCCATCTTACCTGCCAGGAAGCACAAATTGATTTTAAGGGCCAATGGTTGTTGGTTTTCCATGGCCCTGAGTCCCCCCCTGAATCATGCCCCATGATCAATTCACACTTGTTCACATGTATAGGAAGTCCCTATGCAATGTACCCTTCCCTTTCAAGTATCGACAGCTGGATGATACGAGTTGACCTTGTATCACTACATTCAGCTGGGGTCAAACCCATTTTTTCTGAATAGTCCCGAATTTCCGAGTACAGGTATTCGGGAAGTATCTCAGGCGTATTCTGATGACTGCTTCCTCCGCTCCGAAAGTTAAAAAACGTGGCGGGCTCAGCCTTCGAGTTGCCTTGGGACGATGATACGTTTTTTGGCCAGTGGATACCATATGGCAGGGATTGAACCCTGGTACTGGCAACATTATTGCATCAGTCGCGGTCAGAAAAGTAACACCGTGTCGTTGACGATCATGCAGGCGACAGTAACTTTACCTCGATCAACAGCGCTCTCGGTCGCGGCCTGAGCTGTACGGACTTAATTGGACTTCATATTTCCATATGCGGGCATTATCTCCAGCCATGCAGAGAGTTTTATGACCTACTCCGTGATACAACTGAACATTTACAGTCTTTCGAGCTGACTCGTAGGTGTACAGACTGTACAACTGTCGCTGGATCAAGCAAACACATGACCCTATTCCCCAGGATGATACAGTATCATCTCTTATCGCTATTTGAGCAGACCTACATACCAATGATTGGTAACTGGTTTTGCACATTATTAGGCGTCCATCTGTATGCAAAGCATGTCCGGTAAAGAATGGTGACAACGTTTCGCGATACTCTCAGCTTGCTTGTCTTTGGGATGGAATGCAATTGGGTAATGTCTTCTAGATACGGCATTACAACACGATACCTGGGTGAAACTATTTATCCCGAACGCCTAACTCTCACTTGAACCAGAAGATCACTTTTTCTTGAATTTACCATCTTTAACTCTTATTCGTCGCCGTTATCAACCCTTGAACTCTGAGCCCACAGTGACGCAAATTTTGATACCCTTAGTGCCACGTATGGCACCCTTATTTGGGGAAAGAGGGCCTGTATCACGATAGCTAGGATCCCACCCTCCGGTCCTGTTCGTGGCTATGTCATGCAAGCCGGCCTCGAGCCCCTTCGGCATTATTCAGCAAATCCTGTCTGAGTTTTTCCCCCTCCCATGATCTTGCAGCATTCTTCCATTGGCAGTATCTAGACCGAAACGTTAAGCCACGTAGCCCGACAGGATCTGCAATGACCAGGCTAGACCCCCGGGGTTATCGCGGTCTGGACTCAATGGCTCAAAAAATCGAGATATTCGTTTTTCAGGGCCTGGCTCCCAGAACAACTATATCAACTTTTTCTTGGTACTCCTCTATTCCAGTATTCTGTCTTTCATGACTACGTATCCTAGGATCGATTTAGATATTTGTTTAAGGCTTGATATATGTGGAGATTCAAAGGCTTCTTTCAAAGTACTACCCTAACGCTGAAATTTTTAGACCAAGCGTTTCTTGTTCTTTAGCGGAGAGAGATCCTGGTCTCTTGGCCGTTTTACTATTTTAATGCACAGGCGACTATGCCTGTTTATCATCTACATAAACACTATTTCCAATTGGAGCCGCTAACATTAAGCATTGGAAACACCTGAACATTTTGGATTTAAAGTCGGACAGGCTTACGATATCCGTTCCGGAACTGGCACACACGCACATTCATCTGCGAGAAAGACGTACGCTCATGTTGACCTCCACGTTGCATTAGAGCGATGCCATTGGCCGCTTCAAGATTCGAAACACACCTTCCGCCCAACTAAGCCTTTGGGTGGTTTATGTGTGACATAGTTCTTCACATGGCAGCCTACTCTTACTTTTTATTGCCGAAAGATAGCCGCACCATTCCTCCATTCGCTCACGCCGAGAGTTGCTGGGATCCATTATTTCGGGTCAGCCGAAGCCTATCGCTGATTAATTGGAAACGTAGCACAGTCAAGATGAAGCTTCACCATTTTTTTATTTTTTATTTTTCTTAAAATGTTTAGCATTTTCCCTTGACCATCTGGTGGTACAAATCCTTTCCTCTGTTAACTTTTTCTATGCGTCTTTAACCGGAGCTGACGAAACTCATGGAAAAGGATACCGGAGTTCCGGTTTGTTCGAGTGGATATTATAGCTTCAAGACCACCCCAATATCACTCTGCATCTTGCGTGACATGTTACGAGGCTGAGCTAGCATCATTTTCGAACCCATTCCAACCTATGTCGTGCAGAAGCCCGTTCCTCAATATCGAGCATCGTAGTTAGTTTTTGAATATAATTTGCTCCCAGGCCAGGGCCACATGAACAGTGCTCACAAGTAGCCTAATATCTAAATAGTTGGTTGAAGTACCCTTTCACGGCGGTTTATACATATGTTAAGCTGTTCCGGTTGCTCAGAACGCCCGCTCATCCAGGAACTGGTCTAGAGTGTGTACGTGAATGCTAGTGCGCTCTGGGCAGCCAAATAGATGTACTGCCTGGAGGTATGTATTTACTTCGGCAAAGTATATACGTACCATGAGCCGTTAATTGGAGATTCGGAAACAGCCAATGTACCCAAATGTACCTCCCAGGTACCAAGTAGTCAGATGCGGATTATATGTACCTCGTTTTTGTGCACTTACATGTTGTAGAGCATTATGGATGTATATCCGTGCTTGTAAGGAAACTGGGTGTACGAGGTACATGCACCTAAAAGATTGGCAGAAAGTGACAGGTCAACAATGCATTTACCGGTGCGCAATGATCGACTATCTCGCAAAGCTTTTTTCTTTTCTTTTCTTTTTTTTTTTTAGAATCACAACCTTCTGATTTTATCTAATGATCACGCAGGGACGATGAATACCACACTTGATGCAAAAGAAACAACTTTGTTATGCCGGATTAAACCCACTTCTAGCATAAACATATTCAACTTCAACTATTCTACAGATGGGGAGGGAGGTAGCTGGAAGAGATGGCATAATGGATGGAGGCCAGTGCGATTCTGAACAGGACGACGAGGAGAATATAGACTTTGATATACTGCTCAAAGTAGGCCAAAATTTACGGTTGCACCCCCAATCATCTATACCAGTACTCAGGCTTGACGAAGTCGGCCATGGTCTTGGGTTCGTAGACCTCAGCATGGTGATGGTCTATCAGAAATCGTCAGCATGCACAGAGCAAGACCAAGGATGCAGCGAAAGGGCTAGGATCACTGTGTTAAGCTTTATATAAAAGGTTACTTACGATCATCTTCTTTAGGACCGATATATTCCATCTTGACGGTGTTGCCGCATTCAGGGCATCGCTCCATGGGGCGATCTTGAGAAACCTGATACAGATGAATTAGGACATAATACGAGATAAAAGTCGAATCTCAGCGTACCGTGAGCCAGATGACACTGTGGGAGTCGACGGGGTATCCAGTGCAGCCGACGTATTGCTCAGGGCCACCGGACTTGACCATGATTGGGTTATCAAGGGTTCCTGTCACGCGAAGAGAAGACAATATAAAATTAGCGGAACAACTTTCCAAGCTATTTCCGTGAACATTGAAAGGCAGGTCCGCCACAAACCTAATCTCGAAGCATCCAAAGGCTTCGAGTTGAATATATCGCGGCCCTCCATTTTGCCTAAAAGTTCCAATCGCTCCAGACCGGTGGATTGTTCGAGATCGGTGGGAACGGTACCGGGTGCACCACCTGGAGGAAGAAGATCGGATTCCGTCTTGATTTCTATGGGGGGCGAAGCACCGGACGTTAGTCTTTGCTCTATTCATTCCATCCAATCCCAAAATGAAAACACCAACAACAACCCTGTCGCGATATATATGGCGAGATATCAACATAAAAGTCGGCCATTATCACTTCGCGCCAGCGGCCATGAATTTCTCCCGCAATTCGTATTTTCAATTACTGACCATCATACGGAACAATTTTGCCCTGTGGCTCTCCCGGTTTCGGATCCCATTTGGAGCCTAATAAGCAAATGCACAAAGAAAAAGTCAGTAAAGCCCCTCAATTCGACAACAAAAACGCTGGCATCTTTTCTCCTCAATCCAAACCACCAGCTAGTCAAAACCCCAACAACAAAAAAAGAGAGCGTGTTTTCCACATACTGCGAACAACAACCGACGATGAGAACGTGCGTCGAGCCAAGGTCGCGGCTCTCACGGGCGTCGAACGCCGGGCGAGGGCGAACGCAGTGCGCTGGACAAACATTGCTAAAATAACTTCTCAGACACCCCAATTGGCCAGGGCTGTGAAGGTCTGCGCGAAGGGGGGGGGGGCCAGAATTCGGCTTCAAGCAGTAACGTTGGTCGTGGGAAATGATGGGCTGGGTTGATGCGCTCCGAATCCGTTTTCCGAGTGGTGAGGTTATGCTGAGTCAGCGGGTAAAGTGGTCAGTCGTTCTCAGGGCGGCGGTGATTGGCTGAAGCGGACCGAGGATATTCCGAGGGAGGTGGCAGCCGGATTTGGGTGGTTCCAGGGCTATAGCCCTACGGTCTCCCAATCAGGCATTCCGAACGTCACGCTGTTGGTGCTATCATCAACGCCCACCGCTATTTTGTTTTCGCGATTTTCTGTATCATAAGATACAAACACATGCACAACATTGATAACAGCCTAGGCTAGTATCTAATTTTCTTAGCTGTCAACTTTCTCGGGGGACACAGAAACGTAGCCCGTCAGATTGCCAGATCCGGCGCGCTCTTCCCCTTCGGTTTGCCCCCCAATCACGCCCCCTATCACTCCATTATCAACGAAAAAAGGCTTCTCGCATGTTCTGACACACTCCCGTCACTCAAAGTATTTTGTGTAACGGGTTCGTGAGGTTGGAACTATAATATCCCAATATGATACTGGGAAGGGTGCGCGTGCAAAAAAAGAGTTTCGAAATGTCTTTGCCGGTCACTTCCCTCCCCACCCCAGGTGTGAAACATGAGAAGAATATCTATTCCAAGGAAACATAGTACAAGACAGACCCGGGGTAATACTGACTTGAAAAGGCAAAACCCTTCCCAAAAAGAAAAAAAGAAAAAAACAAAGGCCCGAAGTTCGAGACCATGCAAGGGGGGTCTAGGAAGGGAAAACGGACCTGAGGAGCAAATGCCAGACAGCTTGTCCTACCGATCCAGTACCCTTGCGCTAGTGTCTCGTTCTTCCTACCCCCTGACTGACACTGTGCACCCATTCTGTCGTATATATACAATGAAAGAAAACGGTCTTTTTTTCCCCCTCTAGAGGCTCTCCTGGATTCCTCGATACACACACACCCTACCACCCGGGAGCCCCCAGGCCCAGTCTGGTGCTCCCATGATTATTGTGCTCCACACCAAACCAAAAAAAAAAAAAAAAAAAAAAGGCAAACAAATGAAGAATGCCATGCCACACAAGACCTGTCGAACCTTCTAAAAAAGAAAAGAAAAGAAAAAAGCCGGAGGGCGGGAAAAATGTATGTAACAATAACAAAATGCACACCATTCTTATGCCGCGGCTGCCCGTGAAGGAGGTTTTCTTTGACCATCCAACAGAACGGGAACACCTGGTTCTAGCCCAGCGGAGATAGAGAAGGGGCGAGAAGGTAAGAGCACACATAGATAAGGTACCCGAAATTTCAAAAAGGGCGTATGACAGGCCCCATTGGGGAAGAATAATATGCTAGCGTGGGGAAAGGAAAAGAAAAGAGCGGGAAGTTGTAATAGAAGCGGTACAAATTAGATAACGCATCCAAACACACACACACACATACAACAAATTTCTGGGGTGTTTCTTTAAAGACTATAAAGCGTAGCTCCATTAAACATCAGGATATCTGGCATGACATTCTCGAGGATATAAAAGAAATATGAAAGATTTTCGAAAATAAGAGAGAAAGCAAGGGGGACACATTCAATGGGGTTAAGGGGATTGAGATGACGCGACGGCCGTAAAAGGAGTGTAGTTGGGAGGGTTACGAAGGGGAGGTGAGGGAGAAACACATGGGGGGTATCATGTACAACCAAAAACAGGGAGAATCTGGAAAGATAGCCAACCCACACACACACACACACACACAAACATACACACACAAACGCACACACACACACACACATACATCCACAACATAGAATTCCCGATATATAAAAAACAAATGTGAGGGGAAGCATCTAGAAAAGAAGTATTGAAAATTAAGCAATGCAAGGCGCATGCACACACACAAAAAGAGAATCCTTGTTTTGTAACCAGAAAAGAGATGAGAAAAACGGCGATGATGGGACGGAAACCAGCAGCGAGGAGAGATAAGGGAGGGGCCGGAAACCCAAAAAAAAAAAGTGTCGGAATCGTGGCAGGAAAGGCTCCAACATCTTCTTCAGTGACATTGTCTCCGGCGTGCCGGCGCAGGCATCCATCTCGCATAAGACGAAGTAGGTAAAACAAAATCTGGCTTCCCGAATCCGGAGCGTGACTCTGTCTCCCTTCCAAAGGTCCCGCCTCGTTTTGTGTATGTGTGTATGTGATTGTGATCGCAGCGACATGCCGACCCCCCTTCCCCTTCCCACCCCTCCTCTTCAAAATGTTTTTTTTTTCTCCTCTTCCCCGAAAGACAAAAATGACAACAAGTATATTTTTTTTTGTTCTTTCTCCTGCCGGTTCTATTATTTGATTTCCCGAATCTTCAGCTCATCTCTTTTTTCCAATCCCTTCCCAAAAATAAAAGAAAAAGGATATAGAGAAAAAAAAAGTAACATCGAACACAAACAACCAACAACACCGTTGGCTATCAGAAAAAAAAAGGTCCACAAGACGGGTAAATGAAAAAAAAACTGCTGTCCCCTAGATAAACTTTTATCCCAGAAAATCCGGACCATCCCTTTGTGCCCTTCCGCTTGTTTTCTCATTTCTCTCTCCCCCAATTCATTTCCCTTCCCTTCCAACAAAATCTTCCCTTTCGGGCCATACAAATCGTTGGTGTATCGGTGGTATATACACGGAACAAGCTATCTTTCGCACGTCACCCCGGTCCAGATTGCGGCCGTTGCAAAAAAAAAAGAAAAAAAGTAAAAAGAAGAAAAACACAAACAAACAAATAATTGCGGTGTAGAGGGGTACAGAGAGGAATGTTTCATTCATCACGAGAGCAAAAAAAAAATAAAAAAATAAAAAAAAGGGGGGGTGTCAAGGGGGGGCGGGGTAGAGAAGAGTGTACAACATTCAGTCGCACATTCAACAGGGGAGAGGCGCGGGGGCCGAAACCGTGCCGAGAAAAAAAAATTTAGAAAGTAAAGCAAATAGAAATAGCAGAAGAGGGGATAATAATAGTATAGTAATAGTAAATTGAAAGGTACTTCGTTCCGTCGATATACCCCCCCTTTCCCGGCTAAGGGGGTGGTGTGAAGTGTGTCGAATGGAGGAGAGGAGAGGAGAGGAGAGGAGACGAAAGGGAGTAGAAGTAGGAGGAGGAGCAGAAGTTACAGTTCTGCAGCCTTTGCGCAACATGCTCCAGGGGAGAAACCGTTGCCGACTTTCGTGGAAATAATACGCCACCGATCATGTTCATATTCTTGGATAGCGTTACGCAGGCGTTGCACCTAAAAAGAGGGCGAAACAAAACAGTGAGCACAATCTGTCAGTCAAAAGCTTTTTTTTTGTTTTTTGCAATATTATTTCCCTCCTTGCATACCTTGCAAGTACTCCGTGCCACCAAAAAACCACCAGGCCCAAAGCAAAAAAAACAAAAAGCAAAAAAACAAATACAGGGGAAAGAAATTACTCTTTTTTTCTGGGGTGTTTGCTTTTTGGACTTACCGCTTCGTCCGTCCAGACGGTGGCCTTCGCCTTCAACTTGGTGCAATAGCGCACTTGTAGGGTGCCGCTGGTGCGGCCCGGGAAGAAGTCGGCAATCTGCTTCCACGTCAGGTTCTTGTTCTCCTTCAGCTCCACCAGCAGCCGGTCCTCCTCGGGCGTGAATTTCAATTTGGGCCCGCGCGGCCGCGGCGCCGGGTCGGGCATGCCAGGCTGGCCCACGACGCTCTGCGAGCCCGGCGCCGCGCTGCCCCCGGGCGACCCCAGGTCTGCGTCTCCGCCGGCGCTGCCGGAGCCGGGCGGGCCGCCGGCGAGTGTAGCCTGCGAGGGCAGTCGGTGGTGGTGGTGTTGTTGTTGCTGTTGCTGTTGCTGCTGCTGGGGATGCTGCGAGTGGTGGAGGGGTGGGGACTGGTATTCGTGCGGGACGTGGTGGTGCGAGTGATGGGTATGGTGGGCGTGGGAGTGGTGATGGGCGGCCATCAGCAGGTCGGCGGAGGGCGCATCTTCGCCGTGCGCAGAGTCAGCAAGCATAGCCAGGCCCAGGCTGGTGCTGGCATCTCCAGGCTCGCCGCCGCCGCCGCCGCCGTCGTCGGTGCGCGGGCGTTTGGCGGCATGGCGCTTGCTGGCGTATGAGACCTGCAGCGGGCCCGGCGAGAAGTGCGGCGGGAGGTGCGGCGGGGGCATGGACAGCATCAGGGATGGCTGCTGTTGCTGCTGCTGCCCTGGCGGCTGATGCTGGTGCTGATGCTGGTGGTGCTGATGCTGATGCTGGGACTGCGAGGGGGCTTGCGGCTGCGCCGCGGCCGGGGCCGGGCGGGCGTGGGCGGCGGGCGGGAAGGGGGCGGCGCCGGCGAGGAAGGCCAGCTCGTGGCGGCCGGCATGGTGCTGGGCGGGCTCGAAGACCAGCGGGGGGCCCGGCGGGTGGGCGTCGGCTTGCTTGGGCGGGTCGTGCGGCGCGTAGTCGATTTGATAGTCGCGATACGGATCCGCCAGCGTCGCGGTGGTGGAGGCGGCGGCGGCGCGCTGCTGCAGCGGCACGGCTCGCGCAGGCGACGGCGGCGACGACGACGACGACAACAACAGAGGGCAGACGAGGAGCAGGCGGCCGGCCGTGCTTCCGCCCCGCGGCGACGGCGAGGGTGCGCGGGCAGGACTCCTTCCAGCGGGATGCCGGCGTGTCTGGAGGCAGGGTCTGCGGGCGGGGGAGAGGCCCGGGGGGGTCGAGGGTCTCCGGCGGGCGGGCAGGCGAGCAGCGACGCCGCGAGAGCCAGCTTGGGCGGCAGCGGAGAGGAGGGACGAGAGGAGAGGAGAAGAGGAGAGAGGGAGATGGCGAGTGAGAAAGCAGAAGCCAGACAGGCAGGCAGATACGCAGACAGACAGACAGACAAACAGAAGCTGCCGGACGACAAACAAAAGAAAGCCAAAGCGCAGAAAAACGAATTCGACAATAAAATAAAACCGAATAATGCAATAATAATAAAATAAGAGGCGGCGGATAAGCACCGGGCGAGCCGCCAGCCAGCCAGGCAGCGACAAGACACGACCGGGGGGCGCGGGCCAGGCGCAGCGGCGAGAAACACGCGCAGGGAGGAAGGGCAGCAGGAAGCGGAAAAGGAGCGGCAGGATGTGCAGCAGTCGAGTAGTGGCAGCAGCGGGTGCAGAGGCCGTTGGGCAGCAGAGGAGAAGAGTAGCAGAGCAGTAGCAGTAGGAATAGTAACAGCGGCAGCAGCACGGCGGGCGTCGCTGAGAGCTGCAGCAGTCAAGCCAGACGCACAGCGGCGGCGGCAGCGGAGGCAGGGCGGGCTCAGCATCCGGCAGGCTTAGTATTAGTATTAAGAGCTGCTGGTCTTATCAGCCCGTCTTATGATGGGCTGTTATGGCCACGGGCAACCACGCGCAGGGCGCCGGGATGCGCTCGATCGCGGGCCCCCAATTTCACGCAAATTAAAAATAACACTCGTCTGAAATGATGCGCCCGAAATTCAAGGACCGGCCAGCGGTGTTTTAGCGGCGCGCCGTCCTGATCGCCGGCTTCTGGAAGAGCGTGAGGGTATACACCGTATAACTAGCTGCCTGCCCACGCCCTCCCCAACGTGGTCGCCATCGCAGACAATCCCAGGCCGCCACCGTCGCTCTGCCGGGCCTGCCGCCTGTGCCTGTGCCTGGCCAGCAAGTGGTGGGCTCTCGCAGGCCGTCCGTCGCGGCGTGCCGGTCGGCTGTGATCCTGATCGCCCGCCAACTCTATTGCTCCCCCCCGTCCCCTGGCACGGAAGATTCGCCCGGTCCTGCTCGACATGAAGCCTAGTTTAGTCGGCCTAGCGAGCTAGTAGCAGTAGTTACCTGGCGAAGCCAGCACGGACACCGCGCGCCCCAAGAATAGCCCTGACAGCGGCTGCCCGGCCGAAGAACCAGCTGGGCCCGCATTATTCATCTTCATTTCCATCCGCCCAGTGTACATTCGTCTGGCTGTCTGTCTACCGGCGGCCCCAAAATAAAATAATAATAATGCAGGGACGCTCGCACGTTTCGGCCCTGGGGGGGAGGCAGGACAGGGCCGGGCGTGATGCGTTCATGCGGTCTCAACGCGCCGCCACCACTACCACCAGCACCGCGGGTCGTGCAATCTCTGCGCAGGACCCCAGCATGGAGGACAACCGTCACGCAGACACACACACACACACGCGCGCGCGCGCGCGCGCGCGCGCGCTCAGTCTCGCGCTGGCGCTCACGGGCGTACAGCCAGCCAGCCAGCACACACACGGCCGCAGAAAAATCTGATACACTTGTTTCTCGGGGACCCGCGACGGGTTACATGCAGAGCTGCATCCGCCGTGCTTGGCCGCGCGAGCCCAGCGACAAGAAAACACGCCGCAGGCGTGGCAGGGCGAGGTCGTGGGCCGGCATGTTTTGGTTGCCGTGGGTGCTTGCTGCTGTCGTCTTTTTGTCGTCGTTGATGTCGTTGTCGTGGAGGAGGAGGTGGTGGTTATGCTCTGGCTGATCGGCGTGCGGACGCGTCTATTTCGGCGGGCGCTGATTCGACGCGGGGCCTGCATGAAATCACGGCCGGTTCGCAGAGAAAGTAAAATAATAATAAAAAGAATCCAGGGCTGGTGCGGGTTTCGGCGCCAGTCGTTCGTTAATTTCATTAGACTTCGCGCCACATGGCGGCGGACGAGCGAGCAAGCCGCCGGGCAGCCGTTGCAGGACGAACAGGCGACGACGAGTTAGTTAGTCGCGAAATGACGGTGCGAGACAGTCGCATTTCGCTGGAAATGATGTGTCTTGGAGATGTTGGGCAGCTAAGAATAGCTGGCTGGCCGCAATACGAGTGCGACCGACAAGACAAGATTGCGCTGGCTGGCTTCTTCTCATTTCCCATTATCCTCCGTCCACCGCTTTCGCCTACTGCGGCCTAGCGTCGCCCCGGATACCCCCCGGCCCGCCCGCCATGGCCCCCCGGTCTGACTATCATCATCATCACCACCACCACCACCAGCAAAACCGGATCGCACCGCAAACAGCCCACCGCCCACCCGCCAAGCGCCGTCGTGCAGCCCATCGTTATTTCACGCCGCCTCGCCATGGCTGCTGTCGATGATCCGATCGGCGCTGCCAGACTCAAGAGCCGCCACCGGCTTGGAACCCGTCGCAGCGCCGCTTCATAGGCCCAGCGTGCGCGCACCTAGCCTGGCTCGCCCCCGCCGCTTCCTCGCTGGCTTCCCGGTCCTTAGCACCCGCCACGCTATTATCTAGTTACTTTCCTGTACGCTACCTACTCCCTACGGCTCGCCACTAACTAACTAACTAATGGGCCTCCGGTGCAGGAAAAAGCCACTCGACTAGCACAGCCAACCAACCGGTCCAGATACCCTGCAACATTAGGCATCCCAAACGGCCATGCCTCGCAGCGCTCTTCGGAATCCTGGACGCCTTCTTAAATCCTGCAACCGCACTCGCCCGCCTTCCACCGACAGCAGACAAACCCCCGGACCGGTCCATATCGCCATCGCCACCGCCGGAAGGCGCTGCGGAGTATGCGCCAATGCCACATACATACATACATCCTATGCTATGCTTTCGCCCTGCCAGGCCGGCGGAGGAACGGAAGCTGGCCTAGACCCTTTTTCTTCTCCTTCTTCTTCGCCTTCTTTTTTCTTCATATACTCCGTACTTGCAGAACTTCCATGGGTTCTTTGCTTAGCTGACTACCGTTATAGCCAGCATCTGTTTTGGCATGTGAACTTGTGGAGGATTGCAGAGCAAATTGAGTCTTGAGATAGCAATGCTTCCTCTTCCCGAAAGGAAGGGAAACAAGAGAAAGAGAGAGAGAGAGAAGGAAGAGACGGCGTTGTGTCGAGTGCCGTGCCCGGGCGAGAGTCGGCAACGCCGGGAGAGTACTAAGTAGTTCAGGACGACAGAGTAAGTAACTAACCACGTAGTTCGTTACGAGTACGACAGAGTATACCGTTCCGTTGTCGCCTCTTTCTTCCATCATCATCGACCGCTGAGCTGCCCTTCGGAGGATTCCGTCGCTTCCACCAACTAGTTGATACTGACCGCGACGCCACGAGACTCTATCGCCAACCCAAGCCTTCCATCGCCCAGCATCAAGCCCAGCCACATCTTTGTATGCATAGTAGCAAGAAACCAGTAACCAGTAACTGGGCTCCCTCTCCCCTAACTCATGGCCCCCCTATCCCTATCCCCTGGCATCCTTAAGCGATACTCAGATAACACACCTCCGAGTTTCGCGCCCGACGGACCAAAAAATAATAATAATAATAACAAAGATAATTATAATAATAAAAATACTCATAGCAACGCCCCCCCAATCTTGGCCCATATCGCGGGTTGTTCTATATAGGATCGCCCGCCGTTTCCTGCCACCGCAGTCCGGTTACCCCCCGGCCCGTGCGTGCGTGCCCTGGATCGGAAATCCAAGGCCACCGTCGCTGCTCCCCAGTCCGGGGGGCCTGAGCTAGCTACATAGCTAGCTACCTAGCCCCAAGACCAAGAAGCTTGAGCGGCCGCCCGGGGGCGCACGCGCACACTTTCGGATAATGACGACGGGGGGAACGGAGCGTGGGTAATCAATGTGAAACTGTGCCAATTAGAGATGGGTGGGGCAGCAGCTTTTTTTTTTTTGAGGATATGTTTTGATGCTCCGGTATGATGAATTATTCTGCGTGTCTTTTGTTTATTTAGTAGTAGTACTCCCGTGTCTAGGAAAACTCTGGAGGTCGGAGTCGCCCGGCATGCAGCGATCGGCTGCCATGCCATCGAACATGTCTTATTAGGGCGCAGCCGTAGCGCGGGTGATGCCCCCTTCCCCTATAGCTATAGTTCCTGCAGACAGAAGCATCCCGACGGCTCTCTTCCTATCAGAATCCATGCTGCTGCTGCTGCTGCTGCTGCTGGACGTGTGGATGCCGTGCGCGGCCAAGGCCTCTGTCACTGCTAGCCCGCACCCGACGACATCAGACCGCGTTCAGTATTCTGATTAGTAGTAGTATTTTTTATTTCACCGCGTCCACTCACGTTGCGCGCGTTACTAACTGCCTGCGCCATCGGGCCACACCGAGTCAGGCCCCATCATACATAGTTACCTCCGTGCTTGGACAGCCTCAACATCAACCCGCTCCCGCTTCCCTCACTAACAACGCGTCCAGTACTCCGTAGTGGGCACAATAATAATAATAATAATAATAATAATAATAATAATAATAATAATAATAATAATAATAATAATAATAATCCCTTTTTCTCTGGTAGGAGGATCACCCTCGGCATTGGCCGACGGGCTGGCTCGAACGGAATAGAAGAAGAAAAGGAACTCCGCGGGTTGCCGTAGGGCTGTTTCGGGCACGGAGGGAGGGGGGGCCAGAAGACGGTTTGGCATCCTTCTTGCATAGGAATTGAACCAGTTCTCCCCCTCCCCTTTTTTTCTTTTCTTTTCTTTCTACTCCGTACGGAGTACTCCGTACTCTCGCGAATCCCATATTATTATTATTCTTATTTGGCCCGGCCAGGCGGATATGGAGCAATGACGTTGTGTTCTCGCTTGAGGATCCCGCATGGTTTCGAACGTTCCATCCCCGGGTGGGGATCTTAGCTTGATTCCTGATTTTTGTTTTTTTTTTTTGTCTGGAGGAATAATTAATAATGTTGTAATATTATCCCCCCCCCGTTCTTTTCTTTTCTACCCGTAGAGAGCCCACACGTGCCCCCGTTGGCGTTATCATGATGAGGATGAGGAAGAACAATAATAATATTGGGGCCCCGTCGCCAAAACGTCCCGAGGCTAAGTAGCCGATAGCCACCGACGATGTATGTAGTTAATTATATTAGTGTAACGTCGTGGGCCGACCTGTCTTGCCTGCCATCCATGGGTTGCTTCATAACTTTCCAAAAAGAAAAAAGAAATAAACAACACTTTTTGGCCTTAGCCGTGGCCGTTTAACCAAGAGCTGCGCAGAGATTTCCCCTAAAAATAGTCAATTATCCAACGCCCTGGTCGTTTCAACGTCAACTATAGGGGAAAAGGGGAAGGGGGAAGGGGGACGCGCCGGAATGACCCAGCGCCTGCTGGATCCCTCCCCTCTCCCAAGACGAACGAACGTTTTCCCCTGGCGGCCGACGACCCGTGCATTCGCACGCCCTGGGTGGCTCAGCGTCTGTCGTCCATGTGTGGGCATCGTCAGTTGTGTGCTCGGAGGTGGTCATTTAGCTAGTTATGTTGTAGTCCAAACAAACCAAGCCACTTAAGACACGCGGTGAAGAGGGTCGGGCCGCGGATTCACAAGCCAGTGTGCTTTATTAGTTTTTTTTTTTTTCTCTTTGATACTGCTGATCATCGCGTGAGACACGCAGGTCATACCGTCGATCCCTCGCCAGCGTCGAGACTTTTTTTGTTTTTTTTTCTTGCTTCTAGAAAAGAGAGAGAGAGCGCGCGGGCGCGTTATTCGCCTGGGCCTGACGGATTCCTGAGAGCCGAGATATGTAACTAGTTAGTTAGCATTAGCATCGGCATTTCTTTCGGGCCACGCAGAGGGAAACGCAATAATAAAAGAAAAGAAAACCAGCAAACTAACCAACAAAAACAAGAAGAACCAACGGACGGGCCAACTTCTCACAACACTCTGCGAGCTTCCTATTTGGGCGGCGCCGTGTCCGCCTAACCGCCGCTACGACGGTGTTCGCCCTCCTGGCGGATTCGTAGCGTCGCCGACGAGTGGGGGATGGGCCCCGCGCTGTGCGTTAGCCGCGCTGGCGACCACAGCCTGCAACAATGGACTTCATTCGCCTCGGTTGTTGTTGTTGTTGTGTTGTGTGTGCTGGTCGAGCTTGCAGCAGACCGTGAGAGCGAGCAGCCGGGCAGAACTGGCCAGAGAACGAGAGACCTGCCCGCTGGTCGATGGATGGCTCGTGTACTCCGTAGTTAGCTGTCCCGTGGATGTCGATGCTGCCCCGTGCAGCACCTGGCGCGCGCCATGTTGCGCGTGCGGCCCACCAGGAGCTCCTAGTAGCCAGGCCGATCAGGATTAGCATGCAGCTTCGTCATGGAACTAGTTGCCTAGTTTAAATATACTCCGTAGATTCGTCACGGCTAATACAACTTCTTTTAAAACTACAGTAGCTGGATCTACCAAATCCAGGATCACCCTTGGCTTGTCAGAAACATGCACAAATCCTCCAAAATACAACTCTCATAACGAACAAACCACAAACATATGGCAGAAAATAAGGACAGGTGGTCATTTTGCAAAAGAAAAACAAGCAAAGGCACTGCTGAGACGCCCGTGATATCCATAATTCCTGGTACAAGAGAAGCACTTTCGCCAACCACAGAAACTAGATGAAAACAACTATGCAAAATTATCAGTGCGGTCAACCCAGATATCCTCCAGCTCGGCGAAGTTCTGGAAGTGCAGCGGCCGATGCTGATCGTCATAGAACCGCAGCGGCACGTCGACCTTGACATAGACAGGCCGCTTCTCCACGCTGCTGAAGGAGCTGCCCATGAAGCTGAAGTTCCACACGTTGTGTTCTGGAACCAAGAAATATCCGCGAATACGATCGCTCAGCAGAAGCTGGCACCGCTCGCCAAAGCTCGTCGAGAATCCCTGGGGCTGATCCGAGCTCGTATCCTTGTTCTCTGCACCCCACTTGTAGCCCTGGGGAGTCAGGCCCCAGGCTGACAGGGATACCGATCCAGGCGTGAAGGATACCGTCATCGTCACCGTTTTCTTGTCCCACGACGGGTGCGCATTCATCAGCCGCGAGTGCTGCGTGACGTCCATCGCCGACATGTACGGCGGCTCGTTGCCCGACATCGTGTGCAGAATTCCCAGCGGCTCAAGGTCGCTGAGATACTCATGCTGAGGCAACAGTTGCGGCAGCTGCACGTCTCGCGTGTTGCCCACCTGGGGTATCAACACAATTGTGTGGATCTCCTTGACCTGTGCATTGTCAGGAGGAGAGCGGCCATATAGGTAGGCCGCCACTTGAACGCGAAGGTCGGCAATCATGATAAACCGCTTGAGAATATTCTTCGGCATAATGTAGGTGAAGTGGCCCTCTTCCTGAATGTCTTCCGACGAGATGTAGATATTGTTGGCCCGCGTGCGGAGATTAGACGTTGCAATAGCACGCGTCCGCCATTCGGTCTTCGACGCGAAGGACTGCTGTTCGTACTGGGAAGTCGTCGTGACGATGATTTCCTCCCCACGAACGTTTTGTGTTTTGGTTGTGACTGCAGTGAGCTGTTTCTGGTCCAGCTGCTGCTTCTCCATCTCGGCAGCCTGTTGGCGTTGTAAGGACGGTGCGCTGATTTCCATACCAAGAATGATATCCCGGACTTCACTGCTTGTCAAACTCTGCGTGTTGACATTGTTCTTCTTTCCGTAGTCGTTCAAGATCAAGTCGCGTAGCTGGACTTCAACCTTGATCCATTCCTCATCGGAGAGTGTCGGCCAAATGTGATGCTCCTGAGTGATTACACTTTTATCGGGACGTAAGAGAATTTTGGTCTTGTCAATGTTGACATGAAGCGCTCGAAGAATCAAGATTAATCGAGAGAAGGCAGTGTACGAAGAAATTGTTTTCAGCCATTCGTCGTATAAGTTGAAGAGGACCATTTGCGGCTCCGTTGCTCTCAGAATCATGTCTGCAAGCTTTTCAATTTTCATGGCTGCTTGAAAGGGTAGCTGCAATTCGGATGCTCTGATTGAAATATTAGGGAAATCAAGAAGATGAACTTCAAGGGGATCAAGAAGACCCTTCCGTGTGACAATAAGTTGCTTAGGCTGCTCTTCAACGGGAAGAGATCTGATAAGGGCCGCAACTTCTTCTGCAGTTTTCCACTTGGCCAATTGGCCCAAACGTTTCTGACCAGCCCAGACACTCGTGTGGATGATCTTCAAAAACAATTGACCAGTTCGTGGGTTGAATATGAAAATGGCGCCATTGATAGGTTTTGTCGTCAAGTTGCCTTCAAAGGTCTTGTGAATCGTGACACGGTAAACGTTGGTATCGTCAATAAACAACTGAATCTGGTTACTAAACAGTTCCGAATAATTTTGCGAGTTCAGGAATTCTTGGTTGCTTTCGGACGCGTAAAGCTGAAGACCCTTTCGGATACGTTCTCTGAGAACATATAAAGCTGGATTGGCTTTCATAATCTTGGCCATTGCCTGTTGTACGAGAGCCTTCAAACCAGGGAAGTATTGCCCATATGCCGAATAAAGGTTGTACGCCAAATCAATTCCGATCATCAACCCAGTTGCGGACGGGTAGATACTCATACTATCCGTGGTATAATCAAGGTACTTGGCGCGAACATATCTTTCAATGTCATGGGAATCGTAGTCACCATACCTCAACTGCACATCCAACCAGAATTTGTTGGTAGTCGTGGCTTCGATCACATCCTTGGTGTCAAACAAAAGGGAAGGGCGTGTGACATTCCATTTGTGAGTTGCGAATAGGAGTATGTCGGCACAAGAGCTATTCATCTTATAAGATTTTCGGGGATGGATCGTCTCTTTCTGCACGGTCTCAATACCCAGCTGTTCAAGCTCCTGGTCAAAGACCTGACAGAGATCCATCACAACGGATTCATGGATTTTCTGCCATAAATGCGCACGGAAAATTTGGATCAACGAGATTTTCAAAGTGGGAATTTTGCCGTGCAAGAAGATGCCGGTAAGATCCAGCTGTACCTGGAACCCAACGTACACGTTGGCACGGTTGATAGTTGGGGACCACCAGAGAGTGAAGCGACGGTTGGGAATCTGATTCAGACCGGATCTCTGGGCGTTCGTCAGCTTCTTAAACTTCATTGATTCTTCAAAACCGGAAGCTCTCTCCCAGAAGAGTCCCTCCCAAGACGGGAACGCGGTGGCCTTGAAAAGGGTATGCTCTAGAATTGTTTCAACACCACCAAGGGCTTGGATGACATCTGTGCGATAGGCATTCAGGTTCCATAACTTTCCGTCGTGTCTCTGGCTTGTCCACCAGAACGGATTGCTCTTCATTAACTGGAAAGATTTAAATTCGGTACGTGCACGGAAGCCTTTATCAAAACTTAACGTGCTCCGATCCTTTTGGAATAGAGTATTGATACGCGGCAGACCACGGTCCCAACTATCTTCCAAGTCCTCAAGGGTCAGCCTTCGATTCTGTTGATTTGCCTCTTGTCGTTTCTGTGAATATTCCATCCAGACACGCTGTGAGTCGATAAACTCCGCTTCCCATGGAATGATATAACGGAATATATTGGGGATAAGGGTCTCTTCGTCATGTGACATGCCAGCTCTGTAGTGAGTGACACCAGTATCTGTTTGTTTCGACCACCGTTTGTCGCTTGTTGGAATCAGGATATGCGATCCAGAGATCATACCTAGGCCACCGAGCTCTTTGGGTGTGTAGAATACAGCGGGAGGGAAGCGTGAAGGCATCTTCGAATTAAGACCAATTTTTACACGGGTCTGAATCTTGGTTTCACATTTCACGATTGTATCCAGAAGGTTGACAGTGGACACTGCAGCTTCACGATAATAAGTGAACAATGCAATCAAGCTCGTATTCCACTTATTCGCGATCTTCGTAAACGTGGTTGACCCTGATGACATGAGAATTTGTCGAATACGATTATTGAATTTTTGAATGTCCTCCTCAGTTACTTGAAGGAAAGCGTATGCAGTTCGTTCCTTGGTGGAATTGTTGGTAAGCGACCACACGCTGTCTTTTACCGGGAACTCTTCATTTTGGTTGCGCCACTTTGGTAGAATGCGAACTTCAAATCCGCACATCGAAAAGAGGAGGTTGGGATTGTCACGGCTGTATACACTCGCGAATGTGTCGTCCCACTCAATTGTCGTTATGGATCTCGGTAAACGATTCTTCAGATCCCAAAACACGGCACGGCCAAGATTGACGTCGTGTCGCATTAACCTCATTCTAGAGTCTCTAGGCCAGCACTTTTTATTCTTATAGCCGATGACGTTTTCGAAATTCGGGTCAGGTTGTTCTGTTAAGAATCTTTGAATAAGATCGCGGGACTCGTCTGCAGTAAATCTGAAAAATACCCAGATCTTATCGATGTATCTTGTGTAAAGACGAATCGGGTGCCTTGTTTCCGTTGCACGGTCTCTGAATTGTAAGAAGTCGTTGGGACTCTGTGGTGGCCCGGCTAGTTCACTTGCCCGCTGTAGTCCGAGCAAAAGGAGATCGATCACCAAGCCGTAATACTGGAAAACGAAGCCCGAGAACTGGAGGCCCCGAATTAAGCCATAGCTGTTGGTATGGTTCATGTCCTTGTAGTTGAGCTGGACATTGTTCTTTGACGTTATATAATCCGCCAAGTTATGATCCATAATAAGACGGAGTAAACGGTTCAATAGGGTAAGATCGATTTTCTCGTATACTTTCGAAAGTTCTGTTTCGATCATGACATTACATTCTCCGTCGGCGGTTTCCCAAACACTGGAGAGGTTATTAATACCCTGTGCCCATTTATAAACGAGTAGTGGCGGGACTTCAGAGTCCGACGGCTTAATCCATGATGGAAAAAGGTGCCGTTGATCCGCTTGGTACCATAAGTATTGGTCCAAATATGCATCGGTGATCTTCTCAATAGGCTCAATATCGTATACTGGATTGATATGACTATAATTGTCATTCATGTCAATTCCAACTTCCTTGAACGCTCGCTGAGTTAGGAGGAATCTCTTGATCCGCGCGAGTGTTGTGCCGGGAGAATCGTATGCTTGTTCAATGAGCGCAAGCTCTTCTCTTTGGTTTTGATTCAGACGGCCCTTTACGGAGTATGCTTCTCGTAGTCTTTCTAGTGCCAGTATCAAGATTTTAGTGTCGTGCTTGTATGATACACTAGGGAAGGGAATTGGCGAGAATTTTCGTGACTCAAGCCAATGAACAGTGGTGGTATAGATGGCAACAGCTTCCTCTGAAGACACATACGGGCCATCTTTCAGATAATTATGTTGTCTTTCCTGTTCAGCCTTGAGCCAAAGGCGGGTTAAACGACCAAGGTTCTTCTTCGCTACTGTTTTATCAACAGTTGCCCCTCGTCGAATCCGTTCGCGATTATAATGAGCAACCGATATCCACCAATCGGCTTTGCTTTTAACATATCGGAGAATGATATTCTCAATCGGAGCCGGAAGACCTGGGACTTTCCACGGAATATTGCTCTTCCAACATCTCCAAGCCTCTGAGAGATGTTGAAGCACTGTATTTACCTTATTTTGCTTGATTCCTTCTGGCATCATGTCCATGAGATCTGCCATCACAGATGCGCGAAGCTCCAAATCGAAATGCGACTCAACCCGCTGTTTTGTCACTGTCTTCGCCACACCTTTGCTGTGTCGACCTTCAAACTGCCGTGACAGAAGGTTTCCAAGCCATCGCTCAAGGAGAGGAATGATTCCTCGAAGGAAAAAAAGCCAAACCCTCCATGCTGGTGCCCAAAACCCGCAACCAGGACCCTTCCCTACTGGACCGGAATTAAATCGATAGTAGATCAAGTGCTTCAAGTCTTTGCATGATCTAATTTGGTGCATGAGTTTATACTTGTACCTGTACATGCCGGTAAGCTGGCCAACATGGTTGAAAGCATACAAAATGCCATCAGCAAGTTGAAAAGCATCGATGTTACCCAGTCGGTATTGAACTTGTGCATCAACAATTAATTTGGTGAGCCGTAGGATCTCTCGCATGAGGTGGAAAGCGTTGCCAAAACGTGACTTTTTTCGCTCTTTTGTAGTCAGAGTTTTGACGGGCTTCAAATTAAAATTATAATCCAGATGCAAGTAGGTCAAGTTTTTTCGATGGATTAACAAATTAAGCATATTAAATCCCTGGCGACAGACTTGGAGACCAGCTTCCACCCAGTCAATTGTTGTTTGTTGGAAAAATTTTGTACCCTTGAGCGCTGTCAACAAGTTCTGCTTGTTTTGAGCCTTTGGTTTTTTCTTATGTAGCTCGTTAAGGACATAGGTCTTAAGCATCTTTTGATATGAAACCCGGACCTTGACAGGCTGGCCTTGAGGGCAATGCTCGAGATACCATTGCTTTACCAGCGGGACATCCTGCGCCCGCACCATTTTGCCCGAGCGACGATCAAAGGGGTATGGCGCCCACCACAAGCTTATAGCAGATGCAGTTTCGCTTGTATATAATTCTTCGTCCGCTAAAAAGGGTTCGACATCACCGGGAAGCTCAAAATCATCCTCATTGTTGCCAATACCAAATATCTCATCCTCGTGGCTCACAGTAATGTTTTTCGGAGCAACGGATCGGGAGGAGATCGGGTTAATTACTGGGTCGAAGTAAAACGCAGGAAGATTTGGGTCGTCAGTCCTAACATAGACAACCTGTGGATAAGAATACCATGACATTTTTACGCTCCTTGGCAACGAATTATACAAGTAAGGAAATGCAACTCTATACTCTGTCCTTATTGGCGCACGGAAGATAATGCGGTCGATTGAGTTGAATTCTCCAAAATCCTCGTCATTTGGATCGATGTCCTTGTACAAGGGTTCAAATCTTGGACCCCCGGGGATGGCAACGTTAAGCGCTTTCGCTGTCAAAAAACTGTTAAGGTCGAACATGTGGTAGTAGTTTTTGTCGACAACGTCGCTCAAGAGTTGTCGACTTAGGCGGTACAAAGTCGCCATTTGAGGAAGAGATAGATTCCACTCCTTATAGCTAGGCCCATTGACATGAGAAGTATCAAGAAGTGGTCGATGCTCGTAGAGCCATTCATATACTGGGCCATCCTCGTTTTCGTCGAGTTCCATCTGAATCGGTTCCAGAGGTTCCACATCCTCAATATTTTCAGACCAGGACAGCGGGGGCTCCTCATCATCAAAAGGTGGAAATCGCATTCTTTTGAAGTGTCTTCGGTCACTCTTCTCCCGCCGCATGCACACCCACATGGTTGCCCATTGCGCATGGAAGACAGGCTCAATCACTCGGGGAGTTTCGTTAACGAGGGTCAAACAGCCATTTACATGATATAAAACCTTGACTTCTCTGGCAGATTCCCAGGGCATTGGCATATTTTCTAGAAGCTTTAATACGGCATGGGGCATGAACTTCAACGCGCCGAGGTAACTCCTTTTATCGGTACTGAATTTTTTCTGCGACACGTCTCCAATATCTTTGACAATCTTTCGTAAATGCTCCGGCGGCATATCAGCCTTCTGGCTTTCGACAAATCCTGCCTTTCTCTTCTCTCCAAACCGATTGCGCTGTGTTCGAAGCCATTCCTTTTTCTTTTGTTCGAACTTGGCAACTCTGGGGTCAGCGGGAGGTCTGTATCCTGGAGGGGGAGGAGCTAGGGGCATAGATGGTGGAGCTCCAGCTCCCCAACCTGGCGGAGGCGGAGGAGGTAGCGATGTCATGGCTAGATAGCGACGACGAAAGCTGGACGTGTCGCGTCAAGGGGATAGGCTTCACGTCCGCTGAACCATAGGCGTATGCGTATGTAAAAAACACAAGCTAAGTAAACCAGGGAACAAAAACAGAGATGGTTCAATTAATGATACAATTCGTAGAGATTGCACCAGAGGCGTGATGTTAATTCAATGGGCAGCTCCAAAGCTCAAGGACGACGACCGCGCTGGAAGATTTCTGGAGGCAACTGGGCTTGGCAGGGGCTAGTATGCTTTGGGACTAGTCGAAACTCGCCAAACTTTTAGCGCGAAAACGCCGCCAACCCACACAAATCGGGGTTGCGAACTGAAATCTCACGCCGACAACGACGACGCCGCTATCCTCCCAGCACCGACACTCGCAAGCTGAGATCAGAGGATTGCCAAAATGGGAAACACAAGACTTCAATACGTGAGTATAACTCCTGGGGGCGTGGTGGATTTGGCACTTAGAGACTGACCCTTCATATTTTCTACTTAGCGACGACGGAACCCGTACGTGTACCTCCAGCATTCGGTCTGCCTTGAAATTTACCATTGGAAATCAAGCAACATTAACAAGTGTTTTTCTTTCTGCTAGTTACAAGACACGGTCGAACAAAGTCCGTGTCGTCAAAACCCCGGGTGGTGAGCTTCGATATCTCCACATTAAAAAGAAGGGCACTGCGCCAAAATGTGGTGACTGCGGCATCAAGCTCCCTGGTGTGAGTACTCCTTTGGCTAATGCGATGGACTCTCCGTGGCAATCAGTTGCAAATGTCATTTTTCAATGGAAACACGTTACCTCGGATATTGTGCAATCCCTTCGATACTGACATATTTTGACTCGTTAAGGTACCCGCACTCCGCCCCCGTGAATACTCTCAGATTTCCCGATCGAAGAAGAACGTTACTCGCGCATATGGTGGCTCCCGATGTGGAAACTGTGTCAAGGACCGTATCGTCCGTGCCTTTTTGATCGAAGAGCAAAAGATCGTCAAGAAGGTGCTCAAGGAATCGCAAGAGAAGGCCGCAGCTTCGGCGAAGAAGCGATGAAGGGATGAAGCAATAAAAAGATGATGATCGCGGAGATGGGTCCGGTATGAGTTGGATTGCACTGGAGTTCTGGGTCGTCCGTGGCATGGGATAACGAAGCTGATCTCCCCTGATTGCATGAATTCTTCAATGAAGTTGTGTTTTCGGGATATTTAATGACCCTGTGTTATTTACAGAACGCTTCATCTTTTTCGCTTCGCTGTCTATACCAGCAATGCCAACAGCAAAGAATACCTCCAATAAAGGTGTTTTATTCAAGAATATGAAATAATCACCGGGACATCCTAGCTCCATACCTTAATATGCCCAATTCAATGTGACCAGCCAACTATGACCATTACAGTAATCTGGATGAATGCACTTCATAGCCAATATTGCCTTTTTCCCCAGTTGTTGAGACCTGTTAGATGTACTTTCATCGCCTGAATGGATAGGTACATGTAGGGGATTTTTCATTATTAAGCAACCTCTTTACTGATGGAAGCTCAGTATTTACCTACAAAGTAACTACAGAAGCGGCCTAAGGCACAGCCCCCAGGCTAACGCTTATGTGCAATACACAGCAGCAGGAACCCGGCCAGTTTTTTTGGTGGCCGATTAGCGTATCAGGTATTTCACCCTGAACACGAGTTCTTTCCCCCTGAAGGCCCTAGCCAACGCACTTTGGGATTTTGACTAAGCGACGGCGTTGCAGTTTTTGGGACAAGAATGCACATTCTGAGGGTTGCATTTCGAAAGGGCTAGCTAGTGGAGGCCAAGTGACGCCGCAGCGTCGCTAAAGCTCGCATCTGGCTATTCGACCATATTACTGAGAACTGATTTCTGCAAAAGGAACCCCCGGGCAAGCACCCGGCTCCCCATTATTACTGCAAGCCTGATCTGCCGGGAATATTCCGGGGTATATGGGAATAAACATACATCGCACTATGTATGGTTTATGATCAACTTCGCAGGCCTGAAGTGCGTATATCTTTTAGATACGAGAACGTCTGAATTCGAAGGGAAGCAGGATTTCACGCAATGGAAGTTGAGATCTCAATGGCACAGCATCCGGATCCTCACTTGCGTATTGAAGAAAAAGGAAAATAATAAATAATAAAAAATGCAAGATGTTTCATCCATTAGTTAACCCTGCAAGAGTCAACACGGAAAGCTGCTCCATTCCAGTATGAAATCCATTGAGCGACAACCATTTCCCCTAGAATTGGCATGGGCAACGGGGAGGAAAATTCATCTGAGTAGCTTGGCGACATGACATTTGCTGCTTGAGGAAGTTCCGTTTGTTAAAGAACAGAAGAAGGCTCTCGACATGCCACTTTCGGATGTGGAGTGGCGGACAAAAGCGATAAACGGGCGAAATCCTTGATGCGTGCGCTTGGTTTAGCGGTTGCACTATGCGCAAATCCATCCCCAACACCTTGAAAGAGGCGGGCTCTGTGCAGGCGGATTTGGAACCTGGTTAAGCCCCGTGGAGGGATTAACCACGAACGGTAAAGATTGGCTGAAGAGACGGGCGGCGTCGTCCATCCACGTCCCCAGGCCGTTGCTGGAAAACGGCACCAAAAGTTCTGGATCGGGCCGCTACCAAAGCCACAATGAGATCCGAATAATGATTTTGTCATGGGCGTCGGTGATTAGCCCGCGCGGAAGAGCGAGGTTGCATCTTGTATCCCCGTTCGGCGTTCAGACATCCCGCCCTACTCGCACTGACCTCAACATCTGGATTTGGTAGAATAATGGCATATCCATCATGCCGCAAAGATCGACCTTCCTCGCATTTTGTCTTTGAATGTCAAGGCTTGTCATGCCTGGGCGACGCAAGAATACCCAGAGAATGCCGGAATTTTCATCGCAGCACTCCATACAGCACACCTTGCAGACATCTGCCAGCTATACAGGGGAAAGAATGTGTCGTTTTTTGTGTCGATCTCATTCAGGCGCCGGAGATTTTGAATAGTCCAGGCCGGAGGTATACCCACTTCCGCGGTCCAAAGTACTCCATAAAGAAGATCAAATCCAAGAGTGAAGAGGTTGAGATCGTGCCGAATTGAAACGGATGTTAGATCCGAACCATTAAAAAAGAGGCAGAAGTACTCCGTACTGCGTACTCTCGGCCCCTTATTAAGTCGCCACATGATGATTTGGCTACGACTTTAACGCAGCGGGTAAAATACATTGAGACTCGTGCGCAAAACGTGGAGGCAAGTATGTAACTACATACATACTGTACTCCGTAGTCCCTCAAGCCAACGGTGCTGAAGGCTATGGCAATTTTACAAGTGCTCTAAGGCCCTTGTCTGACTAACTAACCGAAGACAGACCGGGGACTTGCACGCGACACGGCTAGGAAGGCTGCGGCTGCGGAGGTAGGAACAAGTAGCTAAAGCCTTCGAACTCTCACCGAGCTGTGAGGCCAGAACTTCGGTTCGTGCCGGGGTTGTCAGCAGGGGAGTGGTGGGGATCCGTTTTCGATCCATCCGTCTATTATTCATGCAGAATTTCGACGCAGTGTTAGCCATTGCAGCAACGATTGTTGTCCAGTAATAAGTCTTCCGCCACTAAAGTCATCCCCCTCGTTCAGAGACGAACGAGCATCGCTGCTGTTAACAAGAGACGGTTGCCTTGGACCCTCTACTTAGCGAGTTGAAACGGCGTGAAGTAGCCAGATGGGTGCAGAATGTGGTTTAGTGTCTCATTCAACTTGCCGGGAAGACTCGGGATAGTGCATTTCCTCACATACAATGAAGTCAGTTGAGGGATTATCTGCTTGAGTACGAGGATCTAGTGGGACCTGACATGGGAACCGCTGCCACGATGTGCTGGACGCCAATCACTAGGGCGACATTCCAGTTCTGGTGTTTGAAAAACGGCTTGAAGAAAACGCAAGTATAATTTCGTGGTGGCGCCGGGCTCTTGGGCTTTCAGAAATCGCCCCACCGCAGCTTTCTGGGGAGCAACTAAATAGCCACTGCCAAACATAATAATATTTGGGTCCGGGCACACTTCTCATTTGTACTCCGTACGGAGTACAGGCTTAGTTATCAAATACGGTAGTAATGTGCGCCATTCCATTCAAGCGTACAGAAGCTCGGCACCTGAATGGGGGCCAGAGTTCCTTTGCTCTCAGCTAACTATGCAAAGGGGAAAAGAAAAATAAGAAAAGAAAAGGGAAAACAGCCATAGAAGAGCCAACCAAATATCATGCAGTCAATGCATGCAAGAAGATTTTGTCACGGCTGTGTATTCCATGAATTCATCCATGGAAGATCAAGAGACCCTTTATATGCACCCCAATCACAAAATCCTGGATGTTCAGGTAACTCCCAAAATAATGCTCCAAAGTGCACCTCATCCAAAAAGAATTTAGCCTAAAATGCAATACAAAAAGAAATACGGTGGGCTGAAATAAATAAATACATTATGCATGTAGCTGTGCATGGAGTTGACGTTTACAAGAATGGCCATGTTGAAAGGAAAAAGCAACTCCATGGGCCAATGCTGTTAAGAGGTATTAAACACTACATGATTATTAAAAAGGTCAAATCACATGTAGCAATTAGAATCTGGCCCGATCGCCTGGCCATTGATCCAGGGTCGAAAAACCAGAGGCCAGGCTTTTTTCTGCCGCACCAGTGATATTGTAGAAGACTGGGGAGTCGGGAGAGAAGTCAGTGCAGCCGGAGGGGTCGTCAAAATTATAACTTGTCGCGGCGATATTTTTTGCTGTAATTGCTGGAGATGACAGGCGGTGTGGCTCATCATACGGTGTATGGATTGTAACGTCATTCATAAATTCGGATTTGAAGTGATTGGAAGAGTAGCGATTGTCCTCCACCCTCTGTGCTTCTCTCAGAGCACGTCGAAACTTCGCTGCTTTTTTTGTTGCCCGGCCACCCTTCGCACCTGAGCGTTGTCGCTGTGGCGCCGGGTTCTCGGACCTTGTAGGCTTTTTCTGAGCGCCTTGTTTCCGATACCTCGTTGTTGACTCCACTCCATACTTTATAGCACTTTCGGTAAGCACCCAAACATTACCGGATTTCTTAGGCAGTGTACCGGGAGAAGATACATCTCGGGCTCCTATAAACGCCTATTTTACTTGTCAGCAGAAAACCCCCAAAAAAAAAGAAAAGAAAAGAAAAGAAAAAGAAAAAAAAGAAAGAGAAGCGTGCAAACATACAGCATTCATTGAAAGATTGTGGCGGATACTATTTTGCCAACCTTTAAAATCTGGGTTCTTCGCTTTATTGGTGTGTTTTTCAAACCATTCGTAGATCTCCTTAAGAGTCATTTTGTGACCGGGGGCAGAAATGAGGGCTTTCCAGATCAGCCTTGCATAAGGTTCGTCAGATGTAGCACTTTCGGAGTCAGAATCTTCTTCAGAGACCCCAAGTACTCCATCCGGTACGGAGCGAGGTTGTAGATGCAGATACGAGTCGCCTAGCGGGCTGGATGCCATAGAATTATCGGGAGTAAAAGATGAGTACGAAGCACTTCCGGGTCTCGATGCGGAACCCTCATGTGAATGCCGTGATACCACAGAGCCGTAGAGATCAAATCGAGATACCGGCACTTCTCGGTCCTGGAATGATATTGGCGACCCTAGCTCTTGCGGCCTGTAGAGATGTTGACAGTCCCCAAGACTCTTTAGGCTTTCAACCTCCTCAAAAGAGGGGGCTAGTTTGTTAATTTCAAACCAGTCACTGTATTCGAGCAGAGGCGTTTGGATCTGAGAAGGGGGGTAGGTGAAGCCGTTGGGAATAAACTGTTCGTGGTGTCCGAAAATGCCTGAATCGCCAGGAACCTGATTAAGGTCGAAATCCCAAGTATATGGGTCGGCGATAGGATCCGACATCGACGGCGAACAATGAATTTCCGAATAGTCAGGGAGGCCGAACATCTCGCTATGGAAATGCGGAAAGGAAAGCTCATCCAGAGTCGCTCCCGTTGCGGAAACAGGCGTGAGAGCGTACGGGGGCTGGAATGACGATTTCCTGGTCGGCGTTGGCATGATCGGGCGAGTGCAAGTTGTAGATGGCGGCACGCCTTGAAAGAGCTGAGACATGGGACCTTGTTCTATCTTTCTTTTCGACATAGTTCAACTGAGATAAGACACTTTGTTCAGGTGCTTCAGCAGTGCCCAAATCGGTGGGGTCAACAGATTCTCTGAATGTGTGACTTAACTGAGGAGGAGGTGTTTAAGAACAGGGCTTGTGAGACTAAGATAAGAGCAAGTAGGAAGTGTTTTCAGAAAACAAATGAAGTATCGGCTGGGCAAGTTACTGAAACACCTTTCCAAATTGATCAGAGCACAAGCGCATTTGCTTGCTTCCTATAAGCCGTGGAGAGCGAACGATAGAAAAAGAAGCAAACAAAGAATTAGGATCCAGAACCTAAACAGAGATCCGGTATAACATTGTATCGAGCCTGAAGGTAAAGGCCTTGTGGAACAGCAAGCTGGCTGGTGCCCCATACGTAGGGCGGACTAAATGCAAGGGTGGCCAAGATCCACGTCTACAGTAGCGTGGGAGAACGGGGAAGGGAAGAAAATGTGTCAAGATGCCTAGCTCGTCACATAGTGATGCTGGATTGGGCGCGGACGGGAAGCTGCATGTAGGGTTGAAAATCCGCCACTAGTTACATCTTGCAGAATGGTATAGCGGCAGGTGGCTGGGGCCCCGAATAGTGGTCAGACAAAGCTTCTGGAAGCCTTATGGTTTCTAGATCGTTTCCCAATGGGCAAGGGCCACTGGGGGTCCCATGTCTCAGGGAGCTGTCTTTCCCGCTCGCTGAAAATGAAGATCCCAATAGAACTGATATTCTGAAAGTTCAATTACCATTCGAATATAACAGATACCCAGGAGCCAAAGTATTTCCTTCCATTATGCACCAAAACCACAATATGAAAGAGTAAAGCTCCGTAGATGTCGTATAACTGAATACCATGTAATAAAACCGTGACGAGAAACGAAAGGTCAAGGGTGGTTGCTGGCGGCGAAGTCATTGTAGAACGAGGCGTAGTAAATTTTGGTGAGTAAGCCATTCGATGCAGAATGTATTGGAAATGCACGAGACAAAGAAAAAGAAAATCTCCGAAATTCTATGTAATGTACGGAGTACGGCGATGAATGAACTGCCACCCAGAAATAACTACTCTGGCCAATCAAGATTTGGCCTAGGATTCGTTTAGTAGTGAAATATTGTGATGGGTTGACAGGGGGAGGGAGCGGCAGCGCCACACACAGTGCATGAGGAGAGACGGCCCCATGAAGTTCACTTGCGATAGTAAACCTATGAACATGGGTTAGAAATTTCTATGGTGGAAATAAAGAGCGGTAAAGGCAAATAATACCTTCTTGAACTGGAAATGTAGCTGCAAAATGCCCTGAAGCAACATGTATTAGATGGATCTCGTCATTAGGGGCCACCTAGCTTACCTTCTCAAATGTGCTTTTGAACCCTCTTTCACGCTTAGCACTATAATCCCACTCCTTGTCTACAATTCTAAAGGCGAGATCCTCATATGGTGGGCCTGAAATGAAACGAATGATGCACGTATCTTCTTCTCCCGCAGCAGCGAAGGACTGGCCGCGTTTTCTTCCATGTTCACGTTTTATTTTATAAGTTGGAGCTTTAGTTTTATCAATGAGGTCAGGGTAAAATATATTAAATTTGTACCCTTGAACAACTTTCGGCGGGGGGTCATCATAGTCGTAATGTGTTTGATTATATTTATTCCACTCGTAGCCCATCTGGACACGATTAAAGTAGCGCGGTTTACGAGGACGATATTTATTGGCCCAAGCCGGCTTTACTGGGGAATTGACAACTTCTTCTCCAGCGAAAATTTCCTCGTTTTCGTTGATCCCCCGCGCAACCTCCCTTTCGTATAAAGCCTTTGTGGCTTGGGAGAAATCGTCATTCGGTGCCGAAAGAAAGCGTGGTGCAACTGCAGATACAGTCGACGATGGAAGCGTATTCGAAATGGCGGGCGTTATCTTATCAGTGGATCGTTGACGTAATGGCACAAAACCCATTTTTAATATCTTTTTTCGTTCAGAAAACTATGTAGGGTCAGATAAAACTCCGGTAACAGCACGAAATTGGGCAGCATACCACCTGGAAAAGAAAAGATTCTTCATCAAATATCACAAGGCTCCTGTCATGAGACTGAAGCTGCAATAGTGGATCAGGATCCAAATTTTTATTAGGTGGCTCGGCTCGTTGGGCATTTTCAACGTCAGCATACGGCGCAAGAGGAGCAAGTTTTGCCTGCAAATGTTCCGCTTCCTCCCGCTGCTGTTTCTGCAGCTCTTCAGATCTCCCCTTGATAACAGCCTGGAAGACACGTCTTAGTTTCGCGCGGGCTTTCCAGACAGTCAAGCTCTTCAGTAGTTGCTCCCAGTAGTCCGTGTCAATAGGTTCCCTTGAGTTCAATTTTTTTCGTATCTGCGTCTCAAGAGTCACAAGCTCTTCGTAGGTTTTTGGGCAAAGGAGTTTATTGATATCGGCAGCAACGGAGCCGACAACTCGATCTTCAGGTGCTGACGATTCGGATTTTTGCTTTCGGTCATTGCAAATTACTTTCATAGTCTACGAATAGAATTAGTTTCATTGATTTATATGAAACGCTTAGGGAACAAACCATCCAATACTCCCGATTTTCCAGGTTGGTTTCAAGCTTCAAGAAGGTCTCGATATCTTGCTCTAGGCTAGTTAGTTGGGAAACGGACAATCCCTCAAAAACGCCATCTGGATCAATCAAATCAAGATCCGAGTCTGGAATTTCATCGTCGAGCGGATTTCTGGTCGGGTCGATAACGCGTAGAGTTATTGTGAGCCAGTCAATGGCCTTCGCTCGCCCTTCCTTTACCCGTATCTCAGCCTTCTTTTTGGCTTGCCGGAGCACAAAGTCATCCTCTTGCGCAACCCAATGTCGCATTTGCTCATCTTCTTGCAGTAGATTTAGCCGTGCCTGCTCTTTCATGCTCCATGGCTGCTGAGAGCTACTATTGTCCTTTCTCATGCGAGGCCGGGTATGATTTGTGTCGTCAACATAGCGTATCTTTTCGGGGCGGCCCTTCGAGGGGGAGCGCGACCTGCTTCGCTTTGAGGGGTTTTTATCACGAAATGTGAGTGACATCGTTTCGGGCGGCTGTTATAACGTCAGTCGCGCAGGGTCGAGATTATCAGGAATGGAGTTGAAGAGGTTGGCTGGGGAAACTCAAGCGAGTTCGGCAAAGCTTCCTTGAGTGGCGATATCGAAGCTTAAATCGTCAACAAGTTACCAGGAGGCACGGACCGCTAGAAATGGCCAGGGAATATTAGATACATATATCGATCATGATGCAGCAACGCTGGAAGTCCTTGCCTCTTGACACTGGTGGAAATCTTCCTCCCCTTTTCTTCAGCTACGTTTCGAGCCTACAAGGCTACGAGATTCTTGTCACTGACTTGGCTTATGTTTGGTCCGAGTCCCTGAGCCGCAAGCAAGTCCTTGCGAACGCATCTAAATATGATACCAGCATTGATCCTAGCGAGGATGATGATCAATATCTTGTTTTACTTCAAAAGCTCGGTGATGCTTTAAACGGAGAGAGCGGCACCTCTCTCACCTTACAAGGCCATCAAAATAGAAGTAGCCTCAGGCTATCCACCAAGACAAAGTTGCCTTCACCTTTAGAACCACTTACCTGGATTATAAATCTATCACAACTGCCCCAGAGCTCCCTAACCCAGCTACTTTTTCTCCCTGTTCTTCGAGTCGCCGCTAGTTATGAGTCACGAATGGAAGCTCTTACTGAGAAGTTAAAGGACAAAGATTGGGCCTTAGGCAAACTTTTTGACAAATTAGAAGCCTCTGGTATCGATCTCAGCACAGTGTTCCCATCGTTGACGGGCACACGATATGGACATGGGCGCAAGGCATCTACATTTTCACTCGCATCGGAATTGATTAGAGGCATCGCTCCTTTCGATAAAACGGCCTGGGACTCGGAGTTTGCCAAGGGTAATCTCAATCAGCACCTAGATGAAAATATTGTCACGGAACTCTCAGTCTCTATTTCTAGCTCTAAGCCCGAAACTATTGGAGAGGATTGGTGGGCCAAAATTGGACAGCATCATAGCAGTCCTAGTGGCAACTCCTCACGGCCAACAGCATTAAAAGCGAAACCTAGAAAACTCATAGAACCCGAAACTGAAACTGAGGACGAATTCGAAGTACGAGCACAATTCTTTTATTCTTGAACTACAATTAACTGATGACGAATAGACTCATGCATCACCTGCACCACTTAGAAAGCCTTCGCCAAGTAGCGTTATGATAGGCGGTAGCAATGAGGCAGAAGGTTCTCCCATTGGAAAAGAAGTGAAACAAACGTCACAAGCTAATTTTAGGGAGGGGAATATCCATAACTATACAGACGAAATAGTTCTTTCAAGTAATCCCCATCCTTCGGTTCCATCCAAAAAGGCAAAAGCTAAAGGCATAGGGGTGATCGGTGGTAAAAGGAAGGGCAGCAGCTTGCTAACGGGAAAATCTGACAAATCAACTACTCCTGATATCCCTCACCACAACCTTCTCGAGAGACTTTCGACGGATGCCGGGCCAGCACAATACAAAGAAGATCGCGTATCCCATGCAGTCAAACAGCAAGCAGCACCGCCAGAGGCCAACAACAATATTGATGAATCGCTCCATCATGGAATGAAGCTGAAAGGCCCTCGCGTAAAAGGTGGGCTGGGCCAAATAGGAGGCAAAAAAGCAGCTTCAACCTCAAGAGTAAAGGAGCGCCAGGGATCTTCAAAGGAAGTCGCAATGAACGATGAAGTTTCTGACTTAGAACCACCGAAAGGCAAAAGTAGGCTCGGCATGATTGGAAGCGATAAGCTTTCCCGGAAACAAAACAATACTGTTGCCGAAAACAGTCCTACACTGAGGCAGGAAACTGTGCAAACGGCTGATGAACCATCTGACATCGAGCACGACAAATATGCAGATGCCAATGCAGCTGAAAAACGAAGACCGCCAAAAAGTTCGAGATTGAATACTGATTCATCTTACACACTCTTAAAGCAGGAAATGGAACCTACTAAAGATGAAACTTTGGAGAAACGAGCAAATAAAAGAAGAGAAGCTCTCAAGCAGCAGTTAGAATTGAAAAGCGGTCCGGCAAAAAAGAAAAGAAGATTTTAAAAGACACTTGAACATTTACACCATATGCTTCGCCATGCTGATGTTCACTAGCATTTTAACATGTACGAAGAATGACTACCCGCAGGACTGATGAATATTGATGAATTGGGATCTATATGAATACTACCAGCTCTTATGTAGTTACCAATGATGTAACTACTTCAAATTTAGCCGCCTCTAGGGCTTAGCGGAAGCTTATTCTTTTGGTGCCGGCGCTTAAATTGACAAGTTATGGAAGAATTACTATTTGGAGAGTAACAGATTCACCAAACGAGATACAGACTTGCATCTTGCCAAGTTATCAAAATTATAGTCCTATCTTAGACTGAAAGTTCTGGCACCTTAGCCCAGGTATATATGCTTATGAGGATCATGCGCCCCCACAAGTACATGTGCACTTCACGCCTGATTCCAAGGAAGTCAGGCATTTCACAGAAGCCATGAATGATATATTGGAGAGTTAATGGAGTTCGTTAATCCTAGGACAAAAAATGAATTCAGGCTGAAACTTTACCCAACAGAGGTAGATAGTGTGCTAGCATTGCTTGTCACACAAATAGCAAATAAAAAAGGGGTCCATCACTATGGCAGATAGAACCTTACAAACAAAAACAGATGCAATGGCCCTCCGTACTCCCATAAACGACAAAGTATCCCCTATAGTACAGTACATCTTAGATGCCATGACAATAAGAAAACAACAGAGTAAGGAGGCAGGAAGGGAAGTAGAAGTTACTCAGCAATGCGAAAATAGACGAAAAGAAGCAACATGCTTCGAATAGGGTATAATAGAAAAAGCTAGCAGATATATGTTGCATGCGTGATGCATTCGCGGTGGGGGAGGACGCATATTCAGGTTTCAGATACTATCCTAGACGTTCTCGGCCCCCGCCTCTAAGAATATTACCCCCCCTCCTCCTATTAGTATTTATTTTAGTGCCCTGTTGTCTTCCCTGTTCCCCAGGCGTAACCAACCTAACTTTTTTCGGAGACAACACAGCCGACGCGTCAGGGCTGGTCATAACAGTAGCAGGTGACGACGCAGCAGACCCTAGTCCTGCAGAGCCCACCGTGCCCAGCATCCCGCGTACCCTCTCAACAGCCTTACTTTCGCCTGCAGTCCAGGAGTCTCTCTTGGCAAACACAGCACTAGGACAACGCAAAGATTGTGCGTCACGCGTTTTTTTTTTAGATGCCTGATATTTGTCTCTTAAGGGGCCTGGGCCGCAGTCATGATCACAGCCAGGTGTTGCGCAACAACCCTCACTAAGTGACATGTCGCTAAGCCAGATTAGTTGGCAGGCGGTGTGCGCACCATGTCCACAACCTTGGCACCAAGTCCATAAAGTCCAGCCGCCAGTGCGGGTAGTCGCCTTAAGACGGGGTTCAGGTGCATGGCCATGAAGTATTGGAGCACCGGAAAGGGGAATACTAGCCGGGCTCCTTTCTGGACGGGACTGTAAGACGGAGCTGTATTTGGGCTTTTGGCTAGAATTATCACTTAAAGCAGCTGCTTGCATAATCCATTTCTCTGGCGGAGTGCGGCTCATGCATATTGTGCAAGGCGGTTGTGCAACATTGCATCGATGACACAACCGGTTATTGCGGACTGGATTGTCGTATGGCTTATTGCATTGAAAACAATAGACGTTAATAAAAATGTCTTTAAGAGCGTAATCGTATACTGCCGGATATGTTGGCACGCATTGACGCCGGATCTCAGCGGCCTCCACGTACATTTCACGCCGTAGAAGCTGATCGTGGTAAGATTGGATAATGAGCTCTCGTTCCTCATATGGCATGATATTATCAAGAGAACGAAAAACAACATGCAGCTTGTGCAGAAAATGGACAGCACTGACGAAGTCAACAGTTGAACTAGCCGCATAGTACCTAATTGCCTCTCTGATTACAGCTTGTGGGCTCCATGGTGGGTATGATTGTGTAGGTTTCTTGCCGTCTTGAAATAGGTGGGTCGCTGGTGAAGCAAAAAGTCCTTCAAAGGAAAAATATTCTTTAGCAACCGGAATAGGCGCAGATTCAGCTAAGAATGGGAGGGGTGCAAGAGGGCGATCAAGATGTATGTTGTGTACTTCTGTGGGAATAACTTCATAAGACTTTTCGCTTATAGAGGCATCACTGTTAATTCTTTCTCTACTTTTGGAAGGGGAGTCATCCTCGTGCTCTGGGATGCTCTGTAGCAAGCTCTCCTCAACTGCTGACCAAGGGCTATCTCCCAGGTGAGAGATATCGGACTTTCTTTGTGGTGATGACGGCCTATCAGTAAGATATGCTGTATAGTGAGAGCTATCTGTAGAAGCCGAGAACATTGAAAAGCTCTCACCAGAATCATGGCGGGCGTATGGTATGGGGCGATGTGGGGGCGGGCCCCCATGAGATAGAGTATTGGGTGGCATTACGCCCTTTGGCAAAGATTCATAATCATTCAGAACGTCACTTTTCTCTTCCAATTGCCTACCATAGTCATGGCTGGGTGAACTGTTATGATGTTCAAAATCACTGTCCTCTTGGTGTCTCCAGGTCCCACGACTGTTGATAGTACGGGGTGCAGACCTGTGCCCATCAGTATATGACTCATTCTGACCGGCGTCAGAACATCTTAGATGCTCATGTGACAAGCGTTTAGGCGTGAGAAGCCCGTCTTTAATTTCTGGTTCGTCGTCTTCAATGTTCTCTGGACGGTTATCTGAAGTGGGTCTTTTATGATCCGAGACCCAATTTTTGGATGGGAGCACGGCTGGTGGTAGCGGTGGAAGCTCGGTCCAATCCTGCTTGAAATTTTCCTTTTCATTATCATCATCGCCAAACTCATCAGGTGCTGCTTCAGGCAAAGGCCGGGCGAGAGGAGTTGCAATATCAGATTCTACATCAATCTCAGGCGTTGCAAGAGATCGGTATTTGGTATCAGTTTCGTCCTCAAATAAATGAGTCGAGATTGTGCCTGTTATAGACTCCTTGTTCGCAGATATCTTTTCACCAATGTGCTCATTGCCGTGTAAATGCGATATATCAGTAGATTTGTCCGTTTGCTGCTCATGAGCTCGAGCAGCAAATTCGACAGAAACTGCATATTTGGCAACCCGCCACGTTCTACCGAGTTTAAAAAAACCTGCACAGTCAGCTTGTATTGCATTATGCTCGAAACTGTCCAAGAAAGAATCCACGGCAGATGCTGAGACACCTTCAGGAAAATGATTAGTGATTAGTGGTGAATAATTTTTGACGAGATATGTAAAAATATCTTGGTCAACAGTGACGCTAGGAATGCTCCCAATGACGCCAGTGTCAATTGGTTTATAAACGCCGGTTTTAGCAACAGCCTTCTCAAGAGGTACCACCTGCGGGATGTCGTCCTCTGAAATCGAGGAGGTGCCGCTAAGAGACTTAGATAACCTGGCGTACGGAATTCTATTAGATCGCTTACGATTCGTTGGAGGTTCATCAGTGGCATCATCAGGGAAGCTAGCATTTTTATCATTAGCTCCAGGTTGCGAACCCCGCTCCAGAAATTCTTCGATTCCAAAATTGGTACTCTGTAGTTGGCACCTAGGTCTCTGACGAGTGAATGCAAGTCCACCATTTGGGTTCCAAGCCATAGCGCAAGGTCTACGCCGCTGGATTACTTGGGGTGCATGGTTCATATCAGCCCGTGTGAATACTCCCTCACCGTTGACGGACCACAGCAAATCGCTTGAAAACCAAAGAAGATCCGTTACGGAGCGATTGTGGTGGTCAAACTCTCTAAATGGAATGTGAGGCCTGCGAAGATCCCATAAATGAATGCGGGGATCTTCCTGATCATAGGAGGTTACCACTTGAGTTGACTGCCAATCTCCGACTTGATCATTTCCTGTCCATGAAGCTGGGCGCCATCTGGCATTCATAACTGATTGGGGTGCTCGAAGCTGAAAACAAGGCTTCTGCCTTCTATCCGATAACGAAAAGTCCCAAACTTTGATGAGACGGTCCGCGCTGGCACTAACCAGGTGTTTACCATCTGGATGCCAATCAATGGCGGAGCACGCTTTCTCATGGGCATTAATTTTCATTAGAGGAGCGTTTTCTTTGCGCACGTCCCACCGTTGGATTGCACCACTATCCGTGGCTGTGGCAAATTCCACGCCATCCGCAGGCGACCACCTGATATCCCGCACAGCCTCACTATGGCCATTGAAGCAATGCTTGCTTCCAAAGTTCACAACGCCTCTTGCCCCCGAGAAGACGCGTAGATCCCACATACGAATGGTTGCATCTTGACTTCCCGACAATAGCCATGCGCCACGATGTGGATTGAACGCCAGCCGATGGACCTGTCGCATATGTTCATGAAAACGGCCCAACTCCACGCCGGCGCGATTGAGGTCAAAAATGGCGATTCGGCCGTTAGTGGCGGCTGTTGCAATAACCGTGCTATACTCCCCATGGGACCACTTAACGTCCTTTGCCGACAGCTGATCCTTGAACTTAGATGCTAAAGCCGCGGGTGACGCATTATGAGCTGCAGAGTATCCGATAATCGCGGAGCGGATATTAGTGTCCTCAGAGCAATGATCAGAAGTGACCTTGATTGTCCTTAGGATTTCCCTACCGGCCAGGACGGCATGGGTGCGCTGGGGTGAGACATCGAGGGCAGCGAGGGGAATGCCGGTTTTGTGGGAAAGCACAGGTGATGCCCCAGGCCTACGAAGAAGAAGCACATAATCAGAAGGCAAAATTTCGCCATGCGTATCACTTGGTTATAGGGCACACGGAAGCAGATGAACTTACACGGAAGCTGAGTGCTTTAAGCCGGGTGATATAGCTGAGGTCACGCGCGTCGAGCCCTGTTGGGGGCTTGGTGGACGCGACCCGTAAAAGAACGGATGCGCAAATCGCGCGAGCGCGCTGGTAGCCTTGATGGCATATTTTTGCGGCGGCAAGGGAGGGGGAGCAGGAGGAAGCGGGGAAACAGATGGCGGGTTTGAAGAACCGGAGTTCCTCAGAGATTCCGCCATTATGGAAACTCATTTCAGACGCCCATGTTGCAGCCAGGCAATGCGCAATGAAAGGGCTGCCGATCCATTTCTGTCAAACGCCGCGGAGAGCTCACAGCACAGCCGGTCGTGGCAGGCGATGAAGCTGTCATGTGCGGCAGCTTCCCAAAACGTGCTGTCCGGATTAAAGTTGCGCTAGCGCCGGTGGGCTTGGCGCCGGGAGGCCTCCCGTGACCATGTCGCTAGCCCGTATCAGGAATAGCCCTTTCGGCACCAATCGTCCAATCGCCGTCTGACATTCCTTTAGGACGGACAACAGGACCAGCGGCCGACTCTGACGACGTGGTAGCCCTGAAGCACAATCCTGGGGTATCCTGAGACATTTTGATCTCGCATTAGCCACCGCCCGTACGGAGTAGTTCTTGCAGACTTGGCCAGTCGTTGACTGTTGAATGCTGAGCTGACCAGGCTGTTATCATTATCAGGTATTTCTGAATGCATAGTCTAATCCACGTACTCCCCCCATACATGCTATTATTCAATCTCCAGCTGAAACGAAGAATCGTATTCGGAACACGGACGCCCTGTGCTGGGCTCCGGTCATGGGTACGACTTACATCTGCTGGATACGGATCTGGAGTTTAACGCACAGCTGGAGGCACAATAAACACCATGCACTCCGTATGTAATTATGTATGTACGATGTGTGTGTTAGCTACAAAGCTTCATCGTCCGGGGGGTTCTCATGGCAATATCTTACTACAAGCTCTGATCTGAAGAGTCAAATGCGGGGTAGAAATTTCGGCAGTTACTTGGCCGATGTGAAGCTGCCATTCAAAAAGAGTGTATACATATCTGATAAGGTGTAGTCTTGTATGTCCTGGGGTTTCTCCAGGGCGGTAAAGCAAAGCCACCGAAGGCTATTATTGGCTAGATATATTGAGCAGAGGGACGTCAAGTGTCCCGCGTTTTCAGTTTTAGCGTCCGCTAGTTTAGCTACAAAGAATCAAACGATTCATGAGTGAGGCTTTTTTTTTTCGCAGCCATATGTTTGATCAAAAAGATCCTTCTCAGTAAAAAGGTGCAGATCAACTCGTATTTCGAGATTGAAGAAAAGAAGTAATGCGACCTAACAAGGCAGTCGTTCCCAGAGTGTTCGGTTGCGATCCCTGCCATTAGGGAGCGGTCTTAGGCGCGTTAGAATTTCAAAGATGAAGCCCTTCCCGTACATTTGATTACAATGTATATCATAGAGGCACTGCGTTCCGCTTGCGGGTGATATAAATAGCAAAGATGATGTAGGAGTGCTTCTTTGGGTTCGATCCGCCTGACGTGTCAATTTCGACATTCTGATTTCCCTCCGCCTTTTGGCTGATCCGGCCACGAATACCGCAATGACCTGCCGTTGCTGACGGACAGAAATTATTACCGGAAGAGATTCAAAGGCCGCGACGGTTATATGTCGAATACGTTCAGGGTTTCACACTTGACGCGCCGACCCGCGGAAGACACAGACCACTGCAAGGTGCCAGGGTCGAATCCCGCTCTGATTGGGATGACGGCTGGCAATATTCAAGGTACAAAGTTTCTTGCATTTCGCATACGAAGCGGCGTACCTGATTCCATACAGCAGGGTCAGCGTGGACAGGGTTGGCGTATACATATGTGTTAGCAATCCCTGTAGGATGTAGCATCCTCCTCTGCCTTTGGTCCAGGCGATATATAAGTGTGGATACCGTTTTATTTTTGCCCTCTTGCGTGCCTCACTCTCCACGGCAGAGGTACTTGGTACTGCGTGATCTCATATGAAGGGAGAGACGCCGACGCAGTAGTACCCTGTACATCCTTCGGATCCCCACTTGAACAGCCGGAATTCTGCCAGTCAGCGAACTAAAGTATGTTCTTGTTATCCAAGTCTCACCGCCCTAAGAAAAGGAAGCTAGCTAATCAAAGCTGGTTCCAGATTCAAGACACTCAGTGCTCACCGCCCATGAATGCTGTGGGTGAATTTAATTGGGAGGAACGGAAGGGGAAACATGAAGGAGGGCTGGGAGCTAGCAGAGTGAACTGTGAATTCTTGTTCCTTTGTGATCAGCCGGAGTTCTCCCTCACTTGTGAGCAAGAAAACAATCCTGCCACCCAGCTCTGCGCAGCGGGTGATCAAGAATTAACTTTACCTGGGATCTCGCGCCAGTCAGGAGGCCAAGATTGGGTTGGAGCTGTCTTTTTTCGGCATCAACTCTCTTTTTAACCTTGATACGCCACTCTCTGTTTGTCCACCACACCCCTTCTGGTCTCTCGCCCGTTTTGCTTCACTTTTTTTCCTTTCTTCTTTCTTGTCCACCTTGACTTCACTTCTGTGCCGTCCTCTTGTACCACTAACTGTCCTGCAACTGTTGGCACGCCAGTGACATTGGGTAACTGCCTCCCCGCCTTTGTCTTCGCGCTTGCCGACCGCCCTTAAATTAAGGATACCTCACTCTTCCACTCTTGAGCTGTTCCTCCACCTTCACCCCTCCAAAGTTGTGTGCCGCTCTCTCTAACCTCATATTCTCTTGTCTAGCTTTCCCTGCAGCTCCTTGAGTGTTAGTTCCCTTTTCAATTGGCCAATTCAACAGTCAATTTCTCAAACATCTCACCGCACTCGTTGTTTTGTGCTGGACTAGCCTTCATTGTCAAATTCAAGCACCTGGGCAGACATCACACTTTTAACGGCCATTTTCACCAACCTTCAGAGTACTTTGGCTCATTGGAGCTCTTTCACAACACGACATTTGTTCAATTGCAAACATTTCATATCATGGAAAAGGGCGAACTTGAGTAACACCCAAAGGCAATAATAAGGAATTGGATTCAGCATGGACTCTGCTACTATTGTCAATAGTGGTTTGCAATCACATATCGACAATGCCACACTCAGGGTCGTGTTGCAGTACATGCAAACAGTCTCCCCGATTATCATCGTTTTAGTCTTCAGTATTGCCTTTGTGGCCAACTCAATCATCTCTGCTAGGAAAGTGAAATGCAATGCAGCTGTGACCACAGGACCGGGCGGCAGGCCTCTCCCTACACGGATGCGGAGTACAGCTGTCATCGTGACCGATAATGTTGAGGATTTTTCACCAAACGTAAAACTGGTTTTCAAATGGCTATCCGTCAGTATCTTATTGACATTTGTCGCTGATGCAGCCTTAAATATGTCTCATGTGATGTTACATCGCCTCGAGCATTGGTGGGCCGGGCAATCTGTCGTGGTATGCTTCCTTGCCAGCTCCTCAGTAATATAGCTAATGACCACTTTAGATTTATATAGTCGGCTCGTTCTTTGCGTGGACAGTTGTACTGATATCTCTAGTTGACACCACACCCTCCCCAACCTTTGCGCAGTTATATCCATGGGTTTTGGCAGTGCCCCTGGAGCTGACCATGCTTGCTGCACATTTTGCGCTTTATACTAGCCCGCATCATGAGCCGGTTGTTGGTGACCCGCGTGGAGGTCCCTTGAAGAAAAAAATCACAGCATGGGAATCAATTGAAGTTGTTATAGCCCTTGTACGCCTGCTAACTTTGGTGGGTATCGTCTTGCTGTATACATTCAATTCCACAAGCTGGACGCCAAACGAAGGCGGGCGAGTTGGGGGCGCCAATGAAACGACAGGATTGTTGAGGCCAGACTCCAGTGCTAATAACGGCATGAATGGCAATGGTTATGGTTCCGCGGAAACAACTCCCAAAGCCCAGACATCTAAACCCGCCGAAGTTGAGGCAGCTTGGGCCCGCCCTTCCTCTGCTCCTGCAACTACCTGGTGGGAATATCTTAGTGGATATTCTGTCTTCTTCCCTTATCTTTGGCCGTCGAAATCACACCGCTTGCAATTGGTGGTTATGTTTTGTTTCAGCCTGGTGTTGCTGCAGCGGGTAGTAAATGTTCTCGTGCCGTACCAAGTTGGTATCATCATAGACGACCTATCAAGTGACGAAATTGGGTTCCAGCAGGTCCCATGGGTGGGCATCTGTCTTTATGTCTTTTATCGGTTTCTGCAGGGCAGCCAAGGCTTGATAGGGTCGTTGCGGTCTTTCCTCTGGATCCCCGTCAGTCAATATTCGTATATGGAGCTCTCGACGGCTGCATTCGAACATGTACATGGACTTAGCCTGGACTTCCATCTGGGCAAGAAAACTGGTGAGGTGATTTCAGCTTTAAACAAAGGCAACTCAATCAACAATTTCTTGGAACAAGTTACCTTTCAAGTGCTACCCATGCTCATTGATTTGTGCGTGGCCATTGGGTACTTTATGATTGCATTTGACGTGTATTATGCCCTGGTAGTGACCATTGTCACATTTGCCTATCTGTACGTTACTATTCGCCTAGCACAGTGGAGAGCAGAGATCCGCCGCACAATGACGAACATGAGCAGACAGGAGGATGCGGTTAAGTGAGTTACTCTTTCTGTGTTTGAAAAGAGACATGAGCTTTGCCTAATATGGAACGCAGGAATGACTCCATTATTTCTTACGAAACAGTGAAATATTTCAACGCCGAGCAGTATGAATTTGGTCGTTACCGGAGTGCTGTAACAGATTTCCAGAAAGCAGAGTACCAGGTTTTATTTTCCCTCTCACTGCTAAACACCAGCCAGAACACTGTTTTTATGCTTGGCCTGATGGTCACTTGTTTCATTGCTGCATTTCAAGTTGCCACAGGTGAAAGGAAGGTTGGTCAATTTGTGACCTTGTTAACATATATGGCCCAGCTTCAAGGGCCCCTCAATTTTTTCGGCACATTTTATCGGACCATACAAAATTCGCTGATCAACTCAGAGCGGCTGCTAGAGCTCTTCAGAGAGCAGCCCACTGTTGTTGATGGCCCTCTGGCATCAAAGCTTCCGGGTTGTATGGGAGATATCAAGTTTGATAAAGTTGAGTTTGCATATGATTGCCGCAAACCAGCACTCAATGGCCTGAGTTTTCACTGTAAACCAGGAACCACTACTGCTCTCGTCGGTGAATCCGGAGGTGGGAAGTCGACTGTGTTTCGCCTTTTGTTCCGGTTTTACAATGCTGCTTCGGGCGGTATACTTGTTGATGATCGCAAGGTCGAGACCATCACCATCGACTCACTTCGTAGCCACATTGGCGTTGTGCCCCAGGATACCATTCTCTTTAACGAAACCATCATGTATAACTTGAGATATGCAAACCCGGCGGCAACTGATGAGGAGGTATACGACGCATGCCGTGCTGCCAGCATCCATCATAGGATTCTCACATTTCCAGATGGGTATGAAACCAAGGTTGGTGAACGTGGGCTTCGTCTAAGCGGTGGTGAAAAACAGCGAGTTGCTATCGCACGGACCATTTTGAAAAACCCACGGATTATTTTGCTTGATGAGGCTACTGCGGCACTTGATACCGAAACAGAGGAGCATATCCAAGGAGCGCTATCTACGCTATCTAAAGGTCGCACAATGCTGGTTATTGCCCACCGTCTAAGTACAATAACTACTGCGGACCAAATTCTTGTGCTCCAAAATGGGCAAGTCATTGAGCGTGGCACCCATGAACAGCTGCTTTCGTTAAAAGGCCGATACTCCAGTATGTGGAGAAAACAGATTCGTGCGCAACGAGCAGCTGCAGAAGCACAGGTACTGCAGGTTCGGGCAGAGCGGCTGAGAAGTGCGTCTACAACCGCTGGAGGTGAGGATAGCTCAAGCCAGTCAGACGAGGAGCACTCCAAAGGAAATGAAACTCCAGAGGAGAAGCCTACACGCCCCCCTCTCGGGCAGCGTTGGTCCAAGATTTCGGATGCCAAGGGCACAACCCAATAAAGACGCTTGTTGAATCGCTAATATTTCCTACAGGGACAATAGGAATTGGAGGAGGGCTGATTGCAGGGTGTGAAATTCAACTGATACCAAATGCGCGCTTCATTCCTGGCGTTTACCAAATGGTCCATCAGAGGCGTAAGGGTTTTTTTTTCATCGTTTTATCGGGTACCTGTTATAAAAGCATGGCCACGAAATTTATGATATCTTTCTTTCACTTGCCTGTTTTCTTGTACTCTGCGGTCTATGCCCCCTGGATACTACATACATTTCTTTGGGAGGCTCCGTTTTAATGTGTAATTTCATTTTTTTTCTTCTTCTTCTGTCATGGAGGTGGGCACCGGAGGTATAGATTCCGCAAAGCAGTGTTGACCGTTAGAATTAGCTAGCCAATATCATCCACCCGTTGCATCTTCTCGCAGCCTTGCTGACCGCAACAACACACACAGCCTGATAGGCTGGCGCGCGCCGCCGCGGAAACGCGCATGCCAAGCCCTCGCACTGGGCAAACTGGTCTGAACTCTGACCGCGGTGCAACCAGGCGTGCCGCGCTGTCTCAGCGCACCGCATGAGCGACGTGATACAGACATTTACACAACGCCCCTCTCGCGGGACGCCAACAGCTCAAGTTCGGGCTACCAGAAACGACAGCTCTTGCCCTCCCACCGCCATACCTTTGACCGCCGAAAGGTCGTTACTTTCAAAAGCCGCGATTGGGGGCCACCGGTATTCCGCTTTGCCAGCTGCAGCTTCACGCCCCCCTGTGCATTCTCATCGATGCATTCGCCGTCCATACAACTTCTGCGCGCACTGCATGCATCCATACGGTCGCCCCGAAGGACCATTTCGTGGCCAACGCACCTCCATCCAAGCCCTGCTTCTGGCCACGCTGTTACCACACCCCTTCTATCACGGACCATAACATCTACCGCTACGGCAAACTACCCGGGAAATACCAACGGTAACAATAGCAATGGGAAATCGCCGTTTCGGTCACCCCTGCCGCCCCCGCCGCAGCGCCGCTCGGAGCTCTCTACCGCGGATTTGAAGCCGAAATCTCACTACCGTGGGCCTCCGCCGCCTGAAGATCCGCGGACGGATACCAGTATCCGCACGGATATTAGTGCTCTGGATGTTTTTGCTGGTGTTGCCACTCCGTCCACCGCCGTGGACGCTTGCCTGGATGATGGGTTTCATTTGAATAACGGGGTTAAGGTGACGGGCGGAGACGGTTGTTTGCTGGTTGATGGGGAAGCATTTGCCTGGAGGCCATGGGAAGCTGGCCAAGCAGGTACACTCAAGGCAATGGTGAATGACAAAGGGCAGTGGGAGGTTGGAGAAGAGGCCTGGGGTGTGTTGAGCTTGATGTGGCCGAAGCCAGGTAGGCAAACATAGCCATCGTTGTTTCAGTATCGATACGTCACTAATACGCGTTTTCTTTTGACTATCCTCCAGATCTACTTATTCTTGGACTTGGTGGGATCGTACGGCCAATCTCTCCGGAGACGAGAAAACACATCAATCAGCTAGGAATACGCATCGAGGTTCAAGATACAAGAAACGCAGCTGCGCAGTTTAATCTTCTTGCTACTGAGAGAGGCGTTGGAGAGGTTGCTGCAGCTCTGATACCTGTTGGATGGAGGGCGTAGATTGGAGCCTGCCGTAGGCCTGTGTACTATGCTCCCAAATCTGGGATTGCAGTTGATTTATTATACCCAACAAGCCATAAACTAGTATATGTATTCTATATTGCCCTTAAGATTCCCTTGAGCTACTCCCTAGAGTTCCTCCAGATACTTCTACGAAAGCTCTTGGTAAGAAGGCACCCGTGTTCATTTCTACAAAAACCTGAGCTGGTAACCCCATTATCTCCATATTCTCCCTAATCCACCTTGATTTCCATCTGAGAGCTCCAGTAGTTCGTTTCTTCGCCATATCTGAGACATGGAGGCTGGCTTGGCATGGGTGCTAGTGAGTTCGTGACTTCAACGTGGCGGCTGACTGGCGATGGCAACCGACGGTGCTTCTGTTTCTTTCTCCCAGGCCTCCTGGACACCTCATAATATGAGGTGATCTAAGAGTTACTCGGTGTATCACTGGCAGTCGCCTACTATATGACCCATCGACTTCACGTTTGCTAGTCTGTTCTCATCATGACGCGAAACGACCCATTACTCGTCCAGCGCCCATCCTCTGAACAATCGGCAGAGCGAAGCGACGCTGAAGAGGATGCTCTCTTAACTGGTCAACGAACGTATCGTGACCAAGACCGTCGCGGAGCTACGTTTTGGCGTCAGATTGGATTGTTCGCATGGGCCCTGCTAGCTACTGCTGCTGTCATCATCCTCGCCGTTGCCTACCAACATCAACAATCCACCGGTAAAGGTGAAGGAAGATGGCGCGATTCAAGGCCCATGGGAAAACGGAACCTGATATTTATGGTCTCCGATGGCATGGGCCCTTCGAGCTTATCGATGACGCGCAGCTTTCGCCAGTTGCGAGACGGCCTTCCCATCGACGATATTCTCGTGCTGGACAAACATCATATCGGACAATCTCGAACAAGATCAACGTCTAGCCTGGTTACAGACTCTGCCGCTGGTGCGACGGCGTTTTCGTGTGCGAAGAAGAGCTACAACGGTGCTATAGCTGTGCTGCCAGACCACACTCCCTGCGGGACTGTCTTGGAGGCTGCGAAGGCTGCTGGTTATCTAACAGGCTTGGTAGTTACGACGAGAATTACAGATGCTACTCCTGCCTGCTTTTCCTCCCATGCCAACATGCGTTCATACGAGGATTTGATAGCGGAGCATCAGATTGGAGAGTACCCACTTGGCCGCCAAGTTGACCTTATCCTTGGAGGAGGAAGATGCCATTTCCTCCCCAACTCTACCTCAGGTAGCTGTCGTGGTGATAACAAGGATATTGTGCGACTCGCCCAATCGAAAGGATTCTCGTACTTTGATGACCGCAAAGGTTTCGATGCGCTCAAACTTGGCACTGCTGTGAAGCTTCCCTTGCTTGGCCTTGTTGCTGATAAGGATGTGCCTTACGAGATCGACCGTCGATATCAAAACGACACATATCCTTCTCTAGAAGAAATGACTCGAACGGCTTTGAAAGCGTTAAGTGATGCGACGCGTGATAGTGACCAGGGTTTCTTCATCATGATTGAAGGCTCTCGCATTGACCATGCCGGCCATGGTAACGATCCAGCAGCTCAGGTTCACGAAGTTTTAGCATACGATAGAGCTTTTGCTGCCGTATTGGAATTTCTCGAAAAGGATTCCACCCCTGGTGTTGTTGTTAGTACATCTGATCATGAAACCGGTGGATTAGCCGTTGCACGACAGCTTCATCAATCATATCCCGATTACAAGTGGTTTCCAGGCGTCCTTGTTAATGCTAGCCATTCTTCCGAATATCTTCAAGCCAGGCTTGATGGGTACCTTAATAACGAAGGAAAATCGGCCCCCAAGAAGGAACAGAGTGCATATGTTCGTCGCCACTTTTTGGAAAATGGCCTTGGAATATATGATGCGAAGGATGCTGAGATTGATTCACTTCTTCGTTCGGACTCTCCGATCCCTGCGGCCTATATTTTTGCAGATATGGTCAGCCGAAGAGCTCAAATAGGTTGGTCAACTCATGGACATTCTGGTAAGTTTTTCTTTTTATTCGTAGACACCTTTTATTTTTCTTTCAATACCAATGGTCTAACCCAAATTCCACAATAGCTGCCGACGTAAACATCTATGCGTCTTCTCCGCGTGACGTTATGAATCTTCTTGGTAACCGCGAAAACACCGAAGTCGGTGACTTTCTTGTCAATTATCTTGATTTGGACCTGGATTCGATCACGGAAAAATTAAATGGCACGAAGACCACCCCAAAAGCTAGTAGCAATGGCTACGCCTGGATGGGAGCACCGCTCGATAGCGATGTTGTTGTCGATACACTTGATATTTATCATGGCGACTTCAAGAAACGCAGCCTCTCCTGGCCAAGTGAAGTCGTCAGTACTGATGGAGGATGCGGGTGCGGGATGGCACACTAAGGCCAGGATTAGTTCTTACTGTGCCCGTCTTTAGCTGCTTGCCTTTTCAGCTGTATAGCGTGAAAGGTATTTCGGCGTCTGCGTTTTCTCCATATATGCGTGCAGATTTTCTTTTCAAACCTTCCATTCTAGGAGTCTACGGAGTTAGAATTTGCCGCAGTTTCGGGTTCATTTTCCGCATATATTAGAGTTCTGTTCTCTCGGCCCTTTGCTAAACAGAAGCAATTTACTTGAGCTCGGAGAAAGGATTCAAGGGCACAACTGCTTGTCAAACAGTTCTCCCATTTTCCGCTTCTTCTTTCACCTTTTAGAGGTTTGTGAAACTTTGTCTACCTTTAATATTTCGACCGCTCGAACTATCATTCAGATGGGCATTTCCTCTTGCTTATTTGTGCCGAATGGGATATAGCTCCTTGTTAATAAATAGCCTTGTTATAGACCAAATGCTAGACTACATAATTACGCTCCATAAGATACCGCCTGGGAGTATTTTAGATAATGTCACGGTGCTGATGCTGTGTTTTATAGTACATCCTAGGATTAGGCTCCTTTATACCGAGTGGTTTTCAGTCAGCCGCCAAATTGTCCACATGCCCCTTGTTCTGTTCATTACCCGAAACCAACTATTTGGATATCGCAACACCATAACACCAATAAACCCCTGAAATTCAACTCCGTCATCCCAGAAAATAGTCGTTCTCCCATTTTGTACATCTAGAGAAACGTTCCTATGGCAAAGAATGAAAAGGTTGGGGAAAACACTCATGTTCTCCCCCCTCTCCCCACAAAAAAGCAGTCTGCGCCTTGAATGAACAGATTATCTTGCTCTCTCTGATAGCAAACATCACATGGATGCCGAGCATACAGTGGACCAGTAATGTTTTTTGGCGATGGGTTGCAATCATGATCAATTTTGAAGGGAATGTTATAGTGGTCGCGCTCCCAGGGATCGTTAATTCGTTGGAGCTGATCGAAGACGCGGTAGCAGTAAGATCCAAGAGTGTATATCGAGTGATTGCAGGAAAAGAACACTCGATTATAGAAGCACATTGTACCTGTGAAACATGTATCAGAATTTTTTCTGTGTTTTGGCGTGTGGGTGACTGACGTTGTGAATGAAGATTTATGAAGACTTGTATGTGCTACAGCAGTTGATAATTTTGTTGATAAACAACTTGGAATTGCCAGTGCGTGGAGATCAAAAAGGAGTGAGTATGTGCATCACTCTCTAAGCTTGATGATGAAAAGCATGTAGCAAGATACAAGCGGCATCAGACAAACTATGCGTCAAAGGGAATGTAGATTTATACATGTCGTCTATAATTTGAACTGCATGGTCACCACCAACATAGTGGTAGTGTGAGAACACGGATATTCAACGATTCAATGGTTTCATAGGTTTGGGTATATCAAATCAAAACAGGCTGCAATTGTATACTGCTTGGACTTCATAGATTTGTGTTTGCTTGGATATTTAAGTGAAATATAATATGTTTTTCATATAGAAAGCCTCATCTTGTCGACTAGACAGGGGTGGGGGCGCAACGAAACATTTGAGAGCTCTTTGAAAGCGAACAATTGCCTGATATGTAACTCCTCAACACTTTGTTGGGAATATCACATAAGTAGAGTGACCTAAAAAATATTCAACAGAGGTCTCTCCATTCTTGCCTTGGAATTCGCATCAAAGCTATATTTCGCTTGCTATGGGCAATTGGGCAGGATGACAAACAAAGCCGCCCAAAAGCATAAGAATCGGATAGACATTTGGGTAGTGACACATGGGTGAGCAACACGGGAGCTTGAGACGCGAGAGAGGAAATTTACATTTCGATAGACTTGGGACGAGGTTGGGAAAACATCACGCTCAGGCTGGCCGGATATGGTATGTTTGCTTCCCGGTGTGTTTCAAGAAGGGAAGAAGTAGCAAAATCTCGGCGTATTGATTTCGCTCTAGAAAAACAGCAACACTCTTAAACACCGAGCTGCCTCTTGTTTGACCTACTTGGCGAAGCCAGTACTGTACGCTGTGGACTTGTTGACTATTTTAAGACGATAGCCTAAAGGTTCCCCGAAATACTCAGGTCGCCACTCGCCACAATGAGATCAAGGTTTTTGCGATCCAGGCAACTTGGGACCACATGGTTGTAGGTTTCGGGTATGGCGCAAAGGCAAAAAAAAACAAAAAGCCAAGTCTGTATAAGATAAAACACAATAGAGAAGAAACGTTAGAATTTGTTAATAATATTTATGCTGAGAATCGTTATTAGCACCCATTAAAGGGTACATATACGCTGAAAAATTTTTCAGGTAAGCTAGAAAATGCCAACTAAACCACCCGTCTGGCAACACAACATTCAGATGTAAGAGGATTGGGAAAGATCGATATCTTCCCCAAAGATTATACAGCCTGCAAAAAAGAATTAGAGCTGCCCAAAGGGCATGTGCAAATTACATCGCAACGAGAACCACAAGTGCTACGAGCACTGCAAACAAGGATCCGGTAAGTACTTTTTCGCCTTGCGGAGAAGCGCCGCTCTTCTTGTCACTAGGGCTGCCGCCTTGGGAGAAATCTCCTGGGTTAGGTCTGCTGTTGCCACCATTCCCGGGAGATCCGCCGCTGCCGCCGCCATTGTTATTATTGTTATTGCCATCTTGTCCTCGGTTTGCATCGGCACCGGGTCCGGCTCCAGTCAAGCCAGGGATAACAGCGATATGGCTACTTTGAGCAGGCTTATTACTTCCAGAGGCCGATGGATAGTCAGCGGACATGTTGCGGCCGTTGCCGAGGAAGGATTTCAAAGTCGTGTCTTGGTCGGTGATTTTGAATGCATCCTCGGTGCCCTTGAGATCAGTAAGGACATAAGACTTCGATCCTTCGGTCTTAGTATTCTTTGGTGGGTTGTAGCACTCAATCGTGACCTCGTCAAAAGTCGCATAATAATACCCATGTCTTGTAATATCTTCATGTTTCCAGTCAACTAGGCCACCGCCCCAGTTGATCGTGCCTGGCTGGTTTGAGGGCAGCCCAGCAGGCCAGAGAGACAGTTGCACACGAGTCGGTGATTGGGGGAAAGCATACTGATTCGATGTCTTGTTGAATGTATCGGACCGTTTCGTCACGCGAACGGGTTTCCCATCGATACCCCAGGTGATCTGGTCAGGAGTCCAGTCAATTTCGTAAGTATGATATTCGCTGAAGGTATCCGAAAGAGATTGGTTTTTTCCATTAGTATCTGCAAGAAGCCGTCAGAATATATTTTATTTTCAGGCGGAAAAGTAGGGGGTACGAACAGTCTGTAACTCCTTGGAAGTAGTAATTGGTTTGGGCAGTAACCAAATCGGCCCCGACGAATTCAAAATCGACCTCATCTTTCACGTCTGACAGAAGAATAAATGCGGTTACAACACCCTTGCCACGGCTAGTCTTCAATCTGGCGCTTACTTTGCCATACCAGAGATAGTGGTTATAAGCTAACAACGTGCCTACGGTGCCAGGGGCCATGGTTAATAACAGAGTGCCATCATTTGATAAAGGCTGGCCACTGGAAACCCAATCCGCCTTTTCTGCATCTCCAAGGTATTTTGTATTGGGGACAATGCTGTCAAGATTATCCCAGGTAAACTTCTTGCTCTTGCACGCCGGAGCTGGCACGCAGGAATCAATAGCAAAGGAAGATTTCGCGTCGCAGCCCCCAAGGCAATAGGCACCCGATCCGCATTCTCCGTATTCTTGAAACCCGAAAAGAAAAGTTAGCGTCAACCGCCATGTTACACCACCTAGACAAAAGGGAAATCACTCACGCGAGCAGCACGGAGAGCTTTCAGGACATTTCTTTCCTGGGTTGCACTTTTCAGGTGCAGCAAATACAGCCTGTGATGAAAGGGCTAAGGCCAGCGCGTATGCCAAAAGGCGAGTCATCGTGAGACGGTTTGTATGTACGGTGGTTATGTAGTGGTAGGTAGCTCGCTAATAACTGTACAGCGAAGGGGGAAAATTAAGCTTGATCTGCGCGTTGGTGGAATTAAATAAATGTATAGGTGTAGAGTGTATATGCAGGTATATTATATATAGACAAAGATCCAGTGGGCGCTGCTTGAAGTCGGCAGGCTCGACGGAGAATTTGGGATCGCGCGATATCGAGAAAGAACCAACAAGGCTGCGATAACTAACGAAGGACTGTAGAGTATGGGGATTATACACGAAAACAGAAATTAAAAAAACGCGCTGCTCAAACTCCAAGGAGCGCGAAGCGAGTGATGCTTCCTGAAGATGAGTAGAAGAGGTGAAGAGGAGGATGAAGAGGAGAAACGACGGGAAGCCGGCACTGAATGAGGCCCTGTGGTTAGGGGGGGGCCCGCCTTGAGCATAACCGGCCAATGGCCGCGGGTCAAGGAAGCCCTGGTGGAGAGCGCGGTCAACATGGGCCAATCAACTGCGCGTCAGTTGCCGTTGCAGCCAATCAGCGCTGTATTAGCCGCAAAATTTCCCCGTGGTTTCCCAGATAAGCATTTTAGGGTTTGCTGGCGTTTTCTTTAGGTTAAGCCGCTGGCACTGGCCAATAATGTCCCGCTTTAAATTTCGGCTAAGCCTGTCCAGGACTCCTGACCCCCACCTGCAATACAACGTCATGTGTCATTGGATTACAGCATAAAATGGGCACCTTTCATTGGCCAAATGCTTTGATGTCTTAGTCATCACTTCTGCCTGGCAGCGTCATTCTCAACCCACCACGTTCGCGCGCACGAAACACCTCCAATAATTAATGCCCCATCAGACACATCACACCACTGCAGGGAACTGGGCGTCAAACATTGCCCGCTCAGCGCAGGCCGGGAGATCATGGACAAGCCGGTGGTCTGGTGGCCAACCTCGTGATTTTTGAGACTCTCATTTCTTGGCAGAAAATACGAGTTGGACAAGAAGCCATGCTCCCAGTGCGTGAGTTGCACAAAACCCTGTCAGGTTGGAATGGATTTTTCAGGTGAAACCAGCTGGGATTCACATCCAGCAAAGATGTGTCTCAAGCCTCCGGCAACCACGTGTCTCTGTAAAAACGGTGACTTCATCCTCTCTACGGAATACGGCGGATTGCTTTCTGTGGCAGTGTAACTACCGCGTGATTTCGCTCCTGGCTGCCTGATATTTCTGGCATCAAATGGCATCAAACGTACAGCAAGTAAACATGTTGTGGACAGCTCATCGCCCATGATCGCCACAATGGGCAGCCTGATTGGAGCCCGGTTGTCAACGAAGGTTTGGCAAACCGGCACCCAACTTTCAAGCACAAAGCGCGTTGTTGACGCGAGCCTAAATCCGGGATGAGGGGTTACACAGCTCTGTGTGCACAGTACTTCGCTTCTGCATGACAAACTTGCACTTTCAATGCTTGTTGACAGGAAATTTGATGTACTCAGTACTTATATCTAGCTGGACGGCGCATTCGATCTAACTCCTGGAACACCCAACAAGAGTCAGTCCAAGACCAAGCTGATTTATAGTCTGATCACCAAGCTTCAACTTGACGCCCACCATGTCTTCCGCCCCTGTCCCTTCCTCTGATAATCGCCGCCCCTACCATGGCTCGTGCCACTGCGGCAAAGTTCGTTACCTCGCATTCGTCTCTCTACCCCCGACTGTTGGGCCAAAAGTTGACCCCAAGACAACCGTGCGTTTCTACAAGTGCAATTGTACGACCTGCCACAAGATGGGGTATTTTCACATGCGACTCCCCAATCCTGCCCAGGATTTCTGTCTACTCTCGCCATCCAACCCCAAAACCGACCTTTCAGTTTACAATTGCTTCGAAGGAAAGTTGAACTGGTTTTTCTGTTCTACATGCGGTGTGCGGTGTTTCACCGCTGGTGCTGATGGTTTAACGGAAGAAATTGATCTCGAGGTGAAGCTAGGCAAACCAAGTGAAGGAAAAATGACGAAAATATGGAGAATGGATGAGCATAATCCGGGATACCACAGCGTAAACGCGCATACAATTGACCAGGACCAGGAAGGATTTGATCTCCGAGACTTTAGCGATAAGAAGTGGGTAAAATACCTCGATTGCAAAGAGGAGGTCAGTCCTGGACGATACAATTACCCCCAGAATGGCGGAACCTGGTGATCGGAAACAAATAACAATAGTCCTAATCAAGAATAATAATCTTTGCTATATTTAATTGTGAGAACGCTTGTGATTCATTATTGGGGCCCTACAGAGTACAAAAATCCTTGTTTATGTGATCTGGGGAAGGGTGAGGACAACTGAAGCTGCTTGTCGATTGCGACCAAGGATCACCTTTGATGGTTGCTCATAGAATGAGAAACAGAGGCACATTTCGGCACCTGGTACGCATGATCGTCTTCCTGGACCTCCGGGGAAGAGAGAGAGAAAGGTAATCAGTATTCCGTACGGAGTATGGAGTTGATAATTGTCATTTTGTGGATGTCCCCAGTACAGGTATAACACGAATACTCCGTAGAATAATTTTATCACTGCAGTGGTGGTATTGAACATCTTCTTTGGGGGCGTTTTCGCATCTTTTTCCGTCTTCGCATCATTCGTAAGGAGATAGAGCTATTCATGGCTGCATAACCCGAATGACTAGAATGAAATGGAACCGATTGTTAATCATTGCTACAAGGAATATGTAAGTTGGTCTTTTTGAGATTGATCTTGGCATTCTCGTACAGCGTTAGTGGTGCAAACTTGGCTTATTGGACTGAGAATTTGCTCAACCGAAAATATTCATCAGGCAAGAGGAGCAATTCAAACTTAGTAGACTTGCTATACAGAAGCTCGTTTATTTCCACGGTGTGGACATTAGCATATCCATTCCGCCTCCAACATGCCAACCATAACGATGGGGTCTTTGCGCACTCGCAAGTCATTCAACCCAAGCAAGTTGCAGGAAGCAGTAGCTCAAAGACGCAGAACAAAAAGGCCGTTAATACTAGGAGTCTTCATATGAGATCCAATATGTCAATCTCTGGGTTAAGATGGCGACTCCTATACAAGCAAAAAACCAGAAGGAAATAAGGAGAAAAAAAAGAAAGAAACGTCGCCGCAGCGTTGATACCATCCATCGCCCCATCAAGTTCTTGATCCTACTGTTCTTCAGACGCTTGGGTCTCCGCTTATTTTTTCACATTTCTGCGCATTAGGTTGCGGCGATGCTGTGGGATGCCGAACTGAGACTCTAAGTTCAGCTGTCTCTCGCATGGATCGGTTGAGAATGTGACTTGCACCTCGAAGTATGCATTGTCTTCGTGGGAGGCCATGACCATAATATGATCGCGAACCGCCCGTGCTGTAGCAACACTTTTGAAAACGGCAGTCACTACGCAAGTTAGATTGGTCTAGTCATACTGTGCCATGCAGAAGGGAGACTCCTACCGTTGCCGGCATTGAATGCCCAGATGAACTCAACAGCGTCAGCACCAACAATTTGGCCCATATCATTTAGAATTTTCTTCACTGAGAGATTACCTCCAAGGAGGCCAGCTCGAGCAAGCGTTAATCTGCGTCGTTCCCGCGGCTTGTCTTCCATCTTGCGAAAGGCATCGTCCCAAGCCACTTCTGAAGCGCAGATGATCTTAAACCCGGCACCAAACATCCCGGAGCCAGTTCTTGCGCGTTTTATGCGCTCCTGCTCCAAAAATGCCAGGGCATGTGCTGCCTTCTGGAAAGTGATTTCAGCAAAACCCTGCACATAATTGATCTCTATGCTATAAAGCGGGCCGTCGCGGATCTTTGAAGTCAAGAAATTCAGCGAATGGGGCCCAAAGGCGCCACTTAATGTCAAAATTGCCCCCTTTTCTTCACTGGATTCTCGGACTGGTGGGTGACCAACTGGAACCACCGGGTTGATTTGAGAGGGGATGGTCGCTGTAAGGCCAAGTGTATTTGGTGCTCGGTATGTGACAGCTGGAGTTTGTCTAGTTCCTACCATATGTGCGGCTCGAATAGGGCCCTGAACGACCGTCGGGCCGGGAGTCTGGCGAGCGACGTCCGAGTAAAGGACCGTATTTTGCCCGTTCTGCTTGGGCACTTGTTCAGTGTTTCGAGGCTCGGGCGGCTTTGTATTTGACGCGATTTTTCGCTGAAACAAGATTAGCTACCATTGTAAGCATCTACACCGGTCTAAACTTCTTACCCCGTCACAGATGACCATCTGATCCTCCGATAATTTGACCACTGCATCAGTAAAGATGCTGATGACTTCGTGGACGTTCCGTGCAATTTTATTTGCAGAGTCTACAAAATTATGAACTCGAAGCTGCCACGGGATTAGCAGAATACAGACTTTTGATACTCTGATTTTACCCACATGCTCTGTGATGCCGTTCATCTTGGTGATAACATCTACCATGGCATCATCGATTCTTTGATCCATGCTAATGGCGGTGCTGGTGACCTTCCTATGTAATTTGATGCCGAAGGCGAAGAGCTTCTGCGAAGCAAAAAACGATCTTTGTTGGTATTTAAGAGCAGGAAAGCGTATATGGGGAGCTGGATACGGCTCCACGGTAGAATATAAGCGTTAAGTAAAGTATGCAATAACCCACAGTAAAGAATATAAGGAAGATTGAGCCGGCTGACTGAATTGAGTATTTGCAGAAGAGAAGATGAAATTCACATCATTGACAGATACAACTGGGGAAACAATTGATCGAACAATGAAAGGAACACAATCAATAGGCTGGAAATGCCTACAGACTTGTTGGCATAAGAACAAGGTCTGAGTCACAGGAGGGTGAGCATCTGACGCGATTGTATGGTGACGCGCATCAGCTTGTGTTGTTATGAATAACAGTTGCTATCAACAAGCATGGTGCTTTAGTCACTTGCTGCTGGAAATTTCCACCTCTCAAGCAGCATTCTGAGTATGAAAGTTTAACTTGAAATACCAGGTGAAGGAATGATCTTCAGGTGCCCCTAAAGGCTTCTTTAATGGCTGTCTATGCTCTGAGTCTTATTATAATTTCTGTTCATGGCTAAAAGGCTTCCTGAAAACAGAAAGAAGAGGGTGAATGAAGTCATTGTGTCGATTCCTCTAAGAAGCAATTTTGGCTCTCTTTGATTCATAAGCAATCTATGCCCATGATACCTACATTGGCTTCTGGTTCTGGAGAATTGCTCAGTCGTGTTTCTTCTGGGCAGTTTTCGGGGCTAGACATTTGGCAACTAAATTCATAGTGAATGCATTCAGAAGATTTGAAATCGGCAGAATAAACCACAAATAAATAACTACATTTTTATGATACAGAATTCCTAGAGACTTTTATGTTTAGCTTAAATATTGATACACAATTTGCCTCCATAAACCCCCTATTCTATGCTTTCAAGACATTCCTGTATTTTGAGTAAGATTTATCTTCACATGTGGTTAATGGACCTTACAGTACTTTATGAATTGTGAGAAGATAGCGCAAATTTGCCTGTATGATTTGATTTTTAGAAATATTCTCTACAGGGACTGATAGATTATCTATACGGTGACTCTGAACCGCACTGCTGCAGTAGTATGAGAGACCAAAGACAGATGTCGATGGGGTGGTTATATAAGTGAATTACAAATAAAACAGCCAACTATAAGTCGTTCTTGATGGCCGATAAAAACTCTATAAAAACCCTTTGAAAAGTTATAGCCTAAAGCTTTCTACCTAACCGCACCTCGCGATAAGGGCGCAAGGCGCGGTTACCACATCATGACGTGACAGCTACACGCACCACTCCAAGGAAAATGTGTATGCGGAGGTTTGCCGCGAGTGGGTTGGGGATGATCAGGTCCACCTTGCCTGTATCATTAGACTACGGTTAAGTGTAGTAGTTAGCTAAGCCTCGGGTCTAGGTGTGAACGCCTGGAAAAACGGTTTCCAGTGACTGCAGCCTGCTTAGCGCCTAACGCTACCCCATAGTTTCTCCACGAAATCTCAGACCAGTCAACGGAGGATGCAAGAGGCGGAATGCCGAAAGAGCTGTGTTGAAATATTAGATATATACATATGCCCCCAATGCCTCATTCACGGTTATGCATGCGTGTTAGCACAGCCGATCGTGTTGCGAGGGCTCTCCAATGATGAATGGAGAAAAGCATGCAACTAGCGTTGAAATATCGTTGCCCGAAACAAAATCAGTACTGTGTTGCCTAGATTATTTGTAAATATTTGCGCTGTCGTAACTGTTAGAAAGATGATACCCCTTAGGTGAGAGGGGGAAAACTCCGAATGAAACTGTAAGCGTTAGTTAGGCGCCAGGTTAGTGTCTGTGGAACCTCCATTGCAGCCTGGTAATACATACTGGGCAGGGCACTCATATCCATTCGGATTTTTATCCAAGTATAGTTGATGATAATCCTCAGCATCCCACCACTGGTCCGCAGGTGTCACCACCGTTTCGACCTTGTTCTTCCACCATTGCTTGTTTACTTGCTCAGTGATACTTTCCGCAATGCTCTGCTGCTCATCGTTATGCGTGAAGATTGCGCTGCGATACTGCGTCCCGACATCCCCGCCTTGTCGGTTTAGCGTGGTAGGATCGTGCATACGGTAGAAAAATTCAATGAGTTGACCGTACGAGACCAACGACGGGTCGAACACCACCTGGAGTGATTCGGCATCTAGAATTAGGATGGTTAGCCAAATATTCACCCTAAAAATCAAAATGATACGGCGTAGAACAGCCGTCAAAGTGCCATCGTATAAACCCAGCCAGAACTTACGCCCAGTCCCGCCGGTACACACAAGGCGATACGTCGGAGATGATGCATTGCCCCCACAATATCCTACTCTTGCATCTAACAAGCCTTTTCCATTGCCAAACTGCTTTCGAAACAGATGTTCCACGCCCCAGAAGCAACCCGCCGCGATCGTGGCCCTTTGAGCGTGGGCGGGATAGTTCTGCGCGGCAAGTGACTCACTCGGCCCGATGGCCAGCGATGCATTGGAGCTGGAGAACGGCCGAAGGAGGCGCGAGAGGAGGGGCATGGCGGACTGGAACGGTGAGAAGGGCATTCTTGACAGCTTTCACGGTCAGAATAGGTAGTCGGAGAGAGACAGATGAAGTCAAGCAAGGAAGCTGTCTAGAGATCGACGGATTGGGCCGAAAGAACCAAGTTCGGGGCCAATTCGGCTTTGAGTTTCGAACACCAGCAGTTTGATTCCTGTCTTCACTTGATAAACTACACCGAAGGAAACCAATGCCTACTCTTCGACGCGGGACGGTCGGTGGTTTTGACCGGTCCTATTACTAACAGATGTGGCGGATATGTAAAGCCAGCTCCAGGGGACGGAGTTCCGAACGGAGTAGGCGGTTTGTAATCAAACGGGCTCAACTGTTTTCTGGACAGAAGAACTATACAGCAGAATACATGTAGAAGAAGAGAAAAATGTTCATATTACTCGCGCAGCAGCAAAATATCGCAATTGCAAATTCCCAACCGAACTTCCTTTCCCTGAAAGGAGAATGCACCCGGTACCCATAAAAACAAAAAAACAACCAGCTAACATAGAGTGTTATCGATATATACCATTTGCTGTCCCTCGCGGACTCCCTCGCAAACTTCCACCAGCAGGAATAGCAGTTCCACTGAATCGCATACTCTCTCGTGGTTTAAGATCGACGGAGGTGACTCGCCGCTGCCCTGGATTCTTCGTCACCGGAAGCGTTCGAGGGCTCAGAACGTTCAGCCGTAAATCCTGATCTTTCTCGCTCTTCACCATACGCCTTGCTTGCGATGCAGTAAACATCGTGTTCTCATTGTGGGTAGGGCTAGGCGATATCACTGGAGGGCTGCGACTGCGACTGCGGCGACGAACTCGTGGCAGGGTGGCAGCATGGTTTCCAGAAATACGTCGCATGGCCGAATTGATGCGCATTGCTTCAAGCTTGTCCGGCTTCCATTCGCCATTCTCCGGTGACTGGCTGTTGATGCTTGTTCGATCAAGCGATTGCCGGTTGAGAAAGCTGCTCGCCTCAATAGACCGCAGTGGAGAGTTTTCACTATCCGAGGAAGGAAGTCTAGGGAGAGATGCAGGGACTGGAGAGCCATTGGTTCTCTTCGACAAGAACCCGGCTTTGAATCGGCTGTTGTTCTTAACGTGGATGGCGTTTAGTTCGGGAGGAGCTGGAATTGGCGACGATTCCCTGGAGCCGGCCGCCGTTGGAACAGGGAGGGCAGACGTAATTGTCGGTGCGGGCGGCAAGGTTGGCTCGCACGATGACGGGGCTTCTGGGGATTCCTGAGGTCTCTGAGGAGTTTTTTCAAATTCTGCCAGTGCTCCATCCTCGACATCGTCTTTCCACCGAACGCTTCTTTTGGATGATTTCTCAGTCTTCACCGGCGTAAACGCGACGACTTTCTTTGGCGCACCTAATTTTCGTCTTCGTGGAGAGCCTTTGTTGGGTGATTGGGTGGTCGGTATCAAAGAAAGACGTGCTGGTCGAGGAAGGACGACTGTTCCACCGATGCTGAACTTCTTTCGCTTTTTAGGACTGCCTATCCTTGGAGTTGGTATGGGCGCAAGGCGGATTGGACTTCCATCGGGTTTGACTACGTGTGATGTCGTGGTCGTGCAGGTCTGTAGGAGCTTGCCCAGGATTCCTTTGCCAATTTCAATAGCTTCGTCTTCGCTGAGGTGTGTGATCTCCTCAATTGCGGCAATGGTTTCAAAATTGGCTTGCAGCAACATCTGGACTGTCTCCATTTCCCCTGCTTTCTCCTGCTCTGAAACTGCATTCAAAACATCTCTCTCCGCCTGGAACCTCAGAAGCTCGACTTCACGTTTCAGGTTCCCGACCTCCATAGTATCACCCGACTCGATCTCTTTTAGCTGTCGGATACTATTTTCTAAAGCCGAGTTTAGGGCCCGGTCCCAGTTGCACTTAGCGATCCTTTGGTGATAGTGTTGGCGGCTCCCTTCCAACTCCAGAAGGATGCCTTGGGCGGTCTTGCGCACTGCTTGTAGGTTTCCCAACCCACTTTTACCATCCCTGTTGGCGCAGACACCATCAAAAGCGGCGATCCACGAAGATAGTATCGCGATCCGACGACCAACATGCTTCAGGCGCAACATGTTGTTGACGCTTTCTTGTCTTTCAGAGGCAGCATGTTCATACGCACTGCGCAGCCGCGAGATACCCTCTCGTGCAATTGCTTCCCTTTTCTCTGTCTGCTTCTTGAACTTCGCAAACGCAACAGTTTCGTAATCCTTTTGCTGTTGCTTTAGTTCGTTGATTAGAGCCATTTGCTCGTCAATTTTCACCAAGAAATCCTTCACATGACGATTAACGTTGTATACGTTTCTAGTAACTTTGGTCTGGATATTTTTCGCCCGATTCGCATATCGGAGGGTGTTCTGCGTCTCGTCAAAATGCTGACTCGACGGGCTCACACAAACGATCATGACAGTTTTGCAGTTCCCTCCAAGGGAAAATTTCAGCAGTCGCGTGAGTTTTGAATTTCGATATGGGACATGATTTCGTTTTCGAGGGTCACAGAGGGCGTTGATACAACTGCCCAATGCGAGCAATGACTTGTTAATGTTCGCTCCTTCGATTAATCTCTCTCCCCTGTTCTTCGTCGCACTAGCTCGTTCACTTCCAGCAAGGTCGATAATGCTCAATGTTGCCATCGTGTGTGGTTCGTTGATATCGGCGTTGCGATCCTTCTGGGCAAGGTTGATTTGTAGCACCGCATGGGATCGCGAGGATGTTGCGTTTGCATCCGTCGGAGACATGGTCCGACATTCGTTGCCCCGCATGATCATATCCATTACTTCCTGGACATTTTGCGGGTGATGGCTTGACAGCCCCGCGACAGATACCGATTGTTTCGCATCTTCTCGGAGCATGAGCCCAGCCTTGTTTCCTCCGCTGACAAGCAAGTCGCGAATGGTTTCGTTGTAGATTTCAAGATAAGATAGGGACACTTCTGTGACTTTTTCATGGGAGCGTTCTGAAATGCGTTCGAACAATTCTTGCATTGTTAAGAATATGATTCCTGGCTGTTGCGCGGTTCCGGTGATCGTATGAGTCTTTCCGCATCCGGTTGCCCCATACGCAAACACCGTAGCATTATAGCCGTCCAAAACACTGTCGAGAAGGTTGCGTGTCGATGCCTCATAGACCTCTCCTTGTGTGGTATTCTCGTCGAATACACGATCGAACATGAACGTCTGGTCCTTGACGCGCTTCCCATTAGGTACAACGCTCCGTGAGAACCTATGGACGGGATTGTCCTCTGGGGGGTCGAACACCCTGACATAAATTGTATGTTAGTTACATCTGCAATATAGCCCGATAGCTAAACTGTAAGCACATACAAGCATTTGTTGTCCACCACCTTGATCACGGACCGGATCCCCTTTTGTTGCAGCTTCGGAGTCGACACGCCAGCCAGGGAGCCATCGCCGAGAAACAAAGGCCCATCCTCGCATTTCGTGAGCTGGGCCGCTTCGCGAATTGTAAATGGCCTCACTCTGACCGTAACCGAAATCGAGGATGCGCCCCCAGCGGCAGCCATACCGGTGCAGCGGAAGGTGTAAACAATTACGTTGGTAGGGCGGGTTATAGGCTAAAAGGAGCGGGGATACGAGCTCCAAATAGACAAGCAAATCAAATAAAATAGACCATAAGTAGAGGAGAACAAATATTAAATTTACTAAGCTCGCGGAAAGAGAGAACTCTGGTATGCTATCGCAGCGCTCTCCTTGTTCCCACCAGAGTTTGATGAGGTACACAAAACGGCTGTTGACGCTGCGCTCGATTATTTATCCGACGCCGGTTGCCAGGGCAGCACGATTAGTAAGTACCTTTGCGCGGTCATTAAGTCGTTGTATGTGGCATTAACCGATCACTGCCTAGCTTGGAGGATATCAATGTCTAGCTAGATCTCTCTTCCTCGCAGAACGAAAATGTAGGGAAGTAAAGCCTCAGATCACAATCACCATATCGAGCGTAACGTGAAGAAGTACTTTGTTGACCCTCAGTAGGTTCATCATAACTTTAACCCAGTATCTGCATTCAATGTGATCTCATAGAGATATTTCCCCCCTCCTATTCATCATCTTCAAAAGTTGGAACGACGACGTCCCATGCTTCATCATTAACGTCCATTTCTGCCCCACCAGCAGCGTCTCCTTCGTTGTTCGCCGCGCGAAATCTGAAGGCGACGGCTTGAGAGTCACGAAGATTCGCACCTTGTGGAGTGTCGTCCACAACAATATTCTTCTTCGCCGCAGAAGAAGGATCCTGCTTCTCTTCCTTCTGCTCGGCGGCAGATTTTAACCGAACCCAGCCTTTCTCTAGATTATTTCTGTCCAAGGGAATACCGAGTTCGACCTCAGATGCACTCTCCGGAACTTGAACTCCATTGATTTCCTGAATACCACGAACGCGTAGAGCGTCTAGTAGCTTACTTTTCACATTTTCAAAAGGCTCAGCTGGTGAGATGAGTAGAAGGATTGTGATGTTATGGTTTTTGAATCGTAGCGTCCAGCGAAACGGGCCGGGCTTCGAATCCGCCTATACACCATAGTCAGAAGAACGCTACTGGACTTAAGAATGGCAAGCTAGGTGATGGTATTTCATACCATGTTCAGTTCCTGAACGATATCGTTTGGCGTTGTTTAGTCCATTTGATGACATGCCCTCCAGGTGTAGCAAGCCGAGTTTAGCGCGATGATGGTTTTGAGCAAACAAAGCAAACAAGGTATTTTAGGATTTTATAAAAGCTCTCGTCAAACGACCCAACAATGGTCAAGACTATGGGGACAGTTGGTCTCCTACCCCCCACTATCACCTCTCTGTATCCAGATTCTTTCGCTAATTTTACATGGAATAATTTCTCGGTGGACTGAGGCCAGCCTCCACATCGGACGACTAACAATGGAGCCATCGGACCAAGATGCGGAGTCGCATTCAGAGTCGAGCGTGGAACAAGCACCGCCCGATGTGCCCGTTAAACTCGGCCGCTCCGGCGCATTGGCTGCCCTTGTTGCTTTCGGTACAGGTGTTGCTCTGGGAGCTTCTCATGGCAGCCAGAAGAGCGCGCTTCGATTCCGTGCTGAGAACGCACACCGCTTTCCGACGGACCCGAGTGGGTGGTATCAATATCACAAGAGCAAGAATTATGTTTCGATGCTCGGAGGGCTGAAAGAAGGAGTCAAGCTAGGGACCAAACTGAGCGTGGGGGTGTTGGGGTTCAGTCTGCTGGAAAATATCGTTGACCAGGCCCGTCCGGGAAATCGAGATTTTCTTTCTACGGTGACGGCTGGTCTGACGTTTTCTGGGATTTACAGCTTGATCGGTATGGTTCTTAAGCAATTTTTAATTCATTTTCGGTGACTAATGATATGAGACATAGCTCGACACGACGTTTATACCGCTGCACGAATATCAAAGCTGGGTTTAAAGTTCAGTCTGGTATACGGTTTAGGTCAGGATCTTCTCGCACTGGGACAAGGAAGGAAACCAGGATACATTGCTTGGATATATAAAGGAAAGGACTCGACAAGTGAAGCGGTCTAGTTGCCTTCGATGCGAAGGAAGTGAATGCATCACTTTGGGTGACTGCACTTGAAATAACATGCCAGCTGTCATGTCGCTGCTCTCGCTCAATAGCAAGTCACGCTTAGAACGTGCGAATCCGTGACATATAAAAGATAGGCGCTGTGGACAACTATCTTGACTGATAGGTTTCCCTTACATTTACACATTGCACCACGAGCCGCGATCGACACGGACAGACGTTCCAAAATCTCCAACTGAATTCGATAACAACTAGCATTATCATTCAAGATGCCTAAAAACAAATCCAGCGATTCTCCGCCACGATACTCTAAGTTGCCTCCCCAAGGCCATGCTAGCTCCAGCAATGATGCTGGCCCCTCCTCGGCCAACATTCCAACGCAAGACACCTCAACTCAACGCGGTCCCGAGATCCCGCCAAACAATGACTTCCTTGATGATCCTCCTCTTCCCAACCCACGGCCGAATCGTAATCGAAGACCACGACCGGGGCATTCTGCTAGATCCAACCCTTTTGATACTGATGGCGCCTATGACCACGAAGACAGCACTTCCGCCGACCTTCAGCTGGCGGCTGTGCGTCACGTCGTACGCCCTCCAACGTCCGACTCTGACTCCGAATCCTCTACTTCCTCGTTAATCGCGCCTTCAGAAGCCATTCTGTACGTCAGCGCGATGGCAGCGGGGCAAAACTATGCCCGGCTCTATGACACGCCGGGACGGATCATCGTTGTGCACGCACTCCCGGTATTCGTGGAGGACATGCAAGCCATCCTTGCACGGCGCGTCCTTTCGGTGAACGGGCTGCGCGGCCGCGTAAATCATCGGTTCTACTTGTCGACGGAAATGATCGGGGCCATCGCTGAAAGCCTCGATTGCTGCTACGGATTGGTGACGCGTTGGACTAGGGAACACGGCATTCTCCTAGATTTCAGGGGTGATGTGTGGCTGGATCCATGGCATTTGCCGCCCGGCGTCGAGGGTGCCCTCCGGCGTCTTTTTCATATGCATAGGGTTCTAGTGCAGTGAGTGTGGTCTGGTGTGGACTGGAATGGATGAACTCTACTCCCCTATTTGACCTCGTTCTCAAATTGGCTCGGGGTCCATGTATTTGTATAGATAAGTAGTGTATTTGTACTCCATGGAAACGAAACTGTTTTTCCGCCAAGTAGACCCTGCCTATGGAATGAACTGACTAACACAACCATGGTAGGAGTACCCGAGGAGCTGCTTGTTGGCCACCGGTGGCTGAGGTGAGGTCACTCTTCGATGGGTTGACGTCACTGCTGTGTAGGTGACAGACAACGGCAGATAAATAGGTGGGAAGAGTGGGATGCCACATTGAAAATAAACATCCACCCTTGTGCCATCTAGCTACCATTTCGCAGACTCCTTCGCAATCACTAGAACCCGCCACAATGTCCGAGCACGGCCAATTCCACCCACAGCCCTACAAGCCAGCGCACCCGCAGCCACCCACGGTGAGTCGTCACGCGTCGTAGCTCCCCACGAAGGCCCAAGAAGGCTTGCCTGAGCTGACCGAGGCCCTTATTGCAGCACAAGCCGGGAGTCAAGGCGACGCCGGCAGACCACGCGCCGGCGTTCGCAGCGGCGACACAACCGGCCGGCACCGCGCCGCCGCAGCGAACCTTCGCGGCGCACCCACGCAGCCAAGACATGGGCGCGGCTGCACCGGCGACGGCGGCGTCGACGCTGCAGGGGGCCACGTCGGCGGACGTGAACCGGGGGCTGGGGCGGGCGCTGGACGGCGAGTCGTCGGCGGAGCGGCGGCACGACGGCGCGCGGCACCGCAAGCACGAGGGCAGCGGGCTGGAGGGCGTGGGCGCCAACGCGCCGGGCGCGGGCGACGAGCAGCGGCGGCTGGCGCGTGAGTAGTCAGTGTGTTAGTTACATATTAACTAGGTAGTTGCTGTGTCCATAGGAATGAAAAAACACGTCCTCGCCGACAAGCAACGTAGATTGCATACGGAGTACTAGTATTCTATCGTTTATTAATATCTCATGACGTACATTTACTTTTACTGTTTGAAGAGGCACCTTGTACCATTGAGCACTTTACATTGAATATCATTACATATATGGTGAAGGTGAGGTTATGAGGCAAGCGAACATCGTAGACGTGAGGATCTGAATCTCAGGATAATTCAATAAACAACCCTCCTGCCGATATACCGCGTCATGGGGGGCATCCGTAGAATTGCCACGAACAACCTGTTCGAGATATCTTTTTTTCTCGTTCTAGCTGGGCTATAGGGCGATACTTCAGTTTCAGCGCTTTCACTATGGACCAAACCCCCAGAGACCTCATCGGTATGTGAAATCAACAGGCTCCACATCATATCCAAAATTATCCAGCTCCTTATGCTCACCCTCCTGCTTGTCGCTCCGTAGATTCGAAGCAAGATTTAGACGCTCTTAATCGATTTACCTCTGGCCGATGGCTATGGGGCGAGCAACGGCAGCTTGCGGCCCGTTTCGTTGAATTCGACTTAAAAAAGCTCTTGGAACTTGCTGCTGCTGCCACTGGATCACAATCGTGTGTCCAAGTCATCAAAATTTCCGAAGGACAATACAACAAGGTGTTCCTGCTTACTATGAATGATGGCCGTGAGGTCATTGCAAAACTGCCAAACCCCAATGCCGGACGGCCGCATTTTACCACCGCCAGTGAAGTTGCGACTATGGATTTTGTACTGCTCTTTCTCTTCTTCCCTCCCCTTCCCGATATATAAGGTATATCTATCCTAATGGGTTTAGTTGAGGAATATTCTTCATCTCCCGGTTCCCAAAGTCTATGCGTGGAGCTCCAGAGCGCCTGATAATCCTGTTGGAGCAGAGTACATTATCATGGAAAAGCAGGCTGGCATGATGCTAAGTGATGCGTGGGGAAATATGAAAGGGAAACAAAAAGCTCAGATTGTTAAGCAGGCTGTGGATATTGAAAAGACACTTGCTTCAACAAAATTCACAAAACTTGGAGCTCTATACTACAAGCACGATCTACCTTCATCCGATAGCGGCACGCCACTGTATATCGATGGAACCGGAAAACAGGTACATAATACAGAGTTCGGGGTTGGGCCAACTAATCATCGTTCATTCTTTGATTTTGGGAAAGGGAAACTAGATATTGATCGTGGACCATGTAAGACTAGCTTCCCTCTTCTGACAATTTTTATACTGAATTCCAGTGCCTAGGGTCCACACCTACGGAGTACCTGGCAGCCATTGCCTATAGAGAAGCTGCCTGCGTGGATGCAGGCTTGAGATACACAGTAATGCCAGAAGGGCTTTTCTATGGGCCAAGGCAATACCAGCCAACTCCATCTAAAAAACTTTCAGCACTACAAAATTACCTAAAGGTCGCACCCTATATCTTGCCGGAAAACCAGGCGACTCATGCATCGGTTTTATGGCACGGGGATTTGCATCTGCAAAACATCTTTATTGATCCTGAAGACCCAACCCAAATCCGAGGCATAATTGATTGGCAATCTATAAGTGCCTGTCCGCTTTTCATGCAAGTCACTCGCCCCGGGTTTCTCGATTACAATGGCCCGGACCCCGGCCAACTTGGGCTAGTTAGCCTTCCTCCTAACATTGATTCTATGACTCTGGACGAACAACTGAAAGCGAAGGAGTTGCACCAAGCCCAGACTCTACATAATCTTTATTTAGCCCTATCCTGTCAGGTCAATAATCCAGCCTTCCAGGCCATACAGGGCCAAGGTACTCTCCGTCACCAGGTTAGCGTTGTACCAGGCTTGACACTGACGGACTACGAACCGTGTCTCAACAGCTTGTTAAGGGATGTCGAGGCAGAATGGCCAAGGATCGTTGGAAAGGACTCGGATGATTTGCCGTTGGTTCCGTTCCCGTTGCGGTTCTCAGCCGCCGAAGTAGAGCAGCAAGAATATGACGAGGGGCTATGGGCTCAAGGCGTGGAGCTTATGATCGAGTTTGTTAACGAAACTGGATGTTTCAAACATTGGGATGGTAGGGTCAGCAATGAGGATTACGAGATTTCAAAGAGACAGCTAACTGAGGGCATTGAGAGATTTTTAAGCCGTGAGGCTAGGAATGAGACGGAGCGGGAGGAATGGCTCAAAGCCTTACCATTTGTGGATTGAGAATATAAGTGTATCAAAAAGATTACCCATCATTTTAATTTCATGTACTGTATTACTAGTGTAATCATGTGATAGGTCTACAGGTCACGGGTACTGTGCCCCGGATTCCGTGGAAGCTCGCTAGAACACGCTCCGACGCCTTAAGCGCCGCCTCGATCGATGGCGGTGCTTCACGGTCAGCTATGTGGTTAGTTCACTACTCCGGCCTCCAGCTAACCCACCACCACCTGTTGCTGCTCGCCGATCCGCCAGAGCTTGGGCCGACGCCGTAGTTTAGTCGCGTCGCAGTGCATTCGCTAGTTAGCAGTTAGTTAACTCTGCCGCTGCTGGCCCTGATCGCGGTCGCTTCCGCGCCCCTCGCACATACATAAGCGTTGACAGCGCCGACGCCTACACCCTCACAGATATCCCCGCGTGCCGTGCTCTGTGCCCTGCCTGCTCTGGTTGTTTCATCGTCGGCCGGCCCCAACTTTGGCTCCCGGCCGCGCTAATTAACTAGTTAGAGTGCAACGGTGCAAACCGTCCGGCGCTCGACTGCCGCGTTGACCTCAGGTGGGGACCTCCACGCCTAACTACACCAGCGACTATCCCGACTCCTCACTCTCACTCTCACGCACTCGCCCGTCCACCACCTGTGCAGCTTCGAGCCGTCGCCTGGTCCTCCGATGCCCCTGCCTGCCCGCCTGCTGCCCGCCCCCGTCGCTGATGCCGTGACCGCTGCTCGCCTGTCCTCCCGTCACTCGCCCGTCGCCATGCCCGCCGCCTAACCCTCCCCTCCTCCCCCCTCCTCCTCCTGTTGCTGCTGCTGCTGCGTCTGGCATGCCGGGAATGATGCGCCGTCTCAGCAGAGGGAGCAGCGCTGCTCCCGCCGCTGCCGGCAAGCTCGCCGCGCCCGGCACCACCTCCACCGATCCTATGTCGCTCATCAGGACCTTCAACTCCGAAACAAACCCGGCACGCCCCATCCGCCCGTCGCCGCTGGCCGTCTCGCAGATCCGGGGCATGCCCTTGGACCTGATCGATCGCATCCGCTCCTTTCCCCTCTTCCAGTCCACCCCGGAGTCCTTCCTGGCTGAAATCGGCCTGCACCTGCGCCCGCAGCTCAACTCGCCCAATGACTATATCCTGACCGAGGGCGACGAGGCCAAGGCCATGTACTGGCTCGTCCGCGGCGCCGTCGCCGTCACCTCGCGCGACGGCGAGAGCGTGTATGCCGAGCTCAAGCCCGGCGCCTTCTTTGGCGAAATCGGCATCCTGATGGACCGCCCGCGCACCGCCACCATCATCGCCCGCACGCGCTGCCTGCTGGTCGTGCTCACCAAGGAGGACCTGAAGAGCGTCCTCCCCCGCTTCCCCGACGTCGAGCGCGCCATCCGAGAAGAGGCCGAGGAGCGCCTGCAGATTTTGGAGAAGAAAAAGACCCAGGCCGTGCCGCTGCCCATCCGCCAGGACCGTCTCGCCATCGAGCGCCGTGGCTCCAAACGCCTGCGTGAGTCCTTCACCGGCGACTTGACCGTCGATGACGACCGCCGCTTCGATATAAATAGTAAGAGGCGGAAATCTCCCAGCCCTAGCTTGACGGAGAATGCGTCCACGTCGAGCGCCCTGGCGAATGGCCTGGTGAACGTCCGGATGCTGCTGCGCGAGCTGCCGCTGTTCTCCCACCTACCCCCTGATATCCTCCACTTCCTCGGCCTGAACGCGCAGCCACGCACCTACCCACCCTTCACTGACATCATCCGGCAAGACTCGCAAGGCCGCGAGATCTATTTCATCGTTCGCGGGGAGGTCGAGGTGCTGAACGAGAAGCCTGACCCGCCGGGCGCTGCGCGTCGCGGAGCCGACGCAGAGAGCCGGCGCCGCGTCGAAGTCAAGGCGCGGCTGCGGCAGGGCCAGTACTTTGGCGAGGTCGTCAGTCTGTCCCTGGCCCCCCGCCGCACAGCGACCGTGCGGTCCGTGACGGCCGTCGAGTGCCTGATGATCAGCGGCGAGGTGCTCGCGGAGTTCTGGGCGCGCTGCCCGGGCGATATCAAGACCCAGGTCGAGACCACCGCGAAGCAGCGTCTGGAGGCCGTGTCGGGCGGCGATGTCATCATGGAAGACGTGCCGCCGGCAGCGCCCGCCGCCGCGGAGATGCCCGCGCTGCCGACCACGCGCCGCCAGTCCATGCCCCTCCTGACCTTCACCGAGAGTGATCTGGACACCTTTCACAAGCCCCGCCGCCTCGAGGACGTGCCGGTGCTGCGGCCCACGGACCCGGACCCGTATCTCAGTGTGGACCTGGACAACATGCGCTCGAGGTCGCGTCGTGGGTCTCTGGCGCCCATTGTGTCCGAAGATGGGCCCCCCGGAGACCAGGAGAGCCCACTATCATCGTCATCAGGGGCCCTGTCCCGCTCTCCGCGCAGCCTCTCGCCCTCCAAACAAGCCCCTGTCTTCCCCTCGCCGTCGTCCTTTGACATGTCCCAGCCGCTCTTCCGCCCCAGCTTTGGGAAGACGCGTGGCGTCTTCACGGATGATATATTACTCTCGATTCTTCAATATATGGACCTCCATCACCTCCTCCGCCTGCGCGCCGTTTCGCGTCACTGGTCGAACCTCATCACAACGTCTCCACGGCTGCTGCAGTTCCTGGACCTCAGCATATATAACCGCAAGGTCACAGACGAAATAATCACAGATCTCATTTGCCCCTTTGTTGGGGAAAGGCCGCGCGTGGTCGATATCAACAACTGCTTTCATATCACGGACGAAGGATTCAACGCTCTGGCGAATACTTGTGGATACAATCTCCGCGTGCTCCGGATGAAGAGTGTGTGGGATGTGACGGCGCCCGCCATTCTTGATATGACCAACAGGTCGAAGGATTTGCGCGAGATCGATCTCAGCAATTGCAGGAAAGTCAGCGATACGCTGCTGGCGCGAATCGTCGGCTGGCTGGTGCCCGGTGCCCAGCAGCAACCACCACCACCACAACAACAACAACAACAACAACAACAGCAGCCCAATGGGAAAGCCGCACAGAAGAACCCCATGCAAACACCCATCCAGACCCCTGCGGGCGCCGTATATGGCTGTCCGGACCTGAAAAAGCTGACATTATCCTATTGCAAACACGTTACCGATCGTTCCATGCACCATATCGCGGCCCATGCCGCCTCACGCCTCGAAGAAGCCGATCTCACCCGCTGCACGACGATTACTGATCAAGGATTTCAGTACTGGGGCAATGTGCAGTTTGTCAGGCTAAGAAAACTTTGCCTGGCGGACTGCACATACTTGACGGATAATGCCATTGTCTATCTCACCAACGCCGCCAAGGGGCTCCAGGAACTGGACCTGGTAAATTCCCTTGACTCTATAGGCCCTAAAAAAGCTAACCAACTTCTCTCCAGTCCTTCTGCTGCGCACTCTCCGACACCGCCACCGAAGTGCTCGCGCTCGGCTGCCCGCAGCTCACGCACCTCAACCTATCCTTCTGCGGCTCGGCGGTGTCGGACGCCTCGCTGCGCTCCATCGGCCTGCACCTGCTGCTGCTGCGCGAGCTGTCGGTGCGCGGCTGCGTGCGCGTCACCGGCACCGGCGTCGAGTCCGTCATCGAGCACTGCAGCATGCTGGCCGTCTTCGACGTCAGTCAGTGCAAGAACCTCACCCCTTGGCTGGAGTTCGGCTGCAGCCGCAAGTACAGCGATCGCGTGCGCTTCGTGACCGTCGCGCATGGCGGCAAGGCTGACCGATAACAGCTGCTGTTGCGGGGGGTGCTGCCAACAAGCTTATCAGTGCCCTGCCGAACAGTCCCGCTGCAGGGAAATATGCGCATAAGCTGCCTTTTTTTTGTTTTTTTCCTGCAGCATTCTTGTCCCCATGAGTGCGATGACTGAGATGACCATTAAACCTCGAACACACCAACATTTTCCCCCTTGCCATATCCTCAATACTTCCTGTCCTGCTGTCCTCCCTTTTTCCCCAAAGTTTTTGTACCGCGCTCGTAACTTTGAAAATTTCCCTCTATCTTTGGACTAGATGGTTTGGCATACCCCCATGTACGTTTTTGTTGCTATTTTGTTCGCTTTTTTTTTTTTTTTTTTCATATTTGTGTGTCAATTTCCATTCTTTTCTACAATCTTCCCATTTGGTGTTGGGTTAGAAAAAGAAGTGTTTTTGTGCGTTGGCGGCGGTAGGGGAGGAAGGAAAGAGTTGATGCGGTTGGGCTTGGGTCTTGAGGTTTCTTGCGCGAGTACTTTGTATCAATGCATGTATCTTAAATGGACAGTGAAGCCAAGTTTTACTTGGATGCAAGTCGAACGTGTTTCTCGTTTTTCTACTTTGTTGACTTCTTCTCTCTCTCGCGATACCCCCTTTTTCTACGGGCTGATATCGGCCAACTTTGTGTAACTAACTATCTTGCTCGGCATAATTGACAATTTGCACATTGCGCGCGACTTCAGAAAGAAAAATATGGCGAATAAGTACTGTAGCCTTTATGCAACTGTCACATACGACCACAGGAAGTGGAATACAGGGCTTCCCGTCCGCTCAGCCGTACTTAAGCCACTTGCCGGCCGGCTAGTAGTTGGGTGGGTGACCACCAGCGAATCCCGGCTGTTGTATGTTTTTTGATACATCTTTTTTTGTATGCTAGTACTCCGTAAGCTAGCTAACTACTGAACCTTACGAAAGTCGGCTCTTTGTGGACAAGAATCGTGTTGAATGACTGTACGGAGCGAGTATGGCTACTACTGTAAGGAGATCTGGTGCCTCTAAAAATGCAGGTCTGAAGGATTTGAATATCAGAAAATTTAGATCTTGGAAATCTAGAGGAGAAATATTTGTGTATTCAAGATGTCAGAAGTAGACCGCTTTAACTATTAAGCTATCGCCGTCGAGTGAAATAACCTACTACATATCAAAAGCCAACTTTGGGTTTAAGGACCTTCTTCTCTAGCTGGGGTGACCTCAAATCTAAATCTCTGCAGTCCGTAAAACCCCATTTTCCCTCTCTGCTTGATTAGGGATAACACCTGGGAAGGCTATTCATGCCCTAAGAATTCTGCCTACAGGACGCCCCTTTGCCAGCTTTGCCATTTTGAGCAGAAGGTGTCAAAATTCCCCCTGAACCTGAAGTGCTTGAAGAGGAGCGCCTCGATGGGTTTCATCTTGGGGAAAGGTATCCAGTAACCATCGGAGATGTTTATGCCTCCAGATATCAAATTTGGGCCTTAGAATTACACCGATTAACCTACTTCATCGGGTCTTGTAGGGTCATGAAATCTTCACTTCATTTCACAGGCTTGATGTGGCACGGTAAATTCCTTTTAAGGGTTATGGAGTATGGCCGTTGCTATGTCCAGTACTAACGGTCCGCTAGCCATGGTAGACCAAGAAAAATCCTAGCATTCTGGGGATATATCTTTAGTTTCTCGCGGTCTAATTGGTAATTGCATTTCCTTCTGAAAGATATCAGCCAGTCGGACTTAATGCGCAACAACGGATTGTACACTCACGACTTTTAAATAATCTTCTACTTCATCGTATTCTATTTGCTTTTCTCCTCTTTCTAAAAGATACTGGCGAAGATCGTCCATTTTACGACGAGTAAACGCCTCACGATCATGGCGCATAGGTGTCATTGTTGTGGACCTATATACCCTCTCTGCTATCGAAGCTCGAGGACCGTAGTAGTGAACATCAAGATTTGACCAATACAGGTTATCCAAATTTAGGGTCTTACGAATAGCATGCACAAACCAAAAGGACCGATCGGCCATTGACGACTGCATTCTCGAAGATAAGAGCACAGCTCCGGGTTCATTTTTGCCGCCTCTGGCAGTTTCACGCTCTTTCATTGCCTCGAGGAACAGGTTCAGTCGAGGAGTGTATTCCTCAACAAAATTTTCTGTAGTTCCTGACCAGTTCTCAGGTTTCCTTAGTAGAAGCCACCAAGGGGGGCATGCAGCAAACACAGAAACTCCCAGTCAATGACCGCAGTCACCTCTAGCGTTTCTTCGTTCACTAAAACATTACCAGGGCACAAGTCGTCGCCGAATAGCTTAAAAGGTCCTCTGTTATCAGCTCTGTGTTTCGACAGGAAGTAGGGAATTAATGCCCGAAACAAATGGCGACAGGTATATTTTTCTCGACAGTCCTGTGAGTTCCACACAGAATTTCGTTGTTCTGAGAGATGGTCAAACTGTTGGTTTGCAAGATCCAATATATAATCTGCAGTGGTGTGAAAGGGCCCTTTTGGAAATGATTTTCCAGAAATACCGGTACACCGCAGCAGTTCATTCATTTCTAGCGTCAGTGGACGGTGCTTAACTTTCCAATTTGTAGAGTCACCCATGTCTTCCCTATGAAGTCCACCGATGGCTTCAAAATCATGGTCCCAAAGCTCTAGCAGTATGTCCGCCATGCGCCCGTAGAGTGTTTTCAGCACAGAAATGTCGATTTCTGGGTCTATTTTTCGTCCTCTCTCCTCAGAGACGCTGCCACAGAGAATTTCTGACATTTTCTTGCCATCTACCCATTCCATGATGATAAACGGGCCAAGTCCAGAAGGGTTTTCGTGGCTCATGCCGTAAGCTACTATACGTGGAATAGGAATTTTGGTATTCTTCTCGATATATTGCATAACTGCGACTTCATTGCGAGTTTTCTCATCCCGAAACATGGAGCTACCAGCCATGGGAAATCGCACAAACCAGTCCGGCTTGTTGTCCTCGAAACGTACACGAATACCACAATTGAAGGAGCCACCAGTAACAGTGATGACTTTCATAATCTCATGTCCTCGTAATGGACATATGAGTTTTAACAGGCCATCGGCAGACGCGCGTAAAAGCAGTATCCATTCCCGCTTTTGCGCCTCAAACCGCTCCAAGGCAATGTCGTCCCAGTCCATGTCCATCATGTTGAAGCAAGGCTGGTACTTCTAAACAAGCAGCGGAGGTATGTGTATAAAATGCCTACCTATCGTTTGTTTGGGGATAAATGCCGTAGGCCTCTAGAAAAAAGGCGATTGCTCAACACAGAATGTCGCAGGCTTCGAATTGTGACTCCAATCTCAAGGCAAGGACTGAGTTAGGATCGGAATAGCGAGAGCATTGCACACAGTATCATTGCCTAAATTGACCAACTCTATGGTGAAGGAAACTTGCGAAAACAAAGGCCATCTTCAAGTCAGGCTCGCCTACTATGTACGACCCCTAGAATGCCTTGCTGGAGCCGAGAGGGCGTGTTTGTCCTGTTTGCACCTCAACGTCAATGGTCAACATCCAACGCGAAGTTTCGCCGCAAATCCTCCTTTGAGATTAAAGGCATTTTGCCTGAGAGCGAATATTGACCCCTTTGAACTCCTATCTATATTGCCATGATATTATTTGCTCGATGTAAGTGTTTACATAGTGTAAACGTCCGCCTCGCTGAGAGCGGAATGTCCTTGGACCCGTGAACATTCCACTCAACAAATTTCTCAAAGTTCAGGAACCATACCTGGCCAAAACGCACAGAATGATAATTTAAAATCAAAACATTGATACCCGCTGTCACTTAGCCCGGTGACATGTCTGAGGATGAGACGATGGCCTCTTACCACACATATCATATTCTTTCACTTTGGGAAGCCCAACGTCGGCTCTCTCTAGCTATCCCAGAGAAAAATCTGATCGGCTGCAGGGCAAATATCAAATATCTCCTGGTGCAGCTATGCCATGCTCTCGCTGCGCTAATCTTGCATCCACGGGGAGCACCTAAGGCGGGCCTGGTCGAATCCCCTTCACTAGGGGTGAGGCTTGACCTCACTCTGCCCATATGTAGGCTCACTTCATTGTTTGGTTCTTCTATCACTTGTCATTGTTTTTCTATGCTCACCTTGCGTCTCATTGTGAACAATGAGTGCATGCAGTGAAAGCAGGGACGAAAATATTCACCCAGTATATTCTGTCACATATGGGACGTCAGCATATATAAACCCTCAAAGCAATACCTTTTGCTTCCTTACCTTTCAACTATTAATTTTCCTACCTGGAAGGCAATAATTCTGCAAGGAGGGCACAAACAGCCATGGCCATCTTTCAGCATGTCATATTCACCTTAACAATAGCTTTCTTGTGCCTACAAAGGCCATGAAAGAAATATCTAATATAAGGCATTGGATGAGTGATGCAACTGACAGCTCTGACATTTCTTTTGCACTAAGCAATACGCTAATCAGTTTCCCAGTGGGAAGCTCCGTGAGCTTTCGCACAATACTCTCACGTGTCTCACATTCCAGTGCACACAATATAAAAATATTATAACAGGACAGAATTTTACTTATATCAGTTCTGAACTCCTCTTCTAAACTCTTTCAACATTTAACTTAATAACATCTTGCCATTCTTAGCAATCAGCCAAGCAGAAGGCATTGCAAAGCTTCAAATTCTCCATCTATCACAATATCAGAAGCTCCTTCCTAATTCTAACTCTACTTTTTCCCTCTACCACTAATACTCTTCACTGCCCATATAAATATGCCTTCAAAAAACAAACGCAGTGCTTCAGAATCTCCTCCTCCAAACGACGACCATATGGACGACTGGGAGTCGTTATTTAATCTCGAAGGTGCACAGCAGGAATCCGAGGAATTCTCCTCTATTCCACCACTAGAAGAGGAAGAAAAACAAAAACAAAGAACTTCCTCTAAAAAGGCGCCAGCTACTTCTGGCAATACTAACACGTCTTCCACTAAAAAGGTACGACGTGGTAAAAACAGCCCAGAACCAAATTATTCTGCTTTGGTACAGGGCCAGATGGCGGGAACAAATCGAACCGGCCAGGCATGCGATCGCTGCAAGGTATGACCTTTTTTACTCCTCCTTAAAGCGGTTCATCTACCTTTTATTTTGCAACAGATCTCTTTACCCCTTCTTTCCTTCAGTGAGTTAGAACATTCCCAAGAAAAGGATCTATTCTAGATTCTGGCAAATGCGAAACTACCCCAGTCCGAGGAATATCATGTTGTACCAAGAGCTTAGTGTTTCCGCTGAACCTCTAAGATGCTAATATGTAGAACCATTTAGGCTCGTAAAATGAAGTGCGACTCTAATCCGACAGGCTGTGCAAACTGCAGTGCAAGCAATTCAAATTGCACTCAGACCGATCCGATATCTCGAGTGTCTAGCATTCGCGGGGAGTTGGAACGAGTTCGCGAAGAAAACCAAAACCTTCGCCGCGAGAACCAGCTGCTTCGACAAGAAAACGCGCGTTTACGCCAGGCATTAACTGGTGCCATGCCTCAAAGACCGCCCCAAGGTCAATTCGGAATGGTAAATTTCTCAAAACAAAATTACTCAAGGGGTTATGTGCTGATTTAGCGTTATCTTTTAGCCTAATTCAACAGGATACTCTTCGATGCAAGGTTTAGGTCCTTACCTTTCAGGACAAAATGTACCCTCACAAAATCTAACTAGAAATCCTTATCAATCTCAACGCCGTAAGTCACCAAACCCGCCGTACCATTTGGCTCAAGAAAGCGTTGAATACACTACTAACAACCTTCACAGCTTCGTCTCTACCCAGAAGGGGAAATGATCGTGCTCGCTTAGGAAACTGGCCACAGCAAGCATTAAATGCTCAGCCATTTCCTGCTCCACTTCCACAGGACCCCTTTATGAACAACTCGACGCCCATGTATGCAAACGGGAACCCTTTCGAATCTGGGGCGCCTTCAATGAGACGCACAGTTTCTCAAGGATATTCTTCAAATACCAATGCTAGAAATCATCTACCATTTCAAAATACAGCGCAGAATGCCCCATATATGGGACTTCCAAGTCAGACTCAGCCAGCATCGTCTAGAGCATCTAACCGCCCACGGCAGGAAGCTGAAAAAATGCCTACGAAAGAGTCCAGTCCTTTCGACGAAGACAAATCTCCTTAACGTCGGTTCAAGACTACATTTTATCAAAAGTTTTTATTTTGCCACACGAGTGCAGGGACAGAAAATACCACCTGCTCTTTATAGAATATTAAAGGGAGAGCCTGGGTGGTATTCTCGATTGGATTTGCGTTGCATTCACCGATAGAATTTTTGTGTCGGAATTTTTATTGTCTGTCTCTCATTCTTATTGTACAGAACATAGAATTTTGTCTTTAGAAGGTAGTTCTTTTTACCTGCAGTCCCAAATCAATTTATAACTACTCCGTACATACTCCGTACTCCGTGGTCGTGGTCGTTGCTATGGCGACAACAATGCTTGCCAAAATTAGGATGACATCAATATACGCCAAGCATTCATAAACGACTTCATCGATCTGAGTGACCCGATAGAAACAATGGCCGTCATCATGTTTGGGTAAGAGAGCAGCTGGATTATTCTGATAATATTCCTCTAGACATGACAAACCCAGGATTAATCCGCAGTCGAACTCGGTCGCCTTCTCCGGGTCGCATTTTTGCCTCCTCTACGACCCCGATCGTCGTCCCTTCGTCGCCTTTGCTACAATCTCCATCATCAATTTTAAAATCAATATTAAAGGATCCTATAGGCACCAAAACCTGTAACGCTAATGATGATGCATCAAGTTGCGACACGCCGATTAGACGCAGTGCGCTGAATACCAGTCCCGGGCGAGAAAACTTACCCTTGAAATCATCCCGAACACAGAGGAACATAGAGAAAATAGGAGGCAAATCGTATAAAGAGATACTTGGGAAGGCTGCGGATCATTTACATTCAAGTGAGAAGAAGCCAAAAAGAAAGAGTGGCTCCCAGAAGACGAAAAGCGGTGATAAATCTGTGAACAAGACTCTCATAGGTCATGCCACAAAACCACTGGCTACGAGAATATCCAAACCAGTCAAAGGTTTGCATACACTGCCTGACGATGGTGTGCCAACATTATGCGATGACTCAAACTTGACTAAAGCGCCATGCGATGATGACCAGTTCGACTCCCAAGCCGCTATAAAAAGACGATGCGGCTGGACACCAGTCAAGAATACAGCAGTTCTTACTGTTGATCTAACTCTTGACTCTGTGTCATCTACCCCAGATTCATGCTCTAAAAATAACCGGCCATTCACATCGCTTCTATCTGGATATGGCTTTATTCCGGGCTCTACTTCCAATACGAACAGCGAATCTTCGGAAATTAACCCCACTAAAAAAAGGCAACTGGAGGTAAGAAATGAAATATGTCTCGAATTATGTATTAGTCTACTCACTCAGCTACTCTTCAGCTCTTTCCAGCCCTTTCAACTACACTCCCCTTGGAGGCTGACAGCGGGCAATGCGCTCTGAAAGAGAAAAGCATAAAACCGAAGCGAGCCCGCAAACCTACATCTACTACTATTACATCACTCTCCACGGCTTCGTATGAACGTTATAATTCCCTTCCGTCTTCGAGAAATCCCGAGTTCTTGCCTGTCAACCCACCTGACCCATTGGTTAAATGCTCTAACCATGAATCGAGAGCGACTAAGCCCCGGGTGAAAAGAACCAAGGGCAAAAAGAAAATCGATAATTCTATTTTCAAGGTTGCTCCAGCCGTGGATGCCTTGAAATCGTTGGAAGACCAGGTGTTCGTCTTTGGAACATCTAGTCAGCTCGAGCGAAGTTCTCCAGATGAAGCCTCTTATATAAAAAATTGCAAGCAAGATATGCGTTTATCTGAGTCTAGTACTGGCTCTATTTCTACTTTATCTAGGTTTAAGGCGTCTAAAAATTTGTGGTCTGCTGGTGGCAAAACTCCAGATATGGAACTCAGTGATATAGAAGTCGTTGATATGGCCGACTCAAACACCCCAAGGCTCATTAAGTCGGCCACCCTTCCGCCTTGCAGAGTTTCTACGCAAACGGCTTCTTGCGACAATATCGCTAAAGACATCAGCCTACCACCTCAAGAGAGATCAGCGACTGCTAAATCAGTTATACAAGAGATACCAGAAACGCCTACTGGCAAATTTTGCTCGAAAATTGTGCAGCATCCGACAAACTCAAGTATTCATGCGGCAACTTCGAAACAAATGCCCAGCTTTCGTGGATTTACCACTGCGGAACTAACGCAGAAAGTAGCTGCCTTTGGGTTTCGACCCTTGAAAAACAGAGACAAAATGATATCACTGCTAGAAAAATGCTGGGAAACTCAAAACAAAACTCATACTCCATTACCTATGAGTGATGTGAAAGCATCTGACTCTATTCTTAACATTCAAGGGAGGATTGTGTCCGATCCCCCACAAGAACGACCCGCTACACTCAAGACAGTAGCACCAAAGAAACAAGTACCAAAGCATAAAGCAGATAAACTCACAGGAATTTCCCCCAATCGAAAAAAAATCGGTACCAATAATAGCAATGCCAATCAAAGTCAAATTCAAAGACAGGCTCCTTCTCAACCGGTCATCGTTATTCCAGACAGCGATTGCAGCGACATCGAATATGGCAGAAGCAATTCATATGATACACTAACCAGCCATTCTTCTTTAAACAACACCCACCCTTTAAGTCTAGACCTAAACCAGCAAATAACGAAAGCAATTAGAGCACAACCCCGGATCCCCGCTATCAACGGAGTGAAGCAGCCTACGTGGCTCGAGAAGATTCTTATGTATGACCCAATTTGGCTGGAGGATTTTACAGTTTGGCTTAACACCGAAGGGTTAAATTGTATTGGGGAAGATAGAGAAGTTGGTGTATTCGCTGTGAGGGAATGGTGTGAGGGTAAAGGTATTTGCTGTACCTTGAAAAGATCATCGTGACGCAGGAACATTGCCCTGCCACCTTGCCTACTTGACGAGTATTTATCATGAATCGGAGGCATATAATCGTAACGTATTGTCATAACTACATTAAATCCCGTCGTGATCATGTCGCACCTCTTATGGCAATCGCACCCATCAACAGCATGTCAATGTCCTTTCTTGCTACTTCCCTTGCGCCTTCATCTCCACCATCAAAGCGCTTAAAAGGATCAGATCCAACCGATCCCAGCTTATACACTTTTTTGATTCTTGCCCTGTCATTTATGGAGCGCAGTGATTCATCCGTGAATGGGCAAGGCGTACCCTCGACGGCTTGCCCCAAGTGTTTAGACACGCTCGAAGACGTGACTTCTATGGAGGTAGATATCTTTACTACAAGCAGATATTTTGTAGATTCCGATATTCCAAATCTGCGGAATGATTCTGCAATCTTTGGGTATCTTAGCACTGTTGGAAATGTGCAGAGAGATAGGGCATACATTGTTGTTTCCCCCCAATGAAAATACTATTTCAGAATGCACATTTTTAGATTTTAATCGATTGTTGGCATAATCCCGAACCGCTCTGAAAACTGCGGCCAAAATGTGGTTACGGGAAAAAATCTATGATGGTTGATTAGATGTTGATGGTATAGAAATCGCCTCGACAAAATTGCTAGGTATCATAGAATGATAGGATATATACGCCCAGTGGCTCTCACCATACTAGCATCTACAAATGCATACTCAAAGTCGGAATTTCCAGTCAGAAGTTGTTCTCGGAGGAATGATGCGTTTTTTAAATCACGATACAATGCAAAATGCACTGGAAGAGATTCGGGGAGGTGGGATATGTGTAGGGTTTCAATTAGAGACATCTTAGAATGTAGCTAATAGTAGCTCAGGGTATTCTAGGTTCCGTGTCTACGCCAATTAAACAGAGTCCAGTTTTTTTAAAAAAAACAACCGGCGATTGTCGTGAAATGCGCAGTGCTCAATAGACAAGTTATTAGATAAGCTATAATTAGCCCAATCACGTGTCAAGTCTTTAGTTATATAAGCAGCGCTTCTGGAAGCTTCGGGTGGCCGAAGTAGCTGACTAATTGCTCTATATTACTACGTCACTTAAATCGAGATTCTGCGCCTTCAACTCCATCAGCATTCTGCTCAGCAACTCCCCAGAAAATTTCCACAGTAATGGCGTTCATTCTTCGAAGGCCCTTTGTGGTCTCGTCAGTTTTCCACCAGGCTCCGAAATCAACCAACACTGCCGTTCGCTTCATCCATAATGCCTCGAAACAATCAACAAAGGCTTCCTCCAAACCGTTTCTATCCTCACCCTTCGCCCAAGCTCGACAGAATTTCAGAGATGCCTTCCGTCGCTCATATATGCAGCAGACATATCAACCCGCAAACCAGGGCAGCCTGACCCAGAAACTTTTATATGGCGCCGCTATCGTAGGAGGCACAATCGCAGCAACGAATTTCATATTCAATCGCGAAACCCGGGAAGACGGTGGCATGCCGGCATATGAGAGGAGCTATTTGAACGATACATTTTTGCATACTGGTCTAGGAATTGGCATCATCGGCATTGCTGCCCGTGCACTGCATACAAGCGGATGGTCGTATAGGCTCATGTCTGCGAACCCTTGGGCCGTTGTCGGCATGAGTTTAGTTGCTAGCATTGGAACCATGTATGGCACATTCTACACTAATCCTGACAAGTAAGCAAATTGTCCTTATTTAGTACGGGTGATTTGAGCGTGCTGACTAGTATATTAGTTATGTTCAAAAATATGCACTTTGGGCCGCCTTTAATGCCACGCAAGCCGCCGTTCTTTGCCCATTGATGTTTCTTCAGCCCGCCCTTCTTGCTCGCGCCGGTCTTTATACCGTTGGTATGATGGGCTCCATCGCCTTTGTCGGTGCCACTGCGAAGCAAGAGAAATATCTCTACCTAGGAGGACCGTTGCTCGCCGGTGTTTGCATTGTTGCGATTTCTGGCTTCGCTCCTTTGGTCCTTCCAGCCACGGCAGCACGGACACTTATGTGGTCGGAACGGGTCTGGCTGTACGGTGGCCTTGCCGTTTTTGGTGGCTTTACACTCTATGACATCCAGAAGATTCTTTATCACGCTCGCCTGGCGGAACGGGGCCTCGTGAGGAGGGACGTTGTTAATGAGAGTATTAGTCTGGAGCTGGATTTCTTGAACATTTTCATTCGGATGGTTCAAATTCTGGGTATGAGAAACAACAAAAAATAATCTCGGTTCTGCACTACACCTATTACGACAAAGGTTGTAGGTTCTCCGATTGAATTTCCAGTGAAACAACATTCCTTACACCGTGCAGCTACCGTGCCTGCGTGGAGACATACCAAGGAAACAAATGTTCGGCTCGATTTGTCTCAGAGCGCGATGAAATGCGCATCTTATTATCTTTGCATAGACTCAAGATTTCCCGACGATGCCACCTCTTTTGATATGATTGAACAAGGCACTGTTTATGCCTGAGTTTAAGAATGGAAGAAATCTTTACTCTCCTAACTTCATCTCCACTTTAATGCCAGAATGCCCAATTAGTTCGAATTTTTATACTATTAATAAATACGGACTTCTATAAAGAATGACATGTTTATAAAAGGAGCTATGGAAACAATAGTGATAATGCCTCAACCCCAATAATATGAAGCGACGCCGTAGCCGTAGAGGGAATATTAGAGATAGGGACCCAAGACTACCAGCATAGATAATACCAAACACTGTAACCATGGACACTGCATTTTCCCACAGCCTGACTGCTTTGGGATATGCTTCACGCTATGCGTTGGCCGTGAACCCAGACGACCTGGCCTCCTCCCCCATTTCGGATTTACATCAATCTCGGTAACTTCCCAGTGCTGCTTGTCGGACGGAGACTTACCGCCGCCCACTGTTTTAGAACCTCGAGCTGGCCAATTTCCAACGCTACATAGCCCACTTCCTCCCATCTGATCGGCTGGAAAAAATATTTTGGGCAGCCCGTTTTCTACCACCAAATTCAATGCACCCCAGGTATCTGTAGTATAATTTGTACAAGTGGTGATTTCGGTGAGAATGAGATTTTCAGTACCAATTCTCGGAATCCTAAAGTCGTAGTGTCCTCCATTTTCTCCGTGGTTCGAGTAAACTGTTATCACCTGCCGGGGCTGATATCCCTTGCGAAAACTAGATATGCCGTCTTCGACAGACAAGGGGTAAAGTTCTTGTTCAAGATAATCGTCATCTATACGAATAGCTTGTTGGCGTAACTTGTTCACCATAGCCGTAAATTGGTACAGAGGTGCACTAATATTATATTTTGAAAGCCAGAGGGCTTCATGGTTTGTAGGAGCACGATCACCACTGAGATGCTGCTCTTGGCCCTGGTAGTACATGGGAATCCCATCTGACAGGATGGTGAACGCAATCACGTTTTTGGCAAGCTAAAAATACGGTCAATGATGTTGGTATAACTACTACCTGCAAGTCTAGGTGCCCCGGATAGATAATGAGACTTGCACTTACTGACAGATCGGAACTAAATGATGCAAACTGAGGGAGATCACGGTTTTCCGAAAACGCACCGAGGGCAAAGGGATCGCGGCAAGTTTCGGCTACTCTATCTAAAGCCCTTGGAAGAGCCGTCATATTTCCCTTGCCAAAGGCCTCAATAAGGGCGTAATAGATCGAGTAGTTTGGAAGGCCAGGGATGTAATGTTGATAATCACAAGCAACATCTTGCTTCGATTTGAAAAGCTCTCCGGTGGCAAAGACACTCGACGCGTTGACGAACTCTTTCAAATAGTCTTTGTCAACATATTTGACGGCATTTATTCGAAGGCCATCAATGGAATAATTAGAGACCAGGTTTTTGACCCACGTTTTCATCATCTGAGCGACCGTATTATTACCAATACTAGGGGTCGGCAACGGTGGTCTCTTATCCCCAGCCCAAAATTTCTGTGTCGTGTCAGAATTGTTACGATCAGTAATCACACAGTATGGCTGGGGGTATTTTGCATTATCAAAAGGAAGGTCTGTATGATTGACCGCCTTGGCTGGATGATAGGTCATGTTATTTAAGACAATATCAACCATCAGGTACATGTCTCGATCATGGAGAGCCTGACTCAAGTCAAGAAGGTCCTCACGTGTGCCGAAATTTTCATCGAGCTCATAGAGGCTCTTGGGCCAGTAGCCTTGATACGCGTCGCCATACCTGACAGTACCATTGGCATGCTGATTAACGGGCGAAATCATAATGGCATCGAATCCCATGCCCTGGATATAGTTCAAATTGTTGATTATCCCTCTCCATGACCCGCCACAGGCAACAGTATCATTTGCGCTGCAGTTTGCCGTTGTCGATCCATCAGTTCTGGCGAATCGGTCTGTGGACACTTGGTATATTGACCGACGCTTCCAGTCCCTAGTATCAGCTGTTGAGGCAAGGTCGCGGCATACAATAAGCAGTATCACAAGCAAGGTCAGCATTGGCTCTAGGGAGTAGGTCAAAGGCGAGCAAGTATATCAAAGATAAAGCATGAAGCAATATGAAATATAAAATACAAATAAATGTCATCAGCTGCAAACACCTTAGGAATGTTGAAGTCCATTGGTATCATGGTGGCTTTACGTGGCTAAGCGTACCTACCTGACTGGACACGAGGGAAGCAGCAGCGGAAGACCAGAACGAGACTTCTGGTCTCAACAGCAGTGCATTCATCTCACGAACTCCTTCCTCAGTATTTTGGCTCAAGGCGTAATAGTATTTGGGAGTCAGGTCTGTACAGCTGTTCAGTTGCAGATTGTGAAAATGCGATGCGATGAGCTAGAGAAGAGTGCTCGATTCATCTGGTATTCATTAGAAGGGAACCTAGTGACTGTTTGTATTAAACTAGGCAAGAACTTTTTCAAGAACATTGGTAAATAGATTTTAGCCTTTTTGTCTGAGTGAAGCGTGAGAAAAAGAGTCCCGGGTATGTCGAGTCAGAAAGTCATTGATTCCACAATTCCAATCCCATGTTGGCCAGTGAATAGGCTGTCATTAAAGAAAGGCAAATCAGTCATGGAAAGTCTTAGCTGATGGAAATGGTCTAGCCTCATGGGTGGTTATATCTGTAGAGCAACTGATCAATCAAGTTCGAGGACTCAATATTTGTACTCCATTCCATACCCTCACGTTGCACTCTTCTCACCAACAACAACTCTCCACTTGATGAACAGTGCGCAGTAAGTAACTCACCCCCAACAATGCAAAGCATGTAACTAACTGCTACTGAAGAGTTTGACATCATGCCGCCCAGCATGGTTTTGATGAAACGTAACCATGTGGGTCAAAACTCAGGCGCCATCAGTTCTCCTTTCACAGCGGTCAGTTAAGCGCCGGCATAGACAGTCTTTCGGCCCAATAGAACACCGACATGTGCCCTTGAAAATCTCATCTTTGATCTCACCGGCTGCGTATTTTCTTTGCTTGCAAATAGAACACTGGTTAAATGCCTCAAAGCCAAGCGCAGCACCAACTAGCGTTGGAGGTGTCAGGCGTCAAGACGCCGTGATTCTCACGGCTTCTCCATACAGGCTCGTCTATACCCGCCCCCTCATTTAGCGCAAGTACGGAGTGGCCTAAGGAGTATTTCTTTGTTCTATGGCCTGGCTATTGTTTGGGCTCTCGGTTCCTATTGTTACTGTGGTCCACACGAATCGAGTGTAAGGTCGCCGACGAGAACCGCCCTGGTGACAGAAGGCCCACTCCACATGCCTGTATACTTTGACTTCGGAATGACAATTTGCTGCCCTCTTAAGCTTTTTGAGCTAGTCTGCTAGAATCAATCCTGGTCTCTGAGAAAGAGTATTTTATACTATTATCAGCCATGCTGTATAAATAGCTTAAAGCTAAATTATCTTTAGCATCTTAGCTACAACTAAGATGGAAGTTCTGGCATGAGGCGTCAAGAGCGATGCCTGCTCGCAGCGCTTGCAAGCTCTCCAATTTGCATATAAACACCCCATCTACTACTCATCGACAATGTATAATAATTACACATTAGCCGTATAATCCGAATCCTTCTGATACCATTATTCTTAGAACAACGACAATGAGATATATACTTTTTACCTCCGCATTTTCAGGACTCTTGTTTTGCATTAGAGCTTCGCCGATTGCAACAGGCGCCATTGCCCAAGCCACACCATCAGAATATGACCCCCCCTCAACATGGCTCCCTCTTCCACCAGCTCCTGTCGCTACCTCCGCTGAACGGACACTATACCGAGTTGCGAGTCGAAATAACAAAGATGAAAATGAAGCCGCCGTTCCACACCTACCTGAAATTCTAAGTGGATTTGCAAGGTTTCTCAATCACAGAGAAGAAAACACGGTCAAAACGACAGGCGGAATACAACAGAGTACAGAAAATGGAGTCACGGGGCACAAAACTTGTGAGCCGCTAACTTTGATATATGCGAGGGGAACAGAAGAAGCGGGGAATATTGGCACGGTTGTTGGGCCGCATCTCACAGCAGCACTGAGGAGGCTTTTGAACAACAAAGTAACAATTCAAGGAGTTAATTATCCCGCGACAGCTCGGGTAAGTGCTTCACATTGCTCACGATGCCATTGGTCTTTCTGCCCGACTGACATAAAGGGCCAAGGATACCTCGGGTCTAGGCGCAGATGGCCCAGCGATGGCAGCTCTTGTAAAGCAAGCCTTAGCGAATTGTCCAGCGACTAAGATAGCCGTTGCTGGGTATTCCCAAGGTGCCATGGTAGTTCACGACGCCGCGGAAATCCTGGGAAATGGCAAAGTCGCGGCAGCCGTGGTTTTTGGAGATCCTCTGAGGTATCTTCCACTCGACATTGCGATGCCTGGAAATATCCGAAAACTTTGTGCGCGCGGTGACCCAGTTTGTGGAAATGGGGAGGATATTTCCCTCCATAGATCATACGGAGAGGTAGCTGAAGAGGCAGCTCAGTTCATTATCAAGGCGACTGAGATAAGATGACACGGAGTTCGAAGTCTAAAAAAGGATCATTGTATAAATTTTCTCTGAGTTTCCTTTTTAGTACATAGATTTCAAAGCGAGCAATTCGATTTGTATATAGTGTCATAGTTAGACGCATATCGTTGATGAATGTGGTTATTGATATCTTTTGGTTCCCTAGGTGGGACGCAGATGAAAGCGAAACGCTAAGCCCATTTAGGAATGGCGTCCGCCAGCCCAGATATCGCCCTTCACTTAGTCGGAAGCTTGCGCTCTCAATTATCAGATATCGCCGCACTTTTTCTTATTATTGACCTTCGTACGCTCCCGAAGCATTCACCACAATGGCTTCTGAGATGGACATCGATCAACCTGCATCGGAAGACCGTGCTCTGTCGCATACAGGCAAAGAATCACGAACGCGCGCGGGCGCAGTCGCAGTGCGGAGTATTGAAGGATGGATTATCCTCGCCACGAATATCCACGAAGAGGCTACAGAGGAGGATGTTACGGATTTATTTGCCGATCATGGAGAAATCAAAAATTTTAACCTGAATCTCGACCGGCGAACGGGTTACGTGAAGGTGGGCTAGCTTGCACACTATGACAGTCGTTGGTCTTTGGCTCATTGCTTATAACAGGGTTATGCTCTGATCGAGTACACGACACTACCTGAAGCCGAATCGGCAATCAAAGCCCTTAATGGCACAAAGCTCCTCGACCAGACTATCGACGTCGACTTCGCGTTCGTGCGCCCGCCGCCCTCATCCAACAAGGCCAAGTGGTCCGGCGGCAATGGGAATCGCGCCCGGGGAAATAGGGGGAGAAGCAAGAGTCGAGAGCGAAGTCGCAGCCCTGGGGCAGAAAAAGAGTAGACTTCTTGCTGAAATTTCCCAGGAAACCCAAAACGACTGGTGCGATACATAAATGGAGGCCGGCTTGGCGCGAGGAAGGCTATGCGGGAACTTTTTTCTACCCACTATGAGGCCTCTTTAAAGGTGTTGGGCTTTGAGATATAAAACACAGTGTTGTTCGTTAGCTTTCTCCTGGTCTGCGCCGTCGAGCCCTGTCCGCATCGCATCATTATCATGGTGGGCCCATTTTAAGCCGACTACATCTCTCTATGGATACATCCTCTGAACCGTCGAGGAGAGATGAGTCGGCGCCTTGTTAGTGAATATAAAAGGTTTGTGGCTCTTTCTCGTTCTCACAAATCGCCAGTACTGACAGGCTATACTAGAAAGTATCATTTGCAATTTTGAGTTTCCAGAGCTGCTACCTTGTTTTTAGGATTAAAGCTCGCTTATCTAGCATTTAATTATTAGAAACAAAGCACATAGCAATCACCCCGTGGTTACTTCTCTAGCAAACCAAAAAGTAGCCCGCGTGCCTTAAACCTTCATGGATGATGGTAGCTTATGTAACAATCCACCCCCTGACCTTTTGTTGAGCAGGAGTCAGGTGACTTGTCAGGTGACCAGGTCTCTGAAGGAGGAACCGGAGAACCATAGGTTCACCACCTCCTCTTCTCAACCATGGTACCAATTTCATTATCTTTGACTATTGGGCTGGTGGAGATTTGCTAGGGGTTTTTCATATGTTTTTTCTGTAGTCTCAGTTATAGCATGTTCATCTATAAGTATTTTTGTCTTGTTCATTAGAAGCAGACTCAGATGCAATATTATAGATGCTCAGTCACATAATCATCATGTGCTTCTGTATTGTTCAATAGTTATGAGTCTGAACTCTTTCAAGAATTTGATTGTTATCTAAAGATATGTTCAAGATACTTTATTTTACTCTTGTTATCCATACAAATAGAGATCACTATTAAGTATCTTGAGATCATACATTGAACTCTCTATTTAAGCTTAAATCTTAATTGCAGAGTTCACAGAGATCTAACACATCTATATAATTTTTATCAATCTAGGTCTACAGAAAATCATAATCTAGAATCAACATCTCACTTCAATAATTAATTAAAAATGAACAAATTGTCTAGAAGAGTTGTTATGCTGAATAGTTCTGATGATTGAAAAGAATGAATTAAAGACATTAAGTATTTAGCAAATCTTCACTGATTGTGATCATATGTCAATCTGACAAAAGAAACACATTCCAAACTTTGAAAACTTATTATAGAGAATTTTCTTTCTTCTGGAAAAACTGAAGAAACTGCAACTTCTGTGGATATGAAACATGCAAGAAATATGCAAAGAAATCAATACAGAACTTAAGAGAAGAGAATCTTAGTGATGCAAGAGCTACAGAAGATAATAAAAGACTGTGTAGATCTGTCTCTGAGAATTCTTACAATAAATGAATCAGATAATGTAGAAACTACTGCAAAAGAACATCTGAAAGCTGTATATACTAAAAATGTGATGAATGCTTCTCAATTGAAAGCTAGACTAGTAGAGAAATTCAAAACTCTCAAAGAAGAGTCAAAGAATCAAGCAATTGAAGCATATTTACTGAACTACAAAGAAGTATTAAATTGAGCAATTATGTATGATATGTGTGAATATATCTGTGAATCTTTTGTCTTGAAACAATTTCTGAGAGCTATCTCTTCAAATTATAGAGAGTTCTTCTATACATATCTATCTAAGCTTCTAACCAAGAAGAATTTGAATTGAGAACATGAGCTGAATGTTTATAGACATATTCAGATATTTTGACAGTTGTTAAAGAAAGATACTGAGTCAGATTAAAGTAATAAGTCATCAGCATATTCCACTGAAAGAATTGTTTAAAATAAGTCATCAGAAGAGAATAATGAAAGTATGAACTCTACATATCTTTGCAGAGAGCAACATGATTGAGCATACTGTTCATATTTTAATTCACTTATTCAATCAATGGGCTGGAAACTGAATCCAAAAATTGATAATAAGATCAAGAAAGCATTGAAGAATCCAGTGAATGAAAGAAAATTAAAGAAAAAGATTGCAAATTGAAAGAAATCAAAGAATTTAAATGCTAATGAAGAAGTTGATGCTTTGAGCAATGTAACAGAAGATGATACTAACAAAGTCATTGTCAAGACATTTTCTAATTCAACTATCTTTGCTTCTGTAATGGTTTTTAACTCCACTAACATGAGCAATAAATATAAATTCTATTCATTACAGAACAGCTTCATATTAGATGAGAGTGCAGATGCACATATTTGCAATGATTTTACAAGATTTCAAAACTACTGAGATGCTGATTCTTTAGATATTGTGCTCATTGAAAATACTCATTGTAAAATTCACAGATACAGTGATGTTGAAGTTTATATTCAAACACTGACAGATGCTGACAAGATATTACTAAAGAACATTCTCTACATTTCTGACTTTCATATAAATCTAGTAGCACATGGATTGCTGTGTGTGAAGAGTTGTTATTTGAATGACAAGTCTTTTATGATTTACTATGCTGGCACAAGAGATATCTTGTTCAATTTGACTGTTAAAAAGAGAAAAATGATTGTAGAATACAGATCTATTAATGTTGCAACAGACAGTATAACAAAGAGTGTCTTTACTGTCTCATTGAGCAGAGATTTAGTTAAAAAACTGTTGACAGCATTGATCTTCAGTTTGCTAGAAACAATGAATATTTGGCATTTGAGACTTAATTATCTAGAAAGAGAGTCTCTGGCTCATCTTCTGAAAATGTCTACTGACATGAAATTTGAAAAGATCTCTCAGAATTCTCTAATGATGAAGTGCAGATCTTGCACTCTTTTAAAAGCAAAGTAAATTATACACAGAATGTCATTAGAAAGATCTACACATCTGTTCATGAAGATGTCTATTGATCTCATACAGTTTGCTTCAGATTATAATGAAGATAGATGGGTGATTCACTTATATTGTGATTATATTCATCTGCACTACATAGAAACAATGCAGCAAAAATCTGAAAGTTTAATGTGCACAGCAAAAATGATAAGAATAATTCTCAATTTATATCAATTGACTATCTTGACTATTTAAATTGACAGAGAAATCTCTATGCAGTCAGAACTGACAGCATTGACTCAAATATATGATATAGTTGTTCAACATTCAGCACTCTACACATCAGCTCAAAATGAAGCTGCAGAGTGTGCAGAAGCTTTAATAACAACAGCAGCACATATAATATGAATTGAAGTCAATTTGTCTGAGAATTTGTGGCCAGAATGTGTCAAAACTGCAGTGTATATTTTAAATAGAATTCTGATTAAAGATCTTGATTGAAACACTTCTCTTGAATTCTTAGAAGAATATCTTCAAACTGCAACTTCTTTAACTGAAATTAGACATATAAGAGTTTTTGGCTGTAGAGTGTATTCTTTAATTAAGAATGCATGATATGAAAGAAATCAGAAGCTGACTTCTAGAGCAGAAGTTGAATATCTTATTGAATACAAATCAATAAATATTTTTTGCATTTGAATTTCAGTACAATGAAAGATTATATTAACAAGAGATGTTATATTCAACAAAGATACACTATTCAATTCTAACAAGATTAGCAGTGAGCTTTTATTACAGAAGAGTCTTGTTGTGCTGGATACAATATCTTTCATTGAAGTAAGTGATATTAACAAGACAAGCTTAAGCAAGCATGATAGCAAAGATGAAGACTCTGAGAAAAATACATCACATGAAAGTTATAAGACTGTTGATCAGTTAATAAGATTGACAGAAACAATGACTAAGACACTAACTGATCAATCAGAAGAGACATGTGCATGATCAACATCAGAGTCAATATTAGAGTTATCTGCTTCAGACATCTACACTCAATCTCTTCTGAATGACTCAACAATGCCATCAACTGAAATAGAGACACTGAATCAACTTTCAATGACAGTCAATCATTCTGCTGTGAAAGCTATGAAGATGATGAGTGATGTTGTAATTGAGCTGTCTGAGATTATAACATCTACTACACTTTCTGCCACTAGTTCTACAGAGATGGTGAGCACAAATGATGAACAATTAATAGTTAATTGTTCTGCCACAGAAGTGATGAGCACTAATGACAGAATTTCAACAGTTAATCATTTTGTCATGAAAGTAGTGAATGACTCAGCTGATGTGAGCTCAAGCACAGAGCAATCTTCTAGATGAAGTGTTAGAATAAGATGTCAAAATGCAGATTGAATTGACAGATGAACAGCTTATACAGTGATTCTGCATCAAACAGTGCAATTGAATTCTTTTTATAGAGACTATTTAACAGCTTTTACAATTACAAATTCTAGACTTCACAGAGAGAATCTTCTGAAGTCTTCAAAGCATTATTTTTCAATGTTGCAACATCTGCATGCTGATGGGTTTAAGACCATCATGAATGTGGAAATGAAAAAGCTATGAATGAAGAAATGCTTTGAAGAAGTAGAGAGCTCAGAAGAAATATGTTCAATCTCTTTAATGTGAATTTATATGTACAAATTTGATGTTAACAGTTTTTTGAAACATTATAAGACAAGACTCATTTTTTGTGGAGATCTGAATATCAATAATAAACATGACATCTACACTGCTACTCTCACTGCATGGATATTTTGTCTTTTAATGGCTATAACAGCTTATTTTGAAATGAAGATCTTTCAGATTGATGCTGTTAATGCATTCATTAATGCTTCATTTAATAAATCTGTTTATTGCAGACTGACAGAAAATTACAGTAAGAAAAGAGATGTTTGAAAGATTCTATGTGTCTTATACAGTCATCTCAAATCTTCACAACTTTGATACAAAGACCTCACTTCAACACTCTGAAAACTAAAATTTCATCAGATTTGTGAAGAATCATGTCTATTTGTTGATAAGAATATTATTATCTTCTTTTACATAAATGACATAGTATTTTTATATCACAGAAAGAATGTTGGAACATTTAAGTAGTTATTGAAGAATCTACAGATGCATTATAAGCTTTAAGAGATTGAAGAGCTAGAGTGATTTCTAGATATTTATGTCATACACAATAGAGATGCTCAGAAGCTTTGACTGTGCCAGAATAGTTATATTAAGAAGATCACTAATAAGTTCAATCTTATGGAGTTGAAGTCACCACATACATCAATGATAACTGTGAATATAGCTTCTTATACAGAGATGCAAGATAAGCAATGAATACATGCTTATCAACAAAAAGTTGGTTCAGCTCTCTATGCTGCTATTATAACATGGTCTGATATTTTGTTTGCTACTGCAAAATTAAGTGAGGCTTTGATTAATCCAGAACCAGAACATCATACAGCAATTGAGAGAGTTATCTCATATACTTTTTCAATGAAGTATTATGCTCTTGAATTTCATGCTGAGAAGAAGTTGAATATCCAGAGTGATAATAACAATGTCATAAACATTTATTTAATAATCATCAGTGATTCTTCTTTTGCAAATAATTTAGACTCAAGACACTTCTTTCAGAGCTTCATATTTAAGCTCTTCAGAGACTTAATTGATTGAAAATTCTTCAGACAAAAAATCATTACAATGTCTTCAACAGAAGTCAAGTTTCTAGCACTATTCTATACAGCAAAAGAGATCATGTGGTGGAAACACTTATTTAAGAATATTACATTGAAATTAGAAAGAGATTTTGATATTTTATGTGATAATTTGCAGACAATTTGTTTACTGATTTCAGCAGCTCTGCAACTAATTATTAAGCTTCATCACATTGATATTCATCATCACTGATTATGGCAGACAGTTACTAATAAGAAATTGAATATTATCTGAATTGAAAGTGATAATATGTCTGCAGATGACTTAATAAAGATCTTATCTGAACAGAAATTTGAAAAATTCATGAAGTAATTAAGACTCATAAATATTGATTATTTAATAGAGAGAAGTTTGTCATCTATGCCACTGTTAAAGCTACAGAGATGTGTTAAGCAGAAGTCAGATAACTTGTCAGATGATTGAATCTCTGAAGAAGAAACTGAAGAATCATAGATTCATTATCTTCTCTTCTCAATCATGATATCAATTTCATTATCTTTAACTATTGAACTGACAGAGATTTGCTAGGGATTTTTCATATGTTTTTTCTGTAGTCTCAGTTATAGCATGTTTGTCTATAAGTATCCTTGTCTCATTCATTAGGAGCAGACCCAGATGCAATATTATAGACGCTCAGTCACATGATCATCACGTGCTCCTGTGTCATCCGATACCTTTCCCCGCAGTAGAAGAAGTCACGTCTCTCCCCCTTGGCGAGCTGTTCCTTCAAACCACATGCGGCCTGTACAGTCCGGCGGTTGTTCCCGTCGAGGCCGCGCAGGCAGAGGCTGGTCTTTCCACCGGACGCTGTATATGTGATTTCTCTCTCTCTTTTTCAATGTCTTTGCGACACTGGTCGCTTCATATTCCTTTATATCGTTTTGGCTCTCTTTTGTTATAGGGCCAGCAAGTCAAGAGGGGAAGGGAGACGCGCCCACAATATCAAATTTCTTCCCCTCTTTCCTTCCATGCTCTGTGCATGGTCGTGACATATTCTTATCCAGCATGGCTTCGAGATACAGCCTTTCATTCTATCTGCGCGCCATCTTCCTGGTCGCCCTCTTTCTCTGTGGACATTCAGGTGTCGCGAAGCCCTTGGACAACAATGCGCCTGGTGGCTGGGGCCATGGCGTAGGCTTCGAATCCCAGCAGCTTCCTCTGGGTGGGCAAGCGCCTATATATCCACTACTAGACAACTCCTTTCCAGACGACGAACCGCAAAAGCCGCTGCCTGGCAAACCCGATCCGGTCGGGGGCACCTTGAAGCGGATGCTGGAGGCCATCCATGTCATGCAGTCGGAGTATTTCAAAATATTCCTCGGCAAATGGCCGTCGGCCAATGATTGGACTGCGGCCGTCATGGCCACGCAGGTCTCTGCGACTATTTCTACTATCAGTTCGAATCTAGGCAGTATTCTGCGCTCTTCTTCCGAACATGAGGTGGCTGCTGGCGGCCATGACGAGCACACTTCCCAGCCACGTGATGTTTTGGCGTTTGAGAATCTCATAAATCATTATTTCGATCACACTGCTGCATTTTGGTACCGGGAGGACTTTTTCGGCATTCGGTTTCAAGCGTATGATGATATGCTTTGGGTGGTGCTCGAATGGCTGGAGAGTATCAAGTTTCAAAATTTGCATTCTGAGTTACATTATTCCTCTAATGCCAATGATACCGATATTTTTTCTCGGGTCTGGCATGGGACTCAGTTTAGAGTGCCCACAGCGCATCGATCCAATGTATTTTACGATCTGGCCAGCAGGGGATGGGACACGTCTCTGTGTGATGGGGGCATGATTTGGAGTCCATGGTTAACTCCGTATAAAAATGCAATCACGAATGAACTGTTCGTTTCTGCGAGTGTTGGAATGTATCTGTACTTTCCAGGGGACATCATCGATGATCCGATGCTGAGGGTCGCCAACGATGAATGGGTTTCCATTCCGCATAACCCCGCCCATCTAACAGCCGCGATCAAGGCGTACAAGTGGCTCAAGAATTCTCAAATGACGGGCACAAATAGCTTATACGCAGACGGGTTTCACATCCGGGGCTGGAGCGAGGAAGACCCGGGCTCTCGCGAATGTGATATTTTGAATACGATGGTGTATACCTACAACCAAGGCGTGATCCTCAGTGGTCTGAGAGGGCTCTGGCTTGCAACCGGCTCTACAGGGTACTTGAATGACGGGCATGATCTTATCAGTAACGTCATCAAGTCAACCGGCTGGCCTAATACTGGTAGCTCTCGATGGCGCGGTCTAGGAAGAGGAGGTGTCCTCGAGGAGGCCTGCGACAGCTCAGGCACCTGTAGCCAGGACGGCCAGACATTCAAAGGCATTTTCTTCTTACACTTCGCCGAGTTCTGTCGCCCCCTACGGCCGCAGGAGGAGCGCATGATCCGTAAGCTCGAGCCCGACGGCGTTGACGGCGCAGAAACGCAAAAGGAAGACTTCAGGCTCCACCAGGAGAGATGCTCTTCCTACTGGTCTTGGATCGAACACAACGCCAAAGCGGCCTATATGACCATGAACGGGCAGGGAAAGTTCGGAATGTGGTGGGGTCGGAAATACCCCGATCTGGTGCAAATTCCCTGGGAAACATCTGAGCTGCCCCATGGGGCCGTGGATCATTTGAATCCAAACGGGTCGAATGAGGGCTGGCGGTTTTTCGAGCGTCGGAAGAAGGGGGCTTCGAGTCAGAACGAGGAATATACCGGCCCGCGAATCGTCCAGCCGCAGAGCTCGGGAGAACCTGACGCGCCTCATCTGGACGTGAACGACCGCGGCCGGGGTCGCACGGTTGAGACGCAGGCCGGTGGCCTGGCGGTGCTGAGAGCGCTGTACCAGTGGGAGCAGTCGTACTCCCAGTTCTCCGAAGAGGATGAAGAATAGAGAGACTTTTGTACCGGGGTAGAGGTTGATAAACGTTGGTTCTTTGCTAGACTAGGGAGGTGTTGGTTTGTTTTGGTGTTTGGGGGACCAGGAGTTATTGATATCATTACTTTCTAGATACATGCATTACCCCTCCCCGCCCATGTCCTCCCGCGAGCCCGACCACTGGAAGCGATTACGGAAATTGTAAATAGAATGAGTTGGGCTGTCCTAATACGCTGACGTTTCTGATAGTGATTATGAGGCACGGCGTTAGGTAGTTAGATGGTAGGGACCACCTTGATCAATTTTTTGCGCTGTACATCCACGCATCCATCCATCCATCCATTCAGTCCCCCACGCGCAACTATATTCTACAACGGTACCTACTCGCGTTGCATTATTATTGTCCACAGCAGCCTCGCACCCAGCCTCGCGGCCCTCTCAACGCAAGTTCTCGCGATTCCTTTCTGGGGCAACCCATGTCATCGGCAACACGGCCGTCTTGGCCCATCGTATTTTGCGTTTTTGTGCGGGCGTCCACCCCAAAGAAAACGGTATTCGTCTGGCTGTCATGGTAGGGCTTGAAGCCACAAAGAGCATTTTTGCTATCTGTGGGCGGATGGTACTGCATAGTTACTATTGCGTAACTATCGTCGAGCATAATCAACTCAAAAAGGCTCTCTCAAAGGGGCCTGCCTGCAAAACGAGGGAGGAAAGAAAAAGAAGTAAACTCCCCAGTTTCCTTGCCCACGCTGATGACCTCACTCGAGCAGAAAAAAAAAAAAAAAAAGCAGAGAGGGAGAGAGAGAAGGAAAAAAAGAAAACGAAACAGGCCCTGGAATATTCCAGCAAAAAGGAGGGATACCTCCCCTTCGCCATCGCGCAGTTGCAGCACTACTGCTGGTTTTGCAAAACTTGAATTTGTTCACCGTTATTCTGCAGCAGAGGAGAAGGGGCGGTGAAGGCGCAGTAAGGCTGGCTGGCTGGTCGCCCCAAGGTGAACAAACCAGTTAGTTAATTAATTAACCAGCAGGCAAGATGTGTCATGTAACGACATAAGAAAAAAGATATGTGCACAGCGGATGTGACAGATATGAAAATCCTTGTCCCCCAGTCTCACCCCCAACCGGCTGCTGCAGTCGATGGGTGATGCAGCAGCGAGCCCGCGCATATCAATTTTTTTTTTTTTTTTTGTTCGATCGGCTTTGCGGATGACGCAGCAATTATTTGGGTCTTCAGATGAGGAATGTCGGCTCGGAAGAAAAAAAGAAAAAAAAAAAAAGAAGAGGAAACAAAGAGGGGGATGTGACGAAAAAACAAAAGTTGATGTCAAGCAGTGTGAAGAGCAGTCAGTGTTGCTAGGGGGGCAGGGGACGGGTTGGTGATGGTGGTGCAGATTCTCCGGATCTTCAAACCACAGCACCTACTATACGGAGTAAGTAGTACATACTACTACTACTACTACTACTACTGGGTGGATAATTCCCCCGTCTGCGGTTCGCCGGGTAACTATTGTAAAAATGCAACTCTAAGTGCCAGGACCGGAACACAATACAGCGGGGCCAAACCTCCCTCCCTTCCCCCAAAAGGCGTGGAGGTGCCCCCAAGATTCACGATCGGGGACGGGGGGTGCGGGTTGAGAGCGCGCTGGCTGCTGGCGCTGCTCTCGGCAGGAATTCCCCGAAGCCCACGTGTAGACGGCTCAGTGGGAGTACACACACCGATAGCACTACGGAGGAGTTGACTGAGTTTTAGGGCCGATATTCAGCATTAGTTAGTTAGTTCGTTGCTGGGCCGGTGGCTTTGTTTTTCGAGGGGATTGCCGCGCCGGGCGACTAAAAAAGCACGCCTTTTTCAGTCTTTATCTCTCCATCTGTCTATCCCCCTTTTTTTTTGGACCCCCACGCAGCCGAACCGGTGTCTTGTAGTGGGTGATTGCAGGGTGCCGTGTCGGGCTTAGCACGGCGCAGGCACAGTGGTTTGGGTGGTTGTTCGGAGCTGCGGCAGCGCACAGAGGCGAGGGGAGGGGTGCAGCAAGTGCCGGCCAACGTGGGCGGGCACACCGCTTGGAAGGCCAGCAGGATCAGGTTGGTGGGGACGGACGATAGGTAAGGTGTATGCCACGGGTGGTTACATACACGAAGCACGACAAGGAATAAAGAATGATAAAGAATAATATGACGACGACGACCAGACACCCGCCGGCGGGCCGTCGGGTCAGGCACAAAACAGGAACTCCCAACCTTTTTTTTTGGTCCTCTTCGGAGGCCTTCTGGAAGCGACAAGTTTTACGCGGGGATGGGGGGCGGGTGTTTCGTTGCCCTGCGGCTGGGACGACCGGAGCTTGCCGCGCGAAAGCCGACAACTGATGGCATCAGCCTAGAGAACTAAAAAAACCGGTAACTAGTCAGGTTAAGTTTTTTTTTTTAACTCGCTTGGAATGCCGGGGGGGCGGGCAGCGAAGGAGGAGGATTGAAGGAGAAGGAGAAGGAGGAGCAGCGTTGCGCGGTTAATTGATGATGATATTAATATTATGACGGGCGCGGGCTGGGCGTAAGTGGCATGATTATTACTCTTATCGTAACTACAGTAATGGCGGGCGCTCGATTGGCCGGCAGGCAGCCAGCGTGTCGGGGTCTGGCATCGGCTTGGCCTGCGACGGAGGCCGCTCCACGCCCGCCTCACGTCTCATCACGATGTGAAAGAAGACTGCGCAAACGGGCGATCAGCAGGTAGTAGTTGATAATACTCCTACGAAACATCAACTCCCAGCCCGCCAGCCGGATCCGCACGTCGTCGGACATGCACCACCACCAGCGTCATCGTCACCGTCATCGTCACCAAAAAAACCCGTTTTTATCATCTCCGCAGCTACTCCGTAGTCGTGGTAGCCTTCCCACGAATGACGCGCGCTGCTGCTGTCCAATGGCCGCGTGGTTCCGCCGACTGGTGGCGATGGCGATGAAGGAGTCACAAACGTCGAGTGCGAATGCGCCACATTGGCCGGTAGCTTGCTTGAATGAGATAGCCAGCACTACTAACTGCTCCACGGAGCACCGAGGACGTGTTTTTCCCTTTTCGTGTTCTGACACGCCGGCGTTGGGAAATTGCACACAACTCCCGCTTGGCAACGTCATGCTGGGGAGGGCACGCGCGCCGACTGGGATCGGCAGCGCAAGACGCAGAAATAAGAAATGTCATTAAAAAAAGAACATACCGAGGACTCTGCTGCTGCTGCTGCTTCTTCTTCTTCTTCTTCTTCTTCTTCTTCTTCTTCACCTGCCTGGCACGGGTTTGCGGGTTTTGGGTTGGCATGCGTGGCATCTTTTTTATTTTTTTATTTTATTTTTCTGATTGCGATCAGCTTCCTGGGCTGAGATGTTCTCGAAGCATCCTTGGGAATGCTATTTCGTTTTGTCTTTCCCTCTCACTCGACTCAGAATCAGACTCAGACTCGGCCGCTACCGAGCTTCCTATTCTGATAAGTGTTATTATTATTATTATTATTATTACTACTACTACTTTCCCGTAGGAACACGCCAGGCGGGATCGGCTGGAGTGGCCTTTCTGCTGCTTGCTGGTTTCGGCCCCGCGGCCTCACTAGTGTGAGATCTCCCGTTGTCTTTTTTCTTTCTTGCTTGCTTTCTTTTCCTTTTTTGGCGCTGCCGCTCTTGTTTTCTTATAGCCCCGCCCAATGGGATGACGCCCTGGCCGTTCGAACCAGAGCGACGGGGTGAGAGAGAGAAGTAAGGGAGATCAGCCCCGATTTATATCGTAGTAGCACCGTTTCACCTCCGTCGAAGATCCATGACTAGAAAAGAAAAGAAAAGAAAAAAAAAAAACGAAGAAAGAAAAAGAAAAGAAGCCAGCGCAGGCGGGGAGAGCCGGCATCGGCCGGAGAGGACTTACACACACACACTTCACTGGCTGGTGGGCACGACCCGTCGGGCCCAGTGCTCCGTAGATAATGGAATGAATCGCGTGCCCGCCGCCGCCGCCGCCGCTGCTGGTGGTGGTGGTCGTTTGCCGAGATGACGGCCAGGGGATCCCCTCGCTCGCGCGAAACGAGAGCCTTGAGGTCCTTTTGAGTCCCGGCCGGTTGGGCTTTGCGGGGGAGTCAAGCACAGGAGGAAGACTAGGAAGACGGCCAGGGGGGCGGGCAGGGCAGGACAGGGCTATATATATCTGCCGCGGCCATGGACGGAGCTTGTAGTAGTTACATCTACGTCCCAAGGCAGGGCAAGGCTTTTTGTCTGTTTGGGATTGTTTGTTATTTGTTTTGCCGGCTGGCTGGCTGCCACGGCCGGCGCGGCAGGAGTAAGTAAGTTGGAAAAGGAGCAGAAAGTCCTTCCTGTCGCTTGCGGTTGAAAGAGGGTAGTAGGTGAGAAAATAATGATAAGAATAATACTAATCATAATGGATATGAAAAAGAGCGCGCCGGCAGATCAGCGCGTGGTGCTGGGGGGCGGTGGTGGTGGTGGTGCATGGGCGGGCTGGTGGTATGGATGGGAGTCGCCCGTCCTCCGTATGCACCCCAGGTTCCGGGCGGGCTCCGAGAGCTAGCGAAGTAGTAGTAGTAGCAGTTAGTCAACTGATTCAGCCTGGGATGCCGTTCCGCGCAAACGCCGGCCACCACCACCACCACCAAAGCATCGCATTCATGCAATGCAGGCCGACGATTGCTATTCGGAGCAGGAGTAGTAGTAGTAGTGGTCATGGGTAGTATTTGCGGGTGCCGGCCGGGTGCTGTGTCAATTTACTGGCTGCGGCCGCGCGCAGATCGGCTCACGGGCCAGGGCCGGAGAAAGATCGGGGAGAGGCTGTGTGTGTGAGAGAGAGAGAGAGAGAGAGAGAGTGGGAGATGCAGATGGGACGCCCAGGGCGTGCCAATGCAGGTGCAGCGGCCGTTGGACGATTGGCATTCCTCCAGCCCAGGCAGGTAACCGCGGTGTCGGGGCTGGCTGTGAGCGAGCGGGTGTCGTAGTAGTGAGCTAACTAACTAGAGGAGCGTGGTGCGTTATCATTCGGATGGACGGGCTAGTTAGTTAGTAGTAGAGTGTGTGTATCGGCGAGCAGCGCAGGGCCGCACCGCACCGCAATAATAGTAATAATAATACGGCGGTGAAGCGCGCGCTGTAGCGGGCGTACACAGGCACGACGGGCTTACCGCCACCACCGCCCACGCACACGCACCCTCGCGCAGCGGCGTGCCGCGAGAGTTCCCGCCGGCCATGCTTTGGCTAGTGAGAAGTTAACTAGTTGGTTAGCTTAGCTTGATTTGGCTTGCCAGCCCACCCTCCCACGCACTGCCGCCGCCGCTGCTGCTGCTGCTTGTCGCGCGCTGTTGTTGGTGCTGCTGGTGATCCGCCGCTGCTCGTCCCTGTCGGGCGGATCGAAAATCGCGCGCTGGCTTGTCTGGCTTGTCCGCCTCTCGCTTCCCTGCTCGCTCTTCTTCTCTTACTCGTCTCTCTTCCTCTTCTCTTCATCTTCGCTCGACTGTCTTCTCCTCTCTACCCGCCCACTCTTCTCACACTTCGCTCTCGTTGTCGCTCTCGTTCATGACTGATTCCTCACCACTGCGCATCTCATCCTCCCCATAAGCCAACCCGCTTCCCTCTCATCCTCCCCTCCTCTCTCTTATCTTTCTCTCTCTCTCTCTCTCTCTCCCTCTCTGCCCAACCTCCCGTCTGCTCTTGTGCTCTCTCCCAGCCGTGATCAGGCTGCCTCCCGCCTTTTCTCTCCCCTCCTCGCTCTCGAGCATGGCCAGTGGACCACACGCCCACCACCACCATCCTGTTCCCACCATGCCCGCTCCCACCACCACCACCACCAGCAGTAGTAGTTCCCAGCCAGCCTCGGACCCGTCCGATCCCTCATCCTCGTCCTCGCATCGGGACGACACGCCCGCTGCTCCCCGCCACTCCGCGTCGTCCTCGACCTCGTCGTCCGACGGCGAGTGCGAGCGCAAGACCAGAGCCGACCGCCCGCGCCTGGCGCGCCAGCCCAGCGCCTCCATCCTCGTGCCGCGCGACCACCCGCAGATCGAGATCGAGGAGGAGGAGTTCCCGCCCGACGATGCTCGTGCCATGAGCCCGCGCAGGAACTCCGCCGACGTCGAACGCCTGGGCCGCGAGGCGCGCGCCACGTTGAAAGAGTGCGTTTCTGTTTCTTATTCTTCTCACCAAAAAATTCCTTCAAACTAACAGTGTATCTTCTTCCAGGCAAGCCAAAACGCTGCAGTCGTCCTTACACGCCCTGGCCGAACGCATCGACGAGGTCACCACCGATCACGACCGGCTCGAGACCGAGAACCGTTTCCTGCAGGACTACATCGGAGGCCTCACGCGCACCATGTCCGCGCGGGCCGAGCTCACCTCGACATCCGGCCACGCGAAGAGCCGGAGACGTAGATAAATCACATGTGCTTTGGTTTTTGAACGACGGGTTTACCCTTGCAGACTACTCCAGACAACTCGGACACACAGAAACACCATATGCATCCTGTTCCCATTTTCTCTTTTCTTTCTCTCTCTCTCTTTTTTTCCTTGTTCTCTCTCTTAACTCCCTCCCACCCGACGAAACGAACATCCCTTGGGGCCTTAGGCGATTTCGAGGACACGCCCTGGTTGATACTTCTCTCTCACACACACATATAATGACGTTCTCATGCGTTATGACACCTTTTTCCGGTCTTATCTACTCTCTCGATGGCATTTACTAGCAGGACTTCCGTTACAATTCTCCCCTCCTTCCGTCCTCTTCTCCTTACTACTACTGGAAAAACCGCCCGCGTTAGGATTGGGGGAGGGCGACCGCCCGGGAAACTTTCTTTGTTCCCTCCTCTGCTCTTCTATTCGCCAGTATTTAACCTCCCCCCTGCACATTTCGATCCCGACTGGTCCCGCCTGGCACTACCCAATGGAGCCTCCTGCTTTGATTCTCTTTTTTTTTCCGGGACTCCTCGTTACGCTACGCTGGATGATCTCATGATGGGGGAGCCACATCGCACCTTTCACAAACCGACATCATATCCCGACCTAACTTAACACTGGTCCTCTTCTTTTTTCCTTTTTTTTTTTTGCTTGTGGAATCCCCTCCTCTCCGCCGCCGCCGCCGCCACCACCGCCGCCTATGAGCAACGGTTTCTGGCTGAACACCCTCGCAGCCTTGTTTGCCACATCTCCATGGTCTCAGCTTTACACAAGTGTCGTGGCCCTCCTCGTGATGAGCTCAACAATAATAATCCTCTCTCCCCTCCGCCCCCTCCCCAGTCGCCACCCAGCAGCCAATCCGCCGGTGACGCATCGGGGGCCGGGGCTCCGCTGTGTCTCGCTTTCGTGCCACTTCCGATTCTGACAACACGCCATGTTCGGTTTTCAACGGAGTCCGGGGGAGAAGAGAGCAAGGACTTTTGAGTTTGGTTTTTTTTTTTTGTCTTTTTGGAAGTGTCAACGCGGAACCATCCTCTTCCATATTCTTCGTTTTCTGGAAAGCCAACCACGCTGCTGGGACATTCTAGGCGCTAGGCCGTTTTGGGACACCACATACATCATCTGACCGGAACAAAGGGAGTCTGAATTCACAGTCGTCATTTCTCTTTTCCCACCTCTCTCTCTCTCTCTCTCTCTTCTGTCTCTCTACTAGGACGACCGGACTCGCTACGCGGCGTGGGATTAGGGATGGGCGAGTGGACATATTTACTGGTGGAAGGAGGGGGGGCCTGACTGGGCTGGCGATGTGAAGCAGCCAATGCCATGTGCACTTTTTTATATCTCAATTTCGCTTTTGTCTGTTCCTGTGGTTATTCTTTTTTTTTTTTTTTACTCATTCTCCCCCCAGCAGACAAAAGGAAAGAATCATAGGATGATTGATTACATCACCCTCCTACGGTTGGGAGGAGAAGGAGGATCATAGCCCTGCATTTGCATGGACCATTTGAGCTTCTTCTTGATTATCTTTGGCTGTTTCTTTTTTTGGTTCTTGTCTTGTCTCTGCTGCTGATATATCTGTTCTGCCTTTTTTTTAACCCTCCCTCCCTGGTTGACGTGGCATGCGGGAGCTGGATTGGTTTTGATCTGCTTTTCTACTTTTTTTTGGTTGACAGCGTAAAGATTCGGGCTTCTTTTTTCTCTTTTGTCCTCCCATAATGAGCGCTGGAGTTGCTTTTTTTTGATATATCTGTCTTGTTTTTTTTTTAATTTATTTCGGTACCCCTTCATTTATATCTTGAGTGGGGACGATATTCCAACCATTTCGCCGCAAAGGCGGCTCTTTCTTCCTCTCCATCTCTCACTTCTCCTTCCCCCCCCTCTTCTCTCTTCCACGCGTATTTCGAGAATAAAATCGTGGCTTTTACTACTTTTTTTTACACTTTTTCGTTTTTGCTATGGTTTTGCTTAACTCTCTTGACAACTCAACTTGTTCTTTATATCTACTTGCCTAGTTTTCTTGTTGCCGTTTTCGTCCACTCGTCCCAAAAAATTCAGCTTGCGATGTTTTTTTCTTAAAAAAAAGGTACTACCCCTCTAGAGAGTTACAACAGCGCAATGCATCAAATTACATCTGCAACTCAATCAAACAACTCATTCCACTCCCTCTCTCCCAACTACTACTACTACTACTACTACTACTGCTACTACCACCACAGCCTTTTTTCGTTCTTTCCAGGGGAATGGGGCAGCAAGGGCAAGCCCGCACGTCACCGGTAGATCGACACCAAACCCAAACCCTCTCATCTGGGGGAGGCGAACACGTAGAATCCACAAAAAACAAAAGCTGGTTATGAGAATCAGCTGACTCGGCCCCGTCAAAAAAGTCACGCTTCTTTTCTTCTTCTCGCCCCGCCCCGCCCCATGAAAGTTCGCCTCCTGTTGAAATCCTGCGACTCTTACCTACGTCATTATTATTATTACTATTGGTTTCTGACGCACGGCCCTTGGGGCGGAGAGGGGGGGAAACCCAACGCGCGCACGATGGAAGAATAATGATGACGATGACGATGGAAGGAGCCAGCGGCCGGCGACTTAGGAGAGTGGGGGAGGATGTGTCTTTACATTAACTACGTTACTTCGGAGTATAGTCGAGTAATTACGAGGCACGAAGCGACGGCGCGGCTGTCATTAGGGTAAAAAAGAAGGGCTGAAATTCGTCTCGTGTTTGCGATCTGTTGACGCGGGCGCCTAATAATAATATTAATGGATGTCCTTGTGTGTTTTTTCGCCTTCTGCATGGGCCCCCGGGAAGCGTTGTCCTTTTTCGCCTCCCCGGGCGTGTTGTTGTTGTGGTGTTGTGCGTGTGTGTTTGGGCGTGTTTGGGGGCCGTGGTGTGCGTGTGGGCCAGCACAAAAAAAAAAAGAGGCGAACAAAGCAGGATAATCCACACAGACCTATGACATCACTGCGCTGCGCGGATGGATTCGTCGTTGGAAAAGAAAGAAGAAGAAGAAGAAGAAGAAGCATGAAAATGGAGATCTCTTAATCTGTTTTTCTTGGTGTACTTCACTGGAAACAAAAAAACGAGTGTCAAGTCTTCCTTTCCTCGCCCAGCATGCCCCCCTCACTCAACCCATACTATCCCGATCGAAGATCCATGCTTGGAGCTATAGTATTATTGTTATCATGCTTCCTCTTTACGAGGCGTAGTACTCAACACGCGCGCCTGAAGCCTTGTCATGTGGCTCATTTATTCGTCGGGCCCTATATTACTTAGGGCCATGCGCGGTTTTCCAGCGTTGTTTTTTTTTTTCAGCCGCTTGGGCAACCAGGGAACATGCCTGTAGCGGGGACCAGTGAACTCGTGATGGATCCTCTCCGTATGGTCGGTGTTTTAGGCAGAAATGCTGACTCTTCTGGGCTACCTCGCTGGTCCATGAGTTAACTAGTTAGGCGCTGTGTTGTTCCCCGTAGAATCACGACAAACCTACGAAGAAAGATAATCATAAGCACAATAAATACCATGGCTCAATCACAGGCCATCCTTTTTCCGCCTCTGGAGGGATTGTCGACTGCACAAGTTTCCATTCCTACGGGAGTCTCTTGGTCCCAGTTACTGGATGCCTATCGGCCAGCTGGTGGGTTTTCCGTCGTAAGCAGTAGCTTAGCTGGCACCGCCAGCACACACACCCATCTCAACTCACTACTCTCTAAAAATAATAATGCCGCTGCCGCCGCTCAGTTCGCGCGCCAGATCGAGATCTGAAGCCTCTTTGCGCCCCCTGCGCTCCCCCCCCCCCCCCCCCGTCCGTCCGTATATATCGCCTTCAATTCTTCTCAGGGTGCCTGTCGATAACACTTCCTTTATGTGTCAACGCTGGACGCCCCCTC